CATGCGAACCACCAGCCGTCCCATTAGGGCAGCATCAAAGGCCCCTTTCACATCTGATGTGACTACCGTTGCAACGAGGCCTTGGTCAAGGGCCTGCTCAATATCGTGTATGAGTGCAGCTACCAGGTCAGTGGCAGAGCGCTTTGGTAGAGCTCCAAAATGTTGTGGGGCTAGAATTCCAAGTTTGACAACAAACCAGGTAATTCTTTTCGCAATGAGTCGTTCTAGGCCCTTGCCAAGACATGACAGTAGCGATATTGGTCTGTAGGCCCTGGGATTGGAGTAGTCTTTCTTTCCTGGTTTTGGGATCATCACCACCTCAGCTACTTTGAATGGTTTAGGGTGGTGTCCAATTAGTAGGCAGGTCTGGAAAAGGGCTCTGATATATTCACCAATGACTGGCCAGCAAGCTTTCAGAATCCGTACTGTGAGGGTATCTACTCCCGGGGAGTTGCTCTTGGTTCCTAAAGTGCACCCTTCAGCCTCTTCTAGTCCGACGTGGTATTCAAGGGGGATGTGTGGCTTGGGTTGTATGATCTGAGCGGACCAGGGGTCGATGATATCGTTGTCTGAGGTACTTCGTTCAAGCGTGGCTGAGCGTAATGCATTTGCCTTGCTCTCTTGTGACTCGAATATTTGGTCTCCTATGATGATTGGAGGGGAACGCAATCCTGCTGATAACTTGTGCCAAGAGACGATTCTGTATAGGTCCTTTGGCTCAGTTGCTGAATTGATTAGAGTCTGCCAATACTCTCTCCTAGCTTTCCGAACCACGCCGCGAAATTCCCGTCGGGCTGAATTCCGTCCTTCTTGGCTTGTAGTCTGTTTGGAAAGGGCCCTGTATGTCTGAACAGCTGCTTTGCAGTCATCATTCCACCAAGCAGTGGGCCTAGATTGACGGGGCCTCTTGCCCACTGTCCTGATACAGCCTTGGATCATGTTGATCAGGCTTTGTGTAAAGGTGTCCACCTGGCCAGGGGATACACCCAGCCGGGGGAGTTCATGAATCCTGGTTTGGACATTATCTGCCAGCTCCTGTAGTTTATCGTCCGGTACTATCCAATGATTGGCCTTGGGTACTCGGTCCAGATCTCCCTGGATTGGAATGACTATTCGTAATGTCTCATGATCTGAGGTGCACTGAAGTGCATCATTGACTGAGGCTTCAGCCATGGGGACATCTGAGAACACCAGATCTAGTACATTTCCGTCATCATGTGTCGGGACATCTGGTTCAGAAATCAGATCCAGTCCGTGGTCTGCCATAGTTTGTGCAAGTATAGCACCACCATGATATCCTGGATTGCTTGAGTCCCAGGATGTGTCGCCAGCATTGAAATCTCCAGCTATAACGCAGCCAAAAGGTGGAGTCCATACTTCCAGAATGTCATCCACTTCCTGTGGGTTGTCACATGGCCGGTAGACACTGGCAAATGTAATGCCTTGTACCTTGACCCAGGTGATGTCTCGTGTAGCATAGGGCCGAAGTTGATCCGCTTGAAGGTATTTTCTCACATAGATGAGAGATCTGGGCCGTGTACTGTCGCTGTCCCAGGAATCCACTGGGGAGAATATATCGTAATTGGGGTGTGTCTTTACTCCCATTCTCCTGCCTGGTGGTATGCCAACCCAGGGCTCTTGCATCAGAATGATGTCTGCTTGTTCTCCTTTATAGTCAGCCAGGTTGATGGCTAACTCTGTAGGGCCTGCACTCTTTTGTCCCCCTGCTGTATTCACAGAATGGATGACTAGATGCCTGTGTCGATATGTTTCGTTTGATGTACCTAACATTGACTGACAACAATGGTATCGGCATCTCTGGGATGAGTTGTATCTGTTGTGTCGATTTGCATTGTGGTGTCTTTGTTATTGTTGCTAGGTGTTGACCCAGCTTGGTTTCTGCCTGCTTCGTTGAAGGCCTTGGATCTGGCTCTTTCTCCGGCTAGCCTTATTTCCTGGATTTGCTCCCATGTGTGCTTATGGATGGTACCTTTCACAACCTTGGGGCGGGCAGGGCATTTGTCGAAGTTGGCAGCATGAGGTCCTTTGCAGTTGACACACTTTGGGATTAGTTTTTCGCACTCTCCCTGGTGTACTGTGTTGGCGCAGTGTGCACATACTTGCTTTTCGCATCGGTAATTCCTACCATGGTATCTGAAGCAGCTTGCACACTGGTGAACCTTGGGGGTGTGTTGAATATGCCTTGAGGTCATTGAGTGGGCAAAAAGCGTGAATGGTTTCCTTGCTGCACTGGGCAGAGAGATTATCCATGTAGTTTCTGGATCAGAATCAATCGTGTTCTTTGAGAGTATGCACCTCAGAGGTCTGTCGCCTGTTTGGGCTTCAACTTCATTGGCAATAACAGTGTCAGTAATATCAATTGTGAACCCTTCTGCACTGATGACCTTTCTTGGGCATCCATTGACCTTGTAATGATACCAGACTGTGTGGGTCTCAATCTTTTGTGCCTTAAGAATGTCGGCAATTTCTTCTTGGAAAGCCAGAAGCTTAGCCTGAGTTGGCTTGTCCCTTGGGTGTAAGGTAAAACCAGAAGGACACCGTGTCACTTCTCTAAGCTCCTGAGGGTGGAGCTTAAGTCTTCTGTTCAGTGTAGACTTGATTCCATAAGGCTCTAAGTGGCTATTATCCATGCGGACAAAGACCCGGAGATCATCCTGCTTCTTCTTCAGTTGGTTGGTAGTGATAAGGGCGCCAGGCTGTGTTTTCTTCATGGTAGTGTTGACTGTCCATGGATGCTGTCGTTGGCCAGAGGAGACAGCTTGGGCGAAGGTCATGGTGGGCTTCCCTATCCCTATCCCGCCAGGAGTGGTCTTTCTTTTGGGCAGATCTCGGGTTTCCAGCCACTCGTTCAGGCATTTGGAGAAGAAAGCGCTGAACTCCTTGGCATGAGAGTATAGTTCGGTTCCAGCTTTTTCCAGTGTCTTATCGACTGCTGCAGCACACTCTTGAAACATTGTCATCCTGGCTTCATAGAGATGCTTGTCTTTAGCCAGTATTTTGGCTACTTGGTCCTGGCACTTTGAGGAAGAGACCTTGTTCCCTGTATCGCCTCCAATGGCTTGGTCTGTAGAGATTTCGTTTGATTGAGGTACTTCCATATCAATGATGCTGCTAGTATTAATATTTCGGGATTTTCCTTTCAGAGGGGAAACAATGGTGAAGTCAGCCTCAGAGACCTGTGACGGGCTGCTGTTGATGTCGTCGAGCAGTGCCTGGCGGAGCTTGCTTGGGGTTGCCGGGCCATATGTTCTTTTAGGGACCGGGGATTTGAGCACGCCGCCAGTAGTCGTCTTTGGGACGGCCACTGGCGTATTTGGGGGCCTATCGTGAAGGGGTGCCATCCAGCTTGTGAGAAAAATTTTCTGCGCCTTGGCAAGGATAGTCAGGTACTGAAATAAATGCCTGTTTTAGTGCAGATATAGAGGTTGCGCCCTAACAGCGGGGCGCCAAGAAAAATAGTTGTTTTTGGTAAGAGTGTGCGGGTTGTCCATGTAATTATGATGAGCTGACCTGGTCGTCTTTTATTGCAAGCGAATGGAGCTCCGAAATGCCGTATCGATCGCCCAGGACGTAAACTTTGGCGTTGCACATGAGGTTCTCATAGATCTTGGCTACCTCGACAGAATCGGGACCGGGTTGCCTATCAGTCTTGGCAGGGTCGGTATACCCGGCATATGGGTTGTAATTGACAGTGCGAGTTCGTGGCCTATGCTCATAGATTTCTTCCAAAAGGTTTCTTGTCGCATGGTAGCAGGGCTGATCCTTGGGGTATTGTTCGCTACAGCCTACAGGCTGACACCCTACAGGCTGATACACTGCATGAACATAGTTGTGGGCGTAGTTGTGGGAGGGGCAGCAAGACGCGTTGAGAAAATTCCATAGGTTGTTCTCATGTAGCTTCAAGCCATCACCACGAGTATGTCGATGACTGATTAGCTGACTCAGTCCTTCGGGTGGAGGCGGGTTGTGCATATCAAGGATCACGTAATTTCTCGCGTAGGCAAACTGGCATAGACGGCGAAAGGTAGGGACTTCAATGTCATCCCAGATGACGCGACCCGTTCCTGCCTCCTCCATGCTGCCGTCCATAAGAGTCCTGGAGTAGGGCGCAAGTTGTCTGAAGGGTTCTTGGTGGACAGTGTGCTCCACGGCGTCGGGGCCAACGACGAAGCCAAACGTTTCTGGCTTCGAGAAACTAGTGCGTGTCAGCGGATCGCCTCATCGGGCGTGTTTTGAGGATGTACGAACATGCTGTCGAGCCAATTCATGGCGCTACAAGATGCTCGCTTGGCAGGGGGTACATCTGGGGCTTGTTCTTCGGCCGCTCGTTTGCCCGCAGATGCTTTGCTGCTGGTGGCGGCAGATGCTTGGTCGGCCATGTCTCGCTCGTCTCGCTGACAAGAGTGGCCCGGGTGTGGGATGGAATACAATCAGAACAGTGAAGACTGAGATGGGACCAACTGGTTGTTGTTGATAACGTGATACGAATTGGTTGGAGAGAAAGAAAGAATAAGACCTTGAGTAACGAGACGGGTATGATGTAAGTATATGGAGGGCGCGAGGCGTTTGAGGGAAGGACTTGTGCTCGAAGTAAAAACAAAACGCGTGCTTCCAGGTTCAAGTAGTTGCCCTGAAGATGTCAGCAGGGCAAGCCACTCAAAGTCAATGTCGATTAAAACAACTCCAAGTCTCTCGAGGGAAGGCACGCGCAAAAAGCGCGTCTCACAGCAGCAACGAGACCAGCCTCGTTCAACAAGTAACCACGGATGAAAACATATGGGGGTTCACTGAACCTTAAACAGTCGGGGTTGCTTAGTACACGAGGGCAAAACACTCCGAGAGTTGTACTATTCAATGATCAAGATAGAGAAAGATATCCACCACGCAAGATGCTCACTGGCAGTTGCTATCTCCCCAAAGTCCCTAGCCACACGGCGCTCCAACTTCCAGCAATACCCGTCAACGATCAGTTGCTCCCATCAAGAGCTTAGGGCTCTGAGATCGAGACTCCAGCTCTGAATAGCCGCTGTTCCCGGCAGGTCCTCGCACTCCCCCACCGCCTGCGTGAGCAAGACGACCGTGCCAGTGCAGTCGGGGCCCGTCCACGCCGTCAGCGCCTGCGTATCAGTGTTCGCGATCTTGATCTCGGCCGAGCCGCTCGCCGAGATGGGCTGGTTGCGGCACGCGCCCTCGAACTGCAGGTAATAGTGGGTGGGGGTGGTGCCGCTGCAGTCCGAGGTGTTGTAGAGGTTGGCCCAAAAACCCGCGGGCGGGTCAGGGACCAGCGAGGTCGTCGTCTGCGCCGTGGTCGTGGTCGTCTGCGCCGCGGCCAGTGTGCCGGCCGCGAAGGCGGTGGCGAGTGTTTGGAGAGAAGTCCTCATGTTGGGAACGAGTTGGTACTTTGACTGTGACTGGAGCTGGTGCTGCAATTAGTAACGAGTGATGGTGTTCACACACGCAACGGGTAATGCTTACTTGTGAAAAAGGGAATGCGACGAGTAGGATGTGAAGCAGGGTTCTATTGGTGGTCGTGGCGGTCCAGAATACGAGTACTGAGACACCATCTTGCGTGGTACTTGTACTCGAGACACCGACCTCCAGCTTGCTACCTCGGGACCGAGGCTTGTAGAGGATTGCGGTCTTTAACAACAATGGCTCGATATGACGACTCAGAACGGCAGGTAGATTATGGTCCGCGGTGATGCATAGTTCGCGGCGCTCCTACGGGCGAAATGTAACAGGGTAGACGAGTGTTTGCGCAATTTCTCCGGAACACCACCTTGATACGAAAACAGAACTACCTGGTTAGGTAGGTGTATATAGCTGAAACTCAAACTCAAGAGTATAGACGCCTGCATGAATGTGGAGCGAATCCAAGTGAATCCTTCAACTATGGATACTCGCAAGGAGATCAAGAGGAATGAAGCTTCATGCAACTGACGTTAGATCCGTCGCTCTAATCGGACCAGGTAGGAAGGTAGATCCCCCCATGATCCTTACCAGGGTATTTTACATATTAAACAACCTTATATGCTTGCTCACACAAGGGGTCCCCCACCGAATGTCATCTAGACCGTTCTGGAGGATCTTGATAACCGGTGCCCCTTTGCTGAATAATCCATGGTGGTATAGAGTGAACGACCCTTACTAAACTTGGCACATCGTGGCAGCTGAATGGATAGCAAGCCTCAAAGCTCAACTACTACCTTTGCTCAGCCTGCGTGTCCCTTGTACACTCTCTCTGGCATCTCACGTCCATCAACGATGCTTGTGATGTAGCAGACCAGACAGATATTCGTTATGTTCTCCTTATATCATCTTGGGCGCCTGTTCCAAGGCCATCGAGATAAGCTGTTCCGGATTGATCAACTTGCTCTACCTAGCACTCGTGCGCCCTAACCGAGGTGTCCCTCCAGGAGAGTATCCATCATCAACCTTATTATGATTAACGTGGAAGCGAAAGGATGAAGCTACCGTGGATTCATCTCATACCTGCCCCGGGCTCTGCCGTAGCTGGGGTTCAATTGATGAGCATATATGTGCACTCTTGTGCGCCCTTCACGTGTTGAGTTGCGTGGTTTCTGTGGGCTGACATGCTGCAAGCATCGAGCGTGCGCCAGCTGTTTCCTCGGCCAGGTCACAATGAACGACATGTGAATGCGTCCAAGAACATGAGATCCCAGCGCCACAATGTCGGAGAAGCATACGGCTTGGCTCCTGCCACGCGATCAGCTGTGCAGCCCGAGGATGTGAAGTCGGGGAAACGGCTCTTTCCAGGTTGTTCAACATTGGCTCACTACGTCGCGACGGACCCAGCCGAGGATTGTGATGTGGTGGTGACTGGGGGTGAGCTGGCAGGTTGGCTTCTGCGCTGGCCTGAGCCAGAGGGACACTACCGCACAGGATCTCGGAAAGTGCGAGACAGGTGCTAGACTCAGGCTTCGGCGGGATGAAAATCTGTGCCAGCAGAGAAGGAAGTGCCTCTCGGACACTGGAAACCGAGTACGCTGCGAAGGAGCAGCCTGAATATGTGGGAAGGCGCAACGCACAGTGGCAGAGTGGGAATCTAACGTGTCAACTCCGCTGCAGACCTGGAGACCTGGAGATTCCTCCCTCTCTCTCTCTCTATCTCCAGCATCCTTGCAACAACCAACTGATTCAGATCGCCGAGCAGTTCATACCGATATTCTACCTATCCAGTCCATCGCTAATCAGCATATCGCTGATCAAGATATGTCTGGCTCCGACAATTGGAGAGAGTCCTTCGACTTGCGGAGGTCGGATTCAGCACCACCAGAGAGCAAGGCATCCGAGTTCTTGCAGGATGGGTCAAACCCCTCCTCATAGGATAATGAGGGAGACCGACGCGACTGTATTAGCGACCCTGGGGGGCAGCAAGAGCGTTCAGATTTCGCGTCCACGAGACCGCCCTCCGATCGCCTGCAGACCCTCGGCCCTGCGCAGGAGGATGATGATGACGCCGCGAAAGCCATCCCGGATGGAAAACGTATCTACGTTGGCAATCTGCCGCATGAGGCGATGCCGGAGGACATCGACATGCTGCTGAAAGAGTAGGATCTTGGCCACTATAAGAATATTCACGTCGACATCGACCCGTTCATCGTCCAGAACAAGACCTTCTGCTACGTCGAGTTTCCCGACTCTGCGGCGGCCGATAAGGCAATGGAAGAGCTGGATGGCAAGATGCTACTTGGGCGGGAGGTCAAGTGTGGGCCTTGTCAGTCCGGTGGCCCTTCTGAGGGTATCAATCGCTGGGTCCGATGGTCGGGCGAGAAGGGTGACAGATACCGATACGATCCCAGGGGCAAGCGACTCTTCGTGGTTGGTCTGCCCAGGATTCACGACCGATCGACGCACTTTACTGAGATTAGTGAGCTCTTCAAGGGATTCGAGGTGTAAGTACCAGCTCGCACATTTCCGACACGACTCGGGAGCCTGACTTTCGTCCAGTGTGGCTATCAGCAACCGAAAGGGCAGGAGGGGGCGCCAAGGCTTTTGCTTCGTGGATGTTGCAACTGAAGCGGAGGCTGAGAAGGCCAAGAATGAAGTCAATCACAAGGTGTTCGAGGGCAAACGGTTGTATGTGTCGTACGCAAAAGGGACAGAGCCCATAGAGGCGAGCGAGGAGTCAAATTAAACCGGTGGGCAGTCCGCGGAATGAACCTTCCATAGCCCGCCATGGGCCATGGGTAGTAAGCTTCGCCTGGCTTATTAGAACCAATGATAGCGACAAAACTTGATTAACAAAAAAGTACGAATAGGAAGAGCTTGCAATACTGAATTGATTGATGGAAAGAAAATAGACGTTGTCTATGTTGTTGCTAAGAAATGGACGAGTAAAGATTGGTTGTAAGGTGGTCAATTGGGCTATGAAAGGTTTATCTCGTGGGCTGCCCGACTGGATGTGAAAGTAGATGGATATGACGCTGCTGGTGTCACGGAATCTGCCTGACACTTGGTCAAGCTTTCGGTTTAGCAGAAACACAAAGACAAACTCCTTGGGTGCCGTCGGCGGTCGAAGGAATGCGATGCTTCCATACAGCAATCGAGAAGTTCGCCACGACGACAAGTGGAGATGAGCCCTATGAAGTCTTGCACACGATGGAATACATCCTTCATCTATCCATGGCAGGCAAGGAGCTGCTCCGTAACGCGGAACACGACAATTTGCCATGAGCTCTCCGGACACTGCATCCCCAGGGTAATAGAGCGAGACGAAGTTTGATGGCATCGAGAATGACGAGATGATCCCGCCGATCAAGTCAGATACAAGAGTAGAGCCACGTAAGTCGCATCACTCGCAGAAGCAGAACACACCCAAGAGTGCCGTTGCCATCGCCACAGTTCTAGCAAGGAAGCACGGCTACCATATCAAGATCGGGTGTCGAAACGCGGCGAGCGGCGCCGAGGCGGCATCAGCCCTACTGGCCCGCGGTCCGGGCGGAATGCCAGCTCGTAGATGTATATGTCATTGCGAACATGGTCCTTTGGTGAACCACGACTTGTTGTCGTTGATTCATAATCATCATCCCAAAGTGCTTAGCCTTGCACCTTGGCAACCTAGGCGTCGTCGCCAGTTGGTGAAGGAAGATGCAGACATCTCGACGAGAATTCTTGTACAGACGACCAGACGCACTATTCATGTTGCAGGTGGACACGCCACACCACAACCACATGACATGGACCACCCAACTTCAGTACGTCACCGCATCACACCTTGGTCAATCTGGCTTTCAATTCCATTCCCAGCACTTCGTGCCCATGATTGAGATCTAATGAATTGAGGTAAGTAAGGCCAATCCAAGTTAGCACAGGGACGTATCAGGAAGACTGTGATCCTTGCGTTATTCATGCAGCGCCTCATTAGATAAGGCCCGGGCGGTCTAATAATAAGCATCCTGCTAGGCAGGCGGATGGACATCACCGCCGAGCCCGAAAATCCTCAGCTGAAAGTGTCCGAACCACCCTCCATCTCCCAGCTGAAGCTTTCCTTGGGCTGCGAAGCAGAGAAGGGGACAGCTCATGGTGCCGCGGTAGCCATTGGAAGCACAGTCAGCAGACGATTTGATACTCAGCTGGGGTTTCGGTCCTGTTTGTCACGTCGACATCAACGAGGAGCCGTCTCGACCACACCAACTGTCCCGCGAGAAACCGAGACTAGCAGGTCGGCTATCATATCACAACACGTTCACCCCTAATTGGGTCTCGCGAAGAATGAGTCTTCAGTTATCAGCGAAGCAACAGCTGCGCGACGTGAGTCCCTTTTCACGCCGAAGGTCAAAGTGGCCAGCTCAGGGGCTTCATCGCTACCTACTGCTCGAGGGACTCATCAATCCGTAGGCTCGTACCAGGCAAGATGATTGGACGGGACTAGCAGATGCCGCCGAGCGGAGGCGACGACAGAACCGCCTGCATCAGAGGGCCTGGCGTATGCAGTCTATCCATGTCCAGAACGAGGATACCGAGATATACTTACTCCCATGTGACTCCAGGGCGCCGCAAAGGAACACATCAAGGATCCAATGCCCAGCATGAGACAGAGAACGCACGTCCTGGCGGAACCACTCGGGATATGGACCCAAGTGTCCGTTCCAGGAGAGCAGATGACACACCTCAGCTACCTCTCGTGAACTACTTGACAGCCCATCCTCGGACGGCGGTTATGTCACGTTTGCAGTTGAAGCCATTCTCGTATTGGACTGACCTCAAGGCGCGGCTAGACTCTACGCGGCGGATCGCGCCCCTGGTGATGAAACATCGTTCTATTCTAGATCACGAGCACGAGATCTGCCGCCGGGTGATTCCGCCTAGTGAGTTACCTTCTCCCCTGTGACAGGCGCGACTACTTGCGTTATAAGCTTAGGGTCGCAGTCCCGTCAAATAGGGCAGTCACTAACTCTTTCTGCTATAGTGATACCCTACCTCACTGGCGGTAGCCAATATGAAGACGATGCCATTCCGAAATTCGCCTTCCCCCTGTCCCCAGATCATCAACTGATAGTCATGATTCAGTACAATGTACTGCGAGCCTCGTTGACGAACATGGCTCTATTATCAATGCTTGAGCGCTTGCCTCTTGAGTGCGGCGGTGCCTTCAACATCGCCGACTTCCCATCCCCACCAGACGCCATACCCCCCTCACTGCAGCAGACATGGATCCAGCAGACAACACCGCATGACCCCTGGCTGGACATGATCCCATGGCCGAGAATGCGGGACAATCTTATCACTCACCAAGGCACGTTTGACGAAGATGATCTCTGTGTGGATATGAACGGTGGATTGTATGAAGGATACAATGACACCGTGGTCAACGGCTTGATTGTCTGGGGCGAGCCGTGGTCTGAGACTGGCTGGGAGGTCAGTGAGGGGTTCGCGAGGAAGTGGTCCTTCTTAGTGAGAGGTTGTAATGTGCTGATCGAGACAACTAACAAGTTCAGGGAAGCCAGGGGCGAAGATAGGCTTGTGTTGGAGGTCTAAGAGGGATTCACTCATCGAGGCATGACCAGCTCAAGACAACATTGAAAATGCTTGTGTATGAGGAAATCCCGGCCCAGTGCCGTATCGTGAGACGTCTAGGTACCCTTGTCTGAGACTGCATGATGGCGCTCAACGAGCTAAAAGCTACTGCCTCATGATCTATTACGCTGTCCTGGCTGCTGGTGAAAGGGATAGGTTGAGTATTTGATGCTTCGGCGTACCACACAGAGTACCATACATCTACCTAGTCAATATCAGCGTCTTCTCCCCATGGCCCAACCCCTGGTCCCTTGAACAGCCTGCCGCCTTTCCACACCCACCCAATAGTCTGCTTATCCTGCAGCACCTTCACATCATCAATAGGGTTCTCCAGCAACCAAGTATATCAGCCTCATAGCCGACCTTCAACTGGCCCGTCCTCGCCGCTTGGTCCTCTACACTCAAGGGTCCATCAGCCGTAGCCGCCTTGATAGCCTCCAAGCTGGTCATTCCGGCCTGCACAGCATAATCCAGCTCCATCGCCATGTTAAACCCGGGCGAAGTATCAGTCCCCAACGCGATGGAAACCCCTGCTTCGATCGCCAGCTTGTAAGCCTTCAGATGGTTGCTCCCGCAAAGCCGCGCCTTCTCCCACTGCGGGCGCGACAGCCCCTTCCCGCCGCCCCGCAGCAGCATGTCGACGATGGTGCGCGTGGCGATGTACACCGTGCCCTTCTCCCTGATCAGGTCGATGCACTCGCGGTCCGCAAACGAGACGTGCTCGACCGTGCGGACCCCGGCCCGCACCGCGGCTAGGATCCCCGGCTTGCCGTGCACGTGGGCGGCGACGACGCGGTGCTGGCGCGCCGCCTCCTCGACGATGCACGCCAGCTCGTCGGCGCCGAACTGCGCGTACAGCGGGTTGTCGTCGCGCGAGAGCACGCCGCCGCTCGCGAAGACCTTGATGCAGCGCGCGCCGCGGCGGATCTGCAGCCGTACCGCGCGCCGGCACTCGTCCACGCCGTCGACGAGCATGCTCTGTGAACTGCCCCAGTGCCCCGGCCGGGCCGCACCGGCGATGCCGAAACTGAGGTGCGCGTCGCCCGCCGGCAGCGCGAAGATGTCACCGTGCCCGGCTGTCTGGCTGAGACAGGCGCCCGCGCTATAGACGGTCGGCCCGACGATGGAGCCGTCGTCGATGGCGCGGCTGACCTCGCACCCCCCAGCCCGCGACGTCGCGGAGCGACGTGTAGCCGCGCTGCAACGCCTCCCAGCACCCCTTCGCCAGGCGCGCGCCCGAGAGTGCGGGGTGCTGCGCGTACATGGACACGTTGTCACTCTCTTCAGCGTCGGGGCCCTCGCCGCCGAAGTGCGCGTGGCAGTCCCATAGCCCGGGCATGAGGAATGGGATCGCGAAGGTGCGGTGTGGCGCGTCGGTGTACATGGACGGCACGTGCGATTGCGCGCCCACCCAGGCGATCACCTTGTTCTCGATCACGAGGGCGGCGTCTTTGGTGGGGGTGCCGTCGCCGGGGATTAGGAGGCTGGTGTTGATGATTGTGTACACGCACTTCTTAAGCGAGGCCTCGGCATCTTCGTCCTCGTGGCTGGGAATATTGATACCGTCATCATTGGCTTTCGGCCTTATCGCGATGCCGAATGCCGTGGAGTAGATGCGATCTGGCAGCTCTTCCGCTGGGGGCTGTGTCAATTCCCGCGGTGATGGCTTCTCCTCAATTGATCTTTTCGTCATTCTGTCTCACGTAAGAGTATTATAGCGACACCTACTGCATTTTACTACCTTAGACAATGCAAGATGGAGTTGGGTTGGTCAAGTTAGCCTTCGTCAGCAAGGTAGGAGATGAGTACCGAGGTGTAGATGCACGATCTCCGCATTCAAAGCCGATGCCAAAGACGGAAGGTCGTCCCGAACAGCTCAGGGGTCGTAGGTGAGGACACCCAGTTGGTCTCCTAGCCTTTGCTGTGTTGATGGTAGCATCATCTGCTAGAACCGGCTTTACTGTACACAAGAGGTCGAGGAGCCTGCTATAGCAAACCCCTTCACGGCGGCCAAGTCTCAAGAAAAGCTCAGGACCATGTTGTTGCTGACCCCTCTAAGCAGTTGAGCGGGTACGAGGGGATGCATGTCCACTCTAAACGAAGCAGCCATCTCGATGCTCGTCCCTTATAGAATCACTCATAGATGGTCGACGATAGCCCGCGATTCCCAGCTCTGGATGAGAAGATTGGCTAGAACGTATCCTGCAGTGGCCTCTTCGGTGTCAAGCGCTACAGAGAAACCTCAACTTCGGTTCGGGAAGCTTGATGTCGCAAGGGCCGAACGATTATATATTACAATACTCCGTAGTGCTTTCGACATGGGAAAGTTTGAAATCGTCAACAGTAACTTCGGGCTCCTGACTTCGTGCCTGTTCTACATGCACCGCCCAACCACCTTTCAAAATGCGGTTGAAAATCTCTCTACCTGTCGGACTTGCCTTCCGCCCTAGATGTTCCAAAGCTGGATCAGGTACGAGCTATAGCTACGGAGTCATGATATAAAGAACGGAGTACGGTATATTTCTTGTCTTCTTAGAACCTCATGGGTTCCTACTATCCACAAAACCACAAGTGGTTAATGGGTTATTTACTCACCGCTGAACTTCTTTCCCCGCCTCCTGACATGGATGGATGAGGTATGCTGTTCATGCTAGCATGCTTCTCACCCCGATTTCCGTATATGCTGTTGCCCTGAATTTGAAGGCACACTGCAGAGTGACAACCAAGTGTGGCTTGCCTTGCCCGGGAAGCCAGCGTGTGGCAAATAACTATCTAAACTCTGTATCGCCATAGACCGGGCTTTGACGAAGACTATTCGATTTTCGTATCGGTCAACCTCGCTTGAGGGACACCCCATATCAAGCACCTGGCGTACCTGGCATCGCCGTCCTTCCACATAGCCTACGTAACGTGCGCCGGGTGCAGGGCAGGATGATACCTAATCACTAAACAGGCTGTTAGCTGGAGGATGTCATGCTTCAAGGAGTTGACGATAGATTGGGACGCTGCTATGATGAAAGCTTCAAGAAACCCTTCTTGCACCACCCCTAGATTGGAAACTTGTACCCAGGTCGCCAGATCCCAGCCGAGCTCATGAGACAAAGGAGCGGATCGCTCATTCAACCGCCATGGAATGAATAGTGGCATAGGTAGCTACGTAGAAATCAAGCTCAAGTTATATAATAAAGAGCATGTTCGAAGACGGACATGATAAGACGCTCTCCGACCGTTATCACCACCAACTTCTAATTCCACGGGATGATGTCTTCCGCCTTCAACGCCCGGGCTCGCACACCTCCCTACACACCTGTGAGTACATCAGAGTCCTGTTTCCACAGGCGATCTCGCTGATATTTGTGACTGTTGCCTAGTCCCGAGATGGTGATGCCCGTGATGCCCACTCAAGAGACACTGTAGGGTTCAAAACGACGTAAGTGACGGTACAACAAGGAAGCCAACACAATTTCCGAATCCTCGAACGTTAAAGTTCTTTTCTTGCACTCATCCTAGGCTTATAAGTAAGCAGGTATCCTGATGACTTCTTGAACTCGCCAGCTCTTATGATCGAGTACGGAGACCTCTTTCACGGGAAGAGACGGACTGAAACGGCCCGAACGGCTACCCCTTTCGGTACATTTTTCCTGCCAAGCTTCAACCACTACCGGTAATCAGACGCCCCTGTACTATTGCATCCTGCCCTTGCTGCAGTAGTGGGACAGTCCCCAGTGATGAAGCTTTGCAAAACCTGGGTGAGGTGCGGCACAGCTGGGGCAGTCGTATTAACGCTGGTTTTACAACGTGGTACCGGGCGATCTGGGTTGTAGTTTTAACGTCACGACCCGAACTCTAGAGATTCGATGAGACTCGCAGCTGAGAGGTTGACATGACGTCTTGCAATTGTCGGAAATTTCTCAAGTCTACGGTGTGAGCACCTCGCTTACCGTATGAGAAGCGACACAACAGATGACCCTCTTCGAGGCAGGCCAATTGTGCAAGCTCCAGTTTCGGTTCTCATATCAAGAGGGCCAGCCGCAGGGCTCTTTCGGGGCTACACGACATGCGATATCGTCTAAAAGTGCCCCGAGATCGAACGGCATCGCGTGCGTACCGCATGATGCATCGCGCGTGGCGACCCCGATTTGTCTTACCAAACAACAACCAGCGTCAGCGAGCTTGTTGACGGTCAACCTTGCGCGAGCAGCTTGACATCGACATGAGAGAAGTCACAGATAGTCATTGTCGTGCGTGCCGCGTGCCAGTCCCAGTTCCCAGGCTTCAGCTGGTCTCATTTCATAAAAAAGGGCCCGGCGGTGGGTCTCTCTGGTGTATCCTTGCAAGTGACCATCAAAACTCCACAGGGCTAGTCGCCGTTGAATCCAACCGTTGAAAATCTGCCAGCCTTCTGCCAACCTTCTAGTAATAACCTCACGTGGGGGTCTATTTCCCCTTCAAAATGACTGCAAACTGGCAAATCCATACTGTATAAGTTCGAAGTCACGTGCGATAGCGTTGCTGGCAAATGTCAATCTGTGAGAACAAGCCACGGTCTGTTGCTCTCGCGGGGTTAGTGCCCTGTCAGCCGTTGACGGTCAGAGGCTACCATGGACGTTCCCTTCTTGGTACGGATGCCACACTGACTGCCGAACCACGGGGCAGCCACGAGGAACTGACATCTCCATATTCACACCCTCCTTGCCTCCTCGACCCTCTTCATTGGAAATTCCCTGCGTGGGTAATGAGCAGTGGAAAGGGTGAGCAGAGCTGCCGGCTGCAGGTGGCATTGCGATCAGCCTTCTTCTGCCGAATCTGGTCAGGCAGCGAGGAAGACCCCTGGGGGTGCATCTGGGGCACTCATCAACCACAACTTTCCACAAGCACGCGGCAGGTGCTCCGATACTCCACTTCAATTCCCGAAAGAGTCGTTCGTGAAGAGCTTCGACCAACGGAATGACGGTGACACCGCCCTCGCCGCCTGTTCCATGGCTTCGGGACAGCAGCGATCATTGCCCTTGCTTTCAAGACCCACAGCCCGAACCCGCAGGATGCCTGCCATTGCAAGACGTTGGCGGATGAGCCCCTGAGGTCGCACGGGGGAGCAATGTCCATCGCTATTCGGAGTCCTTGACCCAGTGACGGTATGGGGAACATCGCCAAATTACTCGCTGATGATGTACGGTAATGGAGCCTGTAGCCAGGAGAAGTCTGCTGGGATTAGGGGCGCAGTCGATGGGTATATATCCGTCGTGACCAGTCCTGCTGCTCGGTGATTTCTCTTCCTATCTCCTCATCCAGCCAAGCAAGTGTCTATCACTCAGTCGTTCTTTACCAATCCAACTCAGTCACTCTTTACCACACACAACTACTCTTCAGCCCCACACGCCTCACCCGTACCTATCACCGAAATCACGATATCAATAGCCAAAATGCAGTTCACCAGCTTCGTTGTCGCCGCCCTCTCCGTTGGCTCTGCCTTCGCCGCCCCGGCCCCGGCCACCCGTGACATCCAGATCGTCGACACTGCCCTGAGCGCTGTCAGCAGCATCAAGGCCCTCGTCGAGGCCGAGCTGTCCAGCATCGGTACGCTTCATTATGCCATTTCCACTAGTCGCAAGCAGTGCAGCAGCTAACCCTACCCTCAGAGTCCGTTGTCCAGAACGCCGTCGGTCAGGACGTCGTCCCCATCCTCGAGAAGACCCTCGGCAACGTCGGCCAGGAGGTTTCCAGCCTCCTCACCGTCGTCCTGCCCCTGGTCACCAAGGACGTCCTGCCCCTCGCCGAGAACGAGATCGCCAACGTCCCCGCCCTGCTCAACGAAGTCCTGTCCATCGTCGACGGCATCTTGGGCATGGCCGAGGACCTCGTCGAGAAGCTTGTCCCTGGTATGAGCCTAGCCCTCGATACGTGCTGTCGATATACTAACGGTAGTTCCAGATGTTCTTGCCATTGTCAAGCCCGAGCTCTCTTTCGTCCTCAACACCGTCATCCCCGTCGTCAAGCCCGTTCTGAAGTTCGCCACCTCTGCCGTCGGCGACGTTGTCACCCCCGTTGCCAAGGAGGTCACCGGCCTGGTCGGCCAGGTTGACTCCGTCGCCTCAGGTATCCTGAAGCCCATCGGTGGCGTCGTTGTTGCCATCCTGTAAAGGGTGACGACTACCAAGGGTTGACACGAGACATGTGGTCTAGCGATAGATGTGATGCTTTGTATTATACAAGTTAATTTATAATATCCTGGTGTGAGCTGGCAGTGTCTTTGAACCTCGTTTGTGGACCTGTCAGCCCATGGCCAGGTATATCTTTTCACATGGAATCAATGCGCCCGTTGTCTACTTCGCGTGTGTGCCAGTAGTTGACCATATTATTATGTTGAGTGAACTAGTACTCAACCTGTAAATCATCCAACCATAACCAAGTCATGCGCCTTGTTCTATGAAGCGGCCGTCTGGTCTTGGTCAGCAATGGTACTGATTTGGCTCTATTTCGGAGCATCTGCTCGCGATGACGGTTGGCTACAATCAGCGGTTACACCGTTCATCTTGTTGTGCCCAGTTGCTGCAGACATGGTAGATGTGACTCGATGAGCTTTTCTCTCCCATGATCGGGTGACAGATCGACTCATGAGCAAGGCCCGGGAGTAGCTACAAGCAGTGCAAGGTCTTTGTCTTTACATTACTTTCGCTCAAGATGAACTGGTACAAGCCAACGCAGCTAGAACGCCTCGACAAGGGTAAATTTGCTGCCTTCTTTCTCCTGCATCGCTCTAATCGCGGTCAGCAAATCGTCGGCCGGGTTCCGCGTAGTTTATTAGGAGTTGAAGCACTCCCCAGCTTAAAATTCAAGTCACTGGCAGTGCAGATATTGGGGCCGAGTCGCACGACCCTCATATTGCGTGACGGTTAAGTATATGCGACTACAGATATCAGGGATGGTAATTGTTAGCGTCTCCATATACTGGGGGCCGTACTTTGCCTGCTAGATGTGCTCAGAATATACATGGTGATCTGCACTGTTGTAGAGTTGGTCACTTCCCATTATGTTCTAGCATACGAGATACCATCACATACGGACCCAAAGCCCCCCAGCATATGGAGACGCTCACAATCACCATCCCCGACATCTGTAGTGGTAATCATTACTTTGTACGCCCCGAAATAAGCAAGAGCAAACCAATATGGGATATCAAGAACGTCAATCGTGTTTCCGATCGAATACATGCAGGTGTACTTGAGAGCATATTGGAGATTGTCGAAGTGATGGAGTGAGAGTATTTTCCGAAGGGAAGGGATCGCTGAGTTTTAGTGCACGGACCCGTGGCTACAGAACTCTCCCAGGGCATTCACAGTTCTGCAGAAACCGTGCACCCTCGCCCACTTCTCTCTTCTCTCAAGATTGGCAAGTGTGACTATCTTGCTGCGTCCACACACGAAGGCTCGTGACTCGACATGGCCGACGACCTCACCCCCGCAAGTTTGAGATTCCTTTCAGATGCCGCGCACCTGCTTGCGACAAGTGCCCCGCAAACCTCAGCGCATCTCATGATCCAACGGAACTCACTGATGTTCAGCCATGATATTCCCCAGTCCGATGCCCAAAGACAGCACGTTTGCGGCTCATGTGGTCACATCATGATCTCTGGTCAGGTTGATGTCCTCGACATAGAATCTGACGAGGCCAGACGAAAGAAAATCGCCTCTCAGGGGAAGTCGGTGAAGAAAGACGAGCCCAGGAAAGGCTGCCGGAAACGGGTCACATGCGGATCGTGTGGCAGCTATACCAAAATCAATCTTCCACCGGCCAATGCAATCACCAGACGTCGGCTGAAACAGTCGTCCAGATTTGCTGCTGTGGCCAATACGCCTTCCATCAGCACTCCGTCTAATCACTCGCCAGCGCCTCCTTTAGAGGTTGCTAGGCCTTCAGCCAATGCCAGCAGTAAGAAGAGGGCAAAGAACCGAAAACAAGGCCTTCAGGCTTTGCTACAGCAGTCTTCAAACGCCAAACCTTCAGTAGGACTTGGTCTGAGCCTTGCAGATTTCATGAAGAAGTAGTGACGGGCAGGTACCGATGACTCTACGCCGAGTGTCAGATATCTCACTACAAGTATTCTGGGCTGTCTGCTATGGGAAAGCTTCCAGGCCTGTCGAGAAGCTTGATAGGGGCGTGGAGCTGAATGTGTCATAACCCCGCGCTACCGCAGCAATTGCCCCTCCAAATTTTCTAGATTAGACAAACGCCCAATATTTCCACCGTCTATCCCACCATCCATCCCACCACGCACCGAGTCCTCAGTTCTCGACAACAATCACCCAACTCCTCGCGACTTGAACAAAGGAAACTTGCATAATGTCAGCACTCGACGATCAACCGACGACGAGCGTCGTTACCCCGACCGACTTCTTCGAGTCCATCGGTCAGAAAGCTGGCCAGCTCGCGCCGGCCGCCGATGCGACAAACGGGGTCGCAAACGAGACCGATGAGGAGGACCGCGTTGTCGAGCAAGTAGAGTCACTTTGCATGAACTGCCACGAGAATGTATGTCGCAGCATGCTCCAGCAAACTGCCACATGATAGCAGCTGACTGACTTGACCAGGGCATGACACGCATGCTCCTCACAGCCATTCCCTACTTCCGCGAAGTCATCCTCATGTCCTTCTCTTGCGACAAGTGCGGCTTCTCCAACTCCGAGATACAATCTGCCGGGACCATTCAACCCAAGGGCTCAAGCTACCTACTGCGGTTGACCGCCATGCAGGACTATGAGAGGCAGGTCATCAAGTCCGACACCGCTGTCGTCAAGTTCATCGAATTGGACCTCGAGGTTCCTGCCGGGCGTGGGCAGCTTTCCAATGTCGAGGGCATCCTATCCACCATAATAGATGATCTGGAGATTGGTCAGGAGGCGCGCAAGGAACAGCTACCGGACGTCTACACCAAGGTTGCCGAGATCATCACCAAGGGTCGAGCTATGCTCGCGGGTGACGCCTTCCCATTCCGCCTCTCCGTCGATGACCCGGCTGGTAACTCGTGGATTTCCCCCAACATGAGAGATGGTGTTGGCAAGTGGGAGAAGCGAGACTATGTCCGAACCCCTGAGCAGAATGAGGCTCTTGGGCTGGCCGCGACCGACCCACTGGCTGCCATGTCGACCGCAGAGGAGGATATCGTACCAGATCAGGTCTATGAATTCCCTGCTTCATGTCCTGGCTGTATGCACCCTTGCACCACCAGGATGAAGATGGTCGACATTCCGCATTTCAAGGCCGTGGTCTTGATGTCCACAGCCTGCCAAGACTGTGGATACAAGTCGAATGATGTCAAAACCGGTGGCGCCATCCCTGAATTAGGCAAGAAGATCACCCTGAGGGTGGAGAGCGCCGAGGACCTTGCTCGGGACATACTCAAAAGTGAAACCTGTGCGCTGGAATGCCCCGAGCTCAACCTACAGGTTAACCCAGGAACACTGGGAGGTCGGTTCACCACAGTCGAGGGTCTCCTGACGCAGATCCGGAATGATCTGAACTCACAAATATTTGAGACGGGAGTGGGAGCGGGAGGCGATTCTATTGCCGCTGATGACCGAGCACAGTGGACTGAGTTCTTCGGCGGGCTTGATGCGGCTATCAAGGGCGAGAGAAAGTTTACCATCATCCTCGCCGATCCCTTGGCAAGCAGCTACGTCCAGAAAGCTGTCGACCTTGACCAAGATGACCCACAAATGACCACTGAGGACTATAAGCGGACCGAAGAAGAGGAGGAGGAGCTTGGCCTGCTCGACATGAAGGTTGAAGGCTATGAGGAAGATCACAAGAACAGCCTAGATGCGGCTCAATAGCACGTTGCTGAGTGCAAGGCGTGGTGATCTCCCGTTTTTTGGCGTCAAGATACCTGTTTAGATTTTGAAGCAATACCGGAGCGTACCTGATCGGTTCTTGCCACCGCTAACATAAGCAACTTCTCGGAACCACTCATGTTGTCCGACCTCAGTACGTGACGTGTACACAGCTACGCTTCAGCAAACACCTTGTGTGCGACATAACACAGCAGTTCGTTCGTTTCGGGGTTACTTGGCAAGCACAGGAAGTTGTGTCTGCCCCTATATCTCTCGAAGCCGTGCGTTAGGTACTCGCCTCATTTGTTCTTCCCTTTGCCCTCTGCCATCTTCTGCCCTATGCCACCTTCTGCACTCTGCCATCTTCTGCCATCCTCCAACACATTTGGAATCTCAATTTATCACGATTCCACCCCTTTTTGGGACCTAGCCTACCGTCCCAGGACAGTACACAATGGAGACCTCTTGCCTATCTAGCAAATGGTATCGTGCACTGATCAGCCCGAATATTAGGCTACTGCGCGTCGCTTGCAATACGGGTGATTCACCTGTTGAGGGGCAACTACATGTCGTTTCCTTGGGACTCAAGCCCGAAGTTCATTGCTCCCTCATACGTATGGGGCGACGAAGACGATTCACGATCGATGGTTCTCGACGGGCATTTGTTCGTCATCACCAATAATCTTCATTCAGCTCTCTTAGCCATCGCGACCGATGCTGCTCTGGTCACCGACTTCTACTTCTGGATCGACGCCATCTGTATCAACCAAGCTGATATCGACGAGAGGAGCACGCAAGTCCCTCGAATGGCAGACATTTACAGTCCGGCTTATTCGGTATTTGGGTGGCTGGGGAACACCGGTCATCTTGGCGCGGACGTTGGGTTGTTATTCGAGGAGGTTACATCACACGGGAAACTCTACGACGAACTTCGCCAATTCCTTGACGAGGGTTTTTCATTCCCCTGGGAGACAGAGCAGTTGACTCGTAAGCTTGGATCGAAAAATGGTCTGCACATTCCTGGCTCTTGCGTGGCGGCCGTGGTTCTCCAGGATCTGGATTCGGCAGGAAATTGTGCTAGGGGGAGTGTGGCCGATACTTGTCTCAGGTAAACATCGGACCAGTCTTCGAGATTTCATCCTCTTCTGGTTTGTCTTAGACAACGACGACAGTGGAAACCACGACAGTACTCCGTTGGAACTACTCCAGATATACCACTCGAGGCGTCTCGTACACTCCGGATCTCCTTCAAGCCTTCCAAGTGCCGCTCATGCTCTTATTGTAGCGCTTTTCGCCACCATTGACGCCCAGTCAAAGCTTGCCCACGACCGGATTTACGGCACTTTGGGACTGGTCGGGAAATTCATCAGTATGAACAACTGCGCCACCCTACCAGTTGAGCTCACTCCCAATTACCGTCAACCATTTGATAGGGTGTGCCACCAGTATGCGGTTTACATTCTGCAAGAGACTCGTGATCTGAGGCTTTGGCGCACCTTTCGAAGGCAGATTTGCGGTGTTCCGTCATGGGTGCCCGATTTCCGATATGCTAGTCGCATCGACACCGACATGAGATTCGACTTGAAGGCACACTTGAGCTTTTCGGTGAGCAAAGACAGCCTGATCATTGAAGTATGCACCTTGGGCACTTCCCACAGTTCCCTGGGGGTGAAATTGATGAGAAGGCGCTACGGAATCGCATATCGGAATTCGAAAGTCTCATCATCGCACCTTCGGCAGCCAGAACGAACTCTTCGTTGGAGCAGACACGCCAAAAGTGGTCGGACAGTGCTAGCCATATAGTTCGGGACGGACCTACTTCATGTCTCAAGTGGTACGACGAATTGCGACTCAAAGCGCAACTGCCTGACGAGTTACTCGGAAGCCAGTTGGACTACATTGGCGGTCGGGACCACCATGATTTTACTAAAGTCATATATACTTTAACGAAGCAGCATGTTCTATGCGAAGACGGCCAGATAGCGGCTGGCTACAGGCAAGATGCCATGGTACGGAATGGTGACGTCTTGTGCCGTTTTAGGGGTGCTTATGAGCCTTCGCTACTCCGCCCCACGGGTCTACCTCACGAGCCGTACGAGTATATTAGCCAGTGCCGCGTGATCTACGATCCTCTACTCGACGTCGATGCTCACCACGCATTCTTCCTGGAGCATCCTACTACATCATTCACTCTCATATAAAGACCAAATGCGCGAGCAAAGGAAGGAAGAAAGTTCGTCGGCTTACACATAGTCGGCTTCTATACAACTTCTTCAACCCTCTTGCGGACCAGCATCATCAATCCGAAACTGGCGAGGGTGGGCATATCGAACGGGGTGACTTCCTCGACGATGGAGAAGTCCTGGATGAAGTGGTCGAAGTTCATCTGCGGCCCTAGCTGCTCGATACCCAGGCCCACCAGGTCTCATGGATATTGGGTTTTCGTCTTCGCATTACGACACTTATTCGCTGTAAGCGCCAAGCTTTCTTCTCACGGCCAGATTGCTGCAGCGTTCCTATTCCAGCAAGCGAGACGTATATTGGCTTGGCAGCTGAGGTGAGAATCTCTCCGTTCATGTCGACTTATGACTCTGACGGTACCTGCACATTCTCTTGGAAGTAATACGTTGTTCCCTGTTTCTCACATCTTACGATATACGACTCTGCAGGATCAAGCGGGTGCTCGTAACGATTGACTTACCAGGCTGCCGCTCCGGCCATCTTCCAACACAGCCCAGCTACTGAGGGAAACCAAAATGGCGCTTCAGACCGCTTTTGAACCGACGCTTACGTCGCCGGCCATCGTCACCTCGCCACCGACAGCACAGTTCACACCCGGCCCCGGTTGCATCGGCACGGAGGATCACTGGGTTGTGGTTTCCAGTTGCTTTGCGGGCGCCGTCGGCGATGTCTCTGGCCTGTACCCTTCTCCTGACTGGCTGACGTGCCAGTTGACGCAATTCGGCCCTCCGGTATTTGGCCCCGTAACATCATGTTATATGCCATACTCGGCTGAGGCCACCGTGGACTACACCGAATGTCCCTCCGGCTATAGTGGAGCGACGACCAAGCACTACACGTACTCCGATGGACTCTGGACTGACTACGATATCCAGTGCTGCCCAACGTAAGCGTGGAAATGCGGCTTCTACTTACAATAATCTAGCCCGACTGACTCAATTTTTCTAACAGACAATACTACTTCAACGTCCGCGACCTCTACACCGGCGGTCTCAAGTCGTTCACGACGGAGCGCGATGGGCTGACCTGGACGGGCGGATACCCCGTACCGGGGTGCGCCGAATCGTACATAACGGAACTGTCGGGCAGCGAAATCCCGGTGGTGCAGACGGCGTACAACACCAACGGGTGGGAGAAGCGGCAGCTGGTCAACGTGCCGTGAGACTACGAGCGCGATACCATGTACGCGGTACCGCAATCCTACGGCTACACTGTCTTCCAGCAAACCCACACGTGCTATCGGGACTGTGAAGGGTGGTACGACTACTACGTTTCGGGCAGTGCTGCACCCTTAAATGGCGGGCCGGAGACAACTCCCATTGGGGAACCAGGTACGACTACTGCTTCTTCGTCAAGCGACAGCGAGGTTGAGACCATCCCCTCGGTTGAAGAGTCTCTTCCCCCCGAGGAAACTGCTGGGCCCTCCGTCTCGACTGCAGACCCAGGGCTCACATCCAGCTCAGCTCAGGAGGGCGTGTCCACCACTACTTCTCCAGATGAAACGGGAGCCACACTCACAATTAGTGAGAGCAATGGGGTCACGGCATCTTCGCCATCCTCGACGATTTCTGGTGCGTCACAGGCGCTTGGTGCGGTGGTGGCTCCAAGCTGTCTCGTTATACTTGGTCTTTTTGCGTCGTTGATAGCATTATGAGCCTACCTCGGTTCCGGCTCTGTTGGGTGTGAAAGTGTTGTTATTCTGTGTTATTAGGATGCGATAGCGGTGACTAAAGCCGACAGGCCAGCCATGACTTAAGGCGGCGGCCCGTATTGTGTCTCTTGAGTGGCGTTTGAATCTCCGAAAAATGCATCGTGGGCGAGAGTGAAAGGGACGATCTTGACTTCAACCCGAAACATCTCCTCCTGGGTTCCTCTGCTGATGACTTACACGATACCCCTTTCAGCGTACAAGATTCAGCCACACTCTAACATTGCCTCCTATAGACACATTGCCGTTTACTTATAGACAACTAGCCATCTTGTTGCGGCGCAGAAAGCAAGGCGGCACGTGGTAGAAGTAAGGGGGTGATGTGAGCATTGGTATATGCAGTCGGGTCCATTCAGTATTACCCGCCAATCCTCGGTATCATCAATGCACACGCCCTCCTGCATGAAGCGAGTTTAGCCAACTGCATGGAGCATCCAACTGCATAAAGCCTGACACATCCTCTACCAACAACGAGCGAACAGTGCTGTTTCTGTCATCAGAGGCACCGAAATACTGTAATTCTAAAATCCACCCGATTCCATTATCCTCCTTGATGTAACCGCAGTTCTCGAGGCAACTCCACAGCTTCATCCCCCTTTCACGGCCTAACCACATCTGCGCCCATTCAAAATGGTAGCACCCATCCAACACGAAGCGCTGGCCGAGCATATTGAAGCCATACTCCGGAACCCAGAGGCCATGAAAGACGAGAGGCTACGACGGCGTCTATCCGAGGGCGGTCGCAAGCTCGGTATCACTCTAGAGGACTCCGGTGCTACGCTGCGCAGAGTCGGCTACGCGGTAAGCCTTCATCGCGTCCACGACCCGCGTCGTGCTATCTCATTACGACCACTTGTCCACTAGCACTTTCAGAGCGCACTCGCTCGTACCGGCATCGAAGCCGGCGTATTTGCCGTTTTGGAGGCTGAACTAGACAGACAGTTCACCAATGGGGAGCTGGCAGAGAAGACGGGGGTCGACCCGAAGCTCTCAAGTATGTTCGCCGTCATACGGGCTGGGGATGAGCCAAGAATGTTAACGAGTCATAGAGAGACTGTTGCGCTATTTCCAGTCTCAAGATATCGTTTCTCAGCCCAGTGTCGATGGCTACAGGACCAATAACGTGACGCGGGTTCTGGGAAGCAGCGGCTACGGCACTTCGCTACTGTTCTTGTGGGTACCGTAGGGCTAGCTTTACTGCTATCGCAGTGACCTAAGGGGAAACTGACATTCCGCAGTGTGAAGGTCATGGCCCCGGCCGTGATGGCAATCCCAGACTTCCTCAAGAAGCAAGGCTACAAGGACCCCAACGGGGTGACCCCGGGCGCTTTCCATCTGGGTCATCGCACCGATATGCACCCGTTCGCCTGGGTGCACGACCACCCGGAAATGATGGCGCTATTCCTTCCCCTGGATGGGAATACAGCGGGAAGGGCGACCAAGCGTATTCGACGTCGTAGACTTCGAGAACGACTTGGCGCGGGGGGCGACGAGCTCGACTCCTCTGTTCGTGGACGTCGGTGGTGCCACGGGCTCCCAATGCGTTGCCTTTCGGCGGCGATACTCCAACCTAGTCGGGCGTGTTATCCTGCAAGATGTGCCGCAAGTCGTGGAGCAGGTTATGGCGCATCCGCTTGACGGCTTTGAGAACATCGAGGTTGAGGCGCAGAATTTTCTCACGCCGGAGACGGTGAAAGGTAAGATCATCCCGCGCCCCGATCCGCACAGGAGCCCTCGCTGACGAGGTACGAATCTAACTTACTATACAGGGGGTCGAGCGTACTACTTCCGGAACGTGCTCCACGAATGGCCCGACGAGAAGGTCGTCGAGATCCTGGTCAACGTCAAGACGAGCATGGCCGACGAATCGGTCATTCTCATCGACGAGGCTGTCCTTTCAGAGCGCGGCTGCCCGTGGAGAGCGGCGCAGCAGGACATGGAGATACTGGCGGCCTTCTCGGCATACGAACGCACCGAGGCTGAATGGAGAAGCCTCGTCGAGGACGCAGGGCTAATGGTACGCGATGTGCGAAAGTACACCGAGGAGTACGAAGATACCGTGATAGTCGTGGGTCTTACATAGTCCGGAGTCCATCTTCTCTTCTCTTGCTCTCTTTCCAAGCTCCTGTTGCCAAGATCCAATAGTGCACAAGGATACAAATCCCCTGTACTAGGGATTACTGCGTGATGTGGGAAATATACGCAAAGGAACGTATAGATCAAGAAAAGGGGGAGAAAGTAAGATGCTTCTGGTTAATAAGAAGAAATAACTTTTACTTATTGATCTATATGCTGTCAAGGGAACACCCCTTGGAACAACCAGACGGGCAACACTCCTGCTGTTTTTAGCAACATGTGTGCCAGACATGACCCCTGACTAATTGCAGTTCTCGGAATTTGGACGCGCTCCAACGTCACGAGAGCTCGGTCAAGACAAGAGACTTCGTAAGATTAGGACGAGCCTCTGGATATATCAACCCCATTAGGGAGGGACCTGTTCCGTTGACACGGATTCGCCCTCATATCGAGGCCGGAAAGCCCTCAACACCCAGCTCTCAGTATCCAGCTCCCATATCTCCTCGTCCACATCGACCCATTGTCCGTCTTCGATCTGCCTCCGGACTTCCTCCCAATCCAACGGACACACCGGGATAGGTCCGTCGGCCAGCCAATTTCGCCCCGGCTCAGGCATTTCCGGTTTCCTCAAGGCGGACGCTTCGGCATCATCGATCCTCGCCGGCTCCTCCGTTCCCCGAGATTGCAGCCGCCCCTTGAGGTTTTCAAAGTCCGCCAGCTTCTCGAACGTGCCGTCGGCGTGCCGTTCGACGATGCCGTACTTGTTCAAACCGTACATGAACTCGTAGACGATACCCCCGGAGAACACACGCGTCATCTCCGGGTGCGTGTAGATGCAGGTGGTCTCGTGAAAGGTTCGGGGCATATTCAAATTTGTGCCGTATTCCGAGAAAAAGACTGGAATGTGCGTCTTCGAGAAATTCCTGACCTGTGCGGTATTAAGAATTGGCTCCGAGTATTCATGGAACGGGGCACCAAACGGATATCTCAAGGTCGCGCTCTTTCTTACCTTGTTTTCATAGCCCGATACTGTGTACGACGACTCCCCAGCCCAAGAGTAGTTGTTGAACTATCAGATGCGCCAAGTCAGCCCTGCACTTCAACAACAGGACTCACAGCCGATTTAGACGGGCTAACAGACGACGCACAAATCATACAAGTTCAAGTGGCACACTCACCGAAAAGAAGTCGATAGCCTCCTCCTCAGGCCCCGCGCTGAAGTAGTCAAACTGCAGCATCTGGAAACTCAGTACGTCTACAGCGCTGATGCCGACGGGCAGGACGCGCTGCCCGGCCCGGTCCGCGGCCTCGGCCATGTACCTCTTGACATCTCGCGTCAGGGCGCGGATCACGGGCGCGGCGCGCGTCGACTGCGTCGTGCTGATGACCTCGTTGGAGACGATGACGCCCAGCGTGTTCGGGTACGCGGCCACGGCGTCGACGGCCCGGAAGGTCTGTTGCAGCAGGTCCACCGTGTACGACTCGTACGGCGCGATGCGGCTGATGGCGCGGCGCGGGGTAGAGAGGCCCTGGAAGCACCGTCACGACCATAAGTTATGGGCCATGATACATACATACGATTGGGAATGGTCACCAGGTTCAGGAATCAGGACCTACTAAGAGCACGTAGATGCCGGCCTCGGCCAGCAGGTTCATGGCTTCGTCATGGTTCTTGGTCTCGTCGATGGAATCTGTGGTCTCATGAGACTATATGTCCCCGTACAGTGGTGAGGGGGTCATGTCATACAGATGAACAGCGTGTTGAGTCCCAGCTCTCTGAACAGCGGGATGCAGCGCCTGAGATCTTCCAGCTGGTCGTCCGCTAATGGATCTGGACTGCCCGCGGCGCCCTTGGGGCGGTACTGCTGGTATACGACACCATTGACGAGGAACTGCGACTGTGTTAGTACCTAGGTGGTAGGGGGTCGGGTTTGGAACATGGTGCAGACTCGCTTGTCGCCCTGCCAGAAATACCGCCCCTTGATCGTAATTAGTGTCATCGAGTCAGCCATGTTGAAGGATCTTAGGATCTCACGAAGCTGACTGGTATTGTTATGGGAGTATCGAGCTGACGGGTGCCTAATCCGCATCTCTCTAGTCCCGTCATAGGCTACTCAGTCTCCACCTTGAGGATGTCCAATGAGACCGGAATCTCATAATCTCACCGGGGTCACCACTGGGTTGTGGACGATCCAGACTTCTCATCACAACTTCACTGATTCAGACGTAGACCGTACTGTGTCTGAAGACCATGTCGAGTCTGGCTCTTGCTCTATGCGTGAGTGAACTCCATTTAACGATGGTAGTGTCTGGCCCCTCGATATTCATAAGAGACGCTGCCTCCAGCCATACAAATTGCATAAACATGGATCGATGAGGGTATACAATGTGCCACCAGCGCCTGATCATACATCCAGTATGCCACTCCAAACCAGACAAAGCTCCCAAGCAGACCATAATCCCAACCGTGACTCCAGACTACCGAAGCGCCTCGCTTTTCCCAGCCAATTCCTGAAACCCCATCTCTAAACCCTGAAGCGCGTTGAAAATGCGACAGCGCCATGACCCGATCCGATTCTAAACATACACATCTTGCACGACAACCACCGCTCAGACAACAAGCCGACACACGCGCTCCGTGCCGTTCGCGCTGGGATCCGTACACTTGCCCGCAGCCGACGGGAACCGCTCGCCGACCCAGGGCGCGCTCAGGTCGAACTCCTGGTCCTTGTATTTGAGCTGAGCGCCGCTCCAGTCGGGCTTCTGGCCGGCGGTGACGGCAGGGGCGCCGCACAGCGGTGTCCGCGTCACGGTCGGCTTATTCTGCCTTTGCAGCGCCGCTGGTACAGCCAGCGTGATCTCGTCGCTGTTGCCAGCTGAGTCGGAGCAGTCGACGTCCGTGTGGCTGCTGTCGTACGCGACGCCGCTCGCCGACGACGCCGCGTAGATGCTGAGGGGCGATGCGAGGCCCGGCTGCACCACCACGACGAACTGCGTGCTTGGGAGCCCTCGGATGTTGGTGTCCCAGTCCCAGGTGGTGTCGTCGCGGGTGCGAGGTGGTGCCGCAGGCGAGGCGTGCGCGTAGTTTAGTGCGAGGAGCACGGTCGTGCCGATAGCTGTCGTGAAATGCATCGAGTTGGTGAGTTGGTGTCTTGGGGGTTGCTCTTGGCGGGTTTGTGAGCTGTTTGAGGTGGTGGTCTACGGGTTCAGATGACAGGTAGGGAATTGCGAGCTGCGATTAGTATTTGTAGTCCTTATACTCTTAATGGCGTCCAACAGGCTGTTTAATATGAGGAATAGCAGCCCAGTTTTAATGGCAGCGGTTCGGATTCAGGAGTCAGAAGTCCGCAGTTAGCAGTCAGCAGTCAGCCATCTGGTTGTAACAACGTACTAGAGGATCCTCTAGAAGTGGTCCATCCCTTCTCGAGGATCCTCTAGTAAGTCAGTATAGACACATATGTATGAATCTTCAACACACTGCAGCTGCCGTATAAGTCTACGGGTAGATAGAATGGCTACCCTACGTCATGCGGCTCAATCTATTGTATCTATATTTAAGATGGAAGTGGCACGGCCGCGCGAAGGATTGAAATCGACGTAGCGCTACTCTGTCCCAGCGAGGAACTCGATCAAAAGTTGAGCTGACCGGAAGTGGAGTTATTCAGGATGATGGAATGCCATTAGCCTGGGCACGCCGAGAGAATATTAATAGTATTGTCGCTGCCTAAGAACAATGGCAGGGTTCATATGTTTGAGGATCTTACCACCGACGAACCATGCTCCAATCCCTCAAGGCTCACAGCTTGACGCCGCCATGTCCATCTTTCGTTGCCGCAATCCTAACACCGAACAATTGAGGGTCCGGCGACAGGGTTGACGGTGGTCAAGACCGGGATGATCATCCACATCTCGGCAAGCCCAGATGGCGAAAGCGTGGCGAAAGCGTTTGCAGCTCGAGGGCCGGCACCTTTTACAAACTCGTCTACACGTACTCGCTCGGACTCAAGAAACCTCATGTGCTGCCAGGGACATTTCCCAGACCTTCAGATTGCGGGTCGATCTTACTCAGCGCTACATCCTTGCCAAGCAAGAGGAACCTGACAAGGTTCCAACCATCCACGGTTCTGAAGGGAGAATAATGACCGACATCACGGCGGATTTGGTCACCTCAAGCCACTCGGGAACGAGTTATGCTGCCAGTGCTATCACGAGTGACCAACGGAGACCCCGTGCAGAAAGACGGTTGCAGAGCACCTTACTATTTCCAAGCTGCTAAATCAACCTCACAATCATCCATAGAGGCCTTTATGAGGTGTCTTGGTGTAGCCTGGCACTTGTGCATACCACAGCGTTGGAGAGTCATGAGAATCATGTGAAGAATGACTCCCTGGAACTAAGATGGGTGTCTGACTTGTACCGGATTAGCCAGGATCTGACGGCAATGCCAGGAGGGTCTCATGGTATCGATTTGATGTATGTTCAAGGCTGACCTGCCAAGTGAAAGCGACGAGTGTACCTGGCTATACCCAGGTGCTTTAGCAGCTCGAGGTCAGACACATCTTTGGTCGTGCTAAGAAAGCATCCATCATGTGCAGAACGTGCGAATAAATCGACTCTCATCCATTGTATTCGTCGCCACATGAGGCGGCCAGCCGCCTTAGAACTGTGAGCGGATCCACACTTAAGGGCTGGCTATCGCGGTCAGCCATGATGCCTAGCAAGTCGTGCGTGGTGACCGCGGCAAAGTGAATAGAGCCAGGTAGAGGGCCACCCTACCTCCGAACCCTGGCCTTTCCGTTCTGGAGACTCTCGGTGCATCTGTAAGTTGCACTTTGAGGCTGACGATACGCGCTCCTGATCATGTCATCCGATGTACCAAGGCTGACGTTTGCCACGGTAGTCGTGGCACCGCAAGGCTTATTGTTTGCGACGCTCAGCTCGTCGAGTCTGTTACCGCAGACCCGGCCAATGTGGCGATAACAACGGAGGTCTTCGAGACCGCTGCCATTTTTGACATCCTATCTGGCCATCCGGGCTATGTAGCCCGGGGACCCAACGATCTCAGTGACAATAGGGGTCGGAGCAAGCTCATCATGACATCCTGGGCTGCCTTCATTGAATCGCCTTGCTCGCCGAATACAGTTTGTATTGGCCAGCGCCCTGTTTGTCGCATTATGATGTGGTGACTTTCAGTACTTTGCTCATATAATAAGAGTGCAGGAACCTACAACCCAAAAAAACCAGGCGGATGAGGCAACCTGAGTCACTCAAGTTCAAAGGGCTCCGAGATCATGATAATAATGTTGCAAGCTGAAAACAAGCTTCTGTTGATCCTGAACGGCTAGTTCCGATATGCTTCAAAAAGGCCTTGGTGCTTTCTCTCGAAAGAGGATCTCGAGGAGATACGATTTGGCAAAGAGCTTTTGCTTTGGCTGGAGCTTGAGGTGGAAGAAGTGCCTCGATTTATCGAGATCGACCGACCTTACCGCGCGGCCATGAGGAGTGGGCGTGGAGCAACATCATGAGATCAATACCATGAACCGCTTCTTGCATATAGGCGGCGAGTTAGCTTAAAGTATTTCGTTGGATTTGCGTCTGATCTGCTACTGAGAATGTGAAGAATTTGATGAAGAGAAGGGAGCTTGGAGATGATGAGAGTTCGTAGCCGTCGAGTTTAGCGAGCGTTTGCGCTGTAATGGAGTGTTTTTTTAGTAGTCGCTTCGCGCTAAAATTTCACGCTGGCCAGGGCAGCATCCGGAAAGTCTTATGCGCAACGAGACGGGAGGCACTTGCCGTCTTTCAAAGGTCAACGTGAAACACCAATTTCTGACGAGGTAACCACCGTCTCTCATGTCTCTGTCTGTATGAAAGCATTCAACTTGTGGAGGAACAGCATAACAGCTTTGAATTTCGCCGGCTTACTCTTGCGTCCATTCAACCAGTCAATCACAGCCCCCGAAACTGCGGCGGCGTACCGTCCCGATGGAGAGCGGTACACACGAGGTTGACGGCGTACGCATCGCCGTTGAGGGCTGTGTGAGATTACCGACCCCATCTGATCCCAGGAGAGCTATCCTAATCATTTCACACAGGGCCATGGCACCCTCGACGCAATCTACGGGTCAGTGGCCACCGCCAGCAAGGCGCGAGGCTGGGACGGCGTGGACCTGCTGATCATCGGCGGCGACTTCGAGGCGGTGCGCAACGCCGCCGACCTGTCCGTCATGTCGGTGCCGGCCAAGTACCGCGAGCTGGGCGACTTCCCGGCCTACTACAACGGCACCAAGACGGCGCCGTACCTCACCATCTTCATCGCCGGCAACCACGAGGCGAGCTCGTACCTGTGGGAGCTGTACTACGGCGGTTGGGTCGCGCCCAACATCTACTACCTGGGCGCCGCCAACGTGCTGCGTTTCGGCCCGCTGCGCATTGCCGGCATGAGCGGCATCTGGAAGGGCTACAACTACCGCAAGACGCACCATGAGCGCCTACCTTTCAGCCAAGACGACATCAAGAGCTTCTACCACGTCCGCGAGATCGATGTGCGCAAGTTGTTGCTGCTCAGAGAGCAGGTCGACGTCGGCATGAGCCACGACTGGCCGCGTGCTATCGAGAACCATGGCAATGCCCATGCCTTGTGGGGTATGAAGCCGGACTTCAGACAGGAGAGCTTAGACGGCACCTTGGGGAACCCGGCGGCGGAGTATGTCATGGATCGCCTACGGCCCGCATACTGGTTCTCGGCTCACATGCATTGCAAGTTTGCTGCTGTGAAGACCTATGAAGCCCCTACTACCGAAGCACCAGCACCGACAAAGGAGGAACCACAAACTACAACTACTACGGAACCAGAGAAACCTGATGGAAATCCCGATGAGATCGACCTTGATGATGACGACGACGAGAAGACCCCAGCCGAGACTGCCGTAGCCAACGGCGGCGATGGAGCCCGGTCAACGGCAACGGTCACAGACGAGCTGCGAGCCCAACTACCCGCCTCCTTCGCCAAGCCAGCCGCACCCCAGCCCAAGGCCATACCAGGCCAGCCCGTCCCGCCTACCATCGCGAACACGACCACCCGTTTCGTGGCCCTGGACAAGTGTCTGCCCGGCCGCAAGTTCATCCAGCTCTGCTCCCTCACGCCCGTGGACTCAACCCACCTAACCACCTACCCACCCTCCTCCTCCTCCCCCTCCTCCTCCGACGCAAACATCAAGCCGCCCCGCTACACCCTCTCCTACGACCCCGAGTGGCTCGCCATAACGCGCGTCTTCGCCCCCCACCTCACCATCGGCGACCGTACCGCCACCACACCCCCCAACCCCGGCGAGGCCGTCTACATCCCCCTCATCGACGCCGAGCGCGCCTGGGTCGACGAGCACGTCGTGCGGCCCGGCAAACTAACCATACCCCCCAACTTCACGCTCACGGCGCCGCCGCACGTCGCGGGGGATCCCGAGTCCGTCGACCACCAGCCCGACGAGTACACGAACCCGCAGACGACGGCGTTCTGCGCGCTGGTCGGCGTGCCGAACCTGTGGCAGGCGACCGACGAGGAGAGGGCGGAGCGCAAGGCGCGGGGGCCGCCGCCGGAGCAGCCGAGGGCGGATCGGGGAGGGTTTGGTGGTGGGAGAGGAGGGGGTGGCAGAGGCGGGAGGGGAGGTGGTAGGGGGTTTGGACGAGGCCGTGGAAGGGGAGGAGGTCGAGGACGGGGTAGAGGCGGAGCTTGGCGGTGAGGTGCTGGAGACTGAGCAAGTCTATCATGTGATCTGGATGGAAGCCAGCCAGCACATTGATGAGCTCATGGCAGATACCACTGGCAATGACTGTGCGGATGACTTCTATTTCAGTATTGTACTACGGAGAAGCACATCGTTGACCCCGACGGTGGCAGCGGTAGCTTCCACGTCAGTTTCCAGGAACCTATATATCACTAGCAGGTGGTGAACCCAATGCCACGAGTGGAATACCTGGGGGATTACTCTGGGCTCTTTACGAGAACTCCCTTTGGGTGATCGGTCACATGAGTTGTCAAGATCTTGTTGCCAGCACGAATGTGATAGCAGACGGCATTGTATCTATAACTATTCTATGTATTACTATTCTATAAAAAGGCCACAAAGGACCTTGGCGATATGTATCCCCTCCTAAAAAGCTTGATCTTCATGGAGTTATGAAAGGCACGCAGAGTGAGGGGGATGGTTTGGCTTAATCTTCCATCCGTATTAGACGTTTCAACCCACGGGAGCGCTTTGGGTTGTACGCATATGCTTGGATGGGGCGCAGAGACGCGGCGAGGGAACGCGGCAAACAAGATAAGAGAACGCACACAATAAAAGACAAGAGTCCTGAAACCTACCTTCCGAAAGGACTCACAAAGACATCATATCCTGAGGAACGTGGTTGTAAGTAGGATTCCTATCCGGTCGTTTCTCATTTCGTCTCGTTGTCCGTAAACGCCACTACCTTAGCCATCACACCGGGGGTATCATCAATCATTACATGGCGCCAAAGCAAGCTTGGTCAAATTCAGCCCAAAAACGCAGAAACGTTCGACGTAGATCTCGTTCGTCCGTCCGCCCGCCCGTAGGCTCGTGCAATCGTCAAGTCGTGGTGAATCATGTTGCTTCTTCAGGTGGGAAGGTGGTGAGCTTCTTAGTATCGCACCTGGCGATCGGGGTTCGCCTTACTGTCAAGGCCAAGGTAGTCTGCCGCCATGAGAAGTTCAAGGCAGAGCTCCACCGGGATGTCCATGTCAGGGACATCCTCTCTCTCTTTGTTCTTGTACCAGTAGTGGAAGTATTCAACGACCTTCTCGAGGACCTCGCCACTATTGATGAACAGGTCAGCTATGACTTGTGCAACAGTAGTAAACACGACAGTAGACACGAGGCCCAGTATGGTGTTCGGATGGTGGTGTGGGTAGTTACATGTCTCAGATCAAGTGTAGTGTGTTGTCATCCAGACCATGGAATGGTCTGTCAGTAAGAACACAGCGAAATATTTGTGTGTTCATCACGGACGATGTATGGTGCAAGGTGGTTGGTAGTGAGGATGAAGCAAGGGTGACCTACCTGATCTCTCCGAAGATACACCGGCTGGTTTTCGCCTCTTGGAACTGACCTGGAGAGGGTAGTGATTAGTGGTGTGAAGGTCGAGAAAGGGCAGAATGAGGTGCGCACTCCTTGGGTCCAGCATGCTCTTGATGGCAGGGCTGATGAAGGCGGCTTGACGAAGGACAACAAACTCAAAGCCGTCCTTGGACACCAGAGTGATGTACTTGCTCAAATCCATATTCGTTGTAGCCCTGGTGAAGGTTGGCTGATGTTTGTTTGTCGCTGCGTGTTGGGGAATGAACGGTCAAGGTGTTGCTGTTTTTCTTTCGTGGGAAAGAGTTTTTGGGAGCTCGGCGCTAATAATAAAAGAGGATCGAGCTTGGGCGGATCATTGATGCCTGTCTACCGCGTGTAGGCGCGTGAAGAATTGTGGCTGCTTGCCTTAGCACCGCCACACCAGGGACAAAGTACCAGATGGCGGCAGGACGACAGCTACAAGAACATTGTTTGTAAGAGACTGGAAGGGAAGATGCTTCCAAGGCTGTTTGGGATAATTGCCCAAGCAAAAAGAGGTAGCAATTAGCTGGATTCAGAACTGTGTGCAAGTTTCTATGTCGGAGAAGACCTCGAAACCTGGAACTTCAGTCATCGAGGTCCGACCCCAACCTGGCTTATCCGATCGGCCGATAGAGAAGGTGGGGCGGCACAACCCGAAGCTGAAACGAGCTGGCGCCCGCGGTTGCACTGGCTCGAGTTGGTTGCCCTGCCGACTCTATTGACGCCTGACGGTGTGCATTGAATCAGTACATGTGCCAACTGGCAACCCGACACGCACCAATCGCACCATCATATCAACATCCCTCTTGCGCTTCACGATTCTTGGAGAATCCCATCGTCTCTTCCCCTACGAAAGTCTCACTCTCATTCCATTGGCAAACCTCACCACCAATTGAACGAACCTACGGTGCAAGACACCCACCCAGTATACCTTCCAGGTCATCTTACGTAAAGATTTACCATTGACAGCGCCCACCATGGCGTACTCGCAGCACCGCAGCAATTCCAGCTACGGCGCCAACGATAACTACGACAATGGCATCCAGCGCCGGCCGACTGACCGCGACCGCAGAGCCGACCGTAACACGCGGTCCAGCGAGGGAACAGTCAGCACAGTCATGAGCGCATCGACGGGTAGAGAGTCGTCGGCGACACATATGACAGAGGCGCCCGCGTACTCCAAGAAGATCGTGGTGGTAGGCGACGGAGGGTGCGGCAAGACTTGTCTCCTGATCAGCTACAGCCAAGGATACTTCCCAGAGGTAAGTCAATCACGAATTCCGCAGTGGGATATGAGTCCCGAAGGATGCTGATCAGTTTCGCGCAGAAATACGTACCGACGGTCTTCGAGAACTACATCACCTACCCGACCCATCAGCCAAGCGGTAAGACCGTCGAGCTTGCGCTGTGGGATACTGCTGGGCAAGAGGAGTACGACAGATTGCGACCGCTGTCGTACCCCGAAACGGATCTCATCTTCGTCTGCTTTGCTATCGACTGTCCCAACTCGCTAGACAATGTATTGGACAAGGTACACCTCCTTCACCTCATCAAATTGACCACAGTGGAACTAACACAGCATCAGTGGTACCCCGAAGTCCTCCATTTCTGCCCATACACGCCTCTCATCCTCGTCGGCCTGAAGTCAGATCTGCGCCACAAGAAGACCTGTGTCGAGATGCTGAAGACGCAAGGCCTAACGCCTGTCACCGCCGATCAGGGCATGTCTCTGGCCAAGAAGATGGGCGCACAGTATATGGAGTGCAGCAGTAAGGAGATGACGGGAGTGGACGAGATCTTCGACAGGGCAATCAACACGGTCGTCTCGAACGATAGGCGCAACCTCGAGACGGCCATGGCTGCCGCGCCGAAAACGTCGTCATCTGGCGCCGGTCCTACCAGCAGCGGCCGGGAAAGCGGCGGCATCCCCGGCGTCCGCGCTTTTAAGAAGAAGAAGCGGGAGTGCAGAATCCTCTGAGCGAGGATGACGACGAGAGATCTCGGTTCTTCCGCCGGTACCAGCGATAACAATCACCAACTCGAGAACGAGGACGAACGACCGGCGACGAATAGCGGCGCCCGCTAATGACTACTTTGCACGATATATTTTCCGACATGACATTTTCACGACCTCAGGGAGGATACGGTAAGGACTTGTACGTTGTCTGTCTTGTGTTTCTCTTGCATCCAACACATGCGACATGGCGTCTTGCGAGTCCTTCAATACGAGTGGTTTAATGATGAAGGGTTCGATGGAGGGAAGGAAACGGGGGGCCAAAGGTGTCATGTCTGATCCGGGATCAGACGTTTATATCACCTGCCCCCTTTTGTCTGTCCATGGAGGAAGAGGACAGGAACTGCGAAACCTGGAACAAGTGTATAAATCCACCAAGCAAGATTACAGAGAGATCTTCTTCCCTTTTGTTGTATGGTTCTCGTCACGCGCTTCATCGCATGCATCATGGTCTCGGATAGGAAATAAAACGAAAATTCCTCATGAAACTTCGTCTCGTGTTTCTGGAGCTTTCGCCTCGTGTGTATATGTATGTGCAATCGTGCCCTGGCTTTTCTGCTTTTCTAAGCCAGGGCGGGTATCGTAGACCGTTTTCGTGATGTCAACTATCCTTCCACACTAGACATCGTATCGTAGTATTCTCTCGTTTCGTCATGCTCACTCGTCCGACCCTCCCCTCACTCGCCCTGTCTCGCCGTCGTCGTTTCGCCGCCTTCTCCCTCGTCACCCCCTCGTCCATGCGTCTGTGCCTGTCCTTGCCCCTGGGTGTGCTGCCCCTCGCCCTCGGCCGCCGCTGTCTTGCCCTCGTCGCCGTCCTTCGCCATGACGTTCTCGAATTGCGACCACAGTGCCTCGACGGAGGAGAACTCGTTTCCGACCTGGTGTACGTAGAGCCTCCTGTCAGCTGACGAAACCGTGCGCAAAGGGGAGGTAGGAGGTAGGAGGGAATGGGGGAGGAGGAGAAGATGAACAAAGAAGAGGGCAAAGGGGGTCTTCTTGGGGACGGGCGAGAGGCAAGAAAGCAACGTACAGCTACAACAGCCTCCAGCGATCGGTTCAGCTTGTTGATGTTGGCCAGGACGTGCTCGAAGCTCTGTATTGTCGCGAGTCGCGACGGACCGCAGGTCAGCTGCCTGTCTTCCCATGTCCAATTCCGTTCGAGGAGTACTATTGGTACGCCACGCCCTCAACATTACATTGCAATGTGGACAGAACAGAACAGCACGCACCATAGCTATCTCGCCGATCAACGCCTCGCGCTGCTGCTCGAAGTACGTCTTTTCGCGCGCGCCTACGCCTGCGCCGCCGCCGCCGCCGATGTGGCCCATCGCGGACGTCGACCGCGACGCCATGGCTGTTTGTTGTGTGCGACGCTTAGGTAAGGTAGGTAGGTAGCTGCTGAGCTCGGCCGCTGGGGGTTCTGCTGCAGTGGTATTATTCGCGTTTCTTTGAGGGATGTTGAGGGTGATAGGTCTTCTGGTCGTTTCTAGTTACGGCGAAGGGAGCACGCGCTGATGATTAGAATCTTAACGTTTCGCGCCGCGGGGCCATCGATCGGGTTTGGCGGGGTTGGCTCGGTTGGAATCTGGCGATCTTAGATCTCACTTTCCTCCACTGCGGGGAGTTTAAACTTTACACTCCTCCACGTCAACGCGGGCCGTTGCTTTCGGCCCCAGAATCGTATTCTCAAGAGGTTCAATATTATCATTTATTAGCTGGGCAAGTATTGTAAACCGCCCGCGCAAGGTGGGTGGGTATATGTAGTGCACATGGTCAAAGAAGAGACATATGTCCTGGTATCACAACTTCCAATGGATTTCCCCGACCTCAAGCGGGACTATAACGCGAATCTCAATGTGCGGGTCTCTTTGGAAACCCCCTCATCTATTTGTACAACAAAGCCCAGTTCAAGTCCCAGAGTGCAGAGCCTTGTTAGCAGGAAACACAATGGGCAGCTTCTATATGCGTTGCCATGTCTTCATCCACCATCGCGAACTCTCCTGTACAAAACCCCCGAACGCCGAAATGGTATCATCACCTCGTGAGAAATACAAGTACAAAGGCCTATAGGAAGTAGTCGGAAGGCCCACGCCGTCCAGCGGGCACGTGCCTCATATCGTCGGGTACGGCAGAGAAGATGCTGAACTTGGGGTCAAGGTTCTTATCTACCGTCATGATGGATGCCACGTTTCCGCAGCGGTAACAGTAGTTGGGAGCAGACCAAACCGTCACTACCGAGTTCTGTGGGAAGTGGTACTGTGCGATTGTGAGTCAGAGGCATAGATATCAAACCGAAGTTTTCGGGCTTACCTTGTATCCCTCGTTGACGAGCTGGTGAGCGCGAGCGATGAGTTTCAAACCGTTGACGTGGTTAAACTCCGTGGCAACCTTATCACCAAAGAGCCACCCTGCGCCTCGCGGGCTAATAGCCCATGTCTCGACGTCTTCAGGGTCGCTCCAGACAAGATCGCAAAAGGCTCCCTCGTGAGGAATTTCCTGGGCTCGAGCAACCACCCGAATCTGATCGATGGTGCGAATCTCAGGACTGAGACCTCCGTGCACGCAGAGGATTTCGCCGTCGACAATAGCTGCCAGCACAAGGAAGTCGAAGACCTGACAACATGCCTTCCACACGGATGCATTGCCGTACTTTTGTTGACATTCCTCGTAGAAGCCATAGACCTGCGTTATCTGTCTGGACTCGTGGTTTCCGCGTACGAGGATGATGCGCTCGGGGTATCTGCCTCGTGCGTCAGTGTTGACCCCTATCCATCATAGGCAAATGAACCTTACTTGGCCTTCAGGCACATTAGCAGCGTGAATGTCTCAAGACTGAAATAGCCACGGTCGACGAAGTCTCCCAGAAAGACGAAACGATTGTCTGCATTGTCGACGGGCCGCGATATCTCTCCAGAGGTGTTTCCAAGCTCAGTAGCGTCCTCATCCTCTGTGTCCACAACGGCAGATTCGCCAAGGATGGTGCTGATATCTTCCGGGTCCCTGGTCTTCTTAATCTTCCTCTTCAGCTTGGGGTCGGTAATCTCGGTCGGCGGCTCGATATCGTCTGAAGTGATAACCGTACTCGCACTGGCGGGAGGCTCGGTTGCAGGTTGTCCAGGCATGCCACCGCTGACGCGAAACAGCTCAAGCAGGTCGTAGAACTGGCCGTGAATGTCACCGCAGATAGTTACGGGGGTTACGACAGGCTGGATGTTGGATTCTAAGGGGCAAGAATCAGGTTAGCTGGGTGTACTGAATCTCCAAAGTTTGCGTACAGCATTCGTTTGGCCAGCTAAGGTGCAGTTGATGTGAGTGGAATAAGCATCAAAGATGACTTGCTGGATCAGGGCTGCTTAATCCAGGGCGCTTATTCCACCATCGTGATATAACATTGATTTCCAGGACTTGATCGAGGCATGCCGTACGCAGAGATATGGCGGGTGACTGTATCGCATCGCTTTAACGGCAGCAAACGTACCTTCCATCAGGACTTCCTTCACCTGCTCGCACAGTTCCTTCATAACGGGCTCGGGCAGGTAGTGACACTGCTTCGCTTCTTCTAACCACTCGTCCAGACCGGCGCCAGATGTGAGCTTCGCCGGGCCCGGCTTGGGGACCGCAGCGCGAGTAGATCCCATTGTCGAGGTGTGGCCCGCAGACGTCGCGTTGGCAACTAAGGCAGAACTCGGCGAGGTCGTTGGGAAGCGAGACGGGGTTGGCGGGCGGGCAGGCGGGCAGGCGGGCAGGCGGGCAGGCGGGCAGGCGGGCAGGCGGCAGAGGGAGAGGAAGCTGGAGATTGGCGACCTGAAGCCGACGATTATTACCAATTAGCACGGTACGGAGGCGGAGGGGATTGTGACGTTGCCCGCGGGCGGCTCCTGGGACCTGCGCCACGTTGCGGGCGGTCAGTAGCTCGGGCCGCCCAGGCTTGCCAGGCTTGCCGCCAGGAAATTGGAAGCGTTGTGCCGTCTAAACAATTGAATCACATGAATGTACACATCTACTACGGATTCTGACACTTCGACTTAAGCCGCCATATGAAGGCGAACATGAGCATATCTTGGTCGAGCTCTTCCATCCATGGTAAGAGTTCCAGCCTCCTAAACATTTCACAGCAAGGCTAGATAGCTAGCGAGGAGGGTGCACATAGTGCTTGTCTTACCCTTACCTGCCTCCCATTGCGACGAAGCCAGTGAATTCTTCGAGCATAACTTACATAAAGGTACAACTCAATTTCAGAATGCTGCCAAAGGTGCGCACGTGCTGGGTGTCCTATCCTATTGGTGGGGCAAGGCGGACGGTGGGGTAATTCCGCTGACCTGGAGATACTCGGACAATGGAAGTATGTACCTGCGATGAGGGATCGTCCCTACAGTACCTACCTACTTTACCTACCTAAGGTTGAGGGTTCAAGGTTCATTATAAACCACACCTGCACCTTGCGATGCGGAACTTGTTCGCTTTTCTCAAGCATTCTTAGGGGCAATCTGAGCACCTTCGCCCTTTCTTGGACGACATCTTTACCATTGCAATAACCAGTTACCACACGACAGGTTGCATCGATGGCGTCCAACAGCACAACACCACGTAAGGCTAATGGCGTGCTATCAGTCGGAGGCAGCCAGGCCGCTCACGATGCGCCCAAGCCATCCAAAGCAAAGGCAACAGCGCAAGGCAAGAAAGTCATCATTCGCCGTCTGCCCCCAGGCATGACAGCCGACGAGTTCTGGGCCACTCTCGGGGAAGAGTGGAAGGAAGGAAACGGAAAGGTCGATTGGACGCGCTTCGAGGTGGGCGAGATCTCGCAGGAGTGAGTAGACGCCGCCGCCCGATACACTCTTGGATCCAGCTAACGCAATAGTTGCAAGTCCGTCGAATCCCTCGTATCCAGCACGGTGCTACCTACATGTTCTTCGAGTCGAAGATTCACCCACCCTCGCCGAGATAGTCCAGATGTCGACCTGGGAGGATGCGAAACACACGGCTAACGACCCCGCCCTCGTCGGTCCTCCGTACCTCGAGAATGCCATCTACCAGAAGATACCGACGACTAAGCGACGAACGGATCCGAGGCAGGGCACCATCGACCAAGACCCGGAATTCATAGCGTTCCTGGTTAGTCTCACTCAAGACACCCCGCCCAAAGAGGCCGACGGCGAGCAGGGCGTCGACGAACTCAGCAAACCGGACGGAAAAGTTACTACAACGCCCCTAATCGAGTACCTTAAGGAGAAGAAGGCGAACAAGGCGAAGGAGACTGCCAACATTAAAGGTGGGAAGCATTCTCGTCACGAGTCTCAAGGAAAGGGAAAAGAGGATTCTAAGAAGAGGGGAAAGGAATCTAAGAATGAGAAGGCCGAAAAGTCTGCCGATAAGGAGAAGACCAAGGAGCCGCTGAAGTTGCTCACCAAGAAGGCCGCTGCTCAGGAGGCCGCAGAGGCAGCAAAGTCCGCAGCTGCCCAAATCACTATGGGCAAAGCAACTGAAGAGGCAGCGCCCAAGAGTCGTCGTGCGAATATCGCTGCAGCCGCTAAGACCCTGCAACGTGACCTCGGCCTCAGTCCAGGTAGTGCTCACAGGAGAGCTCGCCAGGATGCCGCCAAGGCGGAGGGTACGCCGAAGCCGGATGACATCAAGGAAAAGGAGAAGCAGGATCCTATCGCTACCGCACCATCTGGGCCCAGCCAGTCGACGACCGCCGTACCTCCTTCTGCGCCGACAGCGCCAAAAGCTCAGATAGCCGAGAGCTCCCGGCGAAGTCGAGGTGCCAAAGCTGGGAAGCAAGGTTCGGCGGGCGAAATTGCTAAGAGCAAGGGTAGCGAGATGCCAGGCAGTAGTAGTAACCCGAAATCGACACCTACGGTGGCACCAACTATTCTGAAACGGAAAGAAGAAGTAGTCCCTACCGGGTCAGCATCGAGTGCGTCGACACCCACGCCTTCTGCTACCGTGGCACCTCCCACAGGCCCTAAGGCTGCTACTGGCAAGCTCACGCCAGCTGCAAGGGCGGTATCGACATCCCAAAAGAAAGGATCAGCTCCGCCATCAGTAACACCAGGGGCCACGCGGGGCTTTGTAAAACATGCCAACCCTTCACAAGGTGTCACAGAGGCACTCCTGAAGCAAGCTATGGAGGCATTCGGCACCGTCACATTCGTCGAGATTGATAAGAAGAAAGGCTTTGCCTATGTTGACTTTGTGGATCATGATGGACTTGTCAAGGCTATAACTGCGAGCCCGGTACCAATTGCGCAGGGCACTGTTCAGGTGCTTGAGCGGAAGGAGACTAAGAAGGCAGCCCTGGCAGCACCGACTCAGCCAGCCAGTGAGAAGGCTGCCACGGGAAGTCAGCCAGATCGCCCTAAGCGGGGAGGACGTGGCAGAGGGCGAAGAGGAGGGGCCAATGCCGGCAACGCCAACGAGGCTGGTGATGGGGCAGGGTCAACCACACAACAAGGTGACGCCAGTGCTGGAGGTCGTCCGGGATGAAGTGGCAACGCTGAGGACTTGATTGATATTTATCATTGAGACGAACTACCACTCTACGAAGACAACGACGTTATTGGACGTCGCGAAGGATTTGTCATACATTGCGCTGAGGCGTCCTGTTGTGCTCATCCCCAAGAGTCACTGTAAAGACATAGGGGTGAACAAGTCCGGGCATGAATAGGGGATAATCCATCCAGCCGCGGATCTCATCCAAGTATTGTTTGGCATGAGCCAGGACTATGTTGATAGACTCGGCAGGTCACTGAATCACTGAAGGGTCGGCTGATACCACCAGGAGGATACATCGTGGAGATCATCTGGAGGTCTAACGACCTGGTTCTGGAGCAACTGTACCCAAGACCAATATGGCAAAGCAGACTGATTAGCCTCCTAGCAGCATGTGCATTTGCAACAAGTGACAAAGTTTCGAATTCATCTGCTGACTGCGAAATCACTGGTGCGAAGCATGTAGAAGTCAATGTACAAAACTCGTGTGAGAATTCGACCTCTGGAATCCAGGTATACAGAATTATTTACCAAACCAATGGCTATGTAAAACAGGGCGTGAATTTCCATCGCGAGACCTAGTACAAACAAGAAGTGACTCATTCCCAAACCCTGCCTCCCTCTCCTCCGTATTATGCCAACAACACGGTCCTTCCAACTACCTCTGGCATCTCCGATACTCGCCGTAGCCCGACGAGACGCGATCGACATCGACGACCTTGTGGAACCGGATGGGCCGCGGAATGTGCGGCAGCGCCTGCTGGAATGATAGCGCTGCACGCGCATAGCCCATGTGGTTGTTGGCCACCTTGACCTTCTTGAGATAGTCGACGTACGAGACGAAGCCGAAGGCGTTGCGCTTCATTCCTGCGCGCTGCTTTGCTTCCTTGTCCTCCTGCTGCTGCTGCTGCTTCTTCTTCTTCTGGCCCGCCGCCGCTGCGCCATCATCTCCTCCTCCACCAGGCTTCCCACCATCCTCCGCTCCCGCCTTGACGACCGCACCCCCGGGCAGCGGCACGAGCACGATGAACAGCTCGTCGAGCGCCGCCATGCGCTCCAGGACCTCGCGGATGAACTGCGCAGGACCAAAGGGGATCGGTCTCCGCGAGCCGTCCTCGAAGAAGCTCTCGGGCACGAGAACCGCCAAACGGCGCACGTGGTCGCGCCAGCCCGTCGCGTACCGCAGCGACCAGAAGGCCTGCTCGGCGTTGGGCACCGACAGGTACAGTAGGTCCTCGGCCCAGTCGACGTGCACGGGGCGGCAGCCGGCGCCGGCGCGCCAGGCGCCGAAGTGCGGGATGTTGGAGATGGCCTCGATCTGGCCCTCTGACAGCGTCTCGCCGTCACCGAGGGGCCGCTGCTCCACGTACGGCTTCACGAGGTCGTAGGCTAGGTTCTTGGACTGCAGGTGACTGACCGAGGGCGGTTGCGTAGCTTGCGCTTGCGCTTGGAGGATCCTGTGCGCGAGCGTCGTGTGCTGCTCCAGTCTATCATGGTGGCGAAAGCTGTTGCCGTCGTTAGTGACACCGTTGTAGGGGCGCGTGCCGTCGAGGGCATTGTTGTTGTCAGTGGTGGTGTCGTTGTTAGGGTCGTCGCTGCGGTTGCGGTTGCCCTGCGGCGAGAGCAGGTGCAGGCTCGCGGCCACCGAGTGCGCCTCGCGGTTGGCGAGAAACGAGGGCGGCGGACCCCCCGGCACGACCCGGTTGGTGCCTGCGTCCAGCACGGTGCAGTTGAACAGCAGGACCTCGCGCGGCGGGCTGCGACCTAAGCTCTCGGGCGCCGGGTGGATGACCAGCATGCGCGGGCTCTGGAAGTAATACTCCCACACGATGAGCCGGAGCTCCTTCGGCAGGCTGTTGAAGCATGTGAATGTGGTTGGCGTCGTCATGTTGGATGCATGGTACGGGGTGAGATGAGATGAGGTGGGGTGAGGTGAGATGGGGTTTATTTTAGGTATTGGGCAAGCCGGCTTAGAGCACTGGTAACGAGTGTCGTTTGATGTCGGGACAGCAATGATGTTTGTGAGAGGTTGCGTGTGTTGTTGGGGTGTTGTGTGCAGTTGCGTCGCATTTATGGGCAGCGGGCCGGGCAGATGCACAACTCTGTCCCCCTTTCCCGATGATGAGGTGAAGTTTGACAAGGTGGGGCATGTTACTGTGACGATACTGTGCATATTTAACAAGCCCTACTGTGGGGCCGCTACCAAACTCTAACCTGGCTCAACGTCCACCCACCTCAAGCACACTGTGGTGAGCACTTTCGCGAAGGTACGACGGCTTCATTCAATGTCACCTCCAAGTCACAGAACCTGCTCTTCAAAGTTATACAGCGCGTGATTACTACCTCCGCAGTGTGGAAGGTATCAGCTACCAAACACTACCCTTACCAGCATTCATCTTCAGCTTGTCCAACCTCTCGTCCGTCAACTCGAAGCATTCGGGCAATCCAGTGTCGCTCCATTTCCCGCCCTGAATCAGCTTCACCAGCCCGGGTGCGCATGTGAATATCCGGGCCATGCCGTGTCCGTTGAAGCCGGCACAAACCCATTGGTCTTCTGATCCAGGCACTCGGCCAATATAGGGGCACGAGTCAGAGGTCAGCCCGATGATGCCAGTCCATGCGTGCAGGAGACCCTCGCCATGTCGAAAGGACGGCCTGTTTTTTGCCTTCCGTACACTCCCCAGATCGCCGTTCACATGATCCTCGGGCCCCTTGGTAGAGTCAGTGCCGTTCACCTGCTTCTCACCTCCGTTGATACCGTGGTGTGCCTCGACTTCATCATCAAGCATCGTATCCCAAAACTCAGACACGGCATCAGCCAAGATTTCAGAATCAAACCCCTTCGAATCATCCGCGCTGACGAGCCCTTCCATGGTCTCTCTGCTCAGATTGGGATTCGCCCGCGAGCTACCAAGGATTATGATGCCATCTGCTGGTCTCTGAGCGACGCTGTAGAAATGTTTGAGCCCGTGACGCAGCGACATGGTCGATTGCAGCGTCTTGTCGCCGCATAAAGCAGCCGGAGGCACGAGGGCATGAGCCTGTGCTCTGTTCGGCGTTGTATATGGGGATAGCTGCGGCAGAAGGTGGGATACATGCGCGTTCGTGCAATGGATTACGGTGTCTGTTTTCAGCGTGCCTCGAGGCGTCGTAAGCTGCCACCTGCGCGGAGCACCCTCCGTGGAGACCTCAGCGATGCTCGTCACGGGGCAATGCGTGAAAAGTTGCACGCCCCTTTCCACGCAGCTCCTCAGCAGCCACTGAGCCAGCTTGGCCGGGTGACTCGAGCCGGCCTCCCACTCGTACGCAGCCAGGGCCTTCTTCACGCCCGTCCTCTGCGGTGCTTCCTCGGCCGAGTAGAACTTGATGCCTGAGATGTCGCCGCCGGCGTCCCGGTACTCGGCGAAGCTCTGAGCGAGAAAGTCGGCGAATTCCTGCGTGAGACACACATCGAACGTGGTGGTCGGGTTAAAGTCGCAAGGCACGCTGTGCTGCTTGACGAACGCATCGACTGCCTTGAAGACGGCGCTCTCGTTGTCCAGGATCTTGAGAGCCTGTTCGGGGCCGTGGAGCCGGGCGTAAGGTGCGAAACCGCGGAAAGCATCTGACTTGGTATTAGTTTAACTCCCAGGTTCAATGTGCTCCGTGCTCCCAGAAGTCTAGGAGACGCTGCTTAGGAAGTCCAAGCAGATACGCATCGCCGTTTTGACAGCAAGGAGAACAGCATGGGGCTTGCAAAGGGGCTTTACCAGGTCTGACATGGCCTGCATTCCGTGAACTCGCACCGCTGGCGGCTTCTCGGGCCTCCAGGATCACGACTTCTCGCTGCGCAACTCCACCCTCAAGTAGCTTAAAAGCAGTCAGGGCACCCGATATCCCAGATCCGATGATGGCATATTTGATGCTGCCGTCTTCCCCGGATGGTGCTGCGGCATCTCGATTGGCATGTAGATACGGAAAAGACCGCGTTGTCTGCTGCCAGAATGAGATGCAGGGATCCGGCACGGGCAGCCCGCACGAGGTTGAGCCAGGCATAGTGAGATGCTATCGAGATCACAAACGAAGGTGGGTCGATTGGTTCAGTATGCCAAGACTGAGTGAGGGAGAAATAATGGATGAGGCAATAGAACGGCTGCTCATCTTCAGAAGTAAGAATTCGTAGGTAGGCAGTCAGTCTCCTTCATGATACCAGTGCTTTCAAATGAGGCCCATCGGCATACCGTAACTTGCTGCGATATCGCAAAGGCCATCGTGCCATGGCTTCGGCATTGGCCTAGTCGGAGCCGGACCCGATCATGCCCGCCGCCTATCTATACGACGTATCTATAAGCGGTCCACACGCGGGCAACGTAACATTTCTCCGCATCAGTTATCACGGTCCCGGTCAATTGGCCGGAACTTTGTGATGATTACTGATTACATACTCCGCGAGCCTGCTGTGTTGTTGTACCGTTCTTATAGAATATCTTCACTTGCTCAAATTACAGAAGAAGGATTGAAGAACTCCCAGTCCAGACGAAAAATATCCTCGAATTTTCCTCGCCCTATCGTATAGGTGACAATCCGGTCTTTCACGATGAGGTTCGGGAAGCTGGCGTTCACGCAGTCGCACCCCAAGCGCTCGCCGGAGGAGGCCGATCTGGTGAGGAGATTGGATATATTCCTAATGACTTTTGGATGCGTCTCTCAGGGTGAGAACACCAAGCCTCCTATAGCCCACTCAAACTGTTTCTGACTGGATTATACCTCTAGTTATCAAGTGTAAGAGCATATCCTCTATGTACTCTTACTGAAGAGAACTTACCCATCGGAGGAGATAGACCTCGACCAACAAAACATCAATAATGCCTACGTCTCGGGCATGAAAGAAGACCTGCACCTCGACGGCAACGAGCTCAACTAGTAGGTAGTGTTCTTGCCCTTCATACACGAAAATCTGGGTTTCTCTTTCTCTCGAGACAGCACTGACCGAACCCCCCAACAGCTTCACGACCTACTTCAACGTGGCGTACTGTATCATGCTCATCCCCTCACAGGTGATCCTGACCTACGTGCGCCCGAGCTACTGGCTCAGCGGCCTGGAGCTCTGTTGGGGCGTCATGACGGGCCTGATCGCCATTGCCAAGTCGGCGCGCGACGTCTACATCCTGCGCGTGTTCCTGGGGCTCTGCGAGAGCAGCGCCTGGCCCGGCATGGTGACCCTTTTGAGTAAGTTTCCGTTACCTCTTGCGTGTTTGTCTAGTTGAGTTCCGTTTCTGATATCGAGCTTTTTCTGGACGAATAGTGCACTGGTATACGCCCACCGAGCTCGCTAAGCGCATGGGCTTCTACCATTCGTGTCAGGCGATTGGTAATATGTGCGTATATATACCCTCCCGTCTTCCAGCCTCTTATTTACGTTTCTCGATCAACTGATCTTGACCTGGCACTGACATCTCGCTAGGGTAAGTAATCCCGCCGGGGACACACCCGTCTCTTCTTAAACCCAAGCATCCGGCGACTAACCCAGGATTTCCCCCATACGCCAGATGTCGGGAGCTCTTCAAGTAGCTATCCTAAACACCCTACACGGCTCGAGCGGCATCGCCGGGTGGCGGTGGCTCTTCGTCATCAACGGCGTCATGACCGTCGTCGTCGGCCTCCTGGGTTTCGTCATGCTGCCCGATCTGCCGAATCGCCCGAACCCGCGCGCCTTCTGGTTCAAGGAGGGCCACGCGCGGCTCGCGATGGAGCGGCTGGAGCGGCACGGGAGGGCCGAGCCGAAGAAGATGAGTTGGGCCGCTGCTCAGTGTGTACCCATCTCGTTTCTCAGTGTATGTGATTTATGAACGGGGATTCACTACTGACTGACATTGTATAGGCGCACGTTTAGAAGTTGGGTGGTGTACTTTATACCGGTGCTGTACATCTCGACTGTGCTTGCTTCTTATGGGTATAACTACTTCAACCTGTTCCTCAAGGCCCTGAAGAACCCCGACGGCACACCGCGGTGGTCCGTTTCGGATATCAACGCGATTCCTATCGGAGGCGGTGCCATTAACGTCGTGTTCGGTACGTACAGACTCAGTCACCATCACGTCTTGGCTCTCGCACACCAGATACTGACATTGATGAAATCACTACAGTCTGGATCTGGGCCATCCTGTCCGACCTCCTGCAGACGCGCTGGACGCTCATAGTAGCCCAAGGTAGGAACGGTCACCAGAATCCATCCCAAGCACATCATCACCAGCACCCCGGACTAACAGACAGCCTGCTCGCAGCCCTCATCGGCCTCATCCCCTGCATCGCCATGAGCGTGTGGACCGCACACCCGACGACCACGCCCCTAGCAACGGCCTACGCCAGCTACTTCATCTCGTACCTGTGCCTCGGCACGGCGCCGCTGATCATGTCGTGGCTGTCGGACCTGCTGCCTCAGGACCCCGAGGCCCGCACGCTGATCACCGGCGTGGCCGTCGCGGGCTACTACGCCGTGTCGGCCTGGTCGCAGGTGCTTGTCTGGCCCGCTGTGGAGGCGCCTTATTGTGAGTTTCCTCCCTCTCCCTCCCCCTCTCCCTCCCCCTCTCCCTCCATTATTACCTACCTATACTCACCCCAATCTATCCATCCCTCGTCTTTCTGATGCAAACATGTTACATACGACTCTGTCTCGACAGCGCTAACACAGAGACACAGACAAACACGGCTGGCAGAGCTCGATCGCGCTGTGGATCCTCGTCATCGCCATGACCTGCACCCTGCGGTACATCGACGTCAAGTGGCTCCTGTAAGTCTCCAAGTCTCCCACATACCCCAACCATGTATCCATCCCCTTTCCCATCCGGAAATATCGCTGACAATGGATGTCATCTGCGACGCAGACCCAAGCGCGAGGAGTTCAGAGCGACTGTTATTGAAGGCGCCAAGGTGCAGGACAACGAGGCAGAAGCCGCGGGCGAGAGCTCGAGCGCTGCGCAGATAGACGCTGGTAGCGCTGCTACGAGCAAGAACTTGAAGTCTGTTGGTGTTGACCGGACGCTGGAAGTTTAGGAGGTGATCGGGGTCATCGTGGCAGTTGCATGGCTGGATCGAGGGCTCTTGGGTGGGTGGATGGAACGTTTGCGCCTCTGAGTATTCTCTCTAGGCTACAGAGACCTGGTAGGCACATATACTATCACGCGTGCCGTATACAATGAATGATACTAGAGCGATGCGGTAATTCGGAATGCTACTTGTCAAGCAGCTATGTGGCATAGACACTGACTGACTGACGTTACAACAACTCATCAGATTCTATATATCAACACGCTATATAGTACCTAGGCATCACTACAAGAAACCACCCTTACAAAGTTAGACACGCATTCCTGCAAAAGTAAGACACAAGTACAAGAGAACCGCCATCAGAAACCCAAACGCCATGCCCGACTTCTCAGCCATTACGTTGCGCAGTCTCATCTTCACATCGCCGACCAACAGGCGCTCTCCAACGCCGCGGCGCGCAGAGCGCAGTCCAGGCAGACCATCCAGGGATGTTGTGTTCTCCTCCATCTGGTACTGCTGCACGGTGCCCGCCCTTTCCCGCTTGCCGTTGAATATCTGAAGGGTCGGTCGCTCTTCGAAGCCCGTGACACCGATATCCTGTTTCCCGACGTCATCATCACCATCAACGGCCGCGGCCTTCTCAGAGGCGCCTGATGGCGCCGCCGTGATGCCCATGACTGTCTTGCGCACCCGGGGCACGCCGAAGCCGCAGCTGGTCTGAACTTTGAAGATGTCCAGGACGATGATGGCCCTGGTGGCGTCGACCTTCTGGAGCTTCATCTTGCGGAGGAAAACGTCGAACTCGGGCCTGTCCCACTCGATGACGCGGCCTCGACAGAACAGTCGCAGGATGCGTGGGCTGGTGCCGAACGAGCAGAACATCAACGTGGCGCGCCCGTTCTCGTAGAGGTGCGCGATGGTCTCGCACCCCGAGCCGGTACGGTCCACGTAGGCGCACTGGTTGGGACTCAGGACCGCGAAGTTGGCATTGGTGTAACCCTTGGGGGAGATGTTGACGTGTTGTCCGTGGGTTGGTGCCGATGACACGAAGAAGACGGGCTGTGAAAGAGCCCACGCCCTTAGGTTGTCAGGAAGGGACGGGAAGGTTGGTGGCATGGTCCAATCGGAAGGGATGAAGACCGCCTTGCTGAGCTGGAAGATTCGTATGAATACTGGTAGAACAGGATGAAGTAGGTGATACAGATTATGTAAAACAGATGGATGCCGGGAGCGGCAGCACCTTGGGATTCGTGCAAAGAGGAGATACAGTCGAGTCTCAGTCAGCGGCATCTCTTCTCATTGGACGCCGTCTTGGACAGGCCTGCTGATGCAGAGCCGGCTTCGGAGTAGCGGGGACGTGCTTCTGCAGCGAAGTGCTGTCAGAATGTCTTGACGGTACCAGATACCGGGTTCGGGTTCACACGGCTTCGGTTACACGCCGCCAGACGATCCTGGCAACGGTCTCGTGGCGATCGTTTTGGCGCTGTCAAAGGCCGGGTATCTGCATCGTGGTACACGGCGTTGCACATCGAAATTATCCGATCGCAGCTTGTGTCTCCTGAAGAGTCGTCATCTCAAGGGTGACACTGTCTTTCAACTCCTTCGTTTTCCACTCGAAGATAGAGGAACTGCAACATAGTCTCCTGGCGTATCACCCGTCGACAGGTAAGATGCTGATGTTGAGCTTGGTGGATATGCTGACATGCGCGGCACCGGTGAGTATTTGGCCGTTTCGAACCTAGACATCTGAGGCATGCCTAGCGAGCCGGAAGCCGTGGTGTAGTTGCCTGGGTGTCTCGAAGAAGTTGGACTGCTGGGCATGGGCTCAATGTAGGGTTTCCTGCTAGTCGAAGCCACGCTCAGTCTACGACTGCTGGATTTGGATGATGAAGCATGTCCGGATTTCTCGGACCTGTGATGGGAGCTCTTAGGCGACCGTGAGTCTTCTGGTGGTTGATCCCTAATGAGTCGCTCTTTCATGCGACCCGCCATGTCTTTGCCGTCTTTATCGCGTCTGCTGCTTGTTCGGCCGATGCGTGCTGAAGACTCGAGCGTGGCTGCTCCAGACATCTCCCCCGCTGGCTGTGCTTGGCTATGAAGCAGTTGCTTGAGGCTGTCTCGAAGTCTTTGGTTTTCTTCCTCGAGCTCGCTAACGTGGTCACACTGGGCATGCCATGCTGCCTTGACCTCTTTCAGGGATTTGTGCGCGCTGACCAACTCGTCATCCTTTTCTTGGTACTTGATTTTGTAGTGTTCGGCTTTCTCCCTTGCTACACCGTATGCCTCCCGAAGAGCAGCAGGACTGGAGAACTGTTCGGCGTAATCCTGAGCTGTAAAACTGCGATCAGGGTTCCCTCCTACGCGAGCCTGTTCACTAGATGACGAACCAAGTCCTGAGTCTCGAGCCGATTCGCGGAGGCTCCGACGGGGTCTCGATGACTCCCTTGGAGCAGTCGAGTTCGAAAACGTGACACGTCTGTGGTCCGACATGGCGAATACGGATGACTTCGAGGCAGGCTGAAGATGAAGGCTCCGGCGTCAGTGAGATGTCGCCTTTCAAGGCAGCTGCCGGTGATAGACGCCTGAATGATGGTTCACAGCGGAGAGGTCGACACTCGGATGAATAGGAGAGGTCGAAGTCTGAGGCAGGTGAGGCTATAGGCAGAAAGGTAGTAGTGGGAGTCACAGAGCGGGTACGGGTGACAGCCGAAGACAATGTATATAGAGACGGGCGCTCTTGATATTCAAGATGAGGTGGATGAGTAGGTCTGAATGTAATGTCTTGTGACGGGGAAGAGAAACGCGAAGAGAAGAGACGAGGACAGGAGAAATTTTATACAAAGCCTTCCGCGCGCTGCGATTCGCGAATGGGGCACTGCTGCCTTGTGATCTCAATGGCGCACTCACGAGCAGAAGGCTGTACAATGACATTGACGGCACTTCTCCATACGGCACATGGTTCTGTACCGGTTACAGTCATTGTACCAACCAATCAGGTAGATCGGCTACCTCTGACTTACATGGAGTCATACCTTTAGGCAGCGGCCCCTAGTCTGCAGCATCCTTCCCGGCCGATGAGCCTCAAGAGACGCAGGGTCTGTCTTGCCAGCCAAAAACGGCCTCAGAAGAGTGCCAAGGGAGGCACAGGAGTGTGGTAGTGGCAGGATGCACTCGCTCCAGTCTCTTTCGCCATTCTCGTCATGGTCGAGTGCCTCGCTGGGAGGCCCCTCAACCGCGCAACGCGCAATCGAGAGCATGCGGGTGCACTACATGACAACGCGAATATGTGAGAGGAGGAGGATGACGGAGGACGACGGAGGCGGATGGACGGGCGGAAGGATGGACAGAACCAGAAGCTTCGAGGGTGACATGAGCCGCAGACTCTGTGTCTCCCTCCTTGGTGATTTGGAACTCCCACAGGCCAGCTCTACACCGAAAACGATGCCAATCCGCCTTGGACGCCTTGGCGTTTTGGCCCCCAAACTGGTCCGCGGACGACGACTGAGAGCGCAAAACGCGTACCTACCGTACCTACAGTAGAACTTGGGTGGACTGCTGGCACTCGTCTGCGAGTCTGCGAGTCTGGCTGGTCGGTGCCATTGCGCTTCCGCGTCGAGCAGGCCAATCCTCGCAGTGGCGTGCAGAATGGAGGATGCCCGCAGACTTGGCTGGGCCAGTCACGAGGGGGACCAAGATGCTGCACCGCCGTTGAGTCTTGACTGCCTGCATATGACTCACAGCAGACCGCGTCGGTGGTTCGACATCGGCACGGGAGCATGACATATGCTCGTGCTATGGCATGCATTTGTAGATCGTGGGGTTCAAACTGGCGGTGATGACTTGGGAGTTAGGTAGGCAACAGGGCTGAATCTCGAACTAGGCCAGAGAAGTGGAAAAACCAGCGGGGTGCGGGATCTAGATGCCGACACCGACTGGAAGGTGGAGACAACGCTAGACCCACTGAAGCTGCTAAATGTTGGTGTCCGTTAGTGATTGGTACCGCCACTGCAGCTGTCGTTCTATCGCCGTGATAACAGCCCGATGTTATAGTCCCCTATCCATGATTCTAGGCTCCCGGGCGGTCTTCCTGCAAGTCAATCTGCCGTCTCCAACATCGAGGTCAACATTGAAGATGACGGGACACAAAGTACCTTGCTTCCATTTGAGGATTGGCGCTCCTGATAAGTGCGGCTCCCAGGGAACATGGCTGGTCATTTTACCACCATTATCGTCCATGGCCGCTGTCGTCCACCTCGGCTTTTAGCAACAAGAAGACACAGCCACGCTCTTCAAATAATCGCGATGGCTACTAGAAGGTAGAAGCTTCGTTGGATAGTCGCACAACATGAAGCAGCACACAACGAAGCTCTCCCCGGGCTATCGACCTAAGCCTCCACAACCACCTTCGACAACCACCTCACTTCATTGCGACGTTCCCCAGACTCCCGTCAGCCTACACCGCCATAACTCATGACTACTGTGTAATCACGCCGTTAGCGTTGCATGTATCAGGTGTGACGATGCCAACGGTGGAGGCTGAAAGACATCAAGTTCGTCGCGTACACGTCACGGTTGCCATATGACGACTGCAGGGTAAGTTCTATTCAGGGCACGCCATGCCCGTCGCCAAAACCAATTCAGACCTGGCTCCGTGACCGCGATCCCACAAGTCGCTTCAGCTGCATGTCAGCAAATAGCTCCAAGGCCCATTCCCCCAATCCAACGGTGGGTTACCTCTTAGATCTCACTATCACATCGACCACCCTCTCCATGGCTTAAGCTTCTGATGTAAGCTCCGATGCGCAGACTCGCAACAGCCAGTGGCAAGTCGAGTCGCACTTCGCGCAATGCGCAACCTCGAACAAATGCTGCGCCTCTCGGGAAGGAGGCTGAACCTGAACAGTCAAAGATGACCAACGATCTCGCCTGGGGAATGCATCGACCAGGGTCGCGAGACGATGCGCAGGACTTGTCAGCCTAGGTGGCGAGATGTCGTCGAGTGCGCGTCTAGGTGACCTCGCGGAAAAGGAGACGTTTGCTTTAATCACGCTTGCGGAACAGACAAACAACCGCTCTAGACATGAGGACGTGAAATACAGTAGAAAGAATACACAGTGTACTGAGCCCCCCACCTCGTTAATGTTACCCTCAGCGAGAAGTGCCTACAAGCATGCCGTGATAATGATGGCATCTGGTCAACCATAGGAAGTAGGTTCGGCAATCATCTGAACATCATGAATATACAGGCCAGAACGAGTGTCGAGAACCGCGCAAGACACCCTCATACGATGATCCCTCTCCCCTGTGCCGCTATGCCAAGCCTTCAGCCTAGGTGGCGACTCGACACTAAGATAAGGTGAGGTAAGATGATAAGATCCGCGTGTAAGTAGACACGACGCGGAAGCGGACAAGACAAGCGACAAGCGACAGTCATGCAGACGGCGCTTGACGATACAAATTATGGTTGCCTAATATTACCCCTGACTACGATCCAGTTTATGTGTCGGCCCTGGCGCTACTCTGACCTGGAGCTTGATGAGGCATCACGGGGTTGATGGGGGTGGAGAGCCGGGGTGGACACCGGACCCGGCTCACATGACGGGACTGACACACGAGGCGCGGCCATCCGACCTGCGACCTTATCGCGATCATCTACTGCAGGCTCCAGGAATGGGAATGCCAGAATTGCCATGTTATCCAATCTGATTTGGTACTGAGCTATCTATCTATTCGGCACTCAAAAGATGTCCACTCCACCAGTCAAAGCTACCTAATGTGTAATAATAACACAACCAAATGACAAGGCGCAGTCCGTAAATGAAAGGGAAACAGCTATCTGATAGATATAAGCAAATCAGTTGGCGATGGAATTCGCATATAGTAGAAGCAAAATCGTAATCTCGTGAACCCGGTGCATGAAGCCAGAGCCGTCGCCCTGAGCCGTCGCTTGCTCGTCTGCCTTTCCTCATTGTGAAGTCCCCCCGGCCTAAAACGCATTCATGACGACATATGGTATGCCAAAAGCTAGACGTGTTAGAGATTATCGAAAAGCCAAAGGGACTGAGACCTACATCAAATCATAGTGGTATCTCAATCATAAACTCCAACCCGTCTGTTTAGGGCCAAGCCAAAGGAATGTTCTCCGTGCCAACCTGAACATGCTGATCCAAAAGCCCTTGACTGAAATGTTGAAACCCTATCGGCGTCCTCCTTCCATCTCAACCGAACTCATAACGATGGCGATGACGAAGCGGGGGCAGCGGGTCGTGGATGTGCCGTATCGTATGCCGTAGTTCCTCGACGAGGGCCATGGCGTCTCTCAAATTCGTGGTACAAGTGAAGAGCGCGCGCTTCGACTTGACATACCGACGTTCAAACTCGGCGGACCGTTCTTTCCAGTGATTCGAATCCCGCTTCCAGTCGTGGCACAGAGAAGTGAGCTTCTCGATCTCCCTATCCTTGCCCGTGACCGTCTCCGTCAGCGTGCGGACACGGATCTTGAAGTTGCCGTTCTCCTTCTCGAGGCGACGAATGTCATGGTCTTTCCCGCTGACTTCCGTCTTCAGCTCTGCCACCCTTCGACGATATCTTCCGACGTTGTCCTCGTCGGTGGGGTGACGCTTCAGCTCCTGAACCTCGTCGATTATCTGCTGGTTGAAGACACGCAGGCGGTGTACCTCCTGGTTCAGAGCTTGTAGATCGCTCTTCAGTGTTCGGTTCTCGCGTGTCAGGGTCTCGTTGACGGAGAGGAAGTTTCGGTTCTGGTCACAGAGGTTGTCCCACTGCTCGATCGTGACGCAGGCGCAGTTGTCGGGACATCTTGGTCGGTAGTGAGGGCGGCTGTGATGCTGGTGATGGGAGAAGGACTGAGAGCGGACGAACTGGCGTTGGCCAGACGGGGTGACCCGGACGAACTCGGGCATCTGGCGAGGATAGATAGAGATCCCTTCTATCAGAGGATAGGGAACGAGTGCAGTAAGAGTTGACGATCAAGGTAACAAAAGGTTGAATGAGTTGACTGGTCAAAGAACGAAATATCCAGAGGCTCTTGCGTCTGTGGATATCCAGATGCAGTAACTAGTAGGGATGGTCACGAATGAGAGGAGTATCACGGGCCAAGGCTGGCGTGAGCATCTGCGGGAAGCTTATAAGTCTGAGCATAACCATGGTCGGCCAGCCCGTGATAGGCCTCCACCTGTAAGGCTGGGCAGGAGACGAACGTGGATGAAAAGCATGAGCAGGGGAATCAGTATCACAAGCGGTCATAAGCCATAGGTCCCTACCACCATCATGACCAAGATGGGAGAGGGTAAAGCAAGCGAGAAGTTGGGGGCTCAGCAGCGTGGCTGTCCAGGAAGAGGTCCACGAGGGGCAACTAGGTAATACACGCGATGTAGGCACTCTTGGTATACCAGCGAGGCAGGCAGCCCATTTTGATGTCATCTTCGAGCACAGTTCCGCGCTACGGGGCGTGTTTGATAGCAGACTTTACCGTCATCCGACGTTGAAGATAAAGGTCCGTTGACTCGAGTCTCCTCACAATGTCTTACAAGTGCCAGGTCACTTGAGCGGGCTGGCGAAGCGATGTCAGCAGACAAGAGCAGCTAATGCGTTAGAAGCCATAGTGATAGAGAGAGCCTAGGCGCCTCTCACGAAGTCCAGCTCAAGAGTTGCAAGACCATAGCAAAAGTCGAGGATCAAGTTGGTGTGAGGTTTGTCGCTGTGTCCAAGACCATGGGTGGTAAAAACAAAGAACCGTGGGGAGAATGGATTCTGCAGCTGCAAGTTGCAACCCTGCAGCAGTTGCAGGTAAGCGGGAAGTGGGGCTGGCATGCGCCCAGACCACACTGATTTCTATCACTGTTCCGCTTCGGTGCAGGTTCCGCCTAATCGTATCCCCCTGTCCATGATCCATCTGCTGGCTTCAACCTTCTCACCTGAGTCAGCTCAGCCTGTCTGCCTGTCAGCTCAGCCCCGGACCAGGCTGAATAGATTAGAAGCATTTCATCCAGCCCCCAATCCTTCGTTACAGCAATGCAGACACACGAACGTTGCCAGCAACCTGATGCAATCCTTTCCAGCTGGTCATGGGCTCGCTATCTATCTGCCTGATCGACTGACCATAAGAGGCCTCCTTGCCCCCCGACTCTGTCGCGCAAACCTGGGCTCGAATTCTGCCTTTCTACTGCCACGTCTGCCTGCTTGCGACATGCGACAAAGTCAGATGCCACTCCAATAAACACCCGCCCAGCCGAGCGTCAGTCCAGCGGGCACCCATGACCGACACAAACGAACGAACCCTGACTGATCATGCCCGACGACCTTTGCCAGCTGGCTTCGAATCCAGCTCACGTTTTTGCAAGTGGTCGCATACGAGACGCACATACTGACAATTTGGGTTTACTATCTCAGGCGCGCCTTAGCACAAAGCCATGTTTCTGATATACAGTGGAACCATCATTCTTCCGATGTTCAACAAACCACATCATAAGCGATCAATCCGGTATTCGCAAATCCTCCCTGCGACGACCCGCTCGCCTCGTCCGATCGAACGTTCTGCCTTGGCCCAGCTTAGTACAGCGCACCTGCCAGGCGGATAGCAACCGATTTCGTCTGTGTGTAATTGGCCAAGGCCGCCTCGCCCAGTTCGCGACCGATACCACTCTCCTTGTACCCTCCGAATGGCAGCTGGTGGTGCAGTAGGTTGTAGCCTAGATCACGATTGGTCAGCTCGCTGTAGCTTGTCGGGTGGGTTCGTCCCAACTCATGGTCAGGCATCGCGAGTGCGGAACAGACTTACTATTGACCCAGACGGTACCCGCGCGCAGGGCATTGCTGACTCGTATGGCGGTATTGAGGTCTTTCGTATGCACAGCAGCCGCGAGACCGTATGTGCTGTCGTTGGACATCTTGAGCACCTCGTCTTCGTCCTTGAACTTGGCCAGGGTGACCACAGGCCCAAATATCTCCTCTTGCATGATCTTCATGTCGGCAGTGACATTGCTGAAAATGGTAGGTTGGATGAAATAACCCTTCTCGCCGTGGCGCTCGCCACCAGTCTCAACCTTGGCACCCTCTTTCTTTCCCTCCTCGATGTACCCCATGATACGGTCGAATTGCAGCTGACTGACCTGGGGGCCTTGGAAAGTTTCTTCGTGGAAGGGGTCGCCAACAGCATTCGATGCTGCTCGCTTCTTGAAGGCCTCGAGGAACTTGTCGTAAATGCCCTCCTGGACATAGACTCGGGAGCCGGCGCAACAGCATTGGCCATGGTTGTAGTATATGCCAAAGTTGACCCACGAGATGGCTTGCTCGATATCGGCATCGTTGAAGACGATGTTTGGCGACTTGCCGCCAAGTTCAAGCGTGACCTTCTTCAGGTTCGACGAGGCCGCGGCCTTCATAACAGTACGGCCGACAACGGTCGAGCCGGTGAACGCAATCTTGTCGACGTTCATGTGGGAAGAAAGGGCAGCACCAGCGACCTTGCCGACACCCGAGATGATGTTCAACACACCAGCAGGGAAACCGGCCTCCTTCACGAGGTTTGCAAAAACAAGGGCGGACAGTGGTGTTTGCTCGGCGGACTTGAGAACAATAGTGTTTCCTGTGGCGAGAGCCGGTCCAATTTTCCATGCCAACATCAGAAGAGGGAAGTTCCAGGGGATGATTTGACCGCAAACACCAATCTGCGATACTGTCAGAATATTCTCCATTTTCACACGGTAAGGTCCCCTTTGGCCTGGTGACTTACAGGCTCCTGACGAGTGTAGTGGAAAGTCTCGGGGTTGATGTCGATGGTCTTGCCTTCGATCTTGTCTGCCCAACCGCCATAGTATCTGATACAGCCAGCCACGGCACCAACATCACCACGGGCCATGTTGATCGACTTGCCATTGTCGAGGGATTCCACCGAAGAGAGAAGCTCTGCGTTCTTCTCGACCAGGTCGGCGAGCTTGGTCATGTATATTCCTCGCTGCTGGGGTGTTGTGTGGCGCCACTCGCCCTCAAAGGCTTTCCGCGCGGCCGATACAGCTAGGTCGACATCCTTCTCTGTGGCTTCGGAGACGGAGCAGACAACCTCCTCGGTCGAGGGGTTAATGACCTCGAAAGTTTTCTTGTCGACACCCTCGACCCATTCGTTGTTGATGAACCTAAGTAAGGGGTAAAACAGTGTCAGTGCTTGATCAAGCGATCATGGGGAAGAGGCCCCCTTGCATGATCTTCACGCATTCGCCCATCGGTAGGTAGATAATCGGGGACCACTTACAAGCCGGTGGGCTGGGTGTAGCTGCCACTAATTGGCGTCTTTAGTTCAACGGACAGAGCCATGATGACGATACGTTGGTTTCTTTCTCCGGGTATCTTGGTAGTGGTGGAAATTTTGATGAGTAGAAGTGATGGGAGTACAAGGTTCGATGTAGGTCCAGCTCCCCGAGGTTGGTGATGGCAACAGCTGTCTTTGTATAGAGACTCGGGGCGGGGTAGGTGACGCCAGAGGGGGAAGCTCGACGGTTTAAATGGAGAGGGCCTCTTTTAGTGTCTATCTATCTACCTGGGCAGTAGTAATACCTTCCGACGATGGAGGCACCGCTCTCGGCATGTACATGTTTCGGGCTTTGCTCCTGCATTGAGAGGCCCGGGCCATTGTTCTCGAACGAGTCACAGCATATGCGTGAGTGGCCGCCCCCCCTCGCCTCCCACCCACCTGCATCCCCTGCGGCCACAGATCGCAACGTGGGATTCGACGCCACTGGAGACAGGACGAATGGAGTTACGGAGTTGGGGAGTTGGGGATCTGAGGTCATGTCATCATCAGCTTACCTGTCCGGCGAATGGGCAGTCGCGATGTCCTGTTCCCGTGGACGCGATTTCAACATGAACGAAGCTTCGGGCTATCAGATGTTCGTCTGTGGAGTCTGGGGCTTCCCCGCGTTTGCGGAGGTACGGGGTTCGGGAGGCTAGTCTAGCACGAAGCTATTGCTCTCGAGTCTCGAGCCAATCTCGAAACGCCTCAGTGATGATAGAATCAAGTTGACGGACAAAGGGAAGCTTCGCGTCCCAACACATAGAATTTAAGTAAAGTACTCAAGCAGGTTGTATGTCACGTAGTCTGACTTTTAGGCAGGATGAGTCGATTTTACGGGCAATAGCCTTTTCGCATTATAATAAGTCTCCGGCAGGTCGATGGCGGAACACTACGAGGGTGGAGTAACAAGGGTAGAATGGTGCTGCTCAAGTCGTCTTGGCCCAGGACCTCAGGATATTGAGATATTTACGGTTTAGTGATTACACGCATGCACTGGATCTAATATTTTGATGACAGTTAGCTGAACCTTGCGCGCCGAGCGCGGTAAGGTGGAAGCAACACTGATGGGGTCGCGCATCATGCCGCCCTAAGCTGACGTACTCGTCAAATAATGTAGCAAATTGTAACCAGCCTATGTACGATGCTCCGACTACTTCGTGAAATGAGATGTGAATCGTTATCTATCACTTGTCTTGACCACTGCTATCCTTTAGCCTGTCTGCGTGAAAGGGTAGGTAGTACTGGATATCAGAGCTCGACCTGGGGTTTGCATTCTGTCAACGTCACCTCGGCATAAGATGTAGCGAGTACCCGTTGCCATCGTCTGGGGTGCGGGTAGGTCCCGGTCTGGACTGTCAGGAATCGTCTTTGACCCGAGGCTCCGGCTTGGAGGTCTGCATGCAACCTGTCAGCGAAACGAAACCTCGGGATAGCTCATCAGTTGGGAGATAATCTACCAATCGTGAATACTTATGTAATCACGTCGATATCCCGAAGTTGGGTCTCCGTCAGCTTATTTATTACATACCTAACTGTCAGCATGGCAGGCCGCAGCATCGCTTTCAAACGCAACCACTACCTGACATCTCACTTACCCGCCCAGACTTATTACGAGCCACGTCATTAGTCTGGGCGGGTATGGACATACATGTAGAGACAACCTCCATGTAAATGTGAGCTCGTACTTCCACCCACCATAGTGTCGAGTGGTCGACGGAACTAGTGGAATAATCGCCTGACATACAAGTATGCAGTTCAATCCATATATTAATCGTCCCGTGAACTGACGACAACTCAGGGTATTAACAACCGTCGAAAGTTCATTTCAACGCGTCATTGGTGCCAAATGAAAGAATCAGTTGTCTATGAGATCGTGGCATCTTTTGGCTGTAGTTGTTATTGGTTGCTAAAAGGATTCCGATATCCTGGCTTAGAAAGAGTACATGCAGACATCTCTGATTCACTGAAAGCGCGTCTACGTCTGACATGTCAGCGATTAACCTCTGAGAAATGGTGTTTCAAGATAAAGAAAGATGAGATAGTGTTATTATCTCAGAACAACTTTATTATTGTGAGCAGAGAGAGACTAATACTAAAATTAGCACCGGGACATGGAATTTTGTTGTGGGGGTTACTGGCTGTGTATCGCCGCGATAAAGCATCCGGGGCAAGAATTGAGGGCAACTGATCGGCGCTTCAACCAGTTTTTCTCCGATCTTCAAGCATCAAGCAGCAGGAACAGCATCACATCACCGCCCACGCCAGCGAGTCGCGACCACCAGACCGACAGTTATCACACATTCAGACCCATGTTATCCTCGTCGCATGGTCATCAATTGATCCATGGCTGCCGCCGATGACGCCCTTGCGGCGGCCTTGAGCGCTGTGGCGGCTGCGACTGCCCCGCCTACACCTACGCCTTTGCCTTTGCCTTTGCCTATGAGTGAGTTGCCGTCAGCCTTCACTTCTTGCCTTTGCCATGTATACCCAATGCTGGTTACTAATCCTCAGTCTAGGCCCCCAGATTAAGTACGAACCCACGACCGGCGATGCGACGATACTGGAATCCGAACCACCGCGTTCGCCTCTGAAGAGGTCCCGCTCGCCTCACACTGACCATGCCGACGAGGAGCACCGAGACGGGAAGAGGTTTAAGGCAGAGCCTGACGGCGATGAAAACCTGGACGAGATAGCTCGGCTGGTTCAGCAAGCCGAGAAGACAGAGCCTAACGGCGGTGACAACCTGGACGACGAGATAGCTAGGTTGGTTCAGCAAGCCGAGGCCTCCTCCATGCAACAATTTCATACTGCAGTCGAATCAGAGCCGACATCAGAGCCAGCGCCTGAACCTGTACCCCAACCTGAACCCGAAGCCGAATACTACCAGACGAATGACGTATTCGAGAGTACTGAGCAGAGTCACATTGATTCCGCAGTTGAGGCCGTCCTGCAAGCCGCATTGGAGCAGCGAACGTCACCTATAGAAGATCCGCAACCACAGACAGACACATTATGGAGCAATCCGAGAGATTTTACACGCCGGAAACATATAATACCTGCGCTAGGTAGCTTGGTAAGTAGCATTGGGGAATGCGATATGGGCATATCTATAGCATGACCACTAAGATCTTGCCAGGCCATTGACATCCTTGTTGCGCTGTCCGAGCAACCTTTCGAGGATACCATCGCAACATTCACCGGCGACCCCGATGTAGAAATATGCAGCGAGTATAATTCTCTGAGGTCTGCTTTCGACGTTCAGCGCAGACAGCTCTCGGAACTATCGGAGGAACAGTGGCTTTTGAACCCCGTGCAATTGGGCTTGGCTGGCCAGGCAAAGGAGATCATTCGCATCGCGAACCTCGCTACAGCCTGCGCCAGCATGTTTGGTACAAACGAAATGACTTTGGAGGATATCAACACACACTTTATGAGCATCTTCGTTCCCAAAGGGGAGGAACTGCCGCGAGATACAGCAGAGCTATACCTGGGCTTGAAAACGCAGGTCTTTCTTGGCACTGTAGAAGGTGATCGTCATCAGAACGTCAGGGAATCTTTACTCGAGGAGCTATTTGTGGCAGGCCTTGAGAATGCGCTACAAGGGCACCACCCACACACTCCGTTGACGATCTCGGAACTAAACTTCCTCGCCGACGCGAAGACTCGCAAAACGATGCTTTTGAATGCATCAAGCAGTGCTGAAGCAATAAGTACGTATAGTGACGAGGTGCTTTGATGGATACTTACTGATACCCGGTAGATCAAACTGGGAAGCAATTCGCGTGGGAAGCTTACCTTGACAGCCTGAGCACATATCTGAACGATCATATTGAAATCATCAAAAGTCAAGGTTCTGGCAAAGTCGAGGTCAATGCAAGAGCGGAAAGTGTTGCGCCGGAAAATGATATGACCCATGGTGCAGACGCGGCCTTCGATCTGGACGCTGCGGTTGCAGAGGCGTCAAGGATTGCGGAAAGCTATACGGTGCCGAATAGCGAGGAACACACTGGTTACGACGACCTCTCTGCTTTCATGGCGGGCGAGGTAGCCAAGGCAGTCGAACAAGCGAAGGAGGTGTCATTGGAGACGGGAATGCCACCTGGTCTCGTTTCGGAGAACGAGAGTGCCTCAAGAGCTACAATGCTGGCGTTGAAAAGCATACAGCAGAACCAATACCAGCCCACGGCACTGGCTCAATCCAGCTGTAAGTCTGAACTGGACCCATCTTACGGGATTGCTGACCAATCGTTTCCAGCCCATGCCCAGTCAACCTCCTCGAGCCATAACAGCTATCAGCAACAGCAGAGACAGACACATACACAGCAGCAGTACTATTCATATCAACAACAGCCTGCGGCCAACACGCAACCATCCTACCGGGCTCCCAGCGACCAGCTTCCTCCTAACCAGACCGACTCCACGGCAGTCCTTTACGAGCGGGCGCGGCAGGCGGCAGCGGCTCGCTCGTCGACCCATGCACGTCGTGAAGGCTCGCATTCTACTCGCCGACCCTGGAGTCCTGAAGAAGAAAAGGCGCTCATGGTGGGCTTGGATACTGTCAAAGGCCCTCACTGGTCACAGATCCTACAACTGTTCGGGCCCAATGGAACGACCAGCAACATACTTGCTGACCGGACTCAAGTTCAGTTGAAGGACAAGGCTAGAAACTTGAAGCTTTTCTTTCTGAAGACTAATTCGGAAATGCCGTACTACCTTCACTCCGTCACCGGGGAGTTGAAGACCAGGGCCCCGACCCAGGCTGCTCGCAAGGAGGCTGAGGAGAAAGCGAAAACGAATTCCGAGGAGCATCAAGCGCATATGAATGGCATCATGACATTGGCGGGAGGGCTTCATAATAATGCGCCGTCGAGACCTAGTCCTTTGGCGACAGCCCCTAGAAGTGGAACACCAAACCAGCCACTTTCTCACCATGGCTCGCAGCCTGGCACTCCAAGAATCTCACAACTACCGACGGCGATACCTGCATCGCGCCCAGTTATACCTGCACCACAGCCGGTCAGCCTCCCAAATCTCGTGTCCGCAGCCCACCACCATACGCAGCCAGGACCGGCACCAAAGCTAGAGCAACAAGCTGAGCATAAGTCAGAGCACCAGCCTGACTCCGTGGCCGCACCAGTGGCTCAAAGCATTCGGCCGGACCACCCAGAAATGAGTAGCGAGGATGCGGCGCTGCTTGGCCTCAAAGCAGCCATGGAAGTGGAATTGGCATCACTTTCGGCCCCCGAGGAGCCAGTCTTGAAGTTGGAGGAAAGCCCCACGGAAAACGGTGGGATCCTTACTTGAACGAACTCCCTGACGGGCGATAATGGTGCTGAGTCACTTACCATTGGTTCCCTCGGGAGTCGAACGAGCCTTCAAACCAATCTACAGCAATATCACAGGCAGAGAACGTGTCGATGTGGATATGGAACCTACTATTGACTGCAAACTCCCACGAGGTTCTCAACGCCTTTTGACTGAAAAGCTGTTACCAGAGCGATATCGTTCGCGGCCCCCGCACGTGACACTGTCAAGCCTGGCAAAATCAGAAAGGGTCTTCGAGAGACCGGACAGGTGCTCAACGCCCTCTGCGACTCGCAAGGATGCACGATATTACACCCCGCAAGCCATAACAATGCAAAGGGTATGTCCGTCTGAGCGTTGGGAGACGGGCTAAAGGCGTCAAACGATGGTTTCCACGGAGTCATGTTTACGAGACCAATTTTTACGATTGATACCCTGGGGATGTTTTAGGCAGGTTGCAAGCGACGGTGGCGGCACGGATAGAGGCTAGAAGCAAACAACACTGAATACGGCAACGAAATGAACGAAGAGCACTTGGATCCCAGTCAATGATTGTTGTGACGCAGAGATTTCACTAGTCCGCCCTGCCGGATCTTGACCGCCTAGGGGAGCGGTCAAGTCGCACATACACGTTCCCGGGTGACGCAGGAAGCCGTTCTTTCGTGGACAGCTGCCGGAGATCTTGGTCCCGGGACCTCGGCCTCTGCCACTTCATGGTTCTCCACGTCGAGTCAACGTCGCGCTTAAATTAGCACAGTCCTTTTTGAGGCTTCCTCTCAACTTACTGACTTTTTAGGGTTGGTCTCGCGCCACTTTCATCGCCGTTGGTCACGTATGACATGTATTCATCTGATGCTGTAGGGCCATTCCCAGCCAAGCAAGTGGACGAAAGCGTGAGTAAGCCTGCTTGCTTCCCTTGGAGAGGCCGCGTGAAGACTCACTCCACCGGTGTGCGGTCAGGCTCCAAACAAGCACGTGCCCAACGCCCCTTTGCTGGGCAACAGGGCGGATTGCGCAGCGCATCTGCCTCTTCGTCTCTGCTCGAGATGCCCCGGCTACTTCTGGTATTGCTCTGTCGGAGCCGTTCAAAATTGCTCAGGTTGTCCAACAAACTTATCCACGCTCGTAGCGTGGTGTTTTCTCGAAGCATTGTTTACTGCTGCTGCTTTTGCCCACTAGAACCGCCCCGTGTTTGATACCATCAAAGAAGGTTGTACGCCTTGATCGCTCACCTCTGAACACGTCATGTTTGATACGTTCTCGCCTCTCCCTCCATGACTGAGGATCCAGGCGGTCTAGTCTGATATTTATCACACGTGAAGGAGTTGGCTGTTGTCTTTGCGCTACTATGCCTCTTGAACCAAGCACCGACCTTCTTTCTTTCCTCAGCCGCAGGTACTTACGATCGATACTTCGATACTTTGTCCATAATGTGCTTAGGCCTACCATGGCGGCACTCGACTAATTCCAGTTCCCAGTCTAGATCCAGTTCAACTTCCGCTTCTAGCAGAAGCGAGAAGAAGAAAAAGAAGCACAAAAGGCGGACAAAGGTTAGGAGGAGTCGACCCATGTTCAACTTTGGCGGCCCCTTCGGTGGCGGTGGTGGCGGTTTTGGCGGCGGTGGTGGTCATAGTGTGAAGTGCTCAACGAAATCCTGCAGGCAGAGGCCACTCAAACACACACAGTACTGCTTTACCCATATATGCAGGTTATACCACGAGAGAAACGCGCGAGGACGGAAGTGTTATAAAGGCTGCGGCAGAGCTACGGGGGATTTATGCAACAATCGTGAGCAGTTTCTCCTCCACTCGGCCGTTCCCTCTCCAAGTGCCAACCGAGCAATGCTGACACGAATCTCCTACAATGTAGACTATTACTGTGACAAGCGCGAACACCGCACACGATGTAGGTATCGGAGGAAAGATGGTAATATAGACAACAAGTTTTGCCGGGAAGATCGTGCGTAAACCCAGGACTCCTTGCACGACGCCACTTCTCGCTGACAGTTTCTCTATCCAGATGGCTGTCGAGAACCAACCTGCCAAGCGGCTTGTCTAGGCTACAAAACTCCCACCGTGTACTCGCACTTCTGCGCGGCGCACGCGTGCACGCACGCGGACTGCGACCAGCCGCGCAAGGGCAGCGGCACATCCTGCGACAAGCACACGTGCCACGCCGTGGGCTGCACCATCGACGTGCCCGGCGCGGCAGACCCCAAGACGAACCCGCTGGACGACTACTGCCCGAACCACCGGCTGTGCCAGAAGGCGGGCTGCGAAAACCCGGTCTACATCCACAACATCCAAACCGGCAGCCGCAGCTCCAAGTTCTGCTTCAACCACTACTGCGACGTGCCAGGGGCCGCGGGCACGTGCGACAAGGAGCGCGTCGCCGGGCCCGACGCGAAGGGCTGCGATGACCACACGTGCGCCTACTACCGCCAGATCCAGGGCAGCTGCCACAAGCCCAAGACAGACGCGGCCGGTGTGTACTGCGCCGACCACGAGTGCAAGAACGCCTTGTGCCGCAAGGAGCGCAACGGCGCCACCGAATGGTGCACAGAGCACCTATGCCTGGCTGCCGTCACGCTGAAAGCGACGTGCACTAACGAGAGAGAGGGCACGCCCACGAACCGGCTGTACTGCAAGGACCACAGGGAGTGCGAAGAAGAGGGCTGCTCTGAGTTTGGCGCTTTCGTCGGCAACGTGCGTCAGACGAAGTGCGACGAGCGTAAGTGTTTCTTTCTTGGTTTCGCTTTGGGAGATGTTCGATACTGCGCCTGGATAGGAGAGAGGGGTTGCTGCTTTTCCATGTGGACGGGACCTGGGGTTGTCGCTTGTTAACACAAGATGGAGGCAACGATATCCGTACAAGCTGGGAAATTTTCTTGGGTATTGATTCTAAAGGCAAAGAGAATGTGTGAGGGCCATCGCTATTGAGGAGGCCCCTCGCGAGATTCATGATTCTCTGGACCCCGAGAACTGCAGATACCCATCTCTCACCCCTTTTTGCAGCATTTTACACAGCGAGGCCCTTCCCCCCTTTTCACCAACCAGTACCAGAACACACAAGGACTGACACACTCCCCTCCCCATCGCAGACATGAAACCAAGATGCAAATTCCCAATCTGCACCACGGCCGCGCAGGCGCCCCCGGCCGAGTACTGCGCCATGCACACGTGCCAGTTCGGGCTGGGCTGCCGCAACGCCATCGTCAGCACCAGCGTCTTTTGCGTCGTGCACAAGTGCAGCGAGGCGGCGTGCACGAAGCCGAAGCTCGCGTCGCCCGACCCGGGCATGGGCATGACGGCCATGCTGCTCGCGGCCATGAGCCTGACCGGCAACAACGGGCAGCCCCCCGATCCGAACTTTGCGAACCTGTTCATGACCATAAACGGCGGCATGCCCGGCGGTGTTGGGGGCATGTACTGCCGCACTCATAATTGTAGGGAGGACGACTGTATGCAGAAAGTCGCGGCCGGTAAGACGGCGTATTGTCTGCTGCATAAGTGTCGTGAGAAGGAGTGTGGTAATGCGAGGGCGGCCGAGGCGGAGTACTGTGCTGAGCATGGGGATGGGGGCGGAGGAGGTGGATGGGGTGGAGGAGGTGGATGGGGTGGTGGTGGTGGAGGAGGGGGAGGGGGACGGAAGAGCTATTATCGGCAGTTGAGGTGGTAGAGATATTTGTTGGTGGGTGTATGCGGTTGAGCGAGGTGTTTATGGTGATGATATTGGTGCCGCGGTGCTGATGGCGTTGCTCGGCGTCGAGGCCGGCGTTATGGTGTTTCAGGGGTATATTGGAGTCAATGTGTCTAAGGACGTGAAGTAGGATCACGAAGCTGTGTGTAGGCGTGGTGTACAATATATGCTGGGTGGCATTGCACGGAGTCGGTATGATGGACGACAGGCGTAGTTTGTAGATCTAATGTTATGGCGACGTGTGACGCGACTGCTGCTCATGGCCCCATGTGTGCGGCTCTGTACAAAACTGGTTATTCTACAGTCTACCCAACGTCCTTCATCGTGAGGACTGCCCCGGTCAGTGGGTGACGGAAGGTAGCGGAAATTGCTAAAAAGAAGACCGGCTAGTCGCGACGATGCCCTGGGATCGCGAGTGCAGGCATGGCATTGCACAGAACGGTAATTTGAAAAGGGGGCGGATAAATAGGCTAGTAACACGAAACCGACATATAGATAGCCATCGCATCTCGGCCCGAGAGCCAAGAGGACGTCGGAATCACTTGCCTGTTCTGCTCTGATGTATTGACGATTCTAATGGTGGCATGACTGCCCAGTGTGCGAAACGTTCTAAACACAGGTCAACATGAGATACCTTCACGTGCGCCCGGATGCATCAGAAGGGGGGCACGACCCATAAGATACTCGTCCCTTTCGAAGTACTCTCTCAGAGGAACTCGTGATGGGTGCACCATGTTAACGCCACAGTCTCGTAGAAACTGGAGGACGCTGCGCTGGTCAAATGCGAGCGCGACCTTCCAGGGTGTCCTCCTGGCTTCGTAAAATCCATCGACCGGCACACCCTTGTCAGCGAATGACTTGACTGCTTCGGTGCTTCCATAGCGGCAGGATATTGCCATCATATCCCGCAAAACAAATGGGTCTCCTTTCAAGAGACGTCCTCCGTCGACGGCCTTCGAGACTATGAGATATCGGACGATGTCGATGTGCGAGAACTCGATGGCGCACCGAACGATGAGTTTCCACTGATCAGGCAGAACCTTGACACCGGCGCCCAGGAGTATCTTCGCAATGCCAATGTGGCCCCCGCACGCTGCGCAAGAAAGCGAACCTGGCTCTGGGAGCTCCTCATCCTCGCTCTCCCTATCACCGCGGAAGCATCCCAAGCCGTCGGGGTTGGCGCCTCGTTCAATCAGGAGCTTCAGTATATCTTCATGGCCTTGCTTTGCAGTCGCTTCCACTGGCGTTGCACGCTTCGAGTAACTGAAGAAGGCAGGTTTTGCCCCAAAAGTTGACGTACATTGCCGGTTTGTGTCGAGGCAGATATCAGGACTGCGGTCCAGGAGTCGTCGGACAAGATGCAGGTCACCACTGAAACATGCCTCACGCAACCCATTGTGCGCGACGTCATGCATGGGTCCACCATGGGCCCGAGACAAGAGAAGGTCTGCAATCCTGCGGTGTCCGAGGCGGATGGATAGAACAAGCACTTTTTGGTAATTGGAGCCACTAGTATTGTGTCCCCATGCGGGCTCCAGGAGTAGCTGGACTGATGTCAGATCGCCATTGACAACTGCTGTTTGAAGCGCCCGATGCACCGATGCATGCGCCCGTAGGCCGCTGTTTTCGTAACTCTTCTCGAGGATGTATCTTGCCAGCTCATGCTGCCGACCCCAGAGGGCGCAGCACAGATAAGTGCCGAAGATGTTATTCCGGGTTCGCAAGTTCCCGTCGATGATTCGTCTCGACTGCTCACATTGAAGCACAGGCCGGCCAGTGATGATCTGCGCCATGAGCAGGTATGTCTTGAAGGGAGCCCTCGCTTTGAGCCCCGTTCTCCCAGCCGGTGGATTAAGCGCGGCACGACGTAGAGGTAGTCGTTGTTCTGTCGGACGACGCAGCTCAACGCAAGTAGATGCTGGTACCTCGTGGGAACGTCATCCACGGGTACGCCATCGAGAGCCATAATCTCATCGACCAGAGAGTTGAGCAACACAGAGATGTTGGAATTCCAGTACGTATGTTTATGAGGACGGCGGAGCAAGTAGGCAGCCATGAAGTCGGCTTGGATCATTCGACCGAAGAAGCCTACCCCTCTTGTCCTGACAACGCCTGTATCGAATGAGCACAGCAGCTTCTCCTCCTCGATGACAGCCATAACCTCGCTTTCAAACAGCCCTACAGCGGGTATTAGCCTCAACAATATTTCCCTGCTGTATTGCCAAACGGGGTTGCCATACGATTGACCTGTCTCAGCTTCACCGAGTCGCGCAGCCAGGTAATCTTCAGAGCATGACGGATTATAGGCCTGATTAGCTCCGGAGGAAGGTCTAGTAGACTATGTCTTTGCTGTGACTGCATATTTTCTCGAATGCACAGGCTTGTTCGTTGATGAGAGGTTGGAAGTCAATGTCGGTGGTGCCTGCCAGGCGGTCAACAAGAAGCTTTGCATCGAGATAAGCAGCATTTTGGTGATCAAACCAGTCTATTTGAGCCTGGGATGTTTGGTTATTTCGTGTCGTAAGGCAGGTAGGTCATTATGCCAGCGCAAGAATCCTTCCAAAATACATGATCTGACACCTTTGTTTGCAAGATGGATGTGATGCCTTCGTGTTCGGTGTTCCGACAGTTGTGTTGTTCTTCTCTCAGTCAGCTGTGGCCAGGCAGCGGTACAGTGGATTCTATTAGCGCTCACCAACACGCCTTCAGGGCTACGTCACTGGGGACTTAGACTGTTTTAACTCGGCGATCAAGGACCAATTAGGGGGTGTAGCTCAGGGGTGTAAGTCCTAATCCACGGCTCCAATCAGTCTGCATCCATGTCTAACAAATCTTCACAGAGAGCGCTCGCTTTGCATCATCTTCAATGCCTGCGAGAAGTCCAGGGTTCAAATCCCTGCTCCTCCAAATTTCTTTTTTGCTGTTTTTTCTCATGATGTCTCTTTTGGCGTGTTATTTTTTTGATGGGAGCCCATGGACCTTTTCTTGCAAACATGCCGCCGCCGGATGTGGAAGCTCACCGGCTGAAGTCATATTTGGAGCTAGTTATTGAAACAGACCAGTGCCGTCACTCATCCCCGGTCTCTCATACTCAATGATCTGATGATCTGCTATTCCAGAACACAACAAAAGAGATCTCACACAAGCCTCGTTTGAAGGAAACACAGGTCTCTGCTGTAAGAACGACTGATAATCACAGCAGGTACCAGGCCGCCTATTGTGACCCGGAATGAAGTAGAAGCCCACCAAGGCATGCTTCACAGCAGGACACGGCATGTAGAGCACAAACTGAACCGCGATGCTTTGTTGCTTGCCTAGTAGACGCCGGGGATGATGACCCAATTTCCCTTGATCTTGTCCTCGCCGAACTTCTCCTTGTACCACTTGCCGCCGGCGACCGCTCGGGGCAGCATAGCAGAGATCTCGTTGAGTAAGAAGCATCGCGCCGGGGTGCAAGAAACACCGGCAGCAATCCAATATCCAGTCCACTCGACCCATTCCATGAAGTAGTGCGGGAAGAGCATGTATTTGAAGAGGCCGTTCTGCGGCACCTCGTAGTGCTTGTCGACGGTCCTGCCCTGTTTCTTAAGCCCGTTCTGGCGCCCCAACTCGCCGCGGCGGATCTCGCGCAGCTCCTCATCGGAGAAGTAATTGGCGGTCAACCCGACAAAGAAGACGACCACGCCAATTGAGAATTGTAGAACGGAGCTCTGGGCGCGCCACTCGTCCTGGGTCGTCGGGCCGTAGGCGGCCAGCCAGCTGCCGATGGCGGTGGCGTTGCAAAGCTGGAAGAAGATGGCCGAGGCCCAGACGGCGGCGTGGATGGGCGACATGGACGGCTGGATGATGGGGAAGAGGACGGCGCGGTAGATGTAGTGGATGACGAAGAGGGAGCCGAGCACCTTGTTCTGCCACGGCAGGTCTGTGATGCCGTGTTCGCCGGGCAGCGTGCTCATGATGTAGAGAAGCGTGACGAAGCCGGGGACCTCCATGGTCATCCACGCTATACGGCCCGGGATGTTGAGTTTGCTGGCGACTGAGGTCTTGCCCATGCCGTACCATGAGACGAACCATTGCATAGATCCGACGATAGGGTAGAATTGCCACCACCACAATAATGTCTCGTAGTTCTGGCGACTGGCGGGGAGCCAGTCTTGCACAATAGCCATGGCGATGAGCTCGCAATGACACAAATTGGCCAGCTCTGGGAGGATCAGGCGTAGGTCAGTGTACGATGATGAGTACCTAATAAAAAAGGGGTGGGTAAGTAGCTGTGTCGAGGCTCGAGAGGAGAGTCGAGTATCCCTAGTTAGTGTTACTGTATGAAAGCAAGGCCCCGGGGGTCATGACGTTTGGGACAGTTGTTGATCGAAGCCACCTCATCCCCGCAGCTATCTAAGGTACCGTACATGTAAGTGATACCTTACTAATCATCTATCACACTGGTCAGTTTCCATATGCATCGTCTTGATATTGTTCAAAATGCCACAGGGTGAATAACCAACTGCTGCCTGTTTCCGCACTCGGGACTTGTCAGATGCAGCCGCTAGGCAAAAGGGATTGACACTGACATCAAGTCAGTGCTTATATTTGACAGGACTCGACCTGGGACGCAGCTGACGACATGGAATACAGCGCTTCACCGCCACACAGGCCTCCCCGCACCGCCACAAGCTACTGGTTTACTGCATGTGTTGGTGTACCTGACTGACTGTACCTTGCACGAGGACCTCTTCCTCACCTCTCGCATTGAAGTTTCCCCTAATAAGGCTTCCTTTTGTTTTTCCCCTTTTCCGTTGCATGGCGTACAGCCCTGGCCGAGACCTTGCGAGCTCTTGAATAGCCTCGTCTCTTGCAGTAATTTCACAGCGTCGTACCTACAATCCACCTCCAGCTACCACCAGGAACCTTGAAGCTGTCACCCCGGGATGACGCAACCCCGTATCCGCCTTCGTCTGCCGCCTTTCTCGAGGCATTCCAATGCGCCGTACTCATTGACCCGTTGACCAGTTGACCCGTTGACCGCCGAAATAGATTGACCATCAACAGTAGAACAGACAGCCGCCCATCGCGCGAGCAGTCGACCAACAGGTCTACCGAACTCGACGGCCGACCTGCCACAATGGTCACACGAAAACAAGTCCCCGAGAATGCCTCCGCCGACACAAGTCATCCAGGTGTGCGACCGCAACTGTGGTCAGCCGCTGACTCTGAACCAGATGCAGAAGGAATATGGGGAGACCAAGACTCCGTCTCTGCCTCGGCGAGTCACCATGCCACAGGCGAGGCGGGGGGCTCCGGCGCGTTACAACATGTGCCAGACGCCTTGCGACCTGGCGTGGGCTCCAAGAGCATCAGCTACGTTGAAGACGAGGAGAACCCCTGGGGCGACGGCCCCAACACGCAATCCAATCTACCAGCCGTGAATAAGCAGGAGGTCAAGCTCGACGAGGTCCCGATTGCATTGCGACCAGCTGCGAACCATCCTGAGACGAACCCTTTCAAGCGAAAGCCACTACAAACCACTCCATCCGTACAAGACGCGACACATCCACCTGCGACGGCATCCGAACCTCCACCGCATCCACCGACACACGCATTCTCGCAATTACAAGTGCATGAGCCTGAACAGAGTACTAATCCCTGGCAGCCTGCGCTTGACGACAAGAGGCCACCCGCCACTATATACCAAGCTCCTCCACTTTCCCATCAAGATACTGGAAGCAACGTCTGGGACTCGGGGGCTCCCTCGAGACAACCCTCCACGGGTCCGGCCTCGGATTCGCCTGCCATGCCTCCTTTACAAAGCGCAGAAGACTCACAGCCATGGGATGATACACCTTCACAGCCTTCGCTGCCGGCATTGCCTCAGCCAACTATCGAGTCGGATGCGTTCATGGATGATCAACATGCTTGGGATGACCTAGGATCTGGGAACAAGGGCAAGCAACCAATCTCACACCCACAGCTGCAACGCCCAGCTGGCGATGGCTGGAACCTGATCGACCATGAACCTATGCCGGAACCGGCGCCGGACACGCTGTCAAGACAGAGTACATGGGAGAATTTCGAGGATGCTGAAGAGAACAAGGCAGAAGAGGCTACCGATGCCGGGCCAGCAGAAGAACCACCGGCTCTACCGCCTCGGAACTCAGTCGACGTACCTCCACCGCAACCGCCAAGACACCACTCCCCCAGTACTGCGAATAAGTCGGAAACGTACCAGATAAAAAACATCAACTGGGTTGATTCGACCGTGGCTAAAAACCCTCGGAAATCGCCCATTCTCGTCCAGAACGCAAACGGTCCTTGTCCGCTGCTTGCGCTGGTCAACGCTTTGACATTGAGCACCCCTGCTGACCACACGACATCAAATCTGGTAGAGGCACTCAGGTCCCGTGAGCAGATCAGTCTCGAATTCCTCCTTGAAGCAGTTGTTGATGAATTGATGTCATCTCGTCACTTGGATTTAGACGTATCCTTGCCAGACATGTCTGAACTCTATGCGTTCTTGAAAGGCTTACATACTGGCATGAATGTCAATCCCCGCTTCGTTCCTACTTCCGAAGTTGCCACAGCTCATAAACGATCGTCGCTCACACATGTCCATCCATCCGAGCGTGGGGACGCTGTCCCCGGCACCTTCGAAAACACAAGGGACATGGAGCTATATGCCACTTTCTCTGTCCCTTTGATTCACGGCTGGCTGCCATGGAGAGAGGATCCAGTGTACGATGCGCTGAGCAGACAGGCATCTTCGTATGACGACGCACAGAGCTTGTTGTTCCGGGAGGATGAACTCGAGGACAAACTCAGTAATTCGGACACGGGGCTTACAGAGCAAGAGCAGCAGCTCTACCAAGATGTTATTACGATCAAATTATTCCTCTCTACCTCTGCCACTCAGCTGACTCCATGGGGTCTCGAGGTTATCACCAGATCGGTCAAGCCAGGCTCGGTATCGATACTCTTTCGAAACGATCACTTTTCTACCCTGTACCGACACCCTCAGACGCATCAGCTATTTACACTCGTCACAGACGCTGGCTACTTTACGCATGATGAAGTTGTGTGGGAATCACTCGTCGACGTTAGGGGCGAACGAGCCGAGTTTTTCTCTGGAGATTTTCGTGTTGTTAGTGGTCCTCAAAATCACAAGCGATCAAACAGTGTGCCCGATGCCTGGTATGACGAGGCTGAATCTAGCAACAATGCCAGTAATTGCGGTTGGCAGACAGTGCAGAGTCGACGATCACGGAATAGCCACCAAATCGAAGCACATCCCGGTACACCTATTTCGCCGGGGCATGAGCAAGAGGATCGGGACCTGGCGCTAGCGTTGCATCTCCAAGAGCAGGAAGATGAACGTCAACGTGCAGAGCAAGTCGCTCGGCGCCGAGAAAGTCAATTGTCGGAGCAGTACATCGAACAGCAAGGACGGCAAGGCAACCGCACTGGTCCACGAAATCGTGGCGGCTCTATCAGCAGAGGTGGTGCAAGCCCTAGCATTCCGGCCAGAGGGGCCAGCCAGTTGGGAGGTGGGAGGCCGCCGGCGCAACAAGTTCGGTCGCTGATCCCACCTGTCTCGACAACCCATCGCCCAGCCGATGAGGCCACGGAGGAAGCGCCACCGAGCTATGAACAGGCTTCCAAGGCAACCCCATATGGTACGTATGAGAAACATCTATTGAGCTCAAGATTCCTTAGGTGCGGTTTTGTTACTTGCTTCATACCACTTCTGGACGTACTTTAGGTGAAGGACGGTATCTTAACTTTCATGCAGTACCACCTACCGGCCACCCCAGCCACCCTTCGAGCAGCCCCAGCAGTGCGACGCCTAGGAGATTATCGTCGTTTGTCGGGCCAAGCAATGCAGGACCGAGTACTCCGATTCGAGGTCGGCCGGGCGCGCCTCCTCCTGTTGCAGGTAGCAACGGTGGGGCTCAAGCAAGCGGTGGGAAGGATAAGGATTGCATCGTAATGTGAGGAAGACGCGGCCTCACCAACTTCTGCGGACGAAGAGCACGAGAGATATGTTTTTGTACGTGCATGGCTTGGCGTTTGTGGTTGGTTCTATTTCCTCCTGGTGCTCGTGATCCATCCTCCCTCGATACATCATAAGGTTATTACATCTGGTTCAAGCGGTAGCGGGCTCAAGTGGGAAGATGGGATAGGATGGCTTGTACGAGACGGACTTGTATAGGTAATTATCGTGCGGTAAGAAGCGACGATGCGTTCTGATGTCTTGGTCCAACCCGTTATGGTGATTCATCGACTATCACGAGCATTAATACCCTTAATGGGTATATAACCCCCACCCCAGCAAGTCTCTGTCCGCGCACGTCGATGGAATCTTGAGAACCCTACCTAATACTCAGTTTTTGGACAAGCACCCATTCATGATTGCTGCTATTGCTTACTCTAGAGTGCCCATTTCACAGCACAAAAATACCTCCAAACATGAAGCAGCTTGTCCAAAGGTGTACGGAGACTTACAAGGACTCAGTGTATCACCACGGAGGCCTCTCTACATCGGGAACATACCTAGTCTCATCGGCAACTTACATACCATGGCGGAGATGGCGCCCGCAAAGGCAATACGCCCTTTCTGCAAGCTGGTGGCCCGGTCAAGACTACCTATCACGGCTTGGGCATTGCGATTCGCTCATCTACACGCTCGAGGTAATCTAGGTCTTCTTTCTGGCTCTGGCGCTGGCGCTGGCGACAGCTATATACGTTGGCGGCATTCTGAGTGCAGCTGCGACCATGCTGTTCTCCAATTAGACTCTGTGTGATGGGGTGAGGTAAGTATTGGCGGCCAGCTGTGTCGCTTCTGTCTACATCCACCGATCGGTTATCGCACTTACCAACGCCGTGGATGGAATGGTAGACGTGAACACAAACAAAATGGATAGACGGATATCACCAAGTCAATCATCCATGCATCGTCAACATAACATCCTCATCCGTATCTCCCACATTGCCATCTGAACATCCAAGAGAGGCCCCCAGGATAGCCCGTTTCAGAGTATGTTTGTTTGTTTGTTTGTTGTTTGTTTTGTATTTAACGTGGGGGGTAGCTCCTCAGTAGTGCAAACCACGCCTCCCAGAGCCATTGCATCGCAAGGTTGTAGAGGTGTCAAATTAGATACATTCAGATCCGCGCACGAGCCTATCCTCGCTGTAGCGGTACCAATCTGGAGTGTTCAGATGGTTTTAGTCAATACCCAAGCACGATTCTGTCAGAAAAACCTCCTATCTAGTGACAAAGCGACCCAGTGAACCTCAGTTCTCTGGTGTACATATCGTTCCAGTAGCCGTTCGATATATGTCGCATTGGTGGGTGGAGTAGGTGTTTGTTATCTGCTGGCGAGGGAAACCACAAGGGGGAAAACCTCGCAGGAGTGGGTATTGTGGAGACAAGCTGCTTGGCTATCGGGCTCTGCGATAAAATGGGGCCTCTCCACTGTCGTGTGCTGGTTATCGACTCGCACAAGCCGGGTCAGAAAGGGGGCCATAACAGGATTCGAACCCACTTGTTCTCGTCGCCCACCGCACAAACGAGAACACAACCAGGCGCATTTGACCATTGCGCCATACGGCCCGTTTCAGAGTAGATATCCCATTCCCACGCCATGACCGCCCCTGCAGCGCCCCTTTTCCCACCAGACCACCCATACAAATTTCACACGCCGGCCCGGGACGCGGACGCGCGGCGTCCCATCGGCGGCTCGCTGGAGTGTACGGGACCGCCTGCCGTCGACGACATCATCGTCGGGAGCATCCACGCGGACACAGCGCCCGTTGACGGCGTTGGGACACACATCACAGGTCTTAGGCACACGCTGCGCAAAGAGAGCCTCAAGCTCGTAATGATGATGTCGAAAAATATGTACAAAATGAATCCAATCTAGGTACAAGCCACCGGTCTTTTACCAAATGAAATATGTACAAGAAGTCTCCCCCGCCCCCGTGTCGTCGCACTTTCACCTCTCCCCTTTCACCCACTTCACCAGCTTCAAGCCGTGTAAGTCTCCAGCAGCGAGTTGTAGTAGGTATAAGCCGTACCACTCGGCGGCTCGAAGGAGAAGATGTAGTCGCCCCACCAGGGGCCAGCAGCCCACCACATGGCGCCGGTCCACACGTCGCTGTTCGCCGCGAGGTGGTCGAGCATGCCCGTAATGGCCGACTCGCACACGTCGTTGGCGCCGCCGGCGAACTCGCCGATGATGCCGACCTTGCCGTTGTCGCGCAGCCAGGTCGTCGCGCCCACGACGCGCTGCACGCCGATGTCGGCCGACACGCACGCCTCGACCGTGCCCGACCCGTCCGAGTCGAGGTACTGGTGCATCTCGTAGACGAGCAGGTTCTGCGGGTCCGTGAGGTCGGCCAGGTTCGTGTTGGTCGTGTTCCACGTCCACGCGCCCGTGTAGCTGTTGCCCTCGACGAAGATGGTCTGCGAGGTGGCGCCGGCGGCGCGGATGCCGTCGATGGCGGCCTGGTTGAGGTTCAGCACCAAAGTCTGGTCCATGTCGTGGTACTCGTTGTTGGTGTCGAAGATGACGTTGGCGTTGTCGGCGAAGGCCGTCGCGAGTGTCGTCCAGAAGGTCCCGAAGCCCGCCGTGTCGGTGATGATGTCGCCGTAGTAGCGCCCGAAGTTGTGCGGGTCGAGCACCGCGTAGGCGCCCGAGTCCGTGATGTGGCTCACGGTTTCGGTGAGGTTGGCCAGGTACGCGGCATCGGCCGCGCCGGTGAGCTCGGTTGGCACGATGCGCTCCATGGAGAAGGCGACGCGGAAGATGTTGTAACCGTCGCTTATGAGAGTCTGTGATTATACGTCAGCTTTTTGGTTCGTACATGACATTCATTGCTGGAGGGCCTATTGGTCTTACGGAGACGGCGGTGTCATCGGGGAACGTGAACTCAGTCCCCCATGTTCCGGGATAGGTGCCCGACCCGAACTCGGCGGAGCTCAGGTTTATGCCGAACCACTTGAGGCCGGCTGCTGCGCTTGTCGCAGACGTGGAACTGCTTGCGGTCGTCGCGGTGGCGGTTGTCAGGGTTGACGTCGCCAGAGTCGTCGAGTTTGCGGCGAGCGCAGCGCCGGCGAAGGCACTGCCAAGGATGAAGGAACGCATATTGAATAAAAACCTCAAGGGACTGTTCTCGTTCTCAGAAAGTGCTCGTACGAGGACCGGACTGGCACACACATTGTCGGCGAGGGAGAAGACACGGCTATATATTCCGCCTTCGTCTTACAAGAGGATGGGATCGTCGAGGAGTTTGCCCCTCGACGTAATCTACATGCGACTTTGGGCCTCGCGGCTCGACTTCGCTACCGTAACCAGTAATGGAGGCGCGGAGCGAGGGCCGTCGCCCGAACAGGCAAGCGGGCCGCCGAAAGGATACAGCCTCAGGTGGGCTCCGGAGTGTCGGGCAAGCGGCCCCTGAGAACCGGAGACACATCTGGAGTCCACGAATGAAGTCGCTGATAAATTGCCGAAGTCAAGCGAGGATGGAAGCCCATCATGCACATAGACGGCGTCAGTTCTGGTTGGCTATTGGTGGGCCGTGGGCCGTGGCTCGAAATACGGGGACGGTTGGTAGAAATTAATGAGGGATTGCCAGCAATTTCGAGAAGTGTTTCACTGTTTTCAAATTTCATTAAGATCAACGTCATGATGGCAGAGCTGCTTGCAATGCTAGCCAAAGAACAAGTCAATGACAGCTTGCGATCCTATCATGCGATCGGCTTTCTTTACGGTCTCCTTTTCTGTTAGCCTCAAGAAGCACCATATTCGTCCTTGATCGCGTCTGTGACTCGATCCTGTTCCCTCCTCTTCTCCTGTGAGATCATCATCTGCGACGGTGTTAGCACCCCAGTTCTCGGCATCCACGTGTCGTAGAGCGCCCTGACGGTATCAGAGATGCCCTCTGGTAGTTTTGCTTTATCGGAAATGCTCCATGTCTTCTTGCTTAAGCCATCAATATTGTTTGTTTGTTTTGTATTTAACGTGGGGGTAGCTCCTCAGTAGTGCAAACCACGCCTCCCAGAGCCTCTGCATCACAGGGTTGTGGAGGTCTCAAGATAATAAGTACAGTCAGTCCCGCTCACGGGCCCATCCCCGTTGTTGCGGCGGTATGACCTTGGGGTCATCCATCTGGTCCTTCAAGGAAGGCTATCTATCGGGGGCAGATTGTTGAAAAGAACTTGCTCTTCTCCACGAATTTTGCCCATTCTGTGCTCCTCTCCCCTAAGTATTGTAAACAAGCTGCCCTAGGCGAATGCTTAGGCAGTAGCCGATTTTTCCCTAGCCTCTTATAAAAGAAAATGTGTTGTGGTGTTTTTTTCTCACCACAGCTGCAGTGATCATTTGAGTCTGTGTGCCCAAAGCGTTCATGGTATCTGGCAAAGTCGCCATGTCCAGATCTGGCCGCTAGAAGTCTGTGTAAAGTACTCCTCTTAAAAGATATAAGGTCTCTTTCAGTTACTGTATGTGAGTATACTTCTTGATACCTAGATTCAGATTGGTCTTTCCACCATTGGTTGAACTCTTTCTTGCCCTGTCTTTTGAGATCTCTCTTGACCCAAGAGATTGTAGGAAGATTTGTTGTGTCTGTTTCCAGCATGGCACCCTCTTTTGCTAGTGTGTCGGCAGCTTCGTTGCCATCAATATCTCTGTGTCCAGGAATCCATTTGACGGTCACTCCAGGAGTGTGTGCTGTGGCAAGTTCTTGAAATCGTAGAAAAATGTTTTGTGATGTCTCGGGTGGAGTTCCATTGAGCCCATCTACCACTGACGTGTTGTCCAGGCAGACATATAGCTGTTTTCCGTGTCCAATTGCCCTGGCTGCTGCAAGACCTTGGAGAGCACCATGGACTTCAGCATCTACTACTTCTGCTTGTAGAAGTCTGCCCCTTCCCCGGTATACTTCTTGTGTAGTGCCGCCTTTCCTGATGGTATAACCCCATCCAGTGCGGATTGTGCCTTGGTCATCCAACTGTGATCCATCTGAGTAGATGACAAGGTCAGTGTTCACGTTTCTCTCTTGTAACCATTGCTTGAAGAGCTCTGTTTCTTTGTCTTTGTCTTTGCGGATTGGGCGCTTTTTCCATGATGGCCTGGTAAGTATTGGTCTCTGGAAGTCAGGGACTAGCTGGAAGCTCCTTTATAGCCTTGTTGGATCCTTGCGAGCTTGTATTTGGAGCCTGCCAACCAGAGGGTGTCTCTGATCTATTCGACCTAGTCGGAGGCCGTGACGTCGTCTTATTGTCTCTGCAAGAACTCCTGCTGGGGGAATCTGCGATTCAAAGTATAAGATATGTCCAGGGTGTGTTTTCCAGACTGGCAAGATAGCCCTGATCGCCGTTCGTAGTACGGCATCTATTGTTCCAAGAAGCCCCTTAATGCGACATGCTGATGTCTCACCTAAGCTCCCAGCTTTCTCGATTCCTGGGTACCAGGCCTCCAGGCCATGTGTGAGAATAGGAATAACACAAGCTTTCACAGCCCTCTTGGTTGACTTTACTGGAAGTCCTTTGACTGTGTTGCATAGTCCTCGAAGGTGATTTGCTACCCTACTAGCTTTCTTGGCCCAGTGAGAAACATGGTCTTTGAAGTTTAGTTTCCTATCCAGAAGGACACCTAGCCATCGCATGGAATGCTTAGCTGTTTTGTTCATTGTTCCGTGGCAAACTGGGGGATTGTCTGAGTTCTTTTTGCGTGAGAAGTGCATGATCTCGGTTTTGTCGGGATCAAATTCAATAGCATTGTTATGTCCCCATTGGTTGAGTAAATGAAGGTTTTCAGAAGCCTCTGTAGCTGTTTCTTCAAGGTTCTTTCCAATACAGAGTGTTGCTAGGTCATCTGCATATCCAAAGCGTCTTCTTTTCATGCCAAGTCGGGCACAGATTGGCTCTGTATACAGCATGTAGAGGATTGGAGAGACTGGTGAGCCTTGTGGGAGCCCACAAGTGAGAGCTTTTATATCGGTCACAGTACCTTCAAACCGAACTCTTGCGGACCGCTCGGACATGAACGACTGGACCCATCTTATGAGAAAGCCTGGCCAGCCCTGTTCTCTCATGCGAACCACCAGCCGTCCCATTAGGGCAGCATCAAAGGCCCCTTTCACATCTGATGTGACTACCGTTGCAACGAGGCCTTGGTCAAGGGCCTGCTCAATATCGTGTATGAGTGCAGCTACCAGGTCAGTGGCAGAGCGCTTTGGTAGAGCTCCAAAATGTTGTGGGGCTAGAATTCCAAGTTTGACAACAAACCAGGTAATTCTTTTCGCAATGAGTCGTTCTAGGCCCTTGCCAAGACATGACAGTAGCGATATTGGTCTGTAGGCCCTGGGATTGGAGTAGTCTTTCTTTCCTGGTTTTGGGATCATCACCACCTCAGCTACTTTGAATGGTTTAGGGTGGTGTCCAATCAGTAGGCAGGTCTGGAAAAGGGCTCTGATATGTTCACCAATGACTGGCCAGCAAGCTTTCAGAATCCGTACTGTGAGGGTATCTACTCCCGGGGAGTTGCTCTTGGTTCCTAAAGTGCACCCTTCAGCCTCTTCCAGTCCGACGTGGTATTCAAGGGGGATGTGTGGCTTGGGTTGTATGATCTGAGCGGACCAGGGGTCGATGATATCGTTGTCTGAGGTACTTCGTTCAAGCGTGGCTGAGCGTAATGCATTTGCCTTGCTCTCTTGTGACTCGAATATTTGGTCTCTTATGATGATTGGAGGGGAACGCAATCCTGCTGATAACTTGTGCCAAGAGACGATTCTATATAGGTCCTTTGGCTCAGTTGCTGAATTGATTAGAGTCTGCCAGTACTCTCTCCTAACTTTCTGAACCACGCCGCGAAATTCCCGTCGGGCTGAATTCCGTCCTTCTTGGCTTGTAGTCTGTTTGGAAAGGGCCCTGTATGTCTGAACAGCTGCTTTGCAGTCATCATTCCACCAAGCAGTGGGCCTAGATTGACGGGGCCTCTTGCCCACTGTCCTAATACAGCCTTGGATCATGTTGATCAGGCTTTGTGTAAAGGTGTCCACCTGGCCAGGGGATGCACCCAGCCGGGGGAGTTCATGAATCCTGGTTTGGACATTATCTGCCAGCTCCTGTAGTTTATCGTCCGGTACTATCCAATGATTGGCCTTGGGTACTCGGTCCAGATCTCCCTGGATTGGAATGACTATTCGTAATGTCTCATGGTCTGAGGTGCACTGAAGTGCATCATTGACTGAGGCTTCAGCCATGGGGACATCAGAGAACACCAGATCTAGTACATTTCCGTCATCATGTGTCGGGACATCTGGTTCAGAAATCAGATCCAGTCCATGGTCTGCCATAATTTGTGCAAGTATAGCACCACCATGATATCCTGGATTGCTTGAGTCCCAGGATGTGTCGCCAGCATTGAAATCTCTAGCTATAACGCAGCCAAAAGGTGGAGTCCATACTTCCAGAATGTCATCCACTTCCTGTGGGTTGTCACATGGCCGGTAGACACTGGCAAATGTAATGCCTTGTACCTTGACCCAGGTGATGTCTCGTGTAGCATAGGGCCGAAATTGATCCGCTTGAAGGTATTTTCTCACATAGATGAGAGATCTGGGCCGTGTACTGTCGCTGTCCCAGGAATCCACTGGGGAGTATATATCGTAATTGGGGTGTGTCTTTACTCCCATTCTCCTGCCTGGTGGTATGCCAACCCAGGGCTCTTGCATCAGAATGATGTCTGCTTGTTCTCCTTTATAGTCAGCCAGGTTGATGGCTAACTCTGTAGGGCCTGCACTCTTTTGTCCCCCTGCTGTATTCACAGAATGGATGACTAGATGCCCGTGTCGATGTGTTCCGTTTGATGTACCTAACATTGACTGACAACAATGGTATCGGCATCTCTGGGATGAGTTGTATCTGTTGTGTCGATTTGCATTGTGGTGTCTTTGTTATTATTGCTAGGTGTTGACCCAGCTTGGTTTCTGCCTGCTTCGTTGAAGGCCTTGGATCTGGCTCTTTCTCCGGCTAGCCTTATTTCCTGGATTTGCTCCCATGTGTGCTTATGGATGGTACCTTTCACAACCTTGGGGCGGGCAGGGCATTTGTCGAAGTTGGCAGCATGAGGTCCTTTGCAGTTGACACACTTTGGGATTGGTTTTTCGCACTCTCCCTGGTGTACTGTGTTGGCGCAGTGTGCACATACTTGCTTTTCGCATCGGTAATTCCTACCATGGTATCTGAAGCAGCTTGCACACTGGTGAACCTTGGGGGTGTGTTGAATATGCCTTGAGGTCATTGAGTGGGCAAAAAGCGTGAATGGTTTCCTTGCTGCACTGGGCAGAGAGATTATCCACGTGGTTTCTGGATCAGAATCAGTCGTGTTCTTTGAGAGTATGCACCTCAGAGGTCTGTCGCCTGTTTGGGCTTCAACTTCATTGGCAACAACAGTGTCGGTAATATTGATTGTGAACCCTTCTGCACTGATGACCTTTCTTGGGCATCCATCGACCTTGTAATGATGCCAGACTGTGTGGGTCTCAATCTTTTGTGCCTTGAGAATGTCGGCAATTTTTTCTTGGAAAGCCAGAAGCTTAGCCTGAGTTGGCTTGTCCCTTGGGTGTAAGGTAAATCCAGAAGGACACCGTGTCACTTCTCTAAGCTCCTGAGGGTGGAGCTTAAGTCTTCTGTTTAGTGTAGACTTGATTCCATAAGGCTCAAGGTGGCTATTATCCATGCGGACAAAAACCCGGAGATCATCCTGTTTCCTCTTCAATTGGTTGATAGTGATAAGGGCACTAGGCTGTGTTTTCTTTATGGTAGTGTTGACTATCCATGGATGCTGTCGTTGGCCAGAGGAGACAGCTTGGGCGAAGGTCATGGTGGGCTTCCCTATTTCTATCCCCCCAGAAGTGGCCTTTCTTGTGGTCAGATCTCGGGTTTCCAGCCACTCATTCAGACATTTGGAGAAGAAAGCGCTGAACTCCTTGGCATGAGAGTATAGTTCGGTTCCAGCTTTCTCAAGTGTCTTATCGACTGCTGCAGCACACTCCTGAAACATTGTCATCCTGGCTTCATAGAGATGCTTGTCTTTAGCCAGTATTTTAGCAACTTGGTCCTGGCACTCTGAAGAGGAGACTTTGTTCCCTGTATCACCTCTAATGGCTTGGTCTGTAGGGATTTCGCTTGACTGAGGTAATTCCATATTAATGGTGCTGCTATTAATGATATTTCGGGATTTTCCTTTCAGAGGGGAAACAGTGGTGAAGTCAGCCTCAGAGACCTGTGACGGGCTGCTGTTGATATCGTCGAGCAGTGCCTGGCGGAGCCTGCTTGGGGTTGCCGGGTCATGTGTTCTTTTAGGGACTGGGGATTTGAACACGCCACCAGTAGTCGTCTTTGGGACGGCCACTGGCGTGTTTGGGGGCCTGTCGTGAAAGGGTGCCATCCAGCTTGTGAGAAAAATTTTCTGCGCCTTGGCAAGGATAGTCAGGTACTGAGACAAATGCCTGCTTTAGTACAGATATAGAGGTTGCGCCCTAACAGCGGGGCGCCAAGAAAAATAGTTGTTTTTGGCAAGAGTGTGTTATCAAGATAATAAGTACAGTCAGTCCCACTCACGAGCCCATTCCGCGCTCCTCTCCCCCAAGTATTGTAAACAGGCTGTCCTAGGCGAGTACCTGGGCAGCAGTCGGTTTTTCCCAAGCCTCTTATAAAAGAAAATGTGTTGTGGTGTTTTCTTCTCACCGCAGCTGTAGTGATCATTCGAGTCTGTATGCCCAAAACGTTCGTGATATCTAGCAAAATCGCCATGTCCAGATCTGGCTGCTAGAAGTCTGTATAGAATGCTTCTTTCAAAAGATATAAGGTCCCTTTTAGTTACTGTATGTGAGTATACTTCTTGATACCTAGGTTCTGATTGGTCTTTCTATCATTGATTGAATTCTTTCTTGTCCTTTTTTTTGAGATCGCTCTTTACCCAAGAGATTGTGGGAAGGTTCGTCGCGTCTGTTTCTAGCATGGCACCCTCTTTTGTTAGTGTGTCAGCAACTTTGTTGCTATCGATATCTCTGTGTCCAGGAATCCACTTGACGGTCACTCCAGGAGTGTGTGCTGTGGCGAGTTCTTGGAATCGTAGAAAAATGATCTGTGATGTCTCGGATGGAGTCCCATTGAGCCCATCTACCACTGACATGTTGTCCAGGCAGACATATAGCCATTTTCCGCGTTCAATTGCCCTGGCTGCTACAAGACCTTGGAGAGCGCTATGGACTTTAGCATCTATTACTTCTGCTTGTAGAATGTTTGTTTTGTATTTAACGTGGGGGGTAGCTCCTCAGTAGTGCAAACCACGCCTCCCAGAGCCTCTGCATCGCAGGGTTGTGGAGGTCTCAAGATAATAAGTACAGTCAGTCCCGCTCACGGGCCCATCCCCGTTGTTGCGGCGGTATGACCTTGGGGTCATCCATCTGGTCCTTCAAGGAAGGCTATCTATCAGGGGCAGATTGTTGAAAAGAACTTGCTCTTCTCCACGAATTTTGCCCATTCTGTGCTCCTCTCCCCTAAGTATTGTAAACAAGCTGTCCTAGGCGAATGCCTAGGCAGTAGCCAATTTTTCCCCAGCCTCTTACAAAAGAAAATGTGTTGTGGTGTTTTCTTCTCACCACAGCTGCAGTGATCATTCGAGTCTGTGTGCCCAAAGCGTTCATGGTATCTGGCAAAGTCGCCATGTCCAGATCTGGCCGCTAGAAGTCTGTGTAAAGTACTCCTCTTAAAAGATATAAGGTCTCTTTCAGTTACTGCATGTGAGTATACTTCTTGATACCTAGATTCTGATTGGTCTTTCCACCATTGGTTGAACTCTTCTGCTTGTAGAAGTCTGCCCTTTCCCCGATATACTGCTTGTGTAGTGCCGCCTTTCCTGATGGTGTAACCCCATCCAGTGCGGGTTGTGCCTTGGTCGTCCAATTATGATCCATCCGAGTAGATGACAAGGTCAGTGTTCAAGTTTCTTCCCTGTAGCCATTGCTTGAAGAGCTCTATTTCTTTGTCTTTGTCCTTGCGGAATGGGGGCTTCTTCCATGATGGCTTGGTGAGTGTTGGTCTCTGGAAGTCAGGGACTAGTTGGAAGCTCCTTTGTAGCCTTGTTGGTTCCTTGCGAACTTGTATTTGGAGCCTGCCAACAAGAGGGTGTCTCTGGTCTATTCGTCCGAGTCGGAGGTCGGTCCGCGGTGGATCGAAGGACTTGGGTCCCAATACAGGGGGTCGCGGCTCGCTCCGAATCCAGATTCTTGTTGGATTCTGGGCTACGTTAGCCCATCCATAGTCATCCTTCAGGATCACCATCCCCATTTGTGACTCTGTCACATACGTGGCCAATATAAGGCCACGTATCCTTTCCTTTAGTATCTTGGATATATATAGGGCCAATCTGGCCGCTCCAGAGTAGCTGGAATTCCTCTCCTTAATAGAACACTTTGAAATCTAACAATTCTTAGGGTCCAAGCTGCCAAGTCGGGACTTTGATGGTGGCTGATTCCCGCTGACAGGCTGACAGCTGGAGGAGGAACGTCGATACATCGCACTCCTTAGTAAGGCAGATTTCTTTAGCAGATTTATCAGCCGCAAACAGAGTCGCCTAAACATGGCTCGATGACGCGCCACCCTACATCTGCCGCTTCAGTAGATGTTGAAGGGCCCTGGGCCACAAACATCAAGTGACACATAACACATCTACCTAAACCCTTTGTGGGATTCCAAGATATTATTCCACATGCTAGTCGGCCCGCCTTGAGCCCAAATGATTGCCGCGAACCACCAATGCCGATTTTGGTCGCATGCAGGTGTGTATCCAATAATACAACCTGGATTAGATGAAGGCAACCGTGTTTCCAAGGCTAGGTCTCACTAAGAGGAGTAAAGGCGATGACGACAGTGGCCTTTGACCCCTCGAAGGTGTCAATAATACAAAGGACGAGATGTGAACTAGCTGCTACGGACAGGACGAGTGTCTCGCCACGATGGTCGTCAGATGAACAACCTCGAAATAGGACAACAAGGGTACCTACTTGGGATTGGTGTGGGGGGCGGTTGCCTGATGAAGTCGTGGTAGCCTGCGAGGAACCCTAATCAGGTGGATGGCATACCAGGTATGCCAATAATTCCCATCATGTCATCACCCCTTCACATGGGTGTCGATAAAGGTTCCATGAAGACTGTGAGTGGACAATGTTCCTGTATAATATCAGATGACATATATTATCAGATGACATATAATATCAGATGACATATAATATCAGATGACATATAATATCAGATGACATATAATATCAGATGACACTGCCTCCAAAGATAGATTCATGGCTCACTTTGGACCCCCGGAAAGCCAGGGTACTAGAAGATCCGCGAGAAGGAGTGTACCCTCGGAGCGCGATCAACTCAGCCAAAACTACATACCTAGGTACCTAATAAAACTACTAGGTTTTTTTTATTCTATGTAAGAACCTCGTAAGGCAAAGTTCTAGCTGAGTCGAGGTTCGGGATCCTCTAAGCGCTAAGGATCCTCTAGTTGTTCTCAAAAGTTCCGGGTCGAAGGACTTGACGACCTCGTAACTTATCAAAGAGCGATACTTCTTCTATAACACCATCAAGTGCTACGTGATGCCGCGCAACGTATCCTTGACGGAGCTATAAGTCGTCATCGTGGAAGTCTTCACGACATGTATCGCAATCCCAAGGGCCCACTGTCCAGGCATCCAATACCGGAGTCGGCGACAACTAGTTCCAGAACAGCACCGCTGTAGTGGCACATGCTGATCTAGGTAACACACAAGATAATTAAAGAAGTTCGGATTCCTGAGGGAACGGCAATGGTGATGGTAGCCTGTGAGATCAGCAGCGGCGATCATGTACAGAGCTTGCGGCAGGAGAAGGAGGCGATAGGTAGGCCAAAGTCAAGCATACTGACTACCGTACCAAGTGGGATATATAAGACTGGAACTTTGTGTGGGCTTCTTGGTGTTCTGGTTTCTTGAAGCAAACATTCGTAGTCGACTCCACACAACCAAAGAGTCATAGTCGCCTGCACACAACACATTCATCATGCATTGTAGGCTGAACCAGCCCGTGCCCTTTGCACTAGGCACTCTTGCACTCTTGAATCTACTTCTCACTGGTTCTTCATCCGCATACCCGACCAAGGAACAACGCGAGGCCGAGTACGATGCAATCGAGGCCAGATACCTACTCGGCCAGTCAAACGGCTCGCCGACATCCCCGAAAACCCCAAGTCTCCGTCTGGCACGCGACAATGACGAGAGAGAATACGTGTCCGGTGATTTTGTCATTGACATGACGGGAGTGGAAGACCCGCCGGAGGGTGAGGAACCAGCTCCCGTTGGCGAACAATGTCGCAGACCGGAGGATGGAGATGTGGAGGTGATAAACAGGGCTGGAAATTACGTGGGTGAAATTGGCAATCGGGGCAAAATCAAGGCATTTGTCAAAGGCGTTGATTGGCCCCAAGCAGGAGCAGCTCTGACGTCCATAATCGTGGAGGCGGCTTTGGGTTTCGCAGTACTCGAGGAGGAGGCAGCAGAGCAGGACGGACTCATGGCCTTGCCCACTCTTATTATCGCTCTCCTCGCGGGCTCGAATGCTCTGGCGAAAGTGACCCGGAAGAATGCTGGCTGGTCCGAGAATCCTGTGAACCTGCCGTCGTTTGCAAGCGAGTTGGGTATCTTGGTTGTCAGCCTAATACTGCTATTCCAGGGCATCCTCAGCCTTATCTTCAAGGGGTTAGAGGTGCCTACGGATTACAAGTCGGCCTTGAAACTTCACAGTGGGTTCCTAGCTTTGAACCTGGTCCAGGGAATCTGGGAGGCTAGTGAGTATTACCTCGAGTCGTTTACACACACATGCTCCGGGAGGTTCATATCCAGTCACCATTCCCGCCGCCCAATAAGGAGCATGAACACCTTCGAGAAATGTTGACTGACTTCTGGTTATATAGGGGACAAATCCGACAAGTCTACGGCCGCCAAAGGTTTCCAACAGCAGTTGAAGTTGGCGGGTTGGAAAGTACAGGACAAGGCCACTCGGGCGGCTACTCGGATGCTAGATGGTACCTTCAATCTCTCATGGGGCCTACTCGGGAAGCAGATGACGATGCCGCAGACAGACTTGAAGCTCACGGAATTCGTGCCCATGACGCGCGAGATCATGCGACTGGCGTTGACAGCCAACGCCGTGGACGAATGTAATCTGGGCGATAAAGACTTCTTCGACCGACAGTCTGCGCTGACAGGCAAGTCGCCAATGCAATGTCGTGCGGATTGGAAGACCCGGTTTGGGTACATCTATCAAACAAGCGGCGAGATGGGCTTTGAGGAGGACGCTAAACCGCGAGAGGCCGATGTCGTGAGCCTCGAAACTCTCCTGAAATTGAACGACGGAGGAGACGACGGGGGGATGATGAAGACGATCGCGGCTGATGCGTCAGGAAACGTTGGTCCCATGATCATCTTTAGCATATTGGTGGGCGTCACGAACGGGGACAATTCCAAAGCCCGCAAAGCCGCGGGATGGAGCATCTTCGGCTTCACAACTGCCCTACAGAACTGGTTTCTCGGCACATCATCCAAGGCACAACACATGTTCTTCTTGACGCAGGTCCAGGAAAACCCCAAGGCCATCCAGCTGCGCGACAAGATCGAAGAGTCCATGAAAGACGGCGACTTGAAAGATTTCTCAGAAAAGGGTGTCAAGATCCACGTCATGGTCCTATCGCGTGATGGCGACAAATACGTTAGCCATCAGGGCCGCTTCACAATCGAGAACTGCGACGACTGTAACGACGAGGAGCGCGGGGAACTCGAGAAAAAAGTCAGCGTCATAGCCCTAAGCGTCAATGTATACCCCCCTTCTGTATACCTCGACACGCCTGGCCACCTCCTTGGAGCAATGTTCAATTACCACACGCGGAAAGGAACTGTGCGCCGCGGAATCTTCTCCTCTGATAAGGAAGGTTCAGTAGTAACGGCCACATGGGAAAACCTGGACTTATTCTATCCTCCTGACAAATGCGACCCGGCAGTGGTTCTCAGTCAGTTGGAGAACGTGGGGAACTGCGACGCAAAGGACCCAGATCATAAGAGTGAATGGGAGTAAGGGAAACCGGGCTGAGAGCCCAGTATTCCCTCTGGCAGGGGCATGAATCATCACTTGTAATCATAGTGCACAGTACGTAGACTGAGGCGTTCATGGGAAATACGGCATGCCTTCACAAGTATGGTATCGAGATAGCATAATAAGAACCGCACGCAATTCCGTTGAACATGATTGGGCTCAGCCACTCCACACAGCCGGTCCCGGTGGGATGTAGGCGTCCGGTTGAAGACTCTGCAGGTTCACCAGAATGCCTGGGTCACTGCTCTTGTACGCTCCGGGGAACGATGCGAGAGGGCCCGGCGTGCCACTTCCACCACCAGTGATCGTGATCTGGGAGCAAGCTAGATAGAACTGGGCCTTGTTGGCTTGCATGGCCATGTGCAAGGCGATGTGCTCTACGCGGAGGAGGTATTCGCCGTCTGGGGTGCCTGCTGGGATCGTCGCGTTCGTGGTCTTGTACTCGTCTGGACAAGTTGTTAGCCTGGTTCTGGATGCGTGGCAGGGGCACATACTCTGCCCAGGCCAGACGAGCTGCTTGTTTGTGTCCATGGTGGGCATTTCGGTGTGGAACTTGAACCACACCGCCCCGGCACCGTCCCAGGTCGCCGCCGTCGAACCTGCCGGCACTTTGGCGAGGTAGTACTGAACAGGGCCAGGATGATTGACCTGCTGACTCGACACGTAGTGGACAGTCGCTCCAGCGGGCACCTCGATGATCGAAGCGGCGTTCGTCGATTGATAGCAGCGAATATCTGCGCTCGTGGGGTCCTCAATGCCTTGCTTGCTCTGGGCGTTCTTCGTCATGCGCGTGGAGGCCCATTGGGTTGTCTCGGCCTTGTCGTTGACGACAAGCTTGGGGAACGTGTCTGGACTGTTAGATGGTGCAGCTCAACTCGAAGGGCCAGTGTTGACATACAGTGAGCCTGAACTGCTGTCACAGCTAGCAGAACACTCGTCAGGAACCTCATATTTGCTACTCAACTGCAAGCAGGATGTGACAAGATAGAAGGGGAAATAGAGAGAAAGAGAGGCAGGTACATGGCCAACTTTCTTCCATGGTACTGGTCACTTATAGATGCGTTCGGTTCGCGGATGAGTACACGCATGAATCCCAATAGATAAATCACCAATATGGGAAAGAGTGGTGGTAATATACTGAGAACAGCGGATAGGTCTCCCAACCCATCATTAAGATATGCTTGGCTGTCACACTAATACGGTTGCTGCTATCCCAGCCTATGGATGTCGCCGCGGTTAAAATCAGGTTCTTGGAACACTGTGAATATTCATGGGTTGCTTCGGCATTGAAACCAGGCATGCTCTCAACTGCCGTAATTCCTGGAGAAGGATTGAACACGGCAGCAACCGATCAGTGTAGTGAAAGACCTGAACTGCTCAGCGATATCCGAGCCGCACCCTATGAGAGCAATGGCATTGGAACAACCTCACGTGGGACACCTGTCAGTAGGCTTCCAGAACCCAGCGACCCTTATTCCGTTATTCTACTATCCCGATGTTTCCTAGTTTCTGCTAAAATAGCAATGTGTTGAAAATCTTGGTATCCTCATCAGGAGTCTGGTCTCCGAGAGGACCAGCCTGATTTTGCTAGTTCAGTCTGTGTCTGGAAGGCTGCCACCAGTGAAGGACTTGACCTACCTGCCATCTACCGCTGGCTATTCTCGGAAGCACTGTCGTTTGGGGGTGTTGAGAAAACAGTCCATTAGACTGTCAAATGTCCTCGCGTCGATATTCTCATTACCCTGCGCAACGAAAGGGAGAGGGCAAAGCTCAAGCCGTCGGCGTTGGGGAGTCTCCGTCGGCCCACTCCCACGTAAGGGATTATGAGGCTGGTGAGCCCCGATGCTACCAGGTTGCAAGTGCCGCCCCGATGGGGTTCGGTAGCAGCCAGCATCTAAGCCCTTAGGTGCATCACCTGGGGAGCGTGATTTCCACCTAAGCTATTCGAAGAAGTGGTCAGCAAGAGCCAGGACCACGTCGATAGGACATATGACTATGCCATACCTCACAGTAGTTATATTGGAGCATGTGGTTAGACTCAAGGTACGGTCTTTACTGATACGAAAGGGTCAAAGAAGGCTTACATATAGAGGTAGTCAGGCAGGATTCACTTCAGAGGAAATAGTGCTTCCCCCTGAATCGAATTGTCACCCATACGAGCAAGAAGATGGGATCGCATGCATCGACATCGGTGCTACACCCATATGCCGCTATGGACCATTCCGAGGTAGTGGTGCAAGAGTGATTGTGGGCCTCCAGAGAACACTTATATCACCGTGTGGCGGCGTGGTGGTTTGGTTTGGTCACCATTCCGCTTCGTATCCGATGTGAGAGTGAAGAGTAGAATATTATACAATGAGGGAATCGAACCATGCCCCGCGCTTCTAGCATCCGCTGGCCCAGCAAGGTAGACATAGATCCTTCTACCCTTCCCGTCGCCATCGCCATGTCTTCCCTGACCTTTCGTTTCCTGGTTTCCAGCTTCGGTTTACTTATTTAGTGGGTGAATAGAGCTGCCTGCTACACATGGGCAAACCAGAGCGTCGACCTGCTCGAGAGCATCCTATACCAGCAGCACGGCTTCCGGCAGTACGGCCTCGCGCATGGCGTCTTCCCCTGCAACTCGCAGGCGAAACGCGCTGGAGACCGGGGGCGATGACTCGGCGGAGTGGTTTCGGACCGCCTACCACGACATGGCGACGGCCGACGTCGTTGCCGACAAGGGTGGCCTTGATGCCTGGGTCGGGTTCAAGATGGAGCGCAGCGAGAGTACTTCTTCCAGACGTGCACCAGCCTTCTCGAACGCATGCTCAATACCGTACCCAAAGACATCGAGCTCACCGAAGTCATCACCCCGGTCTCTGCCAAGCCATACGGCCTCGATATCACCATGTACCCCAATGCGGCCGTAGCAGTCAAGGGTGAGGTCAGGGTAACTATGACCAGATCTCAGATCAGCGGTCGCCAGTATCATTAGCTAACTCTTCGACCAGATCCTAGACGACGATGACATGCCATCCTCCAAAGAGGTATTGGTTCACATGTTAAGCCGTGACGGTACATCCTTGGCGCACACCATCACAGCTTCTACCACGGAGAGTTTGCACATTACCGGGCTGTACAGCAAGCGTCTCCTCGTCCGCCGTCGGAATCAAGGATGGCAGCAGTGCCACCCCACACGACAACGGCTGGCTGCTCACGCTTCCCCTTTCCCGATGCCATCGTACCGCACTCGATGTAGCCGGGCACGTACAGTATGCGGCGCGGTTTGAGGAGAAGACGATGACAATGGTGAAGAGTGCATGAACACATTGGCCAGTGCCGAAGTCGGTCGTGGCAGTGGCACAATGTCAATTTGTTAGAGCTCCAGCTCCGCCCCCGCCCCCGCCTTCCAGTCTCCGCATAAGCTTTCCCGCTTTCCCACATCCCACATGCTTGTCACGATTTGTTTCCGCTTCATTCCCGGCTGGTAGCAAAAGTTTTCCCTTCGCTTCCCCATACGGTATCCCGCTGCCCCAGCCAGCGCTATGAGATTACATGCCCCTGGGCCCCTGGAAGACCAATCATAGACGCCTCTCGAATCCTTGCGAAGTCTCTGCCCCGCGAAGCCGTGGAAGCACTGGAAGGTGGCTGGCGGGTGAGAGCGTCCGGAGTCGCGAGTATCCATGACACCCAGCCGGCAGCGTGTTCACCTGCAGCACAGAAGACGGGATGTACTCACGGCCCGCGGAACTCGAGCTGAATCGGATTCCTCTGAGGCTGCTTGGTTGAGCCGGGTTGCGAGTTGCCCTCAGCCTCCGCAATGCGACCGCAACGGGCAAGGCGTAGTGTGGACTATGAAGTCGCCATTGCGATGCGGTTGTCGGGTCTTGGCTCCAGGCAGCCCAGGGTCGGCCTTTCGTACGTCTTGCAGCGAGATCAACCCCATTAAAAAGTGTTGGCTGTGTCTCTCGCTATTCCCGTGTCTCCCCCGCCGTCCATGATTACGCTGGCGTCTGCGGGCACTTGAGTCTTGACCTGCTTCTCGTTGCCGTGGAATTGTTGCTCGAGCTCTCTATTCTCAAGATACCGACCCTCCTATTAGTTATATCCTTCTCATCTATTAGGTGGCTAGATTATGTCAGATGTGGCCGGTCAGGAGATAGGTCGTCGGCCACATACACACCGAATGTCGACGAATACCTCTTCACCTACCGCGATCGGCAGGATTAATAGCCAGCTGTCAGAGCTAGTTCGCAGCATCAGCAACCAAGATGTAGAGTCGCGATACAAGACAGAAGAGGCCGACAACCGGCTACCGACAGACGATACGCCAGACTCGAGCTCGTTCCAAGCCGCAGGGGAGAGGACCATCCTATCATGGGAGCCGAATGACAAGGGGAATCCTCACAACTGGCCCAAAGTAGGCAGTGCAGAACTCTCCAGCTCTGTTTCAACACGTACTGACGTATGTTCATAGTGGCGGAAAGTCACTATCCTAGTGACAACAATGTTGATGGTGATCAACAGCACAATGAGTAGCTCATTGCCGAGTATGGCCATACCGTACATAGCAGACGAGTGGGGAGTCGTTTCCAAGCTTCAGATGGTGCTTCCAATGTCCACTTACCTCGCGGGCTATGTTTTTGGCCCAATTATATGTAAGTGCTGGGCCAATTTCACCAGATGATCACCGCGACTGATTTTAGCTAGGGGGTCCTCTGAGTGAGCACCTTGGGCGGCGAAACTTGACTCTTGGCACTTTCACCATGTTCATGATATGGACAAGTAAGTGAAGTTGAGTTGCTTCCGTTAACTCCTCCCGCAAAGCGTGAACCAAGCCCAAGATGGAGGACTCCACTGACTCCGAAGTACAGTGGCTTGCGCGCTTGCTCCTAACTGGCCTGCTTTTCTCATCTTCCGATTCCTCTGTGGGATATTCGCCAGCGCACCTATTGCTGTCGTCACTGGATTTCTGGCCGATATTTACGATGATCCCGTGCCAAGGGGTCGGGCTATGGCCTGGTTCATGGCGGTAAGCGCCCTAAGACATTCTGTTTCCGTACCGTAATACTGACAGTCCGCACCACAAGACAACCATCGGAGGACCTCTATTCGCTCCAGTCATATCCGGGTTCTGCTCTCCAAGCGTGGGCTGGCGCTGGACATTCTGGGTAGGACTGATATATGCCGGAGTAACCTTGGTCCCGATCGCTCTACTGCCAGAGACGTATGCGCCTGTGCTGTTGACGCGGCGAGCGGCCAAGATGCGTAAAGCGAACCCGAAAGCCGAATTTTATTCGGCGTTCGAACTCGAAAACCACGACATGACACAATTACTGACTAGGGTTCTGACCCGGCCTATTCGAATGCTCCTCACAGAACTCATCGTGACAGCTACGTGTCTTTACCTTGCTCTAGTCTACGCTGTAGGTGGTCCCTAATCTTGGTACTTGTCTCCTTCTTACTAACCCAGCAACTATCTACAGATTTTCTACATGTCGTTTCAGGCCTTCCCTTTGATCTTCCAAGGTGTGTACGGCCTTTCACCAGGCGTCACGGGCTTGTGCTACCTGCCTATCGGCGCCGGAGCTCTGCTCACTTTACCCGTCTTCTTCTGGTACGACCACTACCTTCGCAGAGCGCAAGCCAAGGACCTACCTTGGGCAAGACAAGAAGAATACCGAAGAGTCCCACTGGCGGCGCTGGGCGGACCTCTATTCGTCATATCACTCTTCTGGCTCGGATGGTCAGCAAAGTCGGACGTGCCCTTTGTCGTGCCGATGCTAGCCGGCCTCCCCTTTGGCGCCGGCTTCATGCTGATCTTCATGGGGATGCTCAACTATCTGACAGACGCCTACGAGATCTTCGCAGCGAGCGCCAACGCCGCAGCTAGCTCGGTGCGGTCGATCTTTGCTGTTGTACTGCCACTGGCTACGGCGCCCATGTTCCAACGGTTGGGGATCAGTGGCGCATGTAGCCTGCTTGGTGGGCTGAGCCTGATCATGAGTGCCATACCGTTCATCTTCCTTTGGAAGGGCGAGAGGATACGGGCGGGCTCCGAGTTCTGTATCGCGCTCAAGGAGAGAAGGCTCGAGATGGAGCGGAAAGTCGCAGAGCAGCGGGACAGGAAGAGTCGCTCGGGCGCTGATGGTGGCATGTTCCGGGAAAAGGAAAGCGTGTGAATGTGTAGCAGAAGAAGCCAGTTCCGGTACTTGATTGATCAAGGTCTATGACAGTCAGCGACGTACGGCAATTGTGGCTATGATTTAGTCAAGAGCTGTCAGCAGCCACCCGGCCGACCGGCAAACTTTCGGTCGGCTACCCCTTTCCTCTTTAGACTTCCACTCACATCCACCATTCATCATCCAGCGCCTGTGACTTCTGTATTCGTAGTGGAAGACTGAGATAGTCCACGTTTGCAGAGTCACACTCCCACTAGTAGTGCATGACATTTAAGAGGCATCGGGGTGAGTGTGACGCACCGGGTAAAGGTCACGTGATCCTGACTGAATCGTGAATGCCCACCTTTCGTCACTGACTTCAAAGTTCGAATGTCGCGCCAACTCCAGAGTCCAAGGTTCAACCGCCAACAACACAGCCAACCAACCGACCGATTAATCAAAAAAATATCAAATCAATCAGCCCAAGTCTCACCATCCCAACACCTCAGTAATTCGTCTCGGATCCCCACGACTCGCCGAAAAGCAACGATGGACTGCGGCCTCCCCATGCCCGTGTGCATTCAGTGCGGCCGCGACGTGGGGCTGTGCGGCATCAAGATCGTCGGGCCGACCATCGGCTTCTGCGTCGCCGTGCTGTCCATCGTCATCTGCTGGCCTGTCGCGCTGCTGTTCTGCTGCTTTACGGAGATGGGCAAGAAGTATGTTTATGTTCTACCTTGTGTTTATTGATTTTTGTCTTCTGTGTCTTGCGTGTTGTGCGGATCGAGGGACTGATTGCTGGGTTTGTAGGTGGTTTTGTATGCCGTGCGAGATAAATGCTAAGGTCTCTGATGCGTTTCCCTTTTGACCTTGGCTGGATATGATATTGGGTACGAATTCCGCCAGCTGTTGCTGTTGGAGAAGGGCGTTTGCTGGGTTGGCAACTTTGTAGATACCAGACGCTGGGGATGGGGGCTGGTTGTTTTGATATGAGTGTATGTGTTTGGCCAGGTTAGACGCACGAATCACAGAAGCGCGATTGGTTTCAAGGCCATCGTGAAGTTTCGCTTGATTGTCATACTGCCGGGAGCCATCAACCTCCTCAAGGACGCTGTGGACGTGAGAGGGTGGTGACCAGTTCGGGAATAAGGCAGGGAATGTAGTCGCGAGACTCGAGACACGGGAACGTCAAACATGCACGACATCTCAGCACCCCATATCACTGGCGTTGCATGTGATGAGCTTGATGATATTAATGACATTGCTGCTATCAACGAGCATGAATATATAAAACTGAAATCGCTAACGTTATTATTTCTACGGCGGCAGGAGTAGCATGCATCACGCTGTCAGATTAGCTTACTGAGTAGGACAGGGAGGAGGGTATACTCATTGTCTTCTTCATCGGTGACGTCGTCTGTGTCCGGAGCTGGCCTGCCAGCGAATAAACTCATTATACTCTTCATCGGTGTCTGCGTTCGGACCTGCAATGCCCGCTTGATAGACAGCTTGGTAGGGGTTATCATAAGGCCCTGGCGGGCCGAAGGAGTAAGGTGGATTCAGAGCTGTGGGCCCGCCAGCTTGGTAGGGGTTATAAGCTCCTGGCCGGCGGACGTAAGGTGGCGGTCCCCCTGGAGGGTAGGCTCCCTGCGGTCGGTAGACCGAATTTGACATGAGGTGAGCCTGGTATTCATGAGAGGGAATTGGCTGATATTGATAAGGGGAATATGTCTGATAGCCATAAGACGGCGCTCTGTTCGAATGAGAAGATCGGGGGTTGCGTGGTGGTGCTTCATAAGAGGGCGCTCTCTGCGAACGGGAGGGCGTAAACTGTCGTGGAGGAGGTCCTCCCGACTCGCATCCACATTCAGGGCTATCTCTTGATCCGGCCCAAGAACGGGGGGCAAGTCTTGGTGCACGTTAAAGCCGTCAACTGGTTCGAATGACTGTGGGCTGAACAGGTGTCCGCAATCCCTGTGCTCCAGCGATTTTCGGCATGATGGGCACGTCGGGTTGTTACCCCCCTCGAGCCATAGCTGAATGCAGTTATACCCGAAGGCGTGTCCGCATGGCAGCACGGTGTATGCTTCGTTTTCGTCATCTGGAGGCTGAATGATGGCGAGCTTTTTGTCACAGATCTGGCAGTCGACCTGTAGCAGGACGTCGCCGAGTAGATCACCGTCAGGGCTGAAGTAGTCCAGCCAGTTGGGAGTGTAGTGGTCGACAAGTGAGTTCTCCGCCATCTTATACGACAAATCTTATGTTAGAACAACGGGTATCGATTTCGTGCCGTGTCAATACGGTGCTTGGGATGTATGTTATAACACGGGATAGAAGCAGGTCCATCTCATGTTTAAGCTTATATATAGTCCGACGAGCCCGCCTTTTGGTCTAAACAATGCCTTTGTTGGCTTTGTTGCTCCATTGTAGATTCTAGTCCTTGCTTCGAGGAACGAACAAAGAACCAGAATCGTCTGGGACAATAGTATTGATTCAATAAAGCACCGCTCACTATGCCTGAAGCCTAGGGCCCCCGCCACTCCTCACAGCGCCTGTCCAAGGACCAAGGTTACAACAGATGCTCAGGAGGTAACGTTCTTGGTCATCACGATAGAATCCATCAACAATTCGATATCAATTTCACTCGGTTCAAACTGCTCTTTGGCTGAGAGAAGACCTTACACCGAGCATTAAGCCTTGGAGATTTTCCATCTGCCCACCAAGGAGCAGTGATGTGTGCCTCTGCCAATACTACATCGCTGCGTGTGAGTCAAACAATCGCCAGCATTCATCGTCTTGCTTTAACAAAAAATACAACGATGCCACACATTTCTCGTGGAGCCAGCCCATCATTTAGAATCCAAGTTTGGCTGGTGTTCGTAGTCGTATATGAGATGGCTGACGTAGTGTCTTGACCAGCATGTTATGGTTATGCGATTTTGAGCCGACCGTCGGTGCAACATTCGAGATTCAGTCCATGCGGACAGTGCATCACTCCTTTCAATTATACCAATAATCTATGGGTATCAGTTCCAAATCACCCGGCATTACTCTTGCAGGTCCAAGCAGCCGTCCCCGTCTCCGCAGATATGGCTGTAGCAGAGCTCCAAAGCCCCAACGCACATATTGTTAGCCCCGTCAAGAACAATGCCACGTTAACGCCGAACATGGCTATGCTCTTCCCATCTCTGAACCACGCCCCTTTGTACATAAACAGCCAGAGTATCCCGGGTATACCATACGAGAACCAGCTCGCGAACAAAGCGCAGACCAAACCAAGCAAGCTGCTAAACACCGGTATGGACTCCGCAATGACCAACGCGATGGCCCATACCGCCACAGTGATACCAGCCCAGCCAGCAGTGCCCCAACGCGTGCGTTTCTCTATGTGCACCGTTCCCGCGAATACCCTGTCGAACACGTACTTGGCGGCAACATGCCCGTAGATGACCCCAGCAATGACGATAGTCGGTATTGCGATCCCCCATATGGCCTTCCGCAGGGTCAGCGACGCCGCAGCCGTAAGCGCTGGAGATGGCACGTCCGGCCCGACGTAGAAATATATGACGATGGCAGCGACGAGGTAGATGGTGGTGTCGCAGATCTGCAGCAGAGCCAGGGCCTTGGACCAGTCCTCCGGTTTCTTGAGCTCGGACATGACGGCGAAAAAACAAGAGTGTCCGCTGAAGGCGACAGCGATGTTGGTGACTGGCAAGAAGGCCGTCGTGAAACTCAGCTGTCGTGATACGTCGATGTGGCCGCTGCCGATCGGCCGCTCGATGCCTACGTCGATCATGGTCATGAGGACGGCCGTAAAGATTGACAGGAACGAGACAATCGACATGTAGCTCGTGTACTTCAGCGTCCTCGGAATGTTCAGCACCCAGAATACCGCCAAACCGACGAAAGCCCACACAATAGTGCACGTGGAGCTATCCGTCAGCGTGTTGAGGCAGATAGTCCACGTCAGCAAGTGGCTTCCCATGACGAAGATCTGGAATATCGTCTGCGCCCAGCCGAAGAACTCCTGGAAGAACCGGCCCATCCCAATCGGTCGTCCAAGCACCTCTCCGGCGTCGCCGAAATTCTTCACCCACGGGTATGCGCGCTTGAACTCGCCCATTACCAGACCGGAAATGGTGGAGAGAATGCCCAGAAACAGAATGAGGACGATGCCTGGAGCCAAGCCGATGTTCGCGATGGCAGATGGGAGCGAAAGGATACCGAGGGAGATGGTCTCGGCTATCATGACCAAGCCGGCTTGCCTGGTTCCTCTTGTAAGCAACCGGGCTCCCCCCCGTGTGACTGTCCGGCAGAGATCTGAGAAAACGTACCACCACTCCAAGTTCTTGAAATTGATCTCCGTGCCATCTTCCTGCGTCGGACTTAATGATGCATCGTCTTTAACCCCCGGCGGAGGCTCATCTCTACTGCTCGACTTGTTGATATCGGCCACTTCGGGCCCCGTCAAAGCCGGTTCATACGAGGTAAGGTGAGCGCCTTCGGGCTTCGTCGATGCCATGGGAGTTGGTGGACGTGAGCTGGAGCTCACTGAGGCTTTCGGTGGCTCGATGCGTTTCGTGCGACTCGGATTCCGGGCGAGGCTCACAGGTCGTAGAAGTTGTGGTCTCTGGGTAATGTACAGGAGGAAACGTTTTCTAGTAGGTCGCCGGAGTCACTCGAAACCTTACTTGTCCTCCGTGATCGGACAACTTGTTGAGAAATAGTCTCGAGGGTACATCACAGTTCCATTTCGGCCCTACTGGTCGGTTAAGCTTCAGAACGACGGGACAAGCGCGATGTGTTAAACGAAGATACTCTGCCCTCGCCCTGCTTATTGGTCAGTACTGTATATGCTCTGACATGTTCCAGGTCACCTGCGATGTTAATTGTGACACTACCCCGGATCTGATAGTCTTGGCTGAAGTAAACCTTTCTAGAGAAACTCAATATTGGGGTTGCCCATCTCGTCCGGCAACAGCGCTCAAGGACCAGAAATGACCACCGTCGAATGGTCCACGGTACCTGACAACCAGCGATGCCGCCGCCTTCTAGAAGCATTTCATGTTCGCCTCATGACAAATAAAAAATCCTCAAAGCCGTTGCATAACGTTTACGTTATATCCTCCCCAGGTCCCACAAGCCCAGCGCAGGGCCTAATCTGTGCTAGGAAAATGTCAGATGCCGGTGTCAGACTAACGTTAGATCGCGGAAACTAAACACTAAACGTGGTAGACCGTCGCGTTTGCCGACTCTAACGCAGTCTAATGGCCTAGCTGCTGCTTCGCGGCTGATACTAACTTTTAGGCCAGACAGTGTGAACTTCGAGAACATCAACAACAGGTCGCGTGTATTGAAACATGAGTGAGACCGAGGCTACGGCACTCCGCTGCTGATAACGGGCTCTGGGGAAGCTCATATCAAGCTGCCTCCTGAGATCTGAGATGTTGCTGGTGAGGAAGAACGTGACCTTTATGATCAAGTAAACCATTTTGATACGTCAGTGTCACGCGGTTGAATGACTCAAATCAACACCGACCAATAGCCGGCGGCCTGGCCACTTCCGTGACTTGGAGCTACTGGGCTTACAGGTGAGCATGATTGAGATTCAGTAGGTATATAGGGGAAACCTCGAGCAAGCACCTATGTATGTAAGCAGCTGAGCTATTCAATTTGGCATATCATACAAGTCTGGATCAGTCAGCACGGCATAAGGATGATTCAGCCGGTCATAAGGTGTATGTCTACTCTCAAGTGTAGGTATAGACGCCACAAGGCTACAGACTGACTGGCAGGAAGGGCGGCCTTGCATGTCTGTGATGATAACGCAAGTTGAACATAAAAACCAAGCACATACATGATGGTGCGGCACCATGCTAAGGACGTTATTGAGGCAAAAGTAGAATACATGCTTTAACGAGATTCGCACCAGCCCCAAGGGAGTGTGAGATCTAAACGAAACTTAGTGAGAGGCTTCTACAAGTCTTAATCAAGTACTGCTTACTTACCGGTCAGGAGGGCCAATCACGTGTTATTGGTAAAATTTACAGTGAGCGGACCCGGAGGTAGACAGAGCAAATTGTCCATTGTTAAGATGGGACTGCTAGGTACAGGATATATCTAACAACTATCAAGGTCAAGTATGTACGACTTGCAGCTCAGGAAAAGCCACTGCTCTTTCTGAGACTACTTCCATGGTTCAAGGGTATATCGGTAAGAAAGGAAGGGCAAATCAGTCGCAGAACCGCCTCCGAAGCACACATGCCGCTATGCAAATCCTCCACAAGTCTATCGGCTCAGGGCTTGTATCAACGGCAAGACGTACAGGCCCACCATCCACGCGTTCCATATCCTGAAAGTCGTCTTGTCCTCTTCGACGGTCCGGAAAGCGAGACTCCGATACGCCACAGCGGCGGCCAGGGGGGTCGTGAGAGCATATCCGAGCCAGCCGCACTGCCAGAAATACGGGCAGAACAGGCCCCAGCACGGCATGAATACACCTATCGCCCATCTTGCCGTGGTTTCGCCCATCTGGAGCGGCACGGTCAGACGGCCGCGCTGGGCGTCGCCCTCCTGGTCGTACATGTCCTGTGTGTGGACCGTGGTGAACACGATGGCGGCGACGACGATCAGCCACTTCTCGAGGCTGGGGGTACCCATGTCCATGAGGGCCGCCGGCTCAAAGCGCATCCGGCGGTTCAGGGCCATCTCCAGCGCACCTGTCCCGAAAGACGTGAACCCCAAGGCATTGATCAGATTGCGGACCAGTGCGTGCACGTCGGCGCCTCCCCCGTCGTTATACCAGAATCCTACAAGAGATTAGCGCAACGGATCCGGCAAGCATCTTGGTTCGTCAACTTACCCAAGCCTATGAGGGCTAAGCTAGAGCGCAGGCCGCCCATCCTCCAACTGAAAACAACAGCCACGACATAGAGGAAGGCCATTATGTTCTTGGCCTGGGTCTGACTCCACCGTCCAGTCGGCATGGTGCGCCATGGCTTGTTGATAGCATCCTCGGCGATGGCTTCGGGCCGCCGCTGGTTGTTGATAGCAAAGGGCAGCAGGTTGATCCAAACCCACAGCAGCACAAGGGGAGAGCGCTGGATGATGTCGAGCTTGGTGATCCCGGCGGCGCTTCCGGTGGCCGTCGGACCGGCTGCGGTCTGGGAGAGCGCGGTCAGCAGCCCGAAGAGAGTCTCGGGAAACACAATGGTCTTGAGGTCGCTAAAGGTGAACAGCCAGATGGAGTAGGCGTGGTAGGGCACGGCATGAAACATCTGCTGTGCGGATGTAACAGAGAGCATGGACCCAGGCGAATTCTTCGATGCCATGGCTGCAGGCGCTCGCGCACTACTGAAGTCCTGGAAGACCAAATTGGGCCAGCAACGGGTTGGGGCTGGGAGTGACGGAGAGACGGGATACTAGGGCGTGAGCATCTCGGCATCAGACCGAGGGGAAAGCCACTGGGAAATATGTGCAGCCAGTTCTACGGCAATGTCAACAGCGACGCAGGGCACGTGGATACCACGACCACGACATGGTACTGGGATACTGTACCATCTTGTCGTGCCGCACAGGGACAAGGGAGAATTCTGGAGTCGGGTCGTCACCGAAATTGCGGGCAGATAGTGTTCTGCACGATTGTGGGATGCAAGGCATTAAGCGAGAGAGTCGATACTAGCTGTTAGAGCAATACGACACTACTTTCAAGGGGAGCGGTATGATATGCGTACCTAGATAGAGACACGAGGCAATGGTACGGTCTCGGGCCGTTCGGTATGCCTCGCCTCCAGCTCCGGGATGGTACCGGTATGCACAACAGTCGTAACAGCATACCAACAAAAGTTACACACCCCCTTCAGGCAATGACTGCCCGGCTGCCAATGACGGCTTCCGTGTGCTGCAGTCGCGTAACATCCCTTGATCCAACTGCTTGCTCCTTCCTGTCCGGTCTGCCGGGTATCAGGAGTCAGGACTTTCAAACTTCAGCACCCAGATGCGTGTTGTCCCAACTGCGGAAGGGTTATTACCCGTTGCCTGTCGCGCATTGCAGATGCAGGCCAGTCACCTCGGGCCCGCCGTCGCCACCCCCGGCAAGGCAATATCAAATCACTCTGGCGGTCTGGTTGTCTGCGGGTGTGTTTTCTGCCTCTCTCTCCCTCTCTCGACATTACTCGGGATTTTCGCGAGACAAGAACCCCGAGCCCTTTGGTGTCGTTGCCCTAGTCGGCATGATGGTATCTCTCTCCACTGCTATCGCGTCAGGCGACGAGGTGTGGATGCCACGTCACCACGTGTTGCCCTGTCGCGTCGCCGTCTACACCGCATGTATTGGATTGGCAGATTGGTTGTTCCCTCGTGCCTCTGTCGGAAGTTCCGGCAGGCTGGGTCGTCAGTGGAGGTGTCGGTGACGCACCCGTTGCTGTTCATAATTGCCGCTATCGTTGCAGTCATCCACCGGTATTTCCCAAAGCGTCCAAGGTGAGCAGACTGATAGCTGGTCTCATCCTGGTGGTGTCTCTCCCTACCCGCAGTAGGCTAGGTACCTTATTACCACCTGCATGAGGACCGTTGGACCGATGTAACGGCTACCAAGCCCACATATTCCTGCCCGCTTGGGATCATGGCCTACTGGACTGATGCGGTAGGAGGAGGGGGCAGAGGGGCGGAGGGGCAGAGGAGGCGGGGACGACGATGGGTTCTGTGCGGGCTGAGTCCACGACCCCTGTCTCTCATAGTCGTGTGGTCGTGCCATTTTGCGGCCTTTCTGACCTGGCGTGCCTGGAGTTGAGAACTTGAGAGTCTCAAGTTGAAATGGGTAGGAGATCGCCAATAGATCTCCCAACCTTTGCCGACCAGACCCTGTACTTCAGCGGGGCGGGGCGCTAACAGATTACAATGCTAATAGCCCCTGGTAGCTGCACCACTAGCGGGCTATATGTATATCGCGGGCTGTATGCACATAACGGGGTATTAGTTGGTGGGCCGCTAACGGATTAGCCTCGATACTATTAGAAGTACAATGCAGCTCTCATTGGCCCTGTCCCTGGCCGCCTGGCACGCAAGAGCCCGCAAGGACTCCTCGTGCGGCACAGGCTTACAAGTTGACCACTGAAATAATGTACAGTGGGGCCGGTTTCTTCAGCATCCAGGCGGGTTGCGGACAGAACCTCCCAACTTGAAAGTATGGTAGGAAGGTTTCACCTGGCTTAACATGTATGATCGCGAGAGAAATAAAGTAGTCGAACAATAAGCAAAGAAAGCGCTTGTCAAACTGGATTGATCGATTCCAAGAAAATAGATGTTATCTATGTTATTGTTGAGAAATAGACGAGTGAAGATTGGTACTAAGGTGGCTGATTGGGCTATGGAAGGTTATTTTTGCGACTTGCCTGGCATCTCGCAATTGATCTCTCGACTTTCTATTTCAACAAGAAGAAATCCGAAGTACTTTTTTCACACTGGAAAGTGCAAGTCCTTTAGGTATATACTAGTACATGGCAGGGCTCCCCGTCGTGATTCCAGGCCGTTCCGCTGCTGGCGCCGGGGCCGGCAGGTTGCGGACCACGAACGCAACGTGGTGATTCCGTCACGAGTGCATCATCAGAGTTCACTAGTATTGCGGCCAGGGGAAGATTTAACGATTTTGGTATGCTACATACAGTATGTGTACAGAACAGGGAAAGGTGCGACACCATTGTCGGTGCTGCAGGCGTCAATGCGCCGCCGCGTGCCAGGGCCTCGCCAGGGTGTTCGAACTTCGAACTTTTGCCCATTACAGTGGATACGATATCTCTGCATGGGCTTTCTGGTATCCTTGACCTCGGACTGCTTGTGTCCTCGAAGTGAATCTCGTAAGCCCCAATGTAATATGTACGCATGAAGAGAAGCAGCAAGCAAGCGAGCAAGCGCTCAAGCTGCCATGCCGATGTGCTTCACGCCGGCAGGCTGTTCCACCATCATCAGGTCGTCGTCGCTCAGCTCGCTCAGCTGGCGCTCCGACAGCGAGGCCCAGGTGCTGTTCGCGCGGATGCGCGACGCCTTCTTTTGGCTCGAGTACGGTGTGCCGATGTACGACGAGTTGTATGATACCTGCGTCGGTGTGGTGAAGTAGTGCTTGTACAGCTGGGGTAGGTTAGGGAAGCATGCCACGAGGATCACCGTGGTGAATTCGGCAGTCCTGGAAGGGGAGTCAGAGTCAGCACACGTTGAAGCCACTGGTTGCGTCAAGGGGATTGCACTCACGTCCACTGGCCGACCGGCGCGATGGCCCACATCATGTCGTCGGTGGTGAACAGCTCAATGGCATAGTAGAGTCGCATGATACTCGCGCAACACGCACTATATCCCCCAGTCAGCGTGTGGTCTACGCAGATAGAGGGGCATCGGCCTCTCTGGCTGGTCTTTGCACGTACAAGATACCGACCGCAAACACGGCTCCGGCCCCAATCTTCTTATTCAGCGGCATCTGCAAGCGCCATATAGCCGCGATGGGTGTGATGAGGATGATGAAGTCCGACAACATGTTGATGGCGCTGCCGGCGATCATACCGGCTGGTTGATTGATGCAGTGGCCTTCGATCAGGGGTTTCCAGATCTTCTCGCGCGGCGTGCAGGCGAAGATGAACGAGAACAAGATGCCGATGTAGAAGGCCAGGTTGGCCCAGATCAGGCCCCAAATGATCTTATAAGCCAGTGCCTTGCGATGATAGTTAAAAAATATGGTCTCGATCTGCCGCAGTACCACGTATTTGACGCTGAACATCGTTATACAGTAGAGCATCTCGGCGATGTTCTCGAGCTGTAGTATGCCCCTGAACGTCAGTGCTGGACCCTCGCGGTTGCGAACTGCATGCGCGGTGTACTGACGTATAAGGTGGTTTCCAAGGCGGCGAGGGTTACGTTCCACTACAACATCAATAGTCAGCAACTCTGTTCTTCTTGTGAAAGTGTTTGCGAGAAACGAGCACCATTCCCGGGGTCTCTCATGGATCAAACCGCAGGCCAAGAAGGCGGACGGTTGGGGGTGCTACTTACTTGATGTCGTCCATCGCCATGCTCGCCGGCAACTATTATCAATGCGGAGAGAGTCGCGAAGCCTCCCTAGTATATATCAGGATACCGTCGGCCATCGTCCGGAGCAACCAGCTACGCATCACCTCCAGGATGGACTTACCAGCGCGAGAAAAAGAACACCTGCAACACCGTTAGCTCTGCGCGCGCGCGTGCAGTTTTTAGGGGTAATCTCCCCGCGCACTCACCATCGTCCCAGTTAAACTTATTGACCAATATCCGCGACCAAAACCGCAATATGACGGCAACGGTGCAGAGCGTCAAGCACACGGCCGACGTGACGATACGCTGCGGCTGCTGGCTGTAAGGATCGACGAAGTTGGGCACTACACCCTCGGGAGGCGCAAGCGCCGGTGTCGTATTTGGATCCAGTTCCATATTGCCTGCCTTCCAGATGGCGAATAACCTAGTATATCCCACGTGCGAAGTGGTCCCAAGAGAGCGTGGGCGTGTGGTAACACGAAAGAAGAAGCGCAGCCAACAGACAAGTGGCTGTTGGGACGGTGCAGGGGAAGTAGTAATGAGGGACAAGGTAAGCGCGTTGATTGACTGTCAGACGCACTCCTGAGAGGTGAGATACCAAGGGGGGTAAGATGCTACCCCCCTTCGGTCCCTCGGGATTCCCTCCTTATAACGTCTCACCAATGACGATGGCCCTGGACAGCCAGCCGCGATGCAGATCCATGTGCCAGGCACATGTCCCCATCGCGTTTCTCAGGGCTCCAGCAGGAAGAGGCGGTGGACAGAGCGCGCGCAATCACCCCTGTGTCGTTGCTACTGCTACCAGTAATAATCTTATCAATGACGACTTAGGTGTGGTCGAAGGAAGAAGGATGCTATTCTGGGATCGTCGGGGGAGGAGTTCCTTGCAGCGAGCCAACCACGCCCCGCGAACCTCGCCGTTGGGATGCAAAGTGGTGGAGTAACGTCGCACGGGATCCCAAAAACCCCTTGGGTCATGTTGTCCCCAGGCGTCCGTGGGTGCAAGGCAGAGAGAGATGCTGGACCGAGGGATCAACTTGGAACCCCCGATGCCAGGTAGGCGACACCGCCATCGCGGCACGGCTGCACACAGCCGACAAAGTCGGATGCATGGCGGGCATATCGAGGGCATGTTGTTACGTTGATGGATGGCGGACTCTCTGGCAAGCGTATATCGCGCTGACTACGGTAGGTATCTCTTCCTACAGACGACTTTGCGTACCGGTAGTCGAGAACTCAAGGCCCCGCCTCGTGCGAGCCGGGACTTGCAACCTTTCGCTCGATGGTTGATCAACGATCACTGCCCTGCTCCAGGATATCAATATCATGCCTCCTCTACCTATCCAAGATTAGGATATTCGGCAGACAGCAGATGATCCGACAAGGGACTCTACCGGGTTTGAGATAACCTTGATTTGACCGGATTCGTCATGTGGTCGGTCGATAGCACGGACGATGGAGTATCGTGGGGAATCCTCCAGCGAGATCAGCGTCGCTGTATGGTACTTTCTCGGAAACCAGGTCGGCGATCGGCATACCAGGCGTTGATGGCGATAGCATTTGATATCAGGTGGGTATCATCCCATCAGGCGGGTGCTCATCAATGCCCCTGCCGCCGGCAGTGATCACGATCAACTAGAGATAGGAATACCAGCTCAGACCAGGAGTGAGGGACGGAAAAGTCCAAGACAATCAGTCAGATTGCCCATGCATGACAATGCCAAAAGCCATCAGATCAACTTGGCACCATTCACATGCTTCTAGTTCACCCGATAGGACGCCTTAAAAACCGAAAGAAAGTTATCATGTGAACCGCTTGGCCTGACTATCGATCAAATGTAGAGCAAGTTTGCTTCTACATAATACCATCCCAATGGCCGGCCTGTAAAGGGTCTTGCGTGCTCCACTACAACACCGTTAGTGGTAATATAGAGTTGCATATTGTTGATTGAAGTACCATGCAGGTGGTGGTCAGGAGACCGATCAAAACAACCTGACTTCTGTATTAGCTGCATATTGCAATCTTATACATACAGTAGTGCGGTGTTCCAACCCAGCGAATGATGGGCCGTATCTTTATCTTCTGCTGAAGAGCAACGGGGACGGGCCGCGCGATTACCATTCGGTCGGTAGGTTATGTGTGGTGCCTGGGTGGTGGTCAGGACAGGTCAGGACAGGTCAGGACATGACCAATGCCATCCCTCTCGCCATGCCGTTGGTTTCTCGGGAGCAGGGAGGTGGCGGGTCGCAGGCGGAGATGGTGAAAAGCGCGCCATGTCCATGGGTGCCGGCCATTTGGGTACAATTTCCTATCGTGGTATGCTTACCTGCTCAGCTCCGGCCGGTGTCCACTCGCATACAGATTCCCATACAAAAAGTACCACTGCGTGTGTTGGTGCTGCATCTCTCGAATTGGGAAGGCGAGTTGCAACCAATGGGCGTCCAATTGCAGCAATATCTAGCCAATGATGAATTGCCGACTGCGGGTCTCACTAGCGAATCCTACGACACCTTACTAAAAGTTAGTCGCCGTTCAGGCCCCCACCGCCCCACCGCCCCCACTGCCCTCCAGGTCTCCTCCGCCCCCTTCCCCTGGGCCTACCCCACCCATCCCATCCCCCAATACGTCCCATAGTTGTGTCCTTCCACCGGCCAATGAAGGCAAGGCAGCGACACTGGCAGCGGTGAAGCTTCACCAGGCCATCTCTACACAGTACACCACTACACCCTACAGAGCAGGTGGGCACATCACGACACCGCACATCAACGGACCTCGGGCCCCCTTTGGTTAGCAACCGCCCATCAAACCATCAAACCGGCATGCATGCGACGCTATTGTATAAAAAGGATGCAGGGCATCCCCTGCGATAGCGACATCTTTCTCCCTTTTCCCGGTAACAACTGACAACCCAGCAGGTGTGGGTGGACCTTCACGATCCCAAGTGCCCTCGCTCACAGTCACGACTCACCCGAAGCACAGGACTTCTCAAACCCCATCATCCACCGCATCCTACAGATCCCAGTCGCGAAGCCAGGCCTCCACCATAGCCTTGTCCACCGTCGGGATCTGGACCTGCGAGGTCCTCGAAGCGCGGTCAGTGGCCACGGCGGCCGACTGGGACCTGTCGCCCAGGGCCTCGTAGTAGTCCAGCATCTTCAGGGCCGGCATCTGCGCTAAGTCGTCGGCAGTTGGGTTGGAGATCGCGCGAAGCCTCCTGGTCCATTCCCGCAGGGGCACCGTCTCCTTGATGTCCAATCCTTCGCGCAGGACGTCGACGAGCAGGGTCCACGGCTGTGGCTTGGGCGGGTAGATGTTGAATACCTGCGCCTCAGCGCCGGCTGGTTGAAGGATGAAAGCGTGCAACATGGCGGCCACCGTGTCAACGGGAACCCAGTCGATCGGCACGAGGTCGCTGGGAAAGCATTTGAGCGCCTTTGCCGTTCGTGCCACAGCCGAGATCCACGCCTGGTCTGCCCACGTGCCCGCGTTGGGGCTGCTAGGGCCACCAACCTGGCAGACACGAACAATCGTGACGGGAACGCCGGACTTTCGGGTCGCACTTGCGAGAATTCGCTCGGCAGCAAGCTTCGACTGCCCGTAGCCAATGTTCAGGGCAGCCAAGGGGTCGTCAACGGGGGCTTCCGGTACCGTGGCCTTGCTAGCCATGCTGGCGACTGATGATATAGAGCTGACGAAGACAATGCGAGTGTTGCGCTTGCTAGCAGCCGAGAGATCGATCAGGTCTCGTGTTGCACGCAGGAATGGACTGAATGACCGGATCGCGAGGCCAAAGTCCAGCCTCCATGCGTTGTAGACAACAACGTCGACATTGCTAACAATCAGGTCGTACTTGTCCTGGCCAAGTCCAAGTAACGGCTTTCCGAGCTCGACGGTCATGTAGACCAGTTTGTGCAGATGTTGTTCTAAAGCATTGTCCAGTTGCCTGAGAGATGCCTCTTGCCTTTGCTGAGCATCGCTGGACCGGTTCAAGCAATACACCTGCGTGATATCCGGGTTCTTCAATAGGGTTGCGACGATGTATGCCCCCAGATAGCCTGTCGAGCCAATCACGGCGACCGTAGATGTCTTGGACGATGGAACAGCCTGCAATGCAGACCTATCTGGCAAGCCCTCAACATACTGTGCAACGGTCTCATCCACGGCACGAGCTCTGGCAAGGTCGGAATCTTCCTCGGGGACCGTTTTCTCGTTGAGAAATGCTGCCAGCAAGCGCGCCAGATCGGCGAGAGACGAATGCCGGAAAATGGTTCGTGGCGTGATCCATGAGACCGACTTCGACGTCTGGTCTTTCAGATTGCGCTTCAGATTGGACGTGATCTCCAACGTCTGCACCGAATCGAGGCCATAGGAGAAGAAGTCTTCGTCCTCCCCGATTGTTGCCCCTGGTACGAAAGATTCGGACACAATCGTTCGAAGAAAGTCGACAACCACAGAGTGCTCGTAGACGGGCTTGAGGCTCGCCTTCAGGCTCACGCTAGCAGTCTTCTTTTGCGACGACTCGTCTGAGTACAGATTCTCAATCTCTGGCTTGTAGATCTGCTCTGTCAGTTTACGCACTACGGTGCCTTTACCGGTCCTACTGAAGGGCTTGTCGGGCAGAGCACAGATCAGCTTGCCCCGGGGAATGCGCCCTTGCCCTGGGAGGAGAGAGTTCGACTTCTCAACGAATGGCAAGAGGTCCTCCAGCAACTTTGATCGTGCAGCTTCATCGAGGGCCTTTGTTGGCTCCACCAGTAGAGCTGCTTGCGTTCTGCCGTTGCCAATCACCAGTGCGCCCTTGAGATCGGGGTGGCTCTGGACTTCGGCTTCCAGTGGAAGAGGATTGAACTTTTCGCCATTCGCCAGAACAATGATGTCGTCCCTGCGGCCGTAGTACTTGTAAAGGTCTGGCTTGTCGGGGTGTCGTGTGAAGAGGTCCCTGGTGCGATACTCGGTAACGCCGGGCAAGTTGTGGTAGAGGGCAATGATGTCCTTGTTGGCCTCATCGGGGAAGATGACGAGCTCATAGGTGCCTTCCGCCGGGTCGTAGAGCTGCAACTCATGCTTGTAGTGCGGGTGGAATTCATGCCAGGCCCAGTCTTCGCGCGCTGGTGCCAACTCGGGTACCAAGATGGTTTCCGTGGAGCCAAAGGGCGACAACAACTCGACCACTTTCGAGAGGCGATCACCAACTGCGGCGGTCGAAGGGGCACCACTATAAGCGACGAAATCCAAGCCCTTGAAGAAATCAATGCCATTGGGTTCCTGGAGAACCTGTTCGATCACGGCCGGCACAAGGAACATTGCACGCAGTTTCTGGTGCATCATGATGTTCTTGAGGAGGGGTCCGTCCGGGACCATGTGCGGTGGTCCCAGTACCGACGACGCATTCCTGAAGATTGCGTTTACTATTGCTTGTCAGGGATGTCTTCAGTAGATCCGATCTATGTCGAGCTTACCAAGAAGGAAGAGGAAACCGCCAAGCTGTCTCCGAGTTAGCTCTTGGGAAAGTAAGGTGACAGCCCCATGAACTCACATGAAAGAACGGAAACACCGTATAAATCCTTGCTTCACCATCGAAGAGCCATATCGTTGAGTCTCGGTTCTTTCGACCAGGTATCTGCGTCAAGTTATGCTGGTTGTCAAGAGCTGCAAACGTGCCGTGTGTCATGGTTATGGGCTTCGGGATTCCTGTCTACCCGTTAATCTCATCTCGGAGACTCACGCCGGGGTGGAGTGTTACCTGTAGACCCCGAGGAATGCAAAACGACTACGGGGTCATCTCTCGCTTCATCGAAGCTCTTCTTGAACGGATAGGGCTCCGGGGCGCTATCCATCATCTCATCGAACGAGGGCACGGCATCAAGGCGGATGGATGGGTCTATGACTGGCACCTGTTTGACGATAGGGGTGATTTCGGCAGCGTGCAGTAGCTTGGTGCTGCCCGTCTGGTTCATTAGGGATACATTGACGGCAGGCGGGTTGCGAGGCGAGGGGAGGAGAAGCTGTTGGCCCGTCATCAGCACAGGCGCAGCTTGAGTCGATGGGCATCAGACCTTGTATCCGCATTTCACTGCGGCCTGGAAGACGATGGGACCTCGTAGGTCGGAAACGCCAATGTAGGTGAGAGTCTCGAAGCTCTCGCTGCGGCCGAACTTGTCCTCGATCCATTTGGCCATGAAATTGGCACCCCGTGCAACGTCGGCTACCGTAATGTCTCGGAACCCATCGTTGACATCTGCCGTCTTCGGGATGGCGGCATAGAGCCGGTTCGGGCTCGTCTCGGCAAGCTCATCGAGGGCCGACGGCAACAGCCGCCGTCCATAGGCCGGTCTTCCTTCCGAGCTCATGATGATGTGGTGTCGTGTGACGACCTGACGTTATAAGGGTCTGTGGATTTCTTAGTCGAAATAGCGGACATGATGGTTTTCTGAGTTGAGGACGCCCAGCTGTTTGCCAGCCTATGCCAGCGTCGCACACATGCCTTTGCGCACTGGCGGCAGCCTGGCTGGTTGCATGCCCACATGTTCCTATTCACGCCAAGCTGGGGTGATGGTCCATCACTGATGGAGCTCGCACAGTCTCGTATGCTCCTGGTCCGGAGCTAGCTTCCGTCGCATATGTAAATGTACCAACCCTGTTATGCGCCCCAGCTGTGCAGACCGCGCAGTCTGCAGAGGGGTATGGTACATGGTACGATTCTCCAACCTCCCCTTGCGTTCTTCAACTCTGTTGGCCATGCCCTCGGGTGGGCCAGGCACTGGATGCTCCGTGGTTGGCCACATCGCCGTTCGATGTAACCACTCAGCTCTACTTGACGAGTTGACATACAACGCATCAATGGTGTGCATGACACTTGCCGCTCTGCAATGCTACCGCGTACCAACAACAGCTGATGGCTTACCTCGGGCCGTCGCTAGTACTATAAGCCCTAGTCTATTTGTTTCTTGTCCCCTGTTCCTGTCCCCCTGTTTAGATCCCTGTCCCTTGTTCCCTGCACCCTCCCAGAGGCTAGTAGCTTATACCTAGATATTGCATGATGGCTTCGTTTTTGCACAATACCTGCCGAGGCTATCTCTGGCTCCGGCCTGCCTCCCTGTCGCCTCCATGGATCCCCGGGCATCCGCGTCGCAAGAAACGCTGTCACAAGGTGGCCGAAGATTACCTGACATTGTTTTAGATGAGTAATGCACATCAGTCGTGCTGTAATGACAGCAGGAATAGTAAAGCTCGCTATCTGATTTGTGGCGTGCCTCACCGCCGTGGCCGTAATTCTCCGGCCCCAAGTGGACGAACAAGGTAAGAGGCGCGTCGTATCATGGACGTACGTCTTCCAGACGCATGTACACATACACAAATACTATTATAGGTACGTAGTCAAGATAGACTGGATCGAACCGACATCCCTCGCCCCGGCTGCGTGCGCTCTCGACGGTTGTGAGTCTGTGAGTTCATGTTACCATCTTCATTCCGCTGGCAGGCCTCCGTCCCAACACGATTCTATCAACAACCCCGTCATCACGATGCTGCTTCAACCTCTGGAAGTGGTCCTCCAAGCCATATCATGGCTGACCACGATCCACGGCCAGGGGACTGTCGGTGTTCTCGGCATCCTGTCGCATAGGCTCTACTTCATCCGCGGCGAGCACCACCTGAAAGCGCCGCTGTATTTCGGCCTGTGGGCGCTGGCTTCCGTCTTTGTCGTCTCGATATTCCACGCCGCCAACGCCTTCGAGCCCCTCCACGGCAATGTCAGAACCGACATCAACGCGTTCGAGGCGCTTGCGCGGCTGAATGCTGCTTTCTTCCTGCCACTATTCACGAGCATGGTCGTCTACCGTCTGCTGGAACATCCGCTCAGACACTTTCCCGGGCCTCGCTTGCTCGCGACGTCCAAGCTGTGGCATGTCTCTTACATGTTCACCAAGAAGAACCACCTGTTCCTCGACGACCTCTATCATAAGTATGGGAGCATTGTGCGCACTGGTGGGTACCAACTTCCTTATATCTGTTGTTCTGGTGTAACTGCAGTCGATGAAGCCGACCCGTCTGGGTGCTTACGATGTCGCATTCTGGCTTGGATCAACCCCTGGCTCTGTCAGCATTGCCCTGGGCATCCCCATCCACACTCGCCCAGAAACTAGGCTCACCCGTGCCTGATCTCCGTCTGGACACGTGCTGCATGCGTCTTACGGATACACTGGGGGCTTACATGGGACGGCTAAAACGTGTTGCCATCTTACGGCGTACTAACGTCTTGCAGGGCCCCAGGAGCTTACGGTGGTCGATCCGGAAGTCTGGCAGGTCATCGGCGGGCCGGGCACATCGTGTATCAAAGGGCCGTGGTATGATCTGATGTACCCGTACATGTCCCTAACCTCGCTCCGGACCAAACACGGGTACGCACCGCGCCGCAAGCGATGGGATGAGGCTTTCGGCTTTTCCACCAATTCCTGTAAGCGGCCTCCATACTCTGAAAATTCATCTAGCCATACTGACCGGGCCAGATGTCGGAGACAAGGGGCACCGTGTCCACGCCACGGCGAAGCTGCTGCTCAACCAGCTCTACAAGTGCGCCGGCTCTCCCATCAACGTCAACATCTGGTTCCACCACTTCGCCTTCGACATCATGGGCGACCTCGCCTGGGGGCGCTCGTTCAACCTCGTCGCGGATCTCACGTCGGGCAGCAAGCCGCACTTCGCCCCCGCCATCATCACGCAGGCCACGTCCATGTTCCAGTACTTCACGCCGGCCACGTGGATGGGCCACATCTGCTTCTACCTGGCCTGCTACGTGCCCTTCGTCACCCAGAAGTGGAACCGCATCTTCGGGTGGGCAGCAGAGATCTGCGACGAGCGACTGGAGCGCGGGGGCCTCGAGGCCGGCGACAAGGGCGAGGCCGGCACCGATGCCTTCTCTCGTTTCATCCTGTCGGCCCGCCGTGATGGGGACGACGAGTCGCTCGACCGCCTCGCGCTGTACGGGGAGACCTTCGCCATCGGCGTCGCGGGGACGCACACGACAGCGGCTGCTCTGACCATGATGCTCTACGAGCTTGCCCAGCGCCCGGAGATGCAGGACGAGCTGCGGAGAGAGATTGCCGTCGCCGGTGTAGTTTCCGATGGGGACGCGGACGGGCGGAAGGAGGAGGTGGATGCGGCTGCGCTCGAGAGACTGCCGTTCTTGGACGCATGCATCAATGAAACCATGAGGTTCTATGCACCGATTCCGTCGGGGGGTGCCAGGCAGACGACAGAGAAGGGCGTCAAGGTGGGCGACACATGGATTCCGCCCAACACCATCATAATCGCACCGAGGTATTCCATCTCGCGATGTAAGTTCCCTGTCCCCTGACTTCTTCCGCCCTTCTGGCCACAGGTGTCCCGTGCCACGTGGACGCGAACGTGGGCTAACAACGAAAACCAGTGGAAGCTGCATGGGAGAAACCAAACGAGTTCATCCCAGAGAGGTGGACCACCAAGCCTGACATGATCAGGGACCGGCGCGCCTTCAATGCCTTCGGCATCGGTACATCCAACCCCCTGGTTCTGCCCCGGAAGTACCATTCACTAACTTGATCCCTAGGGCGGCATACCTGCCCCGGAAAGGCGCTGGGGATGCTGGAGGTCCGCATGGTTGCCGCGATGATCCTCGCCAACTTCGAGCTCACCTTGGCTCCGACCAAGGGCAACAAAACCAGAGTCGTTGACGAGGCCAAGGACGCGTTCCTGACCCTGCCTGGGGAGCTGGAGCTGATATTCACGCCGCTGAGGGAGTCATAATGAAACATGTCACCGTAGAAAGAGCGGTCACGAGCCGTCGTAACATGACTTAATACCGAGGACTGAGTTATGTATTGTACCTAAGCCACGGTGAGCTGATCAGATTACTCTATGCCAGTGGTGAACCCTCAGGAGATAAGTCGTAAAGACGAACGCCACCAAAGCCGTCGACAGTAGCCCGAAGAAAAGGGGCATGGGATCCGGACTTAAGTTGGCGGTTATCGCCTCCATAAAAGGGGGCTCAGTCTGAGGACCGTGATCCACAGCTCTCTTAAATGCCCGTCCCTCGCAGTTTGATCCAGATTACACCAGCGTTATAGCCAAGCCTAACATGACCGAAGCTCTCAAACCCGTCGTATTTCACGGCCACGGTATGGGCCCGAACCCGCGGTGGACAAGTTCCTGCAGCTGAGGGCCGAGACCATGGCGAGCATGGCGCTCCCCAGACGCGATTGAGAGACACGCATGGTGCGGGATTCCGAGCGAGGCGGCGAACCGGGTTGCTCTCTGCCGCAACGCAACGTTATTACCACTTGAGCACTACACTCCCAGGCCCTTATCATATAGAGATCCTTGTGGGTAACATACCAATAATTCATGTCCTGGTACTGAAACAGAATCGAGCAAGACAGCAAGTCCAAGATCCACATCACTCCACCCTGCAAGTGGTGCGCACGATGTATTTATGCATGCGTCGTATTATCTCTAGGAATACAAAGATCGTCTACTCTACTTCCGACTATACGTAACGCCCATGTATCCATACCAACAGGAGTAAGAAGGCCGAATCTGCGATGTAAGATAACTCTTCCCGATCAATGTAGGTGATCGATCACCTAGCCCCTAACAGTCGCTCGTAGCGAGCGAGCTCCAAATTGCAGGCACCCGTAGCTTTTGGCCTAGCATCCCTCCCAATATTCAGGAGTGACGAAATGTTCGCGCTGTGCTAGTATAAGTCTAATAAGTCAGATGGCCGGCATTGTTCAATCTTCTCCCGTATGCTCGGCCACTTCGCAGTAAGTCTCACGCATCCTTATCGGTTACCTCGCCTTGGTCAGCGAACTGATCCCCTTCTGGTCTACCAGTCGCAATCTTTGGCTTCGTGCGTGTCGCTACTGTAGTGTCGTCACTGTGTATGGAGTCCTTCTCGACATCATCGTCGAGCATGTGGGTTGGTACGCAATCTTCGTACGAGATGTGCGATCCGGGCGTCTGAAATTCCTCAGTAGCTCCAGAAACTGCACGAGGAGCTGGGAGGACCTGCGAAGGCGTCATGGGCAACCCACTCAATATCATTTTGCTCGACTGCTCGCTACCAGAGTATGGCTCGTTCTCCACAACATGCTGAAACTTGTGTACTTCCTCCGCAATGCGACTGGTCAAGGGTGGTCTGGTGCTATCATCGCTGGATTCGCGCAACCTAGGTGTTCTAGATACTGAGCGATGTTTAATCTTGTCGATTGTTTGTTCGAGAGCCTGGACTTCCCTGAAGCCTGCCGGCGTGGGGAGTAGCTCAAGCTCGGGGTACTCTAGATGTCCTCGATCTTTGTGGCTATTGCTTCTCGAGGATGAATATTTGGGCTCGTCGTCCACATTATCCCTGCTAGAGATGAGCTTTTGCCACCCTCCCTTGACTGCCCTTCCAAACTGGCCTGACAGTGTTCGCGACACTGGGGTCAGGTTCCTCTTTTTCAACGATCCGTTGCCCATTTTCAAAGGCGGGAGCGCTTGATCACTGCAAAGCTCGCTGGGAACCCCGAAGTCTCTTGGGACCACATGGTCTTTGGCTCCCGCTGCGCCCGCTCTCTCGTGACGTGAGTGCGATGGCCATTTAGCCCATGATTTCGGCGGTGTCCGTCGTCCGAGAGATCTATTCTGAGGCATATAGACCTCTGATTCTGGATGGGGTTGCAGGTTGCCAGCCTCCAGCTGATTGACCCATTCTCTGAGTACTCCGTGGGACGCATTATTCGGTTCGTGTCGATCAGTCTGCACCAATGGAAGAGTCCCTGGGGACTGCGGCTGTGAGGTAGATCTCTTTCGAGTGCCAGAGATATTATGGTCGACGATGTGAAAGTGGTTCCCAGTGGCGGCGTGCTCTTGGATTGCGTTGGACACAGCCACAACAGCCTTCTGACCTCGTGGTGATGCGTATAGCTTATGTGACCCGGCTCTACTCTGGGATCGGGATTCTCGACGATCGGCTTCTTGCTTGAAGGCTCGCTGCCACACCCCTGTTGCACTTTCTACAATCGCCGGCCTTCTGCCTCCGTTCGCTTGAATGAAGGGGCTTGCGGGCCGGTTGACAGCGGAATCAGAGTAGCTGGCGTATGGGTGCTCTGTGTACTCGGCACCAGCAAGTCGACCTTCGGGCAACCCGCCCTTGGCGTCGCTTGACTCGGGACGTTGTGTTGAGACCTTGGCTTGCTTCGGTACCGTCAGATGGAACTTGGCCATGATCGAATGTCTTGAGCTGCGTGAAGGTCTGGGCTGATCAAAATCCTCCTGGAATCTGCTAACTGCTTGAATGCTGTTATTTCGACGAATATTCCCAGACCCGAATCGTTGCTCGATTGACTTCAGTTCCGCCTCTCGGTGCCTGAAACTCGCTGTTTCTGACGCAGCTACGGATATCGCGCCAGCCGTTGCTCGTCGTGAAGCAGGGATATCTTCCAGAGCCCAGTCCGATGACGGTAACACAGTTGAGGCTGTCTTGTACGAACTCGTTTCTGACTTTTCGCCATCCTTCTTACGGCTCGGCACCTCAAGTCCTAGACATCAGTGTCAGACTAGACCGTCACTTGTGATTGGCAAGAACACACAACTTACTGTTAAGTGGTGCCACTGGTAAAGCAGCTTTCCGTCCACCGAGTAACTCAGTCAGCTTGAGATGGGACTCTTTGGGCGTAGGCTGCCGACTGTTGGGCCTGGTGGTATACCGAGATGATGTATACCGAGAGGACGATTCTTGTTGAGCTTCCTCGGGCACAGGTGGGTCCTCGGAAAGAGCTTCACTCATCTCAGCAACAGCTCGTTGCAGTGCTATTGATTCGTCGCTGGGTGTGCTACTCGAGGCTCGCTCGAGACCGACACTGGCGTCTTCAGACCTGGGCCATGCGCCTGGAGGATCTCTTTGCGGATCGTCAACTTGTTCGGCAGCTTCAGGCAGTACCATGGTGGGGGGTTGAGGAGCCTCGCGATTCGGGGCGCCAGTTTCAGATGGCGCTTGTTGGCTGTTGCTTCCAGCGATCTTGTCCAGCATCATATCGCTATTATTCCGGCTTGAAACGACCGAAGTTGATTGCACCTCTTGACTTCGAAGCCACATATCCAATGGCGAATATCGATCAATACTAGTGTCATTGTTGTTGGCGATAGACTCCTCTTCCTCGCGATTATTGTCAAGCACGTCAATCGGACACTCATTTGACCCCTTGGGAGTCATTGGTTCCAACGAGTCCTCAGCTGGGCATTCGCTCTCAGCTGGGTCATTTACGCTCGGGTGATCGTCTTTCTTTGGCGGACTCTTGTGCTCCTCATCGTCATACCTTTGATCTACCTCCGCCTGAATGCTGATCTCGGGCGGCTGAGAAGAGATGGTCTGTTTCGTGTCTTCGGGAACACCCAAGAAGTTGGCCAGCTGCCCAGAACTGTATGAATCTAGGCGCCAGGACTGTATTGAGGGCGATCCGCGACCATTTGGGAAGTGGACAGGGAGCAACAGAGGAGATGACGGTAGTTGGGGCAAGGATCCTCTTTCTCTCAGCGGCAGGTTGCCGTCAAGACTCAGATTTTGGCGTGATCGGTATGTTGAATCTGGACAGCTGTTTCGCCGGCCGGAAACCGCCCGTTGACGGGCGACGGGGAACGCAAGGGGTATAGCTTCCTGTGAGGAGCGGGATTGTTCTCGGGGTTCGTCCTCGACTGGACTTGAAACGGAAAATTCGATGGTGTCTCTTGGTCCACCTCCGGGGAGATCGGGCTCTTTGCAGCTATCACGTCTGGGCGGTTCCAGGCAAGTCGGCTTGACTCCCTCTTCTTCCTCGCTCTTGAGCTCCTCTTGTATCCTCTTGTGCATCAGACGCTTCAATTCGGCACGTCGTGCGAGCTCATCATCGTTATTGCCAAGGGTTTGTGGCGAGTGCCCTTTTGGCTCAGATTTTTGGGAGAGGCGTCGAATGAGTTTGGTTTTGATTGCCTCTAGGGTATTGGTGCTGGAGTTTTTCGTATTTCTTATCGGGATATCTTCGTCCGAGTCGTCGGCGTCGATATCGGCAGGATTGACCTGAGCCTGATGCATTGAGGTGGTAAACAATGATGGTGCTTGTTTGGAAAGGACTGGTGACAATGACATGTCGGGAACAGAGCGAGGAAAGGGGCTTTTGGATAGCTTCGCTCGCGGGGGCGGTGTGGGAAGTTCAAGAACCTCTCGACTCGGTTCCGGGCAGATGACTCGACGGCTGCGACAGCAACAGAGGATGGACATTGTCAAAGGTCTCCGGCTGGAACGAGTGTGGTCGTGGCTAACAACTGCGTTGGTTTTCCAAGAAGCGTTCACGAAGGTAGCGGAGATGAAGTCGTCCATCTACCTGAAGTAAGGCAGAGTGAGTGGTCCATGACGGCGTTTGATGTCAGAGGCGAGAGCCAGGTATAATGCGGAAAGAGGGACGGCTTGGGGATGTTTCACCTTCACCTTCCCGTTCTCGTCTTTCTCCATTGGAAGCTGCAGTCCTGAAGTCTATACCTTCCCTAGATCTGCACCTGCAGTTATGGCAGACGCCTGAACACGCGGTATACCTTGTATGTGGACAAAGCTTGCTCCAACGCTCCTTGCATTCTCTGTTTTTATATCATCTACCTACCTAGGTACGTACTACGTCTAGGATCGACAAAGCACTGTAACGAGCCAGGAAGAGTCGGCATAGGGGATTGAAATACCTCAAGTTATCAATTAGGTCCATGTAGCCAGCTGCGAATAGGCAATCGCTACTGCGTCCCTATCTTTTGGTGCATACCTACATTAGGCAAATAAGTAGGTATGTAAGGAGCCACCTCACAGTACACATTTGTTTCAAAGCCGCCCAGCGAGTTACAAGATAACGGCAGGACATACTTGTAGGACAGTCGAAGAAGCTACCTACAAGCTGCTTTCCAGCAGGCGCCTTGATTGAGAATAGAATTCATGTCTACGGTTCTGCAGTCCGTCCCACCAATACCTGCGAAGAGCACGCACCTAATACTAAGCCCGGCGAGCAAGCCGTCTTGGGCGCCCTGGACGTCGAGCAACGGCATTGAGGGAGACTTGGTCTGTGGCTCTGGTGAAGTTGGATAACCTGGGATATTACCCTCCTCACGTGCCTCGCCTTGGACCAAGATGATGAAGATGACTGAATCTAATTTACGGCTTTTTATTCTAGCAATCACATAGTTGACTGCGGTGCTTATAAGACGATCCCGAACTAGGGCTGAATAATACAAGCAGAACGGCATCAGCTTCCCTGTGTGGTCCGCCTTGGTTCAGATATCAGAAAGTACTCGGCCGCGAACCTCGCTTCAGATCGCGATACGTGGCCTTTCAGAAATCGTCTTTCGTGTCTCGCAACGGATCCCACTGCACATATCGTACGTCGGGCGAATTGGTCAGCATAAGCGGTGGCTCTATCGGTCAGCACAAATTAATAATGCTGTGCCGCAAAGTCGACCTCGGACTTCTCGGTATTCGCAATTCGCTACTCGCGCGATGTGAGCTTGAAGATACGCCATACATGGCATCACCGACATGTAACTATAAGTAAGATGGCTAGAGGGCAGAGATGATGATCTGCCGTGAATAATAAGTAAGTCAAGTAACCAGCCCCAAACACGATATCACACCACCAGCTCCGAACCAACCGCAGACCCAACTTGACACGTCCCACTCTCATACAATTCAGTTACACACAATACACAATGGCGCCGACTACTCAGAAGGCCCTCGTAGTGACCGAGGTCGGCCAGCCCCTCGTCCTCGTCACAGAACGCGCCGTCCCCCAGCCAGGCCCAAACCAGATCCAGATCAAGGTGACGGTCGCGGGGCTCAACCCGCACGACCAAAAGGCTCGCGACATGGGCCTCTTCATCACCGGCCACCTGCCCGCCGTCCTGACCAACGACGTCGTGGGCCGCGTGTCGCAGCTCGGCGACGGAGTGACGGGCGTCGCCATCGGCGACAGAGTCGTCGCGCACGCGGCGATCGACGCGCCCTGGCTGCAGACCGGTCTCCAGGAGTACACCCTGGCATACGCGGGGTGCTGGGCCAAGCTCCCGGATTCGGTGTCCGACGACGAGGCCGCGACGCTGCCGACGAACATCATCGCGCCGCTCGTGGCGCTCTTCCACTTGCTACGTCTGCGCGCGCCGTGGGACGCCGACGCCGCATCCGCCAACGCATCCGCCACGCTACTCGTCGTCGGCGGCGGCTCCAACTGCGGGCGCTTCGGCGTGCAGCTCGCGAAGCTGGCAGGCGTAGGCCGCATCGTCGTCGTGGGCGGCGACGAAGCCGAGCTGCGGCGCCTCGGCGCAACGCACGTGCTAGACCGCCACGGCGGGTACGACGCCGTCCTGGCGCGCATCCGCGCCGTCGTCGGCGACGATCTCGTGTTCGCCTTCGACGCCGTCAACCCGAACGAGGGCCAGCTGCTCGCGCTGAACGCGCTGTCGAGCCACAAGAGGGGCGCGCTCGCGCGGCTGGTGCCGCTGGGCCCCGTCGACGAGACGCGGGTGCTCAACAAAACGGCCGGGTTCGAGGTGCGGAATGTCCATGGCATGTCCCACGCTTTTCCGGACTTGGCGGCGCCGTTCTGGGAGCGCGTGCCTGGGTATCTCGAGGCCGGGAAGATCACGCCGCTGGGCTTTGTGGTGAAGGAGGGTTTGATGCCGGAGAATGTGAATGTGGTCCTGGATGCTTACCGGGATGGCAAGAGGGTTACCAAGACGCATGTTCATCTGTGAGATCGTGGCCGTTGGTACCGACGGCGACCAGTCCTTTCCATTTGAGCAAATAAGAAGTAAATAAGAAGTAAATAAGATGAATCAGAGTGAATACCTGCTGCTAAGGAGTAATCATCGCTTGGCGCGACCCGAACATCTCAAAGGCATAGTATCTCTTCATTCTCGCTAGGTACGACACTCACAGGAGCAATAGTAACATGGAGGTAGGCAGTTGTTCATAGGGTTTATTAAAGATATATTTCGAAATGCCGCCGAGTAGACAGCCTGAAGGCGCGCTCAGGGTGACAGTCGAGCCCCAGCTACGTCCATCACGACGAAAGGATAATCGCAAGGGAACTTACTCTAAAGAAAGGGGAGGGGAAGGGTATGAGTCGAAAGGAAAAGGGGCAACTCTAACAGGAACCAAACTGCTCCTACATCAGAAGACCAGCAGGAAGCCGGACCTCACCTACCGTACTCAAGCCCTCTCGGGGCCGCACTCGCCACAGAAGTCGTGAGTACAGCTCGGGCATTTCCCGCGCCAGAACTCGCGGTTTTTTTAACAACCGCAGCACCAGTAAAGGTTCCCGGCGTCGACCAGTTCCACGCGGGTGGCCCGGGCGGACAGCGCGGCATTGCCAGTCTCGGCCTGGGCTGCGGTCTTCGAGATCGTCTGCGCCATTTCGGAAGATTGGTGAGGTTTTGGGGATATTGGATATACATGTACTAAGTTAGTGGGTGGGGAGAAAGACTGAGCGAAAATGCTGTCTTTTGGTTGGTGAAGTTGGAAGTGATGAGATGAAGACTGGCTGATTGATGATGGGTCTGCGGACTGGTTTAAGTAGACGACTGCTGGAGCTGGCGAGAATATCATTCCCATTGACTTGGATTTGTGGCATATACGGTGAAGGCATCGCCAATGGGGAAGAAGAAAGAAAATCGGCAATGTGAAAGCCTCGCCGGCAGGAAAGAAGAATGAAGATCGGCAGGGTGAAAGCCGATGGGTTGTCACGCGGATAAAGAATGCAAGTAGGGCAACAATCACGTTGTTGAGTGTCGGACAAAGTAACGAGGTACGCGTACTTTCAAGAACGACAATTATCTTGTTCAGCCCCAGAAAAGAAAAAGAAAAAAGAAGAGAGAGAACAAAAGCATCTGAGACATACGAGATCATGTTACCCCTGATCTGCAATCGCACGAACAGAGCCGCAATGACACCCTCCTCAGGAGACAGTTTTGTCTTAAGCAGTTGGAAGGAGAGGACAGACTACGCCCGAACGCAAGCACTAACTGTTCCATCCGCTGTCTGTGACCAAGCCCTTCCGTAAGGTCAAACTCACGTATTCCAACGACAACACCCGCTTGTTGGGCAATATGCTATCACCAATCGTCTCAATCACAAACCGGGAAGTCTGGCTCATGATACCCCATATGAACTCAAACATTATCTATGCTCCCTCTATCACCTTTTTCCAGTCCATACGTAGACTTCTAAGAAAGCACCCTCAAACCCAGGTGACAGATTCTTGTACATGGACCCAAATTAAAGCCGACCAGTATCAGCAATGAGATAGCTCAAGAACATCGGCTCCCGTAGCCCACTCTGCCCTTTCATCCAACTAACTCTACGCCGCCATGATGCTCCGCCCTCCATCAGCCGTAAGGCGAGCGCGGATCCTGACGCGCATAACAGCATGGTCCAGTCGCTTCGGCACAACCACGTCCTTGGTGCCTTCACGTCCACCTTTTCTCTCCAGTCCGACAATGGCACTAGGGGCAAAGATCAGAGCCTCTCCGGTCTTGAGTTGAACGATATGCGACATCATCTCAAGCATCGGATTGTCCTGCGCGATGCTGATGCCCTTGAAACCTTCAAACATGCTCGTCGTGTCCGCATCGATGTCTCCGTTTTTCTGCTTCCTCTGCTGCGTTTTGATGAGGATCTCGGAGGCTGTGGAGAGACCAGCGAGATGACCCTTCAAGACCCGCATCCAGTCGGGTGACTGAAATCGATGGACCACCGTGATACTGCATAAGTCGAGAAGCTTGGGCGATATTGTTGGCTCCTGAGTGGCGATGATCACTCTCAAAGCCTCGTGGCGCTGGAGCCGAATCGAAGACAGCAGAGAATTGGTCAAGGTCTGCGCCTCGGCTGACTCCGTCATGTACTTATGCGCCTCGTCAAGGGCGACGACTCGGCCCAGGCCGGGTTGTTTCTGCTCCAGAAAGAGAGATAGGCAGATGTTGAAGAGCGAACATGCCATCTCGGACGTGACGCAAGGGCACGAAAGGTCGACGATGGTCAGCTGACCGGCCTGGGAGATGGTTAGTGAGAAACGCCATAGCATCTGTCTGGGGCTTACTTACTACAGGCGTCCAATCAGTGCCCCGAGACGGTACCTGAGATCCGCGACTGGCCTGAGGTTTGACCATGAAGCTTTCAAGCGTCTCGAGGCGTTGGTGAAGGGGAACACTCTGCATAGGGGTAAGATTTTCGTTTTGAAGGAGAAGCTTGAACTTCGTGTAATTGAAGTGGTGGCCAGTGTTCTGTTGGTCGATGCGCATGTCCCGCAGGAGCCGCTGGATGACATGCATGTATAACGGCATGCCGCCTGCACCCACTGCCATGAGATCCAGCATTCTCTTCGTGTTCAAGTCCGATTCCTTCAATCGCAGCTCTTCGACATTCACGCCCGGGAGACGACTGTAGGTTTGCTATGACGAGTTAGCTATCATTATGGCATCTGGGGGTTCAATAGCGTGGATCGACCTACGCGCATAGTTCGTATATTTGTCGGCGCACATAGGACCCTGACCTTGACATTGCGGTTGGACGCCAGATACGCTGCCTCGCATGGTGTCCCGCTGAGGTCAGATATAAAGGTGTCGTAGTGGAACACTACTCCTGTCAAAGGTCGGGGCAGGCGACCAAGACGCTTCGATGGCACAAGACAGTTCTCGAGGAAGCAGGACAGTGTGTGGCTCTTGCCGGAGCCTTGGCTACCACAGATGAAAACACTGGAGGGTGCTGCTACGTTGTAGAAAAGGGGCTCCTCCGAGTTCGTGGAAGCAGAGCCATCAGAGTTGCCTCCCAAGAGGGCGTACTGAGGGAACGTCGCCTTGGCATTGCCGAGTGTCTTGGCATGCTGCCAAACAGGGGGGGTGAAGAGTGGTGATGATGTGATCTCATCGAGGTCGTCCGCCCCGGGAGGTCTGCGGAGCAACTGAGTATGGAAGTTCAGGACTTCCTCAGCCTCACTCTCCTCGCGAGAGCTGCGTGTGCTTTCTGGCTGATCACTGTATGGGTCTTGGTCGTCTCCTGAGTCGAAGCTCTCTGCGCTCGATTCGTCGCTTGAATCTTCTTCCGTTTCCTCGGAAGTCGATGGTATCCTGGCGTGCTGCTTTACGGTTCTAGTGGACGGCCTCACGCCGTCTTTGGTCCCAGCTCGCACTTTCTCATCCCTGACAGGAGGGAAAGCAGCCTTCTTTGCTGCAGCAACTGTCGGGTTGGACATTATGTCTAAGCAAGGGAATGAGCATGGTCAGTACGGCTTGTACGGGCTCATGAGCACCTGGTGATGCCACCGGGGAGGGGATGACGACTAACTCTTGCTCGACATGGGCTTTGCAGGGCTGGTAATGTTAGCCAAAGGCTGGCGAATGGGCATGGTCGTGCTCAAGTTGAATCTCGGCACTTCTGCAGGCTTTGACCTGGACACTGGGGACGGATTACTGTGGTCCGAATAGTTGCTTGGCGGCCGCTCGGTAGCTGTGGCTTGGGACCTTGGGGAAGACTGAAATAAGGCAGTGGAGGGTTTTACCGCACGGTTGACTGGCGTTACGGGATTTCCAGCGCTGTGGGTGTGCTTGAAAATGTCTGGGGACTTGGTCTCCTGGGGGCCTGAAGCGGATTGTCCGAAATAGTGGATGAAGCCGGGATCAGGCGGTTGCGCTTCGGTAGCGGGTGAAGAAGTAAAGGAGAAGCGCGGACTGGCAAAGTCAAAGGCTGAGGCTGAGGCATCGTCTTCTACAGAGACGTTTCGTTGTGTTTCATTGATATTCGGTTGCCGTGCAACAAACTTCTGTGAAAGCGCAGTGTCTTCCGGAACAGCAGGCTTGGAAGAGAAGGAGAACGTAGGTACATGCATACCAGCCTCTGACGGCACAGAAACTGCTGGCACATCCATGTCATGCTCTTTGTGCGATGCCCAGTTCAGTTGCGCTTGAGCCAAAATAGAGGTGCCGACGTGGATATTCGACGAGGCCGACGATGTAGTCTCAACCACAAGGACAACACAAATGCATGTGAGCTAGTAAGAGCTAATCTAGGTTAATTCTATCGCCCTGGACGCGTCTATTAGCTAATAGACGCGTCTGTAGTTCGGCTAACCAGGGCCCCAGTGCGGCTCAAGCGCCCTCCCGCTCATAATAATACTACCCGAGACAGACTTTGACGGCTTTGACCGCCTGGCGCTGTCACGTGTGGGCAATCTGCCTGTCTCGACACTAAAAGGCGTCCTATCGTAATCATCGCGCGTCTTCTAGCAGCAATCAGGAAAGCCAAGAACCGACTCTATGAATGTATCGCACTTTGCGTGCGCCTTTGCGAGTCGTAAAGAGTAGAGCGGAAAGCAATCACCAGGCTAGAGGCACTGCAAACAAGTCATCGAACGCCAACGCTGCTGTCGGGCACCGGACCGAACCTGAGCACCAAGTCTCGATGTTCTTTTTGGTACCCCGAACGCATCTGTTCGAAGCAGAAGGTCGTCCCCGCCCAAGTTGCGCCTGATGGGTTGACTAAGGTATGCGGACAGAACTCGCTCTCGACAGGTAGCTACTTGATTCGTCCAATTAGACCAATCATTCACAGTACATGCCTACCTTCAATACGAGGCTTCGGCAAGGCTACTGAGGACACGCGTGCTCGCTGGGACACTGTGCTGTCCATAACGCATGCCCCTGCTCTTGTCGACTGGTGCCAGCCTGCAAGAGACATGGCAGTTTCTAACTATGCTGCTCAAAGTCGGAGTACTCAGATAGGGCAGATGGTGTTCGCCTGCGCGGCTAGGACAGAGCGCTTTGGTACGTAGACGAGAAACGCAAGATGCCAACTCGTGCCAGGTCCGAACCACTAGGGCAGCCAACATCCATGCCCCACTGATCACGAAGTATTGTGTCGAGCAGATAACACCATTTTCTGCTTTAACTCGCTGGTAGACCATGGTGCCCATTAGTCTATCCGCAAAGTCTGTTGGCTAGAAAGACATGCGCAGGTTCTCCTGACCAGGGTTACACATCCCAAGCAACGGGAATCTAGCACAAGGAAGGAGAGGTATATATTCACGAAGGTTCAAGGCGCGACTAGGCACCAAGTGCAAATGCGGACACCTAGTTGAAATGGGCTGAGGTTTGATGAAATGGAGGCTGTCTATCTTTCTGCTGATAAAACTCCTGAAATAGGACACGCATACACAAACGTTTCAAGCCACCTGCTGATGAAACGGTAAAAAGCCACAACGCTCAGTTGCGGTAGATTTCCAAACCATCGAACGGAGAGGTGCCATCAAGCTCCCCATCAAATGGGGCTCTGTCACAAATTTGAGCATTTAATACCTGGTCTTTTGTCGCCTGGCTGAACTCTAATCGTCTTTATCCCTCACTCGCAATGATAATCTTGCCACGGTTTATTTTATTATTAAGCTCTTCGACCGCCACATCAAAACTTCGTCGCTGCGGTCTCCGATGAGCCACGAAAGCCGTATATGAAGACGAGAAATATTCCTCATAATCAACGGTTTCCCCCTCTTCAACTCTTCGCCCATCCTCCATTCCATTACATCCTTCAAATCGGAACAACTACAGCCAACCATGTTGCCCGTCAAGTACGAAGTGCGCGTTGAAGGCAACGACTACCACCCGCCTTGCGCATTATGCATTTGCCTCTTGGACGCCTTCACAAGAGTCGGCCTCACATGCGAATACGATGCCTTGGATGGGACATGCTTCGTCGACTGCGACAGCCCAAGCGGAGGGGCGGACTTGCAGTCTCAGGTCACCGAGCTGCTCGCGGAGAACTCAGAGCTGCAAGATGAAACATATCACCTGAAGGGTGCCCTCCGGCGCAGCGAGCAAGATTGCGCAGTCACGACCAAGGAACTTGGGCACGCATTGAGGTTCATCGGCCACCTGAATGACGAGCTGGTTGACAGCAATGGCAAGCCCGCCACCAAGGATAACTGCAGTCAAACCGACGAAAGCGCCCAAGACAGATTACAGAAACTACGAGAGCAGCACCAGCGCGATGTGCAGAGTCTCCAGGAACAGCACCAGCGCGAGGTAGAGAGTCTACAGGATCAGCTCGAGCAAGACCGAAAGCGCCACAGCGCCCTACTCCAGATGCACGGTCGCATGACGCTGGACAAGCGCCAGGAAGCCAAGACCTTCATGACCAAACAGCACGCCGAGATTTCGAGACTGCATGAGAAGGTCAAGGAGCTCGTGGCAAAGGACGCTGACGACAAGTACTTCCACGGTCTGCCCCGCGGCTTCGATGTCAGACCCCATGTGACGCACGACGAGGCCAGACAAATCCTGTGCGCGGAGCAGTTCCAGCACTCGCAAACGCACCACCTGCCGCAGCTGACGGTACCCCGGCTCAAGTACCTCTACCAGCAGTCACGCGCCGCGCTCGAACTCTGTCAGCGCGACGCCGACGCATTCCGCGTTCAGGTGTGCCAGCTCACGACCGCAAGGGACGAAATAGAGCAGGAGTTCGACTCGTTCGCCGACGCCGCCGCCGACGTGGGCCAGCTGCGCCGTGACGCCGACGCCGCGACTGAGGCCGAGATCACGGCGCTCATGGACCGGATCGAGGTAATCAAGAACGCATCCTTGGTCCAGACCCCCTTCGTCGGCCGCCCGGACGCCTTTCTCGCTGCCATGGTGGCGGAGTTCCGGGAGGCGAAGCGAGTCAGAGAGGAGATGCTGGCGCGCAAGCAGGCGGTGTTGGAGATGGCGCTGCGGGCCCGGCAGGAGCGGGGCCGGATTGAGAAGGAGAAGCTGCAGAAGCAGGAGCAGGAGCAGGAGCAGGAGCGCCGCGAGAAGGAGCTGCCGACGGCGCTGCAGTCCATGAAGGAGAGGCGGCTGCAGAGGGAGAAGCAGCTGCAGGAGGAGAAGCATACGGTAAAGGCGAAGATACTACCCCAACAGCATCAGGACGCGAGAGATGACGGCGAGGACCACAAGGATAAGGACAAGCACCAAACCGTAGCCCAGGTTGCGAGCCGCGGTCTCGAGTCCGCGCCCGCGAACCACCCTTCCGCCGGTACGCTGCCCGTCGCAGAGCCCGAGATCCCGCTGCTGCGCCTGCCGTCGCCGCTCGAGACACCGCCAGCCCAACAGACAGCTTCAACTTGCCAGGAACCCCGACTTAGCAGCTCCGACAACGTCGCGACGATGGAGGACATTCATCCGAACGGAGGCGAGGGCGGTCAACTCCAAGACGACTGATGACTCGGGTCTTGGCTCGGACTGGAGCGAGGTCTGAGTCCTCGGCGGCAAGATGGGGGGATCAGGCAACGGTGCTTGCGCAGTCTTTATTGTCTCACTTTCGATCTGGTTACTGATCGATGGTCATTTGGCTTGATCCGTGCTGGCGACGAGCTTGTCTCAGCGCATCGGTGAACTGCGATATGTGGACTAGCTAGACATGTTCTCGTAGCACTCAGTTGAACCAGACCGATCCAATTGGTTCCTTCATCTTGAACGTCGTGAACGACTCCATATAACATATCCTTACTTTCCTCGTAACCTTTCCTCAATGCGATCGCTCGCTAGTACAAATGCTTCCTGTGTATGCCCATATTGTACAAAAGCCGCCGCTTCAACTTGTGATAAAAGGGAATTGCTCAGACGATTTCCAAGCCCCGATAGGCCACCGCACTATTAGAACCTCCGCGTGAGCCCCAGATCTCGCTATTTCTATAGGTATTCTCCTCGCTCGTGACATTGTACGTCGTCGACACGACAACATTCCCATCGCCCGGCTTGCCAATGATATGCTCCTCGCTGCCATTGAAGCTCTTGCGGCCGCCGTCGTCGGCCTGGCTGCCGTTGATGCTGGACGCCATCTCGTAGGGGCCCTGGCCCCCTGCTGTCGTCGTGCCGCCCTTGCCGCCCTTGCTGTGCGACCCTGACGACGTTATGGGTGACGAGTTCCAGAACGAGCGGCTGAACAGCGGCCGCAGGATCGGGATGTTGACCGAGATGATTCCAACAATCGTCTCTCGCACGCCCCACCGGTTGATGTTGAGCGCCGACGGGTTGGCGGACAGCGTGAGCACGACGCGGATTATTGCGGCGCTGATGACGAAGAGGCCGGATGAGAGGAGGAGGCCGATGACGAGTTTCCTGTGGGAGGGTCAGCTTGGGCCGTCGCGTTGAGTGTATGGGAGGGAGCGGCGCTGTGGTGAAGGGGTGTACTTCTTGAGGGGTATCTGAAGTTTCCATAGCAGCGGCAGTGGGATACAGAGAATGGCCGCGTCAGTTCTGTGCCATGTCAGTCAGTGTCTGTTGAAGCTATATAAGCTCATAACGTAGTAGCTTACATGACATTGAGGGTCACCGTCACCAAGAAGTTCTGCAGTTTAAAAGTGCACTTGTCTACAACTTGGTCAGCTAGACAGGTCAGGGACGCAAGATAACAAACACATACCTCCAGGATCTGGCACAACTTGCCAGTTGTGGTGGTAAGGGAAGCAACCGAACGTGACCTGAGGTCTGTTAGATGACTCGTTTCTTCAGTAGGTTGGGATAATTTACGGTCAGAAACACGGCTGCATATGATGCCGCACAGGCGCCCATGAGCCAGTTGACAAGCTTGTTGTGCGTAGAACCCATCGTCATGCGTTTACTGTTAAGTTCAACGTCAGTGATGTGATAACGTCTTCGGTATCGCAAGGTGGCAGATAGGTGAGTTCTGGACTCGGTCTACCCCTGAGAAGGTAGGCAGCAGCCGTGGCTCCTAGAATAAATTGTGGGGGAGGAAGACACAGAACTACTCACAAGAAACAAAGCATGGTGCCCTTCAAACACCAGATAAGTGCAGTATAAGAGTACCATGCGGCAAGTTCCTCCCTCGACCCGAATTCGAATTGCGCAATTTCTTCGGCGGTGAGGGCTATGGGAGGTTTTATATCAGTATCCACAGGGAGTCTACCAGTGAGCTTGGGGCAGAGAGGGCGCACATACTCCGAGTCTTGGCCAGTTGTGTCGCCTCTACATTGGTAGCTGTATGGTCTTGAATCCCCTGTTAGCGATACGATCCTCACCAGGCCCGCCGAGGGAAACTCTACAGATAATGTTCACAGTGGCGGCGTCCATGGTATAAAAGATCAGGGTAAGCAAAGCGAAGAAGTCATCGCCCTGCAAGCCGCGCAACCCCATCGTTTTGAGTCGAACTGCAAACCGCAGGAGCAAGATCGTCATGCCAATCGCGTAGAGGATCCATACTTCCTTTAAGAACTGGAGAGAACATCAGACTTCCAAGCTCGGGCTGGGGCAAAGGATGGAGTTGTCCAGCTGGGGATGACAAACCGATGGGTCATTCTCTCCTATAAAGATCATGACTGCAGTGTAAACAACCCAAACGAGTGATAAGGACGATTTGTGCAAGTCCGGAGCCTGCTGGTCGGTGTGTTCACTTGGAGAAAGAAGGCCGTTGTGACACGAAACGTAACCATACACTTGGATATGATGGATGCTTGATTCATATGAGATACGTCTATGGCTGATAAGTCAAGTATCAAGTTGGGGGTCATGAAGAAGGCCTACGTCGGCGATCACTAGGCGATGCGTCAGTGTGGACTAACTTAGTAGCTACTAAACTAAAGGGGGCCCCAAAACCACACGAAGAGAAGCCTGGGCTGGCTATCGTTTGGTAAAATCCTGACGCTCCGCAAGTCCAACCCCTCCTTTCAGCGGAGCGACCCCGTCAACATACTGCTTCTCCGGTGGACCAATGGATATGGTACTTCGCCGTCCGCAGTGATGGATGGTTACGAATACTCCACGAGAGAAGTAAGGCCCAGACCAAGAGCCAATGAACGGACGGTCATTAAGGTTCGACGGACCGGTCGAGTCGGTGCCAAGCAAGTCCCTTAGGTAGGCCGAAGTAGTCCTCGGCGATGTCATCCCATCTTGACGGGACGTTGACTTGGCATTCGCCAGTGCGAGATCCCTGAAGCGTGCAAAGGATAGCCTTGCCACCTTCCAGGGGATCACGGCTTGCAGATGCCACCAGTGGGCCAAGTCTGGAACTTTTGAGGCCGGAACGTCGAATATAGCTCCCGTGGGACGCAAACCGATATCCCAAAAAATCGCCGCTGGATTGATGAGCTTCAATGATGTCTGTTGAACGAGATGCCCAGCAGGGCCGTTCCAGAACGTTTCCAGCAGTCGCGGATGATATCTTGACCTGGTTATAACATACACCCATATTGGGCGGGCCGAGTAGTCGTATCTTTCTCCTCGGCGAAGTGATCGTCCCAAGGCCCCGTCACCCCTGTGAGAGAGTATGTGATATCAGTGATCAACAGATGCTTCCAGGGACGAGGCCACCTGAAAATCCGAATCCAAAGTGCCTGGCTAGCAACCGCTACTAGTTCCCCGCCTCCAAGGTTGAGGCTCGGAGGAAACTTCCCTAGTTCGCCTGTTATCGTACCTGTCAACCGGCCTACATAGGAAGGAAATATACGCGTCGCCGAGTCATGGTTCTCAGGTATGAAATATAAACACTGCTTGGCATACAAAACTGGCCACGCTAACATCTCAGTAGGTGGCGCCTAATGAAGGGACGGAAACCGACCATCTATAGTACCTACCTACAGCACGCGGCGGCGACGATCCACGCTACCAGACAGATCCCCGAGATATAGGCAGGTCCCCGAGATCTGCAAATCTGCAAGCCAGTCTTTCTTGGCGAGCACCAATTCGGGACGAGGGGGTAATAGTGATCGAACGACCACGCTGCCTGAATCGCACGCTTCAGCCCCGGATTCGCCGCAGACTCCCGGTGCCGGCCGTGATTCCCCTATTCCGGTTCCTGACCCCGTTCCTGACCCCGTTTATTCATTACTTTTAAGTTCAATTTAAATGAAATCTTTATACTTGTAGGGTTTTTTTTTTTAATAATAATAACGATGATATTGAAAATAATGATATTTATTATTTATATTAATAACGAGCTTATGTTAAATAAGTTAAATAAGTTAAAAAGCAGGCTTAATTTATTAAATATACGTTATATACCGAATGAAAACAAGGCTTAAGAATCGATTGCGATTGGCGCAGTTTTTTTCCTTTTAATAAACTTCATAATATGTTTCCTGCCTTTTTAACAGGTAATTCTTTTACTAAAAAGCGTTAAAAGCCTTATGTTTATAAGCCAAAAAAATTAATACTTGTTTTGCTTTTTAATAAGGCATAAAGCCGAATTTACTTATTAAAAGTAATTATAAATTTTAAAATTAAATTAAGCGCTATTTGTTTTAAAAACATTAACGTTTAAAGGTTTTATTTATTATTAATTAGTAAGCTTTTTAACCATCTCGTTAAAAGCTTGTTTATATATATCGCGTTTTATTCAAACGCGCGCGTATTTTTTAGAGATCGCTTAAAAGGGGGTTTAAACTTTTTTAAAATGAATTACTTGCTTTTATAAGATTTTAAATCTTTATAAAAGTAAAGCGGTAATATAGCTTTACTTTTTACGCTTTTTTAACGCGTTAATTTTAAATTTTCATTTTTAAAAGGTAAGAAAGACCTTTTTCTTTTTCTTTTCATATAAAACAAACCTGTTTTTATTATTATTTCTGTTGGAACAGGCTTGAACGATCAATCATAATACTCGAGTATTGGGTCAAGGTCATGATGTTGCTGATGGTTGGATTGGGAAGTCTAGCTGGACCTGCAGGTCTAGCTAAGTGACCTCACAATCCGGTATCTAATCTCTTATCTAATCATACATGTGGGTTCTGTATGGATGGTTTGACTGTGGAATCACATGGATCCAACAATTTCAATCGCCATTTTTTATACCGTTATAAGGTTTATATTAGCTTTTTTTACTTTTAAAACCATTATTAAATAACTTATACTAGCCGTTTTTAATGCCTTTACCGCGATATAAATATTTTAAAGCTTCGTTTTATTTATTAATAGCAGCATGTTAGCGTTCATTATCGTTTTATTTCTATTTATTTCATACATTTAGAGTTATATATAAGGTGTATCAACGCGTTGACCTTTTTAATTAAAGGCATTATACTTAAGCTTTAACATTTAATAACGTTACGTTGAACGTTACTATCTTTTTTATTACCGTATAATTTTCTAACGATATTATTAAAGCTAATACGAACGAATATGTAACTTTTGACGATAATAAACTCTTTATAAAAACAAGTCTTTAAAAAGTTCTCATTAAAAAAGCTTAATAAGCCGCTTAATAAACTTTATTTTTCTTAAAATCAGGCTACTTGTGACGAGCCGTCTAACCTATAAGGCTAAAGGGTTCTATAGGGTTTATGTTCTGAGGTAAGTCAACACAAAAGACGACAGAGGCTTTTGTCAACTGAAGACACTCAGATGCTGGGGCTTGGTCTGAACTGCGTTCACTGCATAGTCGAGTCGTCAGGATATTTCTCCCACCTTAGGGTTGGCTAAGATGCTTAGATTGATCAGTGAGGTAGAGACTGTCTATCTATCTAGCTGGGAAATGTGACGGCCTGCACGGACCTTCCCTATTGGGAAGTATCCGCTTGTCATGTGGGAAGGTCTGTGCAGGCCGTCACAAGGCCATGGTATTTGTTGGTTCATAACAATGCTTTAAAAGTATTCTTTTTAATCTTTTAAACACGTTAATAAGCCTTAATTATAATAACGAGCTTAAAACGTATTATATTCATTATAGAAAGTAGCTAGTTTTTAATAATATTTATACTTTAAACCCCGTAAAAGTCGATTTAATAAAGATTAGAATAATCTCTTTTACCTTATTATAATAGCTAATAATATACTTGTTAATTACTACTTTTAAGCTTAGAGTTTATAATTCGACGGATATTCGTTATATTTATTAGAAATACTTTTTTACTCGTTTAAAAGGTTTCAAAAAAGAGAATAAAATCGAAGATGTAAAATCTTCGCTTTAAAGCCTACTAGCGCGGCAGAATAATAAAGCGAATAAAAGGATAATACGGTGTTTCTTTATATCGAGCTTTTTAATGGTTATTTACGCGTTTTTCTAGATGGCAAAGCATGTAGATGATTGTAAACAAGAAGAAGAACTCGTCGGCGGTGGTATCATACCATCTGTGAGCTCGAGAGTACTCCTTGTCGTAAGATCCCTCTAGAGGCACCCAGCTATTGGTGTGTTCTACCTATTTTTCGACGAGCCAGAAAGGAACGAAGAGCAAAAACAACTCCAGAGGAGTGTTTGGCAGCCCGTGGATGTGAGGCCTCAAACCCCCTTCGCCAGCTGTGATAACAACCAACCATTAGTACCGCCTTTACCAAGCCACACTTTAGTATCCCACACCCACCACCTTGAATATCATTAGCCTTAGCAACGCGAGGAAGCCTCGCTTATTGAGAAGTTGGAATAAGCTTCTCCGCGTTCTTACAGCCAAAAATGCTCAATGATGTAAGCATCGCCAGCATGTAGTCCGTGTGGGATACTAAACTATTGCCTGGAAAAGGCAGTATCAGTGGTTTGGCACTGGAGTCTTTTTTCTACCAATTAGTAGTCATAGCAGCATGACATCTGATTCTACGACGTCGAGTGGAGTGCAATGTCACGATTGAAACTCCAGATATCAGAATGTGTGGTTGGGTTGTTTGACGAGACAATGACATCGAATTTTGACCATGCCGGATGGTCACACGTGCAAGCCTCGGGAGAACCAGTCCATATATACACACACGTAAGGCCACCGACTACCTACGTACCGCCTGTCCACGGATAAAATCAAGCGCCCAACCGTGTCGTTGCACCATCAACTCCTCAAATCACCGCAGAATCAAGACGCTCCAAAAAGGGGAATTCTAAGCTTCGTACATCCACCAAAATCTTATTTTCTTTGCAATCAATGCGATCCTTCCCGCCGCAAAGAAACCGCGGCAAGCGGCACAATACGGATCTCTCTCACTCTCTCTATGCAAATCAAGCAACCTACTATAAAGTATGGGTGTATGCACATCTTCTAAGGCGTTCTGGAAGTGCTTTCAGAACTATGACAACCCGTATAGTCTAGGTAAACTCGGCGTTGTCGTACTGCTCAGTTTCGGGGTGCCAAGGGCGAGTGTCTTCAACGACTGGCACTCGGCCACTGGGGTACCATACAGGGCCGCGTTCAGCAAGCAGAGGTCGAGGAGGGCCATCAACTACTATGATATACTCATCACCAGACAATAGATACGGGCGCTCCTACCTCCCGTATCTATCGGGGGGTGGGCGATCGTAGTGATGCCTGTCCTGGGGTCTCAGCTGCTGCTGTAACATGGACTGCTGCTGCTGTTCTCGCATTTGCGCTTCCCGCATGTCTTGGCCGGGTGGGGGATAGCCTCTGGTGTCGTAGGCACTGACAGGCGTATAACTCCTCGGGGGACCGGGGTCGCGGGGATCCCGACCCGGTACCGGTGTGTTGGCGTAACGAGGGTATCCGGCTGCGGCTTGCGGAGGCGGTGGCTCAGGGGCTCGCGAAGAAGCAGGGTATGAGCTCTGCATTGGAGGCTGCATTCTCTGCGGTGGATAGACATCCCGAACATCGCGTAGTGCCATGGGATCATGTCCCCGCGGTGGCGGAGGTGCACTAGCCCATGAAGGCTGTGGGGGTACGGAACTGCTAGGCGGGGGAGGTTTAGGAGCAGGTGCGTGTTGTGCAGCCCAAGGGGACTGTGTCGGCGGAGGTTGTGTTGACTTCGGTGGCTGCGGCGGATGTGAAGCCCACGTAGGCTGTGCTTGATGCTGCAACTGGTGCTGTGCTTGGTGCTGGTGTTGTTGCGCTTGATGCTGGTGCTGCTGCGCTTGATGCGGACGTTGCTGCGCTTGATGTTGCACTTGATGCTGCACTTGGTGTTGCTGTACTTGATGCTGGGCTTGATGCTGCTGGGCTTGATGTTGAACTTGATGCTGCTGGGCTTGATGCTGCTGAGCCTGATGCTGCTGAGCCTGATGCTGAGCTTGATGCTGAGCTTGGTGCTGTTGATGTTGCTGCTGAAGAGAATGATGACCCTGATGTCCGCCGGGCCAGCCAGTGTCTCGGCTTGGTGGGGGCTCGCGACCCCTGGGTGCAGAAGAATGGCCTTGGTACGCAGGCGGAGGGGATGCGGCACTGGGTGGCTGAGATTGTACTTGCGCACCATATGAATATGGAGGCTGAGACTGATACTGCATCTGCCCTGGCTGACTTGGTGGTGGGTAATGATGAGCAGTCTGGGGCGAATTGGCCGAGGAAGGCTGTGGCGTGGAGAAGGGGCGTGGACGACCACCGTAGTAGTCCCGCTCAACTGCCGTCTCCATAGACATGTGCCGAGGTGCGCTCAGAGGCTGGGTCTGGGGCGACGCAGCGGTGTATGGCTTCAGCGCAGACATTGAAGATGGCGGCGGCGCTGGCGGTGGATTACGTCCGTACCCATAAGGCTGAGGCTCTGGCATGGCTGATTCGCGACGGACATGAGAGGGCGGAGGCGGGGGGGGTGGAGGACGGGAAGGATTGCTCTGAGGTGGAGGTGTAGACGACGGTTTGTTTGCCGTGGGCACTTCGGCCACTCTCTTGGGAGGAGGCGGTGGATCGTCGTTCAGAAGCGCCATCAAGTTCGAGGTCTTGCGCTCTTGCGGACGGGGCGGCGTAGGAGCGACTGCAGGTGGAGTACGCTGCGTGGGCGGGGTGCTGTAGGGATCGGCTCCGCCACTGGCACCAGACATCGGCCGAGATAGACCTGACAGCGGACGTGGAGGTATTGGGGATAATGGGTTGGTCTCGCCCAACAAGCCTCTGCCAGGTTGCTGCTGTTGAATCACAGCTGCGAAGGGTGCTTGGGGTGCCGGCGCTACCGCTCGAGGAGCTTCCGGAGGCCTGGATAGGGGGACGTTCTCTGCACGTGAGGGCGCCGCCATGCGACTAGCCTGCACCTGCGCCTGAGCCTGGGCTTGCGCTTGAGCTTGAGCCTGAATATGGGCCTGAGCTTGAGCCTGAGCATGTGGGACGAAAAAGTCATGTTGCATCACTTCAGGCTCTTGCTTCACGCGCATCTGTTGCCGTTCTTGGTGTCGGCCCATTTCCTTGGGAGGTTTGTTCTCAACCTTAGGCCGATCGGCTTGAGTCTCCACGAAGGATCCAGGCAACGGGCGTCTAGTGGGCGGCTCAGATACAGGTGGCATTGCCGGCGGCGTAGGTTTCTGAACCAACGGGGTACGGCTGGGGTGCTGAGGGAATGGCTCGCGCTCTCGTTCAGAAAAGGGCAATGGAGCTCTCAAGGGCTGCGTGACTGGTGACATTGTCTGCGAGACTGGTTGAGATACCGTATGACCCTGCATGAGCGGCGGGGGTTGAGGTATCTGGACGAAGGGTGACTGCACGACGGACGGCTGTGGCTGTGGCTGAGCTGCTATCGGAATGTTGAACCGATCTGTCATTGCCTGTTGTGGTGGTGGGGGGTGCTCCATCTTGGTCGGGGGTGCTTCTTCCATGATCGTGTCTGCAGCTGCGAGCGGTCGATTGCCCGACGTATCGTAGCGTTTCTTGACACCCGAAGGTGGCGCCGGGGGTGCAGGTCTCTTCTCCCCACGTGATTTTCTGGCGTCAGCCTCTAGCACGATCACCTCCCAGTCGTTGCTCTCCTTTCTACGCGTATAGTAGTTTTTGACCATCACGGTAGTTTTCGTCCTCATGTGCCCTGCAATAGCCGCCCAATCGCTGCCAAAGGATCGAAGCAATGAGGGGAAGTCGGTGGCTTCCGGCACACTCCAATAACTTGACGCCTGTCCACCAGATTTCCGATCCGAGAGCACCGTTGTTCCCAGATCGAGCGTCGCTACTGTAGGCTGTGGTGGCGGCGGTTCCGGACGTAACGGTGGTGGGGCCATAACTTCAGCCAGCGGGCCTTGAGAAATTCTCTCGGGGCTGAGCACCGGAGCCGTTGCCTGAAAAGGAGCCTGCATAATGACAGGAGGAGTTGGTATTGTGTTCGCGGGTATTGGGCTCGGGACCATCTCATACTGGGACGGAAGACGAGGCATGTTATCCTGCGGTGGCTGAAGTCCCCAGTCAGGGCCCTGAACCCTAGAACTGGATCGTGAGCGACCCCCCTTGGCTCCAGCAGGTGGTGCAGCAGCAAGAGTCTGGTTGATTCTTGGCTGCTTCGGCTCCTTCTCCTTGGCTCGCCGCCCCCTAGGCTTGCGTTCCTGTTTATCGGTGCCTCCCTCGGTCTTTGCAGCCGCTGCACCTCTACGACCTGGGGTTCCAGCAGGGGTGCCGCCCTCGACGTCGGTGGCAGGAGTGGCTTCTGAGTTGAAAGTAGGGGCAGCCGCCCTACGAGGCCGCCGTCTTTCACCATTTTCACCCGTCTCCGGTGCCTCTTCATTGTCGTTGTCTCCAATCCGAAGTTCCGAAACAAGAGCACTTGAGCGCTGCTTGCCTCCTTTCTTTTTCTTCTTCTTGGGCTGCTTCTTCAGCTTCTCCTTGAGATTGAGTTCGTCCTTCTCCTTTTTGAGGTAGTAGAACTGTATACACGTCCCGAAGTCCCTGTTTTGCAACGGTTCGGAAACGCGCCCCCACTGCTTGGGGTTCTCGAGGTAAGCCTTTTCAAACACAACGGTCTCTTCCTCCGTGAAGTTGTCCACCGGTGGTAGAACCTCCCACGCTGCGACGATCTTCTCAGGTTGTACGCGGCCCGTCGAATCGCTGTAGAAGTCGTTCTCGATCTCTTGCGGCGTTTGATATTGAGCAGGCAAAGACGCTTCCTTATCAGTCCTGTACTTCTCTTTCTCGGCTCGCAATTGGCGTTCACGCTTTTCATCCTCTACCCGCCGTGACTCTTCTAGGATTCTTTCCAGGTCCCGCTCAGATGCATATCTGCTACGCCTTGACGTCGATTCTGGCTTAGGCTCCGCATTGAAACCAGGCTTCTGACCATTGGTTTCGATCGCACCCGGAACATAGTTGAATTTTTCGCGGCTCTTGGCGGCGACTGGATCGTCCGACATGGTGAACCTCAGATATGCATCGTAGTTGCCTTGATATACCCGTTTCAACTGGGTCTCTTCCATCAGACGATGACTGGTATCGTCTTCCATCTTTGCTAGAATGAAATCATTCAGGCTCGGCTCTGGGGCGTCCATGGATTCGAGAAAAGTTGGATCTCGGTACCAAGGCTTCACATCGAAGAATGGCAGACTGTCGAGAGGTGGCGTGGCTCCATATTCGCGAACGATCTCGATACTCTGGAGATCGACGTCTTCAATATCTGTCTCGTCGTCATCCTCTGGAGGAGATGGCGTGCTCGACGCCCGTTTACTTGCATCTCTAGACTGGATTTGGGCCTCTTCGAAGGGTGGGAATAGTGATTCTCCACCACCAGAGACCGGCAATTCTGTGTTTGTCGGTGGTCGTACTTCCGCCTCCATTTGGCCTTCCAAGACATCCTCCATAGGTACATCTCCGTCATCGTTGATTGGTTTCTTTTCGCGAACCGGTGCTTGAGGAGCTGCTGGTATATCAATATCTTGCTCAATGGATGGCTGAAGCCCTGCGCTATCAATTGTAGTTTCAAGAGGCCTTCTGACAACCGTGGCGGAGGCAGTCTTTGCCTTCACAGCCTGTTCGGCATCATCTTGCACAGGGATATCATCAAGCGTGAGATTTTGCTCCAGTTGAGGATCAGGCTTCGCTGGTGTCTTCCCGGGAATTCTAGCTGCGTCAGGAATAGGTCCGATCATAGCTTCCAGACCTTCGCTTTCGATGACGATTTTGGTGACAGCTTTGACGGCAAGTGCAGCATACCGGCTTGCAGCACCTACTGGGACGGCATCCTCGAGCCCGTCGAATTGCTTCAGCTTACTCTCAACCTCGCCCATCTCAGATTCAATAACGTCCCCGAATTCCTCATCATCATCCGATTCAGAAGACGGGTCTGTGAGAAGCTGCGTAGCTTGTTTTTGGGGAAAAGACAGATGTATCGATGGTACGTCAACCATAGGACGTCGGTCGAGTTTCCCGTCTGCCTCTTGAGGTCCAGCTGGAACATCCTTATGAGGGGAAGAGGCCTGGGCGACAGGATTGTCAGCACGTTGTGGCAGGGCTTTCTCTATCACCAAGCCGGGTTCGGGTTCGTCTTTAAGCTTATAGTCTCGCTCCACAGACGAGCCAGCAGATCGAGGCCTCGGAACGGAGGTATCTTGACCCGACTCTGCAATGTGTAATTCGCGTGGATCGCGAAGATGGCCGTCCATAGACGACATCTGGGAGTCGGCCTGTGCACCACTACTGCGTGGCCGTTGGCTAGGGTTTGCTTGCTGGTCAGGATAGATACCCTCCTGTCGAAAGCCTGTCGGTCGAGGGTTTGGGACAAAGCTCTCGGACCTCCCGAGCTTCGGCGACTCGGGGATACGATTCTTCAGATTAGGGTTAATCCATTGTTTACTGGACGCACCGGCGCGCGTGGACCGTGGACCAGAGGGGATAGGCGGGCTTCTTTCCATAAAGGACGGCTTAGAGGGACCAGTCGGCGGTGGTCTCGTTTCCACAATCGGAGAGACTGTGAGGGGAGCCGGACGCTCTTCCTTCAGGGCCCTTGGTCCCGTTGGTGGTGCCTTGCCGGTGGCCGACCCAATGTCAGTCGCCGCGGCCGTTCTGTTCGGCACAGAGCCGAAAGACGGCGCAGCTGGGGCTACAGGCGGAGGTGAAACATCCTTTGTCGATGGTGGAGGTTCGAGGGAAATCCTTTCGAGTTTCGGTCGCGTCTCGCGACTTCGAGGGTCGCGATCGTCCCGAGTGTCCCGCGAGCGTAAGTCGGTGTCAACATATCTATTATCCCGGTCTCGGTCGTCCCTTTCTCGATACCGTCCCTCCTGAGAACGGGACCGGAAATTGGGACCGGGTCCGTACCTGTCGCGATCATCGTAAGAGCCTCGCCCGCGGCCCCGGTCCCAACCCCTCCCGCGGCCTCGATACCCGCCACGGTATACGGAATGCCCAAATGGAGGATCAGAAGAAGAAGATCCTGCAGAAAGTGGACCATCCCGCGATTCACGTCGAGCTCGTTCGGCGTCAACGCACAACGGTCCATCTCGCAAGTCTCTCGTGTCTCGATATTCTCTGCCGGGTGGTGACCGTCCGTGTGGTGAAATTCGCCGAACTCTGAAGCTGTCCCTGTCGCGGTCTCGCCATTCTCCACGCTCCGGTTCCCGGCTTCGTTCATCTCGAAAGGGAGCGTCTCTCCGGTCCCTGACTTCGAAGTCCCGATCTCTTCCGCGGTCTCGGCTATCGTCTCGCCGACCTCTGCCCCTCCCACGACCCCTGCCTCGAAACTCCATAGGATAACCGCCCCCTCGAGGTCCGCTGGGCGCATCGAGCAGAGCTTTCGGACCGCGCGGGGTGTCTCGAGGTAGAGGGTCGCGAAAGGCATCCCGGTTGGTCTGGAATGCCGAGCTGTTGGATCTCGACTCTGCAGAGGAACGCCGCGGGCCGCCGTCACTATACAGCGATCTCCGGTCTGGCGAACGATCTCGAGACCTTGATCGCCGAGCGTCGCCGTCGTATCGCGACCCCGAGTAGCGGGAAGCCCTGGAGGAAAACGGGTGATAAGTAGGTGGATGACGAGGAGACAGCTCAAGAAAAATGCGCTGCTTATCAAATTGATCATTCTGATTGCCGCGCACTGTTTCAATATCTCTATGACCTCGGCCACTTTTCATCGTACGTCGCCAGGGTTTGGATCATGTGTACAGCACGCCTGGGCAGGACCACCGAAAATGGAATTGTGTCGACTTACATCAGCAGCTTGGTCGCAAATGGCCCCTCTGACTCAATGCCGTGCTATTGAGTTCTTTCTCATGGAGCCAGGCAGCACCGAATCGGGCATTGGGCGCAGGATAGAGTGCGTCTCTGAGCTTGAATTCGAGCAAGATGTAGGCTGTGGATGGTGGAACGGCGCAGGTTAACGAATGTTGAGTAAGCCACTCCCATCGCCTCGCTGCTTACTCGTGCTGGGTAAACGTGCTCAAGCGACGCGGGCTGTCGATGTCGTGCTCACGTCGTCAATGAGAATTCCCGCACTCCGAGCAAGTATACGGGTCTTGGAATTATCAACACGCCGCTACGCGATGGACGGGTGAATGTTGAAGATGACTGGCGAAGCGGCTGAAGTTGGGATTGGGAATTGGGAATCGGGCATCTTGAAGACTAAGTTGAAAACATGCTTCCGCCCCCCAATAGCGGCTAACCTGACTAGGCCTAGGCTGCTATAGCTTAGGCAAGGGATTTGGCGCTAGGAAGCCGCTAAGATCGTCCGAGGTCCTGGCTGCCTGCAGGTGGGAAGTACATAAAACGCCGGTTCTCAGCTGACGACGGCCCCTGCAGCCCCTCGGCCCCTGTACCTCAAAGGCCTCGGTGCCTTCCACGGTAATAACACGCTCGCCCAGAGTCGACCAATCATCAATAGTAGCAGGAACATTCAGATATGAGCTTTCCGTCTCTGGCTGGCCTGTCCTGACGGACGGAGGGCTACCAAGCCTTCACTCCCAAACTGCGGGGTCAAGGAGTCAAGGACTCACGGGTGGTGGTCAATTGCATGCATGTTGACAATTAACATCAACCTTGAATCCATTCACGCTAGGCTGCTTTCGAGTCGTGGCGTGGTACTATCAAAGTGTACCTGGGTACTATTTAGTATTATCAAAGTATTAACGTGATGCATGTGTGGGTAGGAGGTTTTTGCCAATCAGCAAGGCTTGCCGCACCATCCATCTGCCGGCATGCCGAAGGCAACCTCCCGTCGCATTTTGCATTTTGCCCATCGTTCCAGTATAAGCCATCGTAGGGGCGAGGCCTACATGTGAATGGCGATACACTCAGCCCTCATAATAAGTCTCCGTACGCGCTATGGATGTCAACAAGAATCTCCAGATCACGCGTAGACATTTTGAAATACTGGAATGAGCATACAGGAATAAGCAGCTCTGGTTTGATGCGCCATGGCTAATGCTTATTCCATGGTGCTTATTCCCAATCGATGAATATACCGTTGTCTGCTGGATGGGTGCATGAAGTGCTTCTGGCATTGACTCTATTCCTATGAGACTACTTGCCCTTGTATCGTTACGTACCCAGTTTCGTTCTTTCTCACAGTACCGGCCCGTCAGTCATCCACAACCGTCGCGGAATCCTATCCGGATCTCTTATTCGTGCTTCTAGCCGGTCGGTGTCCGTTCTCGTCCGCTTGAGGGTCCCATTTCTCCCCTAGGTTAGATTGGAGATCCATACTGGGCCGCGGCTTCTTCTGTACCACTTCCGGCTCAACGTCGCTCGTCTCCATTCGTCTCTTTCTCGATCTCGTCTTTGGCTTCGTCGGCGTTGACAGCAGCTCCTCTGCATCGAGCGCCGCCTCTTCTCTCTCGTCGTCTGAATTCCGAGCCAGCTTTCTGTAGCAATTGGCCATCTCCTCCTTCGAAACTAGCGAGGACGTCGCCTGCCTTGTAAAGGGTTGGATGGTCTCTTGCTCCTGCGGCTGCTGTCGAGGCCGAAGACCTCTGACTCTCGGTGGTTGGGGAGGACCGGCGCCGTAGGGCTCCTTCTTGCCCTCTAAAAGCTTGAACGAGTCTTTCCTCATGTCCCTGATGGCTTGCCGACCCTTTTCAAGCTCGGGCCAGGGTCTCTCCTTGGTGTAGCGATCTCCGATGTCCTGCAACATTCCCTGATTGAAGGCATCCCACTCCGCTTTGGGGGCATTATCCTTCGGGCGACCCATCTTGCGATAGGTTTCTTCGTCGTGTTGCTTTTGTTCGATTTTCCACGGGGGTAGCTTGCTGTCCTTTGACGGTTTCGGCTGCGAGCCACCGTTTTGTCGGTCCATAGCCAGCCGTGTCGAGTGACGGGTACAACGAGAGTCTTGGCTAGGTGATTTAGGTCGCTGTGCGTGTCGAATGTCGTCAGAGTCGTCGTGACTGTCGATAGGGTCGTCGATAGGGTCGTCGATAGGGTCGTCGTTAGAGTCGTCGATAGGGTCGTCGTGAGAGTCGTCGTTGGGGTCATGGTTGGGGTCGTCGTTGGGGTTGTTGATGTGGTGGTCGATGGGGTCGTCAATGGTTGCATCCGTGTCGTAATCGTCTTTCTGATCAGTAGTGTCTTGATGGCGAGTACTTGGCGTTCTAGAGATATGGTGAAGTGAGCAGGTAATCAGGCAAGTGGGAATATCTGATGCGTTGGCAAACAAGAACAATGCTTGGTGTTGTGATAAAGTTGAGAACCTTGACAGTGTGACTAGGGTGGCGGGAAAATGAGCTGGTTTTGGAGGAGGATACACACCGAGCGCCTGGGAGGAAGTAGTTGGCTTTAGCAGCCTGAGAACGGTCATTAAAGTTGGGGCAGGCGCTTTCTGTTGTCGCTGCGCCCGGGGGAGCACCTGCCATCTTGAACGAACAGAGGCTCCGCGCAGCTTCCAAGACCTTGGGGTCTTTCTCGGAGTGCTCGCTGGATGGTACTATCGTTGAGGCTGGCGAAAACAACGATGATGCCGGCGAGGAATTTGGGTCGGCGAAAGATTGTGGTGAACTGAAAATGGCATCCGCGTCACCTGAATGAATCTGGGAACTCTGATAAGGCGTTGATGCTGGATCGTGAAAGTCGTATTCTGCAGAGTATGGGCTCAGATCGTACGTCGCGGTGGCCGACTGAAGGTGGTATGCCACATCGTGGTGGACGGCTTCATGAGCTGGCCAAGGTGGAAGATTCATCGCGACAGATGCTCAAAAGATTCAGAGAGGTTGGCTTATTGTTGCGACGTGGAATACTTGGGATAATCGCGTCGCTGTGCTGGTGCGATGGACCACAAGGAGTCCAGAGAAGCTATCATCCGTATGCACTGCAGATTCCAATAACACCAGAATTCAGGTAAAGATGGGAGCAGGGTAAGGTCTGTCTCGAAAGTTGTGCGAGAGCAAAAGTGTGTTGTAGGTTGATAGCTTTTTGGTGCTTGTGTGGTGGAGGACTAAGGTTGTGAGTTGAGCCGCAGGTACAGGAGCTGGCTGCCTTTTATGTTGTGGAAGGCGCAAAACTACCTTAAGACTTATCTGCAACCTTCAGAATCAGGACAAACCACAAGCCATACTTAGGGTTCCAGGAAGAGGTCAATAACTCATGATGGGAAAGACTTGTTGGGTACTCTCAGGTAGACTTTTCAGCTGAGATTATCTGGTTGTGGTGACCTGATCGGGAGTCTTGGGCTGCTGCCACAAATCATCTTTGAAACTGTGGTACAAAAGATTTGCACAAGGAAGAGAGGCGTCAGGTGAGCTCTTTGCTGCGCAGTCACAAATATTTAGCTTCGGTGTTCCCATATGCCCTTCTGCTTGAGTGTAGAGACGACCCCTTGAAGGGCAGCTACGAAAGCCAAAGAGAACCTTGATACTACTTGTGTTCCCCGGATTACAACGGACCTTAGAGTGACAAGCGATGTACTTCTGGTATTCTAATGAGCCCTGATTGGGTTCTTAGGTGGATGCCACGTGATGGCTCGAATGGGTGTGAAAGTTTCGCTTGCTATGACTTCTCACCAAGAATAGTGACTTCACGAGTACTTGTGAGCCTGTGAGGGAACATTAAGTTCCTTAGACTTTGATTGCTTCCATGGGAACTTTGTGGCTGAGATCTCATGCATCCTTCGCAAACGTGCTAGCTACGATGAAGGGGAAGCATGCGGAAGCTTCAAGATAGACCTAATATGAGTGTTAGTGAGATGGCAGTCCAACGAATATGCGTTCCAGCCTTACCTTGACGTGTTCAGCTCCTGGCTTGATCTTCCCCCACGAGATCGCCTCGTCTGGTCGGGCTCCCGCATCACTGCCGTCGAACTCCTGGGCAGTGTTGATGTAGACAGCATACTCGGCTCCATTTCTCATCAGACAGGCGTTCGCGATGTGATGCTTGACAAGACCACCCCCCAGGATTATCATTCCAGCACGTTTTGCCCGCACTGATATGGTGTTTACCCGCCGGATGTCTTCCACTATGTCAATCTTCAACTGCTTGGGTGACGACTTGAATGTGTGGAAGTACAACATGTCGCCGAGGCTCCCATCTGTCAAAGCAGGACAGAAAACCGGTATGTCGTTCTTGTACGCCCAGTAGTATACCGATCGCTCGTCGTTGATTTCCTTCCCGAGTCGGTGGATGACCTTTGACGGAGTCCAGTTGATCTCGTCATCGGTGCCTTTGCTTGCCTCCTGCTCCTCGAGCATCTTGTCCAGGATGGGCACAACCCACTCCTCGAATGCGCAATAATTGGCGTTGGGAACCATGAGGTTCCCTATTCTGTTAAGGCCTTTTGCTCTGAGTTCGGCGCCTTTGGCGCTAAAAGAGGACATGTACGTATCGCCGAGGCACTTTATGAAGTCTTCCTCGATGCCTCCAGCCGTCGTGACAATACAGGAGACATGCTTGTGCTCTACTAAGTACCGGAAGATGCCTCGTAGGCCGGAGGAGATCATATTGGACGTGTATCCCAGGAAAATGGTGGTCTTGTCGCCAGTCTCGGGATCGCTCCATGCTCGCTTATTGCTTCTGTTAGTGGTCGGTCCTAAAGTCCAGATCACCTTACATGCTAACCATTTCATTGATGATTCTGACGGCTTCGGCCATAGAGGAAGCCTGAAAACCCATGTGTTTCATGCCTTGGACCATGTCGTCGACGGTAATAGGTCTTCCCTTGAAATTATTAAAGTCGATCTCCTCAACTTTCTGCGTGCCCTCGGGGATTTCATCCGATGGGACCAGAACTGCGTCTGTGGCCCCCGAGGGCGGTAAATGCGTGCTTCCATCGGACATGGTCGTGGTAGGTTCCTTGTAGCCCACGTTCCTGTAAAACCAACGCTGGCTTGGCGTTTCCACACCCCTTCGCTCCTGTTCGAGCTTGTCTGCAGGTTCCCAACGATTGATGAGTCCGTATGCGAGCCACAAATAGCGAGTTGAGATTTAATGGTACTGGTTGGGCGACTGGGCGATTGGGCTTGACCTGGTGCAGAAGGCCTCGGAGGGTAAAGTCTGAAGTTTGCCAAAGATCTATGGAGGTGAGTGTAGAGGGTTATGCTGTGACTCGAAGCCTGCACATTGAAGTCAAGTGCAGGTGACATCCACTTTGCCACTCCGTGGCCGAACCGTCCATATGGCGGGCCGCGGTGCTGCAGTGCACCCGGGCAACGTCGGCGATAAGATACCTGGCAGATCCATGCACGGTGCACCTAACCTTAAAGATTGCCCACCTGCAGCTGTCAACATCGAACCTCCCACTCTACCTAGGTATTCTAGCATTTGCAACTAGACGTATAACTTCATTTCTTCTACGTTCGGCCTCACCCACCGCGCCGCCGACTGGTCGACACCATAGCCGACAGACAGAGTTTTCTCGCAGTCCCTTCTTCGGCCGTAGCAACATGTCGTCGATATACAATATCGAGCCGCAACCAACAGCCTCGCTAATCCTGCACACGACCCTCGGCGAGCTATCTGTCGAGCTCTTCGCCAAGCAGACAACGCTTACGTCGCGCAACTTCCTTCAGCTTTGTTTGGACGGCTACTACGACAATACGATATTCCACCGCCTCGTCCCGGGCTTCATCGTACAAGGTGGCGATCCCACGGGCACGGGAAATGGAGGCGAATGCATCTACGATGGCGGCGCATACAGCGGAGATCTGGATCCATGGCCGATGGACCAGCGGCGGGGCCAGAACGCAGGATCTACGGGTGTGAACTTTAGGGACGAGTTCCATTCGCGACTGAAGTTCAATCGAAGAGGTCTGCTTGGCATGGCGAACGAGGGGAAGCCCGACACCAATGGCAGCCAATTCTTCTTCACCCTGGAGAAGGCCGAGGAGCTCAACAGAAAAAACACCATGTTTGGGCGCATAGTGGGCGATACTATCTACAACCTTTCGCGCATAGGAGAATCAGAGGTGGCCGAGGGTAGCGAGCGGCCCCTTTACCCCATCAGGGTCACCAGCGTCGAGATCTTGGTCAACCCATTCGATGATATGAAGAAGAGGGAAAGGGTAGCCAGGCATGTCGAGAAAGCGCCTGCTGCAGAAAAGAAGAGAAAGAAGCCGAAAGCTGGAAAGAAGCTCCTGAGCTTTGGCGACGAGGAAGAGGGGGTTGATGCGCCGGTGATCAAGAAGGCGAAGTTCGACTCCCGTATCGTCATGGACATCGATGAGGAACCCACATCAGCACCCAGACAACCAAAGAGCCACACCATGAAGGAGAAGGTCATCAAGACGTCTATTCCAGTACGGGAACCTCAAGCAGAAGTAAGATCAGAGAGAAACCCATCAGCGGGGTCTAAGAGGGACATACCAAAGCCGGTGTACGATGATCCCTCCCCCGAACGCGAATTACCCAAGAAGTCCGCCTTGGACCAAGCCAACGAGGAAATCGCGGCCCTCAAAGCATCCATGAAACGCACAATACATTCCGAACCGCTCAAGGAGGTGAAGAAGACAGCGTTGGAGCAAATGATACCCGCCACGTCTACACGCGCCCGCAAGCGGCGGAGAGGAGGCGAAGGCACGACCGAGGAGGAACAGCGAGCACGCTCACTACTTTCTGCTTGGAGTTCTGCGCTCGGGGAGTTGGGGCCCGAAAAAGAGCAGGCTGTCGCACCCGTGGTCGAAAAGGGCGCGGAGCAAGCGTCGGGCGAGCAAGATGATGAGGCCGAGCTCTGCGATCTGCACTTTATCGCCCACTGCCAGAGTTGCAACGTGTGGGACAAGGCACAGAATGACGACAGCGACGACGAGGGCTGGATGTCACACTCGTTAAGCTGCGTGGCCGACAAGCTGGGTAAGGACCTGCAATATCGCAAAAAAGCTGAAGATGAGTTGGTCGTTATCGATCCGAGAGCAAAGGCGCGCACTCTGAACGAGGAGAAGCGGGCCCATAGGGAGGCACAGACTGGGAAGTCGGGCAGAGAATGGGATCAAGCAAGAAACGCGAAATTAGCAAGGAGTGCTGCTCTTTCCGGCAGAGGAGCGAGGTGAGACGACTACCTAGCTAGAGATGGTATACTCATGAGCTATGAACGAAGGAAGTGATACCCTTGGGAGTAGCTTCATGTTGCCTTTCCACGTGCTCACGATGCCCTACTGCAAGGAGCAGGCTCAATTTCAACGTACTTCTGAGGCTCGCCAACGCTCTACACATAACTGCCTTTGTAACGTTGTTGCACCATCACAGTGTGAGGGATGCCTATAAGTAGGTAGGCGTCTATGACATTTCTGGACTCGTCTCACCTTCTCAGGTCAGCTTAGGAAGTTGGGACTTGCATACACGTATCGCTGCGCTACAATCATCAGTGGAACGGTGACTCCAAGCCTGTGAGTAGGGAATCGTGGTTCTTGACAATTCTTTAAGGCCATGAACAAGATCATTTGCATCGAAATAAAAGCGCAATTGGATTTGCAAATGACTATGTCAGCCACATTTTCTGTCGATATGAATGGTGACCCTCAAGGATCAGTCCACGAAACCACGGAGGAAAGTCACCGGCGGTAAGAAAAAATGTGAAAAAGTCAGGGCCACAGCGGCAGTGGGGGTGGGTATTTTCGCTCTCTTCGGCAGAGAATCATTCGAGATCAAAAAAAGTGGCATGGCGGCATGGCTGCGTTTGAATGATGGCAGGTTGCAATCTCTTATCTAACGAACTTCTGATTGGCTCGGAGAGGGAAAAAACTGGGTCAAGACCGAATACCTTATGGTGTAGCTGGAGCTGGAGATATCGGTGTATGACATGTCAGACATGGAAGTCCGCCCGCCCTGCCAGCCAACCTGCCATAGCCTGCCAACCTAATGATTAGTCTGTGCTGCGGGCCGTTCAGCTAAACTTGGAGCCTCCAAGTCCCGACCCAACTCCAGCTGCGGCCCCAACAAACAACCTTAATGCCGGAATGCCCATAGGTCCATGCTAGGAATGTAGCTATCTATTCACCTATGATTGTTGTCCGTATGCCTTGCTTGCCTCAAACATAAGCTGATGAACTACGTCCGCCGCCGCCTCATTCATTGTCCGCGCCCATCCGGTCTCTTGCTCCCGCTCTCCTCCGGCCAGTCGGTTCATCGGTGCACAGTGAAAGGACCGGGCCAGGACAGAGGAAGAGCAGCCGCATAGTCGGTCAAAGGTGAAGCTCTTCAAAACACCCTTCTCACAGGCAAGACAGCTCTCAGCCAGGCTATGGACCAGCCTGACTAGACCACGTACCAGCACGCGCATGCTTCTCTCCTTGGAAGTTGCGGTGTCCAGGCTCCCAGAATCCCATTCAGCAGCTGCGACATCGACGGCTGTTTTGCGACTTCGAGAACAACAGCCCTCTTTTTCCGCCTTGTCCACCCCCACGTCTCAGCGCCCTTCACCGATTCCCCGTCGCATCATCAGAGACAACCCTGCCTTGAGGTCTTGGAAACTTCTTTCCACCTTCTAGAGCTGATTCACTTCCTTCTCGTCCGTGCCGGCTCCCTTTCAGTCCACGGGTGCTATATATCTGAAAGGTCGCGAACTTGGAAGAAGCCCTGGAATACACCACCTCGCACCACCAACTGGCGCCGTCGCAAACATACCGACGACTTGCTTCCTGACCAGCTCCCGTTCTTCACTGCATTGTTCGCGTTCGACTTTCCATCTCCCTTGGACGAGCGAAGCCTTGCCCAGCCTTGCGCAACCCGATCAATCAACGACGCCACTTTGCGCTGGTAGCCTAGCTGCTCGACAGCCTTGCGCCGCGACCTACTACCACCTAGTCCTACTTCCTCGCCGAATCGCTCTCCATTCGAACCTTCCAATCGTAGCTACGACCATTGACTCATCTACGCGACTTCTTCGAGTCGGCACAGAGAATCTCCCACGCCTTCGGATAAGGCTTCGCAACAAACCCGACCTGCCCGAATTGCATGCGTAGCGGGGTACGCTGTGGAAGAAACAGCGCTGGTTCGCAAGCCTGTCCCTAAAATTGTGACGTGGTAGATTCGACATCTTGAGCTTAGTCGGCCGGAGGACGATACAGCTTACGCTCGCTCTTTCTACACACCTGATCCATGTACACATACTATCACCCTATGCCAACTTCAAATCCCCGAAAGCGACCAGCTCCTGGCACCGTGCCTATACCACAACCGCAACCGATGGCCCAGACATACAACACACCCGACCCGCTGTTGAGGTGGAATGGAAACAATGCGGGCAACTTTGTTGGCAATACCTCGAATAACGTGAATCCCTATGGTATGATGTCGTCTCCAACGCAGGCTCAGTTCCCACAAGGAGCTCCCACGCCCTCCAATGCCCTGGCAAGGAGAGGAATGAATAGTGCCCTTGTCACGGCAAATCGCCAATATTCCCCCCAGCCAAATGACTCCTGGGCCAATTTTGCGGAAGAAGCTCTCACGCCGACTGAGCCAAACGGCGGTGTAGACGAACATGATAATATAGAAGTGCTCGAGGAGAAAGCGCAGAGAGCCAGAAGGGACGCTCAGGCAAAGCGGAAGCAAATACCGCCCTTTGTGCAGAAGCTGAACAGGTAAGTAGGCATCCATATTCCCTTTTGTCATGCTCACACATCCCAAGTTTGTATGCTAATGTTATCACAGCTTCCTGGAACAGTCGAGAAACACGGATTTGATCAGATGGTCTGAGAGGGGTGACTCCTTCATTGTTCTCGACGAAGATGAGTTTGCCAAGACCCTCATTCCCGAGCTCTTCAAGCACAACAACTACGCGTCCTTTGTTCGGCAGCTCAACATGTACGGCTTCCACAAGAAGGTCGGCCTTTCGGATAATTCCATGAAAGCTAGCGAGCGCAAAAACAAGAGCCCGAGCGAATACTACAACCCCTACTTCAAGCGTGGTCATCCTAACCTCCTATGGCTGATCAACAAGCCCAAGAGTGGCACCGCTAAGAAGGGAGTCAAGAAGCGGGGCGACGAGGTCGAGGTCGAGAGTGATGACGAGATTCTGCGGGTGGATGATCCCATCAGTAACTCCTCCAGCTTCAATCGCCAGAATGTGCCAAATCTAGCATTGCCGGCGCCCGAGCCGCGACCGCTACAGAACAAGGAATTGGCTGTCGTCCGGGACCAGATGTCAGCACTACAACAACGGCAGAAGCAGATTAGTGACGCCATCAGTCGACTTCGGCAGGACCATAATCAGCTATACAATCAAGCCATCGCGTTTCAGGAGATGCACAGTCGTCATGAAAACTCCATCACTGCCATTTTGAACTTTCTGGCCAATGTATTTAGGAAGTCGTTGGAGGAGCAAGGCGGAACACAGAACGTGAACGACCTTCTGGCCAGCATCATTCCCAACGTACCGTTACCAACGCAAGGCCAAGGCAGCGTTGTCGACCTTGGAGATGAATGGGTGCAGCAGCAGATGCCAGCAAATCCCACTCAGCTCGGCACGCCGAAGAGAACCCAACGCCTTTTGCCCCCTATACCGGAGAAGCAGGCTGGTCGGCCCTCGTCCGCTTCAAGTCCATCAGCTGCGTTCCCAAACTATGCCAGTCACCAACAACCACAAGCTGGGCAGGTCACTGAACTGTACGACACTCCGCCCGATTCAGCCCCCACACCAGCGTACCTCAAACAGGAGCTCGACACCAACCCACATGAGGGCATGCTGAAGATCATCCAAGATGCCAACACGCATGCTGGAAAAACTGGCAACACGCCTATTGATCTCTCCAACGTAGCTGCCAATACCTCAATGAATATGACGAACGATCAGCGGAACCGCATGTTGAGCATCATGTCCGGCGGGCGCACCAGCGCATTTCAAACACCAACACCATCGGCTGCCTCTCCAGCTGCTCCTACACCTACAGGCACAGCTGCAAACAATCCCGGTGTCCCACTAGGTGGCGATCTACCGGATGCGAACAAATCAAGCTCTTTATCTCCCATCATGCCTTCAGCTCAGCCTCCTTCCATTCAGCGGATAGCCCAAAACGCCGAGGAGCTTGAGCGACTTCAGCGTTTACAGCATGAGCAGTCGCAGAACTTGGATGATCTCAGCCAGATGCTTGGCCCCTTGAGCCCTTCGGGTCGAATACCAGGCCTGGATGAGTCGAATGCCTATTTTGGAGATGATATAGACCTCAGTCAATATCTTGACCCGAACGCATACACGGCTGATGGCACCGGAAACGATTTCAACTTTGACACCCCTGCGTTTGACGACAGCGCCAACTTAGACTGGAATCCAGACATGACCCACTTTGGAGGTGGGCTCGGCGATAGCCCGAACGCTGGTCGAGTTGTCGAGACGAACACGCCGAGTCCAAGTGGTACCGAAGAGATACCACGGGACGACCTAGCAGAAAGTCCAGATCGACCTGCGAAGAGACAGAGGCAGTCTTGATACCGCAACCTATGGCAACGAGGTTCTACATACGGACGTCCTCGATTTCGCGAGTTCACTTCATCAGTGAGGGTGGTGTGGTCCTTCGAAGGGCATTGACGGTGATCAGGACTGGGCTAAATGGTTTCCAATCCCGCCATCCTACAGTCTAGTCATGCCAATAGCACCACTGTCGGAGGGGGTATAACTGGCAATCCCGGAAGGGTTTGGCAATGGGGGAAGTCGGCTCACTGACGCCCGGGGGTAGGATGTCATCAGGTGTTGGGGCGTTGAAATTGTCGAGTATGTCATGTATAATGAAGCATATTGCATTCATCGAGAAGAAAATCTTTCACATTGTTACCTCGACGTTTTGTCCTTGTGAAGTCGAACAACATGCCCGCCCGAGTGATCATTATAATTTGGGGGCTTTGGACCCTAGTAATCGGCTGGCCCCGGTCATCCATGACTCAGTGTCACTGCCTCCGCCTATTGCCACTTTAAAGGTATTTTGAAGTGATGATTTGGCATTCTCCCCCTTTGTTTCCTCCTTCCCTCCCTTCTCCTCCCCTCTCGCCCCTCTTTCTCGTAACTTAGAGCTTCACCTTTCTGTGTCTTGTACAGAAGCTTCTCCCTTCCGGGAACATGGTATTAGATGATCTTCAAGGCGAATGTTGGAGTATCTCAACGAACATTGAGAGGCGATCTGTTCCAATGAAACAGGCAGTCAGTCAGTCGATGAAAAAAAGGAAGTCGCTCCGGGCTTTACGTCCGGGTCCAAGTGGCATAGTCACATATCGAGAGCTCTACACCTGAAATGCTCGTGGTTTATGTTCTTAGTTAGCATTCCTCGAATATGCGAGTATTAGCAGCACTGGGCGACAGCGACGGCATTGCTGAGGGCGGTCGCACATATAAATGACCTGATACGTTCCGCGTCATGAACCACCAAGTAGATCGGGTTTGCGATAAGCCTCACACCATGCGGCTCTCCAACGAGCACCGGGGCCTATATCTGGTCTTTGTGTGGACGGATAGTCCCCGACATCAAATTCCTCGAGAACTTCGGCGAAGGCTTGCTTACTCACGTTGGGAAGGTGATCATTAATGGCATGGTGTTTGCCCTGGGGATAGTAAGTCTGATCTGCAGGGCAGGTTCGTAATCACTTGAAGGTGTTGACGGGCGAGCCAGCCTCACAGAACACTCACAATGAAGGCCGCACGTCAAGAGACACCTTGCACGAAACTCGTGTAATCTCATTATTAAGTATCATCCGAACTCGGATGCATAGACTGGTAATTTTCATAGGTCAAAGCATTTCCCTTACCGCTTCAGGCGGTCTGAAAAGTACTGCCTACTTCAATAAGTTTATACCCAGCGACAGATATTGGGGCTTCGGGTCTTGATAGCGTACCAGCTTTCATATTATTCACTTTTCTCTTCATCCCGCTTGCCACCCTGTTTGACGAGACTCTCTAGTTGCTTTCAGGACCTTCAAAGATCATGCGAGGGCAGATGGATTTAGGTTTCCCGTCCTCGTGTAACGCATCGGCCTGAGCCTGTGGACGCCATCCGTGGTTAAGGTTTTGGTGGATTGAGATGATTCGTGGCGTTTTATTTTGTTAGACTCGGCGTAAAGCACGGGGGCATGCTTTTCGTTGTCTTTGGGGTATCTAGGTCTGGCTCCTCCCTTCCGGTCGAAAAGCTTAATAAGAAAAATAAATCGTTTCCTGTTCTATCGTCTACCTACTACCAGATTCATTGCCCAGGCTGTTGGGTTGTATAGACATGGTCGTATGCAAGAAGATATCACTGGGAAAGAGCTCAGATAGAGGCAAGATATATCTCAATTGAAAGCGGGAACAAAATCTATATTGCAGGCAAAGCAGTCGATATACCAGATACCCATATCATGTGCTCATCCACTGAGTGATGTTGCTGTAAAGCGTCTATCTACCAGTCCGTGCCATCATGTCTGTCGTTCACCCGTGACGATCTTTGCTCAAATCAAGCCCTGAACCCTGGCCCACTTCAGAAACGCCACCTTGTCTCTTCTCCATCCCTCCTTCACGACGGACCTAGCCATCTGGCTGGCACGGTCGTTATTTTCACACTGCCTGACACATTCGTCTTGGTCGGGCGCCCTTGCGTATCTGCAGGCCGCGCCGCAGTACCCGCTGTCCGCCAGGTCCTGGAGGTGGTCTCTCCAGCCTGTCCGGGACTCGAGGCCCTGAGGAGTCTGGGGCGTACTGTTAGATGTGATCTCAAGGTCACAAGGTGGAGAGGGGCTTCTCATACCTCTGTTCCTGGGATGATAGCGGCACCAAGGGCTCCCTGGAGAGACAAGGCAGCGACAAGAACGGATGGGATAAGCTTCATGCTGAGTTGAGGTTTGTGCCCTGTTGAGAGTATGGGGTGGTCAGGCTTGTTGTACCGGCTAAAATTGCGTGTAGTCTAAGAATCGAGATGACACCTAGGTATGGCGAGTGGAGTATGAGATGGTTGTTCGGATACCTAATTGTTTGTTTTGTTTTGTATTTAACGTGGGGGTAGCTCCTCAGTAGTGCAAACCACGCCTCCCAGAGCCTCTGCATCGCAGGGTTGTGGAGGTCTCAAGATAATAAGTACAGTCAGTCCCGCTCACGGGCCCATCCCCGTTGTTGCGGCGGTATGACCTTGGGGTCATCCATCTGGTCCTTCAAGGAAGGCTATCTATCGGGGGCAGATTGTTGAAAAGAACTTGCTCTTCTCTACGAATTTTGCCCATTCTGTGCTCCTCTCCCCTAAGTATTGTAAACAAGCTGCCCTAGGCGAATGCCTAGGCAGTAGCCAATTTTTCCCCAGCCTCTTACAAAAGAAAATGTGTTGTGGTGTTTTCTTCTCACCACAGCTGCAGTGATCATTTGAGTCTGTGTGCCCAAAGCGTTCATGGTATCTGGCAAAGTCGCCATGTCCAGATCTGGCTGCTAGAAGTCTGTGTAAAGTACTCCTCTTAAAAGATATAAGGTCTCTTTCAGTTACTGCATGTGAGTATACTTCTTGATACCTAGATTCTGATTGGTCTTTCCACCATTGGTTGAACTCTTTCTTGCCCTGTCTTTTGAGATCTCTCTTGACCCAAGAGATTGTAGGAAGATTTATTGTGTCTGTTTCCAGCATGGCACCCTCTTTTGTTAGTGTGTCGGCAGCTTCGTTGCCATCAATATCTCTGTGTCCAGGAATCCATTTGACGGTTACTCCAGGAGTGTGTGCTGTGGCAAGTTCTTGAAATCGTAGAAAAATGTTTTGTGATGTCTCGGGTGGAGTCCCATTGAGCCCATCTACCACTGACGTGTTGTCCAGGCAGACATATAGCTGTTTTCCGTGTCCAATTGCCCTGGCTGCTGCAAGACCTTGGAGAGCACCATGGACTTCAGCATCTACTACTTCTGCTTGTAGAAGTCTGTCCCTTCCCCGGTATACTTCTTGTGTAGTGCCGCCTTTCCTGATGGTATAACCCCATCCAGTGCGGATTGTGCCTTGGTCATCCAACTGTGATCCATCTGAGTAGATGACAAGGTCAGTGTTCACGTTTCTCTCTTGTAACCATTGCTTGAAGAGCTCTGTTTCTTTGTCTTTGTCTTTGCGGATTGGGCGCTTCTTCCATGATGGCCTGGTAAGTATTGGTCTCTGGAAGTCTTGTTCGGATACCTAAGGTAGGTAGCGCCTCTCAAAGATGGTCTGAGTACACGTAGTTTCTTATAAACCGAAGACGCCCGATTTCATGGCGCAAGCTTGAAGCAGCAAATGGGATGTGGCTAATGAAGTCATCAGGTATCAATCAGTACAGCTCGGTGGTTCCAGTCCCCGATGAGTGGAAACATTTGAACTTCGGTGGTTGCACACACTGCGATGTTGGGCACATGCCACCTTCCCGTCCTGGGTTCTAGTATTCTATATAAATTTGAAGGAGTAGGCACCAACAGCCAGGGCGTGGAGCAATTACGGGTCTTGGCGATCGGTCTGGATTGGAAGAAGGAGGTGCCTAGTGCCAAGCCTTTCAAGACATTCACCCCTATTCCTAAAAGAACATATTTATAGTCTAGTCCATGCTATTTATACAAATAGAGCGACATATGCCTTTCGATTGTGTCACTCAAGCATCCTCGATGAACAAATATACTGCATATCCGGGGATCAAGCGGCATGGCAGCCCCGGACACGTTTGGCCTGTAAACCCACCACACGATCGATACGGTTAAATCCTCCAAGCACCAAACAGACAGATTCGCCTTCCTGACAAGCGACGTATCTGATCACGTCATGTTTTGTTATGAAGAAGGCTTTATATTGGAGACTGGCTTATGCTAAGAACGCAGGATTATGGAGGTAGACGGGACTGCCCCCCGTCTTGATGACGTGCTCCGTGGTGGAGGATTAAACGGGAGGATCAAGAAAGCTGGGACCTGTGTCGAGTGTCGGTAATTTTGTCTTCTTTGGGTGCCCTCTCAGGGTAAACGGCTGTCGTTGCCTCAAGCCAGTGATCAAGATCCGGGCCGGTGGCTTGACGGGCAAGTTCGCCTCGCTAGATTTACATGCTCTCTTTTTACTCCTTCCTCCGATATCCAGGCTTCCGCCTAAGTAGCGGCCCTGACGCACGCCACTTGACCATGTGTACTCCAGTCCTTTGGGAAATGGAATGCAGACTTTTCTCGAAGGTTGGATGATGTATACATGCGGCTGATCCGAGCAGTCAATCTCTTTGTCAGATAGCCTCGAAGATCATATCATAACGGAGGACCCGAGAGCACATCGGAGGTCTGACACCGAGTGATTGGGCATAAGAGGAGAGCAGACGATCCAATCGAGCAGGTTCGTATCCAACGAGCATGATATTTTGGGCATCCTGGTGTGAAAGGACACGGTGACAGGAATGTGGCACACAACTCCATCCTCGCGGAAGAAGGGTATGGCGTCACATAACCATCAGGTTAGCTTGTTTTGTTAAACACTTCCACGCCGGCGGAAAGATAGACGTCCAGCTCCAGCGACCGAAAACCATCCCGGCAAGTCGCCGGCACGACCGAAGTCAAAAGAAGATAAGGACATCTTGCCCCATGCCATCAGATCATCTCTCTACCACCGTCCAGACGATCGGATCCTCCCGGTGTCCACCCGCAAGCCTAGCTTCCCAACCAGCTCCGGTCGACATCGAGCCTTGACTCTTGTGTGCAACCCCCCTGCTGCGCACAAGCCCGGTAAAAAATATGGTGGGTGGTGCCACCTCGTTCTGCCCTTGGGTCCCTCGGGCCGCTCTCCTCTTCCCATCTCTTCGGCCCGGATGGACATGTAGCGCACCTACCCGCGAGCGTCCAGCATGACCGTATCACCCGAGTGTAGCCAGCACGTTCCCGAGCTGTCCCACCTCGGCCTTGTCCTTGCCCATCACTTGCTCTGCAAGGGGCCACGCCTTGTCTCATAGATGGACTTCAGCCTGCTCCGGGCTGCTCTCAGACTACTGGCTTCTTGCCCCTGGGCTGGCGATCAAGTTTTCCGCCTCGACGCGCCAGCCAAACTGCAATGCGGCCTCCTCATTCTTGCAGTTCGGCTGGTGCCGGCGTTGAGGCCCAGATCCAAGACCTAAGATAAGACCTGAGATACAGAATGCGGCGTCGAGATAGCCTCTGCGACAGGATCCCGCCCCGTGGAGAGGAATATACCCTTGGTTGGCCTTCAAATTGGCAATTTGCTCGAAAGGCACAGTCCCTAACCTATATATGATGGGGCGAATAAGCACCTACATCAGGGTATTGCGGCGCATCCACCGAATGTCGGTTTACTATGCCTTGAGCCTACATATGCTATCCCGAGGGCCCATTGCACCCAGGGAGTAGCCTTGCCAGGCTGCCAAGAAGCGATCAACCGAACGAAAGCGGTATACACACTGTCTCTTGAGCATAATTAATGAGCATTGCCACAGATACTGTGCGGAATAGAGGTAGATGTTGCTTCACGCTGAGCTATGCCTCACTCCCTTAAACGCCTTGCAACATCGTCATCCCAAGGGGAATCGGGCCCCTTGATGTGATCAAAAGCCGGCAGCAGCACTGCTTCATCAATCTCCTTGTACTTCCCGCAAGCGATGTAGATCAGGTGTCCATTCCTCGTCCCATCGACCATGAGCAGAGTGGCGCCGCGCGCGACGGCCGAAGCCGGCTGGACTTCGACGCCGAGCTTCTCCAGCTCCACCCGCAGGTTCGGCAGGACGCTGCTGTCGGTCCAGCCCGGCGCGAGGATATTCACGCGGATCGACAATTCGTTCGCGGCGATGAGGGGCACCAGGCCGCGCCCGAAGCCGATGACGCCGTGCTTGGCGGTTGCTGGGACGTGGTTGTTGGTTGGTCTTCATCCTCTGGTACGAGGGAGGGGGGAGGACACCAGCGGCTTGACTTACAATAATCGACTTCTCGAAAGCGTTGCAGGCCCGTTGCCGAGCCGCAGAGCACAATGCTGCCCCCTTCTCGTTGCTCGCGCATGTAGTGCATGGCGAGCGTGGCGGTGTTTATGACACCCTTCAAGTTGACGTCGAAGAGCTCGTACGACGGCTCCTTCAGATCGCCATTGTCGTCTAAAGCGGTGGCCAGGTACTGGGCACGCGGGCCGATGCCGGCGTTGGCGAAGACGCTGTCGATGCGGCCGTGGGCGGCCTTCGTCTGCTTGAATAGCGCCACCAGCTCGGCCCAGACGGCGACATTGGTCTTCACGAATTTGAACGACGAGCCTGAGCCCGATGCTGTCTCTGCGGAAGAATATGGCGCAGGCTGCAGGTCGCCGCTGACGACGTTGGCTCCTAGCGAGCGCAGTAGGTTGACGGTTGCGAGACCGATGCCCGATGAGCCTCCTGCCGTGGTGCAGCGATCCTGTTAGATTCGCATTGATCCGCTTGCCGTTGATGTCGTACCTGTGATAATGACGACCTTGCCCTTGATACCGGTCAGATCCTCGTCGTTGATGATGAATTCAGCCATGATGCCAAGGAATACTTGATATGTTGATCAGCTTGGCTTGAGTCGCAGTCAGAATGAGGGGATTGAACGGGTTGCGTATCGGGACATGTCTTCATTCCCTCTATGCGCCAGGATATGTAGGTAATTCGGCTTGGAGCAGGATCCCGCGGGCGCCGGGCGCTCTTCCACACGACTTGTGTGCCTGGTGACCAGTGAGCGACCACGCCGGCGGCCAATGGCGGTTTCTTGCGCAAAGCGCCAAGAAAGCCTCATATGCCGACATCTCGCCCTTCGACTCGAGCACGGAGGTGAGGGGGCGTATTCAAGTTGTTTACGGGCCGTTACGCATAGATACTTTACCGAATCTCGAGTTGGTCCATGTGATGGGGTAAAGAGTTGATTCTTGAAGACAGAGGCAAAAGGATGGATTAGGATTTCGACTTCTGCATATCTGTAGTATGTGCATATGGGTGTTCAGCCACTGCATACAATGCCCTTATGGGGTCCATCTCCCTCCTATGTCTCTCCATCATGCCCAGCTCTTGCCATGAAATCCCAAATCGACCATCGACCTACCAGCCCTACCTACAATTCAATATTCGCATGTGCAAAACACGCCGGCACCCCGCACGTAGATCTCTTCGCGCGCCAAAGAAGATCGCATTGAAAGCAGCACGGCACAGCCGCAGCGATGTTCGCACCATCGGCTCTCGCCCAGTCATCTCGCAATTTAGTTGACACACGGTCTCAGGAGGCAGGGGTTTGAGCGATCATGGCTGTGTTTCATCGTGGCGCTTACAGATTGTAAGCAGGCAGGCTGTGGAATCACTGCATTGGACTGAAGAATTGGGGCGACGTCATTGTTTAAAGGGGGTTCGCCGTCCAGGCATGAATGGGCAAACAGCTCCCTTCTTGCCTATTGTCTGCTGGCATCTTTGTTTGTTGTCCCTCCAACGCCCTCGCGCTCTCTTTCCGAGCCGATAAAAACTCGAGCCACCTTATTTGTGGTGCGATCGATCCTAAGTTGGATCTGGTGGAATCCCTCCTTCGACATGGCGAATTGTACAGACGCGCCCGCCGCCGTAGCGAGCGATGCAGGGGTCGCCGGCATTGGTGTAAGCCCTCTCCCCTCTCCCTCCCACCCATCTGCCAGCTAATGCAACGACACTAGACTAACCCGCATGTGCTCCTCCGCCACAGGTCCTCCTCTCGTTCATCGTGACCGCCGTCGTCGCCATCGGCCTCAGCGCGACCCTGATATTTCAGGAGGCGCGCGGCCACTCCAAGCCCTCGGTGCTGCGCCGCAAGCTTCTCAACGCCTACTCTGACCAGCAGATCCTGACGGGCATCGGCATCCAGTCGGTCGGGCTGGCCAAGATCGACTCCATGGTGCCCTACCACTTCTTCCTCATCTGGATGCTCTCGCTGCTGTCTATGGCCGTCCACAACGCGACGCTGCTGGCGCTCGTCCACGACTTCCGCCGTGACTGGGTCCTGCGCTGGCTGCGCCAGTTCCTCATGTTCGTCAACCTGGCGCTCTCGTGCGTCTACGGCGTCTTCATCCTCGAGGCCGTCACGCACAAGATCAACGACTCGACCTTCCCCATCGCCTGCGTCTGGCAAGACGTTGGCGACAACCCGTCTGCCAACTCTGGCGGCGGCGGCGGCGTTAACGTCAGCCTCTCGTTCGTGGGCACCATCGTCGTCATCGCCGGAAACGTTATCGTGTTCGCGCTGGCGACGTGGTATCTGCACAGCCGGTCGCAGCGCTTCTACAAGACGATCCAGATCGCGGGGCTGGTGCTCATGACGGCCATCGCCATCGGTGCCATCGTGCGTGTCTCGCTGCTGGCCGACGCGTTCGCCTCCGAGCCGCCGATCACGCTGCGCGACAATGGCGAGGAGCAGTGGAGCTTCGGCCAGCTGCTGTCCGTCGGCATGCTCCTTCTACCGCTGGTCTCGGTGATCGAGATCCTGAGAGGCGAGATCAGGTGCGCGCCGCCAGTGGCCGATGCAGGTGATGATAAGCAGCGCCTGCTCGGGGACAGTGAGCTACAGTCGAATCCAAAGGTGCGCGCTTCGTTTCAGCCGAATCCCTTCTTTGGGTCGCAAGCAAACCTGTTTAAGAAGTGATCGTGGACGGGGACAGGACAATGGGAGGGAAGGGCGGCGCCATGATTGGGAAAACGGATGGGAAATTATACACACGTCTTCTATGTCTGGACTAGCGAGATACCCCTTTTGGAATTGATTGATGTTGGAAGTTACACCATTGCTGGTTCTATGATACAAGTGCACGTGAGAGTGTCTAGGGATTCCACTGGTGAACACGTCCAAGTAACGTTACATGTGGTATATGGCAAATGGCACATCTGTTCCCGCATTTCCATCTTTGGCAATTTTCAGCCAGTTCCAGCGACGTTTTTTCTCGCCTATCCTTCAACTCGAGGTCCGCGCCGACATCGATCTGCAACGCTATCTCCGCCGGTTTTGACTCTGAGCTCCATCCTCTGGTTATTTCGCGGTAATGTCAACAGTCATGCCGACCGTCTTTATCATGAGAACAAAATGTCGACCAGTCACTTCTAACCACTTGCCGAGGAAGTTCGATTCGACATGCACATTTCGGCTCAAGCTGTCGCTGTCCTAGTCCAAATCGACTCCTATACATCAAACAGAGAAGTGGGTGGCTTCGACGCAGACTTTTGGCCGCGAGGCGTGGATGTTGTTGGATTGGTTCTTGGCACGGCTTGAGGGAGTTTGAGGGCGTCGACCTTGCTAATAGCCGGGCCTGCCGGTAAGGTTAGCAGGGCCATGAGGCTCAGAGCGAGGTTAAGCAGCAAGTTTCTAATATCGATCAGTGCGGCCGGCCATCGTCTTCAGTCAGGAGCTTTAATAGTTGCCGGCGTCTTGCCACTCGCTGCGGCTATCAATTTCAAGTCATAGATATTAAAGCCTCGTTACAGCTTGCACGACGGCAGTGCCTTAAGCAAAAGCCAGGTTGACTAAAAAACTAAAAAAAATATTAACACTGCAAAAAGCTCAGTGGCCGTCCGACCCTAAGAACGTGCCTTGTCCCGAGTTGACCAACCCATCAATCAACCGCCAGCACGCCCCGGAATTGAACAGCAGACCTACGAAAACCCCTCGTGTGGGGGGTTTGTCTCATGACCCACTACACCATAGGACCAGACGGGCTTGGGCTTGGTGAGGGGGCGATCGAAGATTTGGCTTGTATTGCAGTACATATGGTTTGGTTGCTAGGGAGCATGACCTGACCTGCTCTGCCCTAGCGTGATCACACCCTCAAGCACCAAGGCGACAATGAGTGAGGGGGTCGGTCTCGCGGCCACTGTACCAAGCTGGTTCCCGCTGCTGTTATATTCTCAGGAGAAGGATTAGTACTCGATGCTATGCTGAAGCATGAGACTTGGTATGTAGGCGTGGACTTGGAAAGCAAGTCCATATCACGGCATAAATTTGCGTAAAACCCCCTATTGAAGGCCATCGCTGCACGCTCCGCTTCTGCCTCCCGCTAGCAAATATGTGTGCTATCTTTGATGCTTTCATACTATCTGGCGCTTTATCGGCTGCCAACCGTTTATGAGCCTATACGGCTATCTTATGGTCTGATCCCACTTTCCGAACTTCATAGTTGCTAAAGAACTGTTCCTACGGTGGGGTAGAACAAGCCATTAGGCAGAGAAACTTGAAAACAAGGGCTGTAACATCTCATTCTGCTGGTGCCGAATTAGGTGAGTTGTGAGTTGTGAGCTGTTAAAAGATCAAGAAGCGATGTCGCTTTGCGCTACAAAGTCACATGGTGGTTGAGATGTGCCCCCTGGATAAGTAATGAGCGGTAAGATTGGTATTTGATGTTGCTCTCTCACTCTAAGTGCATGAACGAAGTGTCTGCCCTACTACCATACTTGGTTCGACGCGACAATATTTCCTTTCACCGATGAAGATATACTGGGCCTTGACCTTGATTATCCAATGGGCATGCAAGATTTGTGTTCTTCAGCTAGTTCGTCGTTTTCTGAGCTGTCATTATCTGTCCCTCCTGTGCCAATACCTGCTTTGTCTGAATCTGGCCGCGATGAGTCACTTCGTCGGGGAACACACGTGGTGTAGCTGGCTACGTGGTGATGAAACCTTTCGGTTTGGACTTTGGAACAAAGGGATCGATGATTATAAGTTCATGGTGATGTGAAGCTGAACTTTCAACTTGGCCCCTTTACTCCAAGCCAGATCCGTTCTCAACACGTGCGACCAACATAAAGCATATCAACTCAAGCGGCATACATTGATTGGACGAGGATCTCGTCCTGTGGTCTTCTGCAATTGCATTCCCTGATAGTCCAGATCCAATTCAGGGGCCGAACCTTCCATTGTCCCATCATATTCAACTACTCGGAGGAGTTCATCAATTCAATAACCACCGCCTCCGACCTTATACCCTTCATACAGCGTGGGTTGCTGAGATCTCGCCACACCCGTGATCTATCGACAAGATTCGACCCTAGCACAGAGGTATACCTTGCGCGGTACAAGGAAATCGTCCCTCTCACCGCGACGGAGAGTAGATGGTTCATCGACAGCTACACCAAACTCTCACCCCTAGGCACAACCGACCTGCAGAGAACTTTGACCGACATGGCTAGTTGAGAGTGGAACGATTTTCTGATCATGGTTATCAAAGACGAGCAGGCGGCATCTCGGTCCCAGCTTTCGATTGCGATGGCGGCGATGAACGACGGAATGGGGGGGTTCCTCTCCAGCAGGTTATGGCTGGGGTATGATGTGGTCCGTGTACCCATGGAGGACCGAGAGCAGCATGAGCAGGCTTCTACAGATTTTCCGGTCTTTGAAATCTGATCCACCATTTTCTCGTTTCAGACATCCTGCAGTCCTGCTTTCGTGGCGGGTCGTGGGCCTCTTGGCAAAGGGGAGTGAGTGGAAGAAGGGACGATGACTTCAGCCTCGTGGCTGTCTTCCTGGTCGTGGGAATGGAATGACTGGAACTGCCTTACGCCTTCGTTATGAGATTGTCAGGGGGGTCATACACCAAAGGGAATCTCGGTAGGAAGCTGATACATAGTATGGTTATCCTGAATCTTCTTCTTGAACGGACTAAGGGCGAATGCATCACCACTGTGTCCGCGGCCGTGATGGTCTAAGCGATAGCAGAAGTTCAATCAGGATGTGGTCAACTCTTCCCTCCTCGATCGAGAGACCCATTGGTAGTTGTAGTTATGAGATTCAGATACCATCAGGTTGCCATGCTGGCAGTTTGGTAGTGACCGGACCAGAGGTAATCAAGACCCAAGGATCTTCGTCAATTGACCGTTCAGCTTCAATTATGACGGCCTCATCCCAGATAGCATACATGCCAGGCAAACCACACCATTGGGGAGGGGGAGGGACACTGAAGTCGGCGACCATCAGATCTGGATGATACTCATGTCCGAAGCCATTCATGGAATTGACTAACTGAACATCACATGTCAAGCGATGACGACTGGAACAACTTGAGCAACGAGATAATCGATAGCTGGGGTTCCATAGATAGGAGAGACTCATGAGTGAGGGCTTAGGTATGGCGGAGGTTGGTAATCATCGCTTTTGTAAATACAGGACCTATGCGACGCGTGGCATTCCTGCGGGGATGATTACGACGACGAACCTCAATGGCGCAGATCTGAAATCGGCTCTGAGACCAGCTTATCTCGTCAACAAAGGGGGGAGGCTCTTGATCCACACTTAAGACGGCATCTCCACTTGGCTCACCGCGCCGGCTGGAGACTATCTAGGCCCGAAGATGGCGCTCACGGGGTGCGATTGAGCGTGGCTTCGGAATGAAGGGTCCTCTAAATCTCCCTGGAAAGAGCCCGAGGCCCCAAGACTGCTGACTTCATTCGGTGGAAGGTGCGAGACGGAACCCCGGATACTCACCGATGATTACTACCGCATGGTATCGCCAAGGTCAGCCAAGGTCAGCCACCGATGCAACTGCTACATCATCTAGATATGGTACCTGCTTGATCAGCAGCACTGTTCGGGGGACGGGATCGGGTGTTTAAAATAGCAACCGGAATTTGATTGTGCCTGTCACATGCGGAGAAGCTGAGGTGCGCAGGTTGTAATAACATTGGGTGGTGGTGGTTAGCGGATGGCGCAATCCGAGGATGCTCTTGTGTGTTGCAATGGCGTGCTGGTGGTAGCCCCACGACAGGAATGCTGGAAGGCCAGGTACTCCAATCAACATCTTCGCTCCAGGCTCCGGCGAGACGGGACGTTGATTAAGCATGATGCAACATGATGCAAGCAATCAAAGCGAGGGAGATAAGTGTCATTATCAGTTCTGGCCACCTATATAAGCTCGAGGTCTGATGTGAGCTCGCTCGAGAGTTCTATGCTCTATACTGCTCTCGTTATCCCCTCACCTTGAACTGACGGAGACACCTACTTGCTTGAAAGTAGAAAAAGAGCCACCATGTCGCCTGCACTCGACGTACAGACATCAGCCGACCTGGTTGCGAGTCTGAAGACCAGCACTACGCATGTTGATCGGGCCATATTCCCCGATGGATTGAAGACCACAGGTGAGTCGACCATCAGCATACTGCCATTATCCAAAAAAGTCCTGATGGCCCGAAAGGTCAACACCCGCCATTGTATGACCAGGTGTACCCATACAGCGCCTTCCCCAAGCGTATCGAAGGGCCTACAGTATGGAAGGCGGAGGACTACTCCGACAACCCGGAGCGATGGGTACACCAGTTCTCCAGTGACGAGATCGATGAGATATCCAGCACAGCCAACAGGTTCATAGCCTTGGGGCTGCCGATCACTGGGATCACGATGGAAAACTTCCCTCTGCCTGGCTTGAAGCAATCGCTGGCTACCATGCTTCGGGAGTTGCTGAATGGAAAGGGGTTTATCCTCTACAAGGGCTTCCCGGTCGACCAATGGGGAAACCACAAATCAGCCGTGGCGTATTTTGGCCTGGGAGTCTACCTCGGCTACCCGGTCTCTCAGAATGGCCGGGGGCATATTCTAGGACAGTAAGCGTGAACTTAACATATGTCTTGGTCTTTCTGCCGAGAGAGTATTGACTGGCTGGTGTAGTGTACAAGATCTTGGCGATGACAGTACGCAGATCGACAAGGTCCGTATCTACAGAACAAATGCTCGACAGTTCTTCCACGCGGACGACTGCGACATCGTGGGTCTGCTGTGCATATCGAGGGCCGAGTTTGGCGGAGAGTCCGACGTCGCCTCCATTCACCACGTGTGGAACATCCTGCAAGAGGAGCGTCCAGACGTCGCCGAGCTCCTGACGAAGCCGATCTGGTACTTCGACCGAAAGGGGGAGGTCTCACAGGGCGAGGACCCCTACATCAGAGCCGCGGTGTTCTACCTCGAGACACCAGACCCCGAAGACCCCGAGCGGGAGCAGCGAGTGTACTGCAAGTGGGACCCGTACTTCGTGCGCAGTCTGACGCGCTTCTCGGACGAGGGCATCATCCCGGCCCTTTCGCCGGAGCAGCAGGAGGCGATCCAGCTCCTCGAGGCTACCTGCGAGAGGGTGAAGCTGCACATGGTTCTTAAAGTCGGAGACATCCAGTTCGTCGCCAACTCGCACACGCTGCACGCGCGGACGGCATACCGGGACTACGCTCCTGACAGTGGCATGCCGCGACGCCATCTCATGAGGCTATGGCTGGCTGTGCCGCAGAGCGAGGGCGGTTGGAGGCTGCCGTACTGGGATGCTGACGAGAAGAAGCGAGGCGGGATCCAGGTCGATGATACCACGCCTGTCGCTAGACTTGAGGGTGATTAGTTGTAGCGTGTGAGGTTTGAGGATTTGAAAATGGGCGGGTGTTTGGCGTATGAAGGCATGCTTTCGGGATGGTCCCAGATGCAGCGGCGACTTGTAGCATCATTCAGCAACAGCGCGATGTACTGTACTGGTTCTATTCACACGGGCTCGAATGAGACTACTGTTCCAAGATGTGTCAACTGCTCGGTGTTGGTAAATGCAACGATTTCCAATTGACATCTAGTCTGGCAACCACCCACAAGGGCTGTGCCATGTTGCAAGTTTATACTCGACGGGTTCGTCCAGCGACAATGACAGCCAGGAGGAGAGCCGCCCTCGCACGAGCGTCCGGAACGGTGTTGATACTGTTGATTCGCGAGATTGCCCATACTGTTGAGGAAGAAAAAGTTTAGGTGCGAGGACATACACTGGTAGTTTCTCGCAAAAACCAGGGCGACGAATGGCAGGCCATGTCCCAAGATCGCAATGTGATGAGCTTAGCGTGTCCCTACAATTGTATTGTCTATAGGACAATGAAGCTCCCCAACTGAGTGACTGTTGCTGGTATGTCTTTTGTAACTTACTTGAGTGACCGTAGCGTGGTGCAAGTGGTTGCTACCAGGTATAAAGGTAGGCAGAATTGCAAGACCGGGAGACTTGGACCAAGTGATTAGGTAGGGAATAACTCTGTTAACGATCCCGGGGAATGAAGTATCTCACATGTTGATGATCTATCAGACAAGAGACAAAGGCCAGATGCTCTGCTAGCCCCCTTTCGAGACTTGGCGCGTCTTCGTGCATCCGTGCATCTAATAAGCGGCTGCGGGAGCGATCTATGCATTAAAGTGGTCCGAGCACCCTTGCTGCTGGCACTGGAGAAGACGGGAATAGCAACCACCCTTGCGGCAATGCTTCCATTGCGACTGCGCACCCAAAGCCACCACACAATTACGAACCACCGGTGCGTCTGACACGCCTCTGCCTACCAACGAACGACGAGAATCTACGCGACGACAAACCTGCGAGACGGAAGGCTCTAGTCTACAATCTCGGTGCGTCATGTTCTGAAACTCGAAGTCAATACGGGCTGCAGCGGCGCCTCACCAACTTCACCATGGACGCCCCGCCAGTCAAGCTCTCGGAGCTTCTTCGACACCCCGAGGACCTGGACAAGATTCCCGCGCTGAAGCTGGAATTCACGCGCAAGAAGGCCGCCGTCGACTCTCAGCTGCGGGGTGGTCTGCGCGACCAATTGGAGACGACACAGGCGGGCATGAATGGCCTTACGGACGGGCAGAAGACGGTGCAGGCCATCCGCGACGAGATGATGAAGATCGACAAGCTGTGCTCCGAATCGCAGAACATGATCAAGGACTTCACCAGCATCAACATGGTGTCGCAGGCACATCGGAACTTCGGCGCTGTCGAGACCATGGTCGACAACCTCCAGACTTTCAATGATCGCCTCAATAGGGTTGAGAACATGCTGCGAGAGGACGAGGAGGACAAGGAGAACATGCCCAACCTACTACGAGCACACTACGAATTGACGCAATTACGAAACATCCGAGACGATGCGATGGAGCAGATCGAGCGAGCCGACGACCTGAGCCTACAATCTACATTGGAAGATTACTTTGCGCGGTTGGACGAGGCCATCGACTGGTTCGACGAGCACATTGGTCTTATTGCACTCAACATGATCAACTTGCTGGTTGCAAATAATGATGGCCTTGTTGTACGCCTGGCCATCATCGTCGAAGCCGAAGAGAAGAGCGACCAGAGGGTGGAGGCCCTGCAAGAAGCGTTGAAGGACCACCGAGAGATGGCGACACGATTCCAAAGCATCACCGACGGCGCGAAGAAGGTCAGAGGTTACAAAGAGAAATTCATAAAAGCAATCACAGTCAACTGTGAAGGGCAGTTTGCCGAGTCCAGGGGAGAATTCTTCGACGACCCGACCAAGCTGGACAAAATAATGAAGTGGTACTTCAACGATTTAAATGCGGTCAAGCAGGGAATGGTGCACTTGATGCCCAAGAAGTGGAAGATACTCAAGACCTACGGCGATATTTACCATCAGCTCATGCACGACTTTTTGGTTGACCTGATAGATGACCCCGAGTCAAGCTCAGGCAACACCCTAGAAATCGTCAACTGGCCCGAGAAATACTACAAGAAGATGAGGAAACTCGGCTTTCAAGAAGCCGATCTCAAGCCGCACGTCATTGATAACAGAGAGTCAGAATTGGTGAAGGATTTCCGGCAGCTCATCATAAAGTTCCTCGACGAATGGATTGAGCGTATCTTCGCCCAAGAGAGACGTGATTTTGCCGAAAGAAATGTGGAGGGCTCGAATTTGGATACGGACGAGTATGGCTACTTCCGTACCCGGAATCTGGTTGATATGTGGCGCATGCTGCGTGAGCAGGTCGACGCAGCCGCCAACTCACAGAGGTCAGATGTGGCCGAGGGTGTCATTGATGCTATGTTCATCCGGCTCCGCGGTCGACAGCAGTCTTTCCAAAAGATGCTCGAAGACGAAGGCGCCAAGTACGAGGCCAATCAGGTCCCCGAGCTGGAGGGTTTCCAAGCCTTACAGGACTGGCTCGTTGCTACTGCTAACGACCAAATGGCCTGCATAGACGACAACGAGGAAGAGGGCCGTTTCGCCTACCTGACGAGCTTCAAGCAGAAATTTGAGCCGCTCGTCACACCACAATATATGGAGCGTGCCGAGACCGAAGTTGAACTGCTACGCGATGGCTACGTTGACTTCAGTACGTGGTGTATCAATAAGTTTGTCAAGCTCATCATCGCAGTCGACTTCAGAACAGTAGTCACGTCGTTCTTCACCCCAGGATGGTACTCAAACACAGCAATGAAGCAGATGATCGTCACGTTCGAGGAATACGTGGGCGACTACCAGCAGGTGCTCCACCACTCGCTGGTTGAGATCTTCGTCGAGATCTTCGCCGACGAGCTGCTGGCCAGGTACCTGATGTGCGTGCGCAACAAGGGCGCCAAGTTCAAGCGCACCGACCCGTTCCAGGACAAGATCTTCAACGACATCTCGACGGCGTTCGAGTTCTTCCGCGGGCTGCCGAACGCGGACGTCGGCGGCACCATCACGCAGACGTGGCGCGTCACCGAGTACTTCCTGCAGCTGCTGACTGCGGAGAAAGAGGCCGTGCCCGACGTCTTCCAGGAGTTCAAGTCGCGCTACTGGGACCTGCAGATCACATGGGTCGAGGCCGTGCTGAGGGCCCGCGACGACTTCGAGAGGAGCATGCTGAACTCGGTCAAGGCGCGCGCGGCGCAGATGGATGTCGTCAGGGGCCCCGAGACCATCATGGGCAAGGTCAAGTAGTAATGCTGCGCTTAGAAAGGGTGAATAAATATTTTAATCTGTTCAATGACTGTGCGCGGGTATCTTGCTCATGATTGACCGCGCCTCCAACTCTAATGTCTTGCCAATATGATCGTACCTAGCAGTCGCAACCATCATGACGCAACCATCGCGCTCCCGGAGCACCCGCGGTCCCTGTGAGACCCAAGCCAAGCACAAACTCACATGCAAATCGGATTGTGTAGATTATAAACTGCAGACTAGCCGACTACAGCGAGTCGCGCTTTCCACATGGCAAACTCCCTCAGCGTGCCTAAATTTATCATAATATGGGTACGGCTGCCCTCAGGCTAAAAGGGGGTACTCCACCGTCCAGTCCTTGAAGTCGGTACGCACACACGTCCGACTCGCCCCTACTTTGGAGAGAGTTTGGAGTTCCTCCAAGGATCTCCGCAAGTAAGCGCTATTATACTTCTCTGGCATTTCCACGAGCCAGAAATATAAATAGCGTGTTGATTTCGGCAGTAGCACGCCAAGCTGCAATTATAGGCTGAAGGCGAGATAGGGCAGGCCGTGTACATACCTGTCAGAGGGCATGAAGCTTGACCGTACACGAAGACCTGCTGTCTAAGTCTACTCGTAATCGTTATAGCAAATAAGGTTGGCTGGCGCCGGCGCCATATGTCCACGCCAGGCAATCGACGAAGTCACGATCGAAGTGAGCCAGGAACATCGGACCATCGACGGGTTGGGGATCTTGAAGGCCTTTCAGCGAGCTGTCAACATCGACAACTGCACGCCTTCCTGCCGGACTCGCTCGCTCCAGCAAGTCTCCTCGTTCGTCAAGGCTGGAGAAGTTCCCCCATAGCGAGCCCAGTGTTCCAGCAGAAGCGGACGGGGGCCCTGGATCTCCTGTTTAACACGACATAGGCAAGGGCTTCACCATCGTCCGCAATGGCATCTTCGGAAGCAGTCCGGGCAAGCGATGAGGGCTGGATGAACATGATCCTGCCGGAAAACCCGCACTCGCTGGGCATCTGCCGGGTCTACAAGGGGGATGATAAGCACTTGGGGCGGCTGGGGTTTTCTCAGCAAGGGATTGGCGTGTCAGTACCCCAGAGGAGACTCGTGTACGGGAGGCTAATGCTGGGCGAAGGCGAGATACGGGGTCAAGATCTTGAAGGCGATGCTGGGTCGGCACCGGGCTTCATGAAGTCGACTGGTCACGATGCAAGTGGCGGCGAACTCTGCGACTGCGTCCCTGGCGACAGGAGACAAGTGTGCGCTGGTTGCCTGGTCGAGTATGTACAGTTCTAACGGCATCGAGGTTACTCGCTTGGCCTTTGTGAACAAACTCTGATTTTAGTTCAGTATAGGTCTCCCTGCTGCAGAACTGGAGTGATAGAGGGTCACGGCTCCTACCCATCGATTCTAGCTGGCCTTCTGCAGCACGAACTATGCGTGATGCAAGCTGGAAGACGTGCAGGCTGCCGATTTCATCAAGTTCTTGCGTCCAACCCTTGAGCAGAATATGCAAGCCCAGTATACGAAGCAGCTGACGACGAATAAGACAAGGACGAAAGCTGATATCCAGGGACGGACACGAGGTCTCGGAAGGGGTTTGGGCATATACTCAGTATAGTCGGGCCGTCAGGACGGGCGCGGTCAGGGTGGCCGCTTTATCTGGTGATACAGGTCTCAGAGTGACGGCATTCCTCGAGACTTACTAACAAGTTGACTGATATTGTAATCAACGTGGTGGCGTCTGCGGTCTCGATTAGCGTGAAGGCCAGGACCACCGACAACACTCGCGATATGGGGGCTGCAGGAGCGGCAGTTGGTGCGGATGCAGGTATCACGGGCTCGGTACCTGCACGGGCAGTAGTCAGCTTTGTCGTATCGTGATCAACTTGGTTCAACCCGAGGCGGTGGTCGGTGAGCCCTTAGCCCTTGCAGCTGCAGCATGGGCAGCGTGACAGCAATGACAGCAGATACACCTAAAATGGAGCATGGAAAGGCTGAAACCGTAGATGGTATACGAAAGGACTCTGCAGGTATCTGCCGGCGCGGTTTTTTCTGATCTCGTATTTCATCGGATACGCACATCTCTCACTCTTCGGGCCCCAAGTTAGTACACGTAGATACATGTAGAGAGTATGTCACGCGTGATCAATAAGGTATGACTAAACTAGTACCGGCATATGAGCGGTTGATTGCCAAGGGGCAGAGCCTACACGATCACTTATAGGTGTATGAAATTCGTGGCAGTCTGGAAACAGGAGAGGTTGCTGCCACCGAGGACGGGCCAAGCGACTCAAGGTGGAAACGATGGGTAGGCTGCAAATGCAGGTGCAGAGGGCCTCGTGGTTTTCATGCTCTCCTAGTCTTGGCCTGGCACATTCTTTACGTAAGGTATGTACGAAGCATGCTTGCATGTAGGTTCGCATCAACCCAGCAGGACGGACGGCTGACTTGGCGATGGAACTTTCGTAATTTGGACTCGTCGCTTCATCTATCAAGGCCAAAAGGCAGCTGCTGGAGGTGCAGAGATGATGCGAGCCAAGCTCATAAGCACGCCGCATATGGGCCTTGGCTCCTGTGAGCCCTATGAGGCATGTGAGAGTGTGTGTCTGGCGGGTTGCTTGGCGTGCTAGTGTTCGCGAGAGTCGACCCTCGCGGTTGGGACGTATGGTCGCGTGAGGTTGTCATCGTCACATGATACACTGTAACTTACGGGTCTGCTTCGCATGGGTCTTGAATGAAGCTCACCTCATCGTTGCGGAAAGATCTGGTACAGACAAGGAGACCTGCGGCGCCATCAAGCCTTTGCAGTGTCAAGCACGAGGGCCGGCCTAGGCTGTGGTGGTGGTGACGATGCAGATTCGATGGTTTGACGATGCGGGCGTGTCTTGAACCTGTAACGGTTAGGCCACGAGGCTTGGAGGCTTGGGAAGGGCTTCCAATCCAAGGCCGGGCAAGGACCAAGCCCCACCATGATGCATCATCCATGGACTGCGGACTCTGAGGTGGCAGTCTAGAGGATGCCCGGTATCCACCCAGCCCACTCACTACCTTGTGCCGAGACCCCCTGTAAAGACTGACCCCTCGGCTGACCTAGGCCTCTTCTCATTGGACGAAGCTCTCCCACGGCCGCCCAATCCCGCGGCCACCACGGTGCCACGACCGCCCGCGATTGATCATTTTGAACTGGCAACTGGTCCTGCGTGCACCTGGTAGCGTCTTGCTCCAAAGTCGAGCTCTGAGCTTCTGAGGTCGCAAGGTCGTCTCCAACGGCCTTTCTGCATTTATCCAAGCTCTCCAACAATCTGCAACCCTTTTCCTTCTTCCTCTGCCGCCGCCGCGATCCGATCCCGAGCCTGACGTCGCGGACGGAGTGGTACGCGTCCAAGTTGGGAGAGAACAGGCCACAGAGTCATTGACATTCCGCATTTGGTGTGCCTTCCTTTTAGGTACCCTATCACTGAAGTATCATCTATCAAGGTATCATCTATCAGGGTAGCATCTACCAAGTATTCCTATACATGTGCATGGCGTGAAGCGACGGACGTCGTCTCGTCGTCACCCTCGTTCGGGAGATCCTCTGTCGATCACGAGCGCCTCCAAAAAGTTACCATACTCCCAAAAAATCCGCCCGTTTTTCTATCGTCGCCGACCGCCGACCAAGTTACCAACCTTTATTTTATTTTTCGCGGCACGCGAAAGAGCCAAAGAGCAAATCACTCCCAGGTCCTGCACTCTGCACTGAGCCGTCGGCGCCGTACTCGATTACCCTCGAACTACAAACTACACACCCATTGCGTAACCTGCCGGTCCAATGGGCGCCTCGTGAGCACCGCAGCGCCGAGATATCTGAAGTAGGACGCCGGAGGCAGACGCAGGGCGAGACTGGACGAGACATGGAAAGCAATGGCGGCCATGCCAAGGACAAGACGTCCGACAGCGACGCCAAGTCCACCAAGGACAACACCCCTACGACCACCACCACCAATACGCCGACAGAGTCCAAAAAGAGCCCCAGAAAGAGGCGCAAGGTGAACCACGGTATGCTGTTGTGCGATTCTGCTAAATTCTCCTATTCCTCTTGATTCCCCCGTCGTCGTATCCGTCGTCTGCCACATGGGCTAATTTTGGACGCCCGTTCCTACAGCTTGTGTCTACTGCCGCCGATCTGTAAGTCCTCATTCAGCATGCCTGTCCAGCATCTCACCTCACCACTTCCTCATACATGTACCTACTGGCTCCCACGCCTGCGCCTGTCTGCGTCTGCGTCTGCGCGCTAGAATAGTGTCCCTGCCTGGCCTGTCTGCCCCCGTGATCCCAGCCCCCTGCTGCCGATACCCTCGTTCCCCTCTCCCTTATGCAGAGTCGGTGCGGTGCGATGCGATGCGCCTGGCCTTGACCCTGGCCCGGGCCTGCGTCCCGTGTCGTGCGTATATGCCGCTTGACCACTTGGCTAACCGCTGCCTCCGGCCCTCTAGCATATGACATGCGATCTCGTATGTAAGATCTATTTCTCGCTGTGTTGCGTCAATGGCTGGAGAGCATTCTCTCGGCTGCATAAACCAAGATTGACTCAGGACCAACCCGTGTGAATAGGAGAGACCGTGTACGAGGTGCGTCAAGCGCAACATAGGCCATCTCTGCCACGACGAACCCCGGGATCCGGATGCAAAGAAGCCCAAGGGCTCTCATGGCGCAACCGCGCACGACGAATCAGACAGCCAGCCGGAACGGTCGCGCAGTTCAATAGACCAAAATGCCACCGTCATCGCACCACCGTCCTTTGACGGGCCCGGAGCAGCCCAGGCCACGAACACAAAGCCAGGTTTTGGTGCAGCCGCGCTAGGCCAGGCAAACCCCCTACAGCTTGTGTCACCGGGTCCGGTCTCTGGGATGCAGGCCAGTGCTTCTTCTGGCAGCAATATGAACCAACGTACGTCTTGTAAAACCCCTTATGAGCATCGATGTCGCAAACTGATCTTGTAGTTGCTGGCTTCTCTGACGCATGGCTGACCGCGCAAAACCAATTTCACGATATGCACCACTATAACCCGCAATATATGCTCCCTCAAGAAGTCACCCACGAGTTCAACCTGCTCAATGATTTTCTGAATACCAGCCTCCTCGATGACGGCGGAGCCCTGTCGGATGACCAGAATCTGCTCTACAGAAATAACCAGTCGCAGCCCGAGTCCGATATGGCAGGCTTTCTGGGCGGCAATAACAACCTCCTGCCCCCGAGTGCGATGCAGTCAGGCTCGATGCCTCCGCCGAACGCAGAGCAGACCAACAAGATACCGCAACGTGCCAATGCTGCCCCGCCGGACAAGACGCGTGAATTCTATCTCCAAGCGGCAGATCCATCGGGCAATGACACACCTGAAGCACGCATGCAGCGCGTCTTGAAGGCCAAGTACGATGCCGGCATGCTCAAGCCCTTCAACTACATCAAGGGGTATGCTCGGCTCTCGGCATACATGGAAGACCATATCGCTCCTGGCTCCAAGCATAAAATCCTACAAGAACTGAGCCGCTTCCGGCCCAAGTTCAGGGAAAAGGTGCAGGGACTCGTTGACATGGAACTTGTTTTCGTGGAGATGTGGTTCGAGAGGACGCTGATGGAGTACGACCGAGTCTTCGCCGCCATGGCTGTCCCGGCTTGTTGTTGGAGGAGAACAGGGGAAATATTCAGGGGTAACAAGGAGATGGCAGAGCTGATTCACGTTCCTGTGGAGCGGCTGCGAGATGTGAGTAACGCTTGCAGCATAGCTTTCTCCAAATACTGACATTTTCCCGCGTAGGGCAAGATATCTCTGCACGAGATACTTACAGAGGACTCTCTTGTTAGATACTGGGAAGAGTTTGGCACGATTGCATTCGATGCAGCACACGACACCCTTCTCACGGCCTGTGCGTTGAAGAACCCAGATGACCGGTCCAACGACCCCATTGTCAACTGCTGTTTTTCGTTCATGATACGCAGAGATGATCACAAGATGTGAGTTACAACCCAGTCGCTTCCGAGCTTCCTTGCTACAGATGGCTGACGAATGCTTAACGCGTAACAGACCCAGCCTCATTGTGGGCAACTTCCTTCCACATGATCCTTCGCATGCATAGACTCCTGCCTGGTGCATGGCAATCGGCATTAGACATGGCAAGATCCCTACCACCGGGTCGGGCTGCTGTGTGTGGCGCGCATGAACACATCTGGTCAACTGGCAACGGTGCTGCAGTTTACATGGGAGGCGTTTATAAAGGCATGGGTCTTTCTAGAACGGGGACCTACGATTTACATACCTACAGGGACTGCCGCACCCTCCGCATATATCGTCTCGCGAGTCTGCCCCTATAAGGGTAAAGATACAGTGCACAGGTATCTCTTCTGTAGCCAATTGTCATGTACCTGAACATTAAAACTGCACATGTATGTACTTAGTATGTACAATTAAGGTATGTGATGGAGGCCTGCATGATGTACCTAATTGTAGACGGCATGCACTGGGTCGGGAAGGTGCTTGTGCGCGTGTCTGCACGTGTCCGTTGCGCCTTCCCTGGACGGAAGCCGCAACGCTACCCGAATTATATTCCTGGCCACTCAAACAACGTGGTTGGAGACGGGCTGGTCTCCTCGACTTTTTCTGCCTCCAACACTTTTGTTTCCGCCCACTCCCCTTGACGTGGCCCATCCCTGACGTGGCCCAATGCAGTCGACTCCCACTCGCCAATCCTGATGCCGATGTCGTTATGACGCATGGCACATTCGAAAGGTCCATCAAAATCCGTGCCGCCTGGGACCTGATACACCTGGTGAACACCAGACTTTAATCGATCGTGAGCCGAGGCGGACGAGTCAACTCCCTGGCACTTCACCAGCGGCCCCCGGCGGATGCCGCCATGCCATCCATCATGGACCCCTCGGCCAATTCACCTGCTTCTGGCAAAAGCCAGCGCATCGAATATATCATCTGTTGGTGACCTCCCTAGTCTCCGTCACTTCGCGCAATGTATTGACCCCTATAAGCCTTCTCTCGTGATCTGCGGAAGATATCCCCAATTGAGATTGACGAAGCCGGATTGCGTGACTCCATAAACGAGATTCATAATCAAATCCGTGCCATCAGGTCCTACACACTACGATCTCCCGGCCCGCAGCGGTATGCACAACTAGACAGCGCCGGCCTTGAGCTCTGGAACTGGTGTACGCAGTTGAAACGCCAGTATGCCAGTGATGCGTCCCCCACAGCGATCAGATTCCTTGTCCTTGTCCGGGTTTTCTCTTTCCAAATATTTGCCCTAGCGCAATGGGGGGACAACAACACGGCGGGAGATCTGGTCCGCCTGCAAAGGCTGGCACTCAAAACCGGCAGATTCTGTATTGGTATGTAGCATTCTCGTCCCACCAGGCGTTGCAGTCTCGCTAACGTCTGCCAGCCAACAGTGAACTGGAGTTCGCGGATCTGGCGCTGCAGAAAGCCGCCGAATACAACGGGCTCTTGCAGAAACTGCAAGCCAAGCTACCCGCAGAGGAGTTGAGCGCATGCAAGCGGTCGGAGATAGAGTGTCTAACTCTTCGTATAGCGTTGGTAGGTCTAAATGGCCACATGCATCTCCCACACGACTAACCAGTGGCTAGGCTTGGAAAGACGGCAAGCTTGCTGTCGCTGATCATTTGTATGAGAATCTCGAGAAGTCACAGAAGATGCTGGATCCAACATCGGCAGAAACTCTTATCGGTTCTCTGCTCGAGATTGGGAAGGACCTCTCGGTGAAGAAGAACTTCGTCCTGGCCGTCAAATGGCTCGAGCGAGCATACGGCCTCATCAACCGCCAGGAGTTGGGCCAGTTGTCAAGAGACGCTGTCGAAATGCGACTGGCAATCTCACAAGCGCTGATCCAAGCGTACTTGAACACAGACACCGCCGACGGCTTTCAGAAGGCTGAAAACCACGTTGGCTACATCCAGAACGAGATGGGCGACAGCCTTGTTGTCCTCCTCCTTCGACTAGAGATCCTGCTGCATTCTCCCGGCGAAGTATTTGACAGTGACTCTTATGCCAGTGTTCTTCGACGCATGATCAGGACTGTTGACATCTCCGAATCTAGCTTCAAGTTGGTAGTGCATCATATAAGGAAGCTGGATGACAAAAGCCCAGGCCTCGCCTGCTCAGTCCTTGACGAGTTCATCACATCACGCATACTGCCAGCACAACGCGACGAGTGGGTTGACAAGGTTGTCATTTTGCGGAGCCACATGGCTGTGACGCATCGGGATACCAGTGAGGGTATCCAGGCACTTACAGCGATGTTCGATCAAGTTGAGACAACTACAGAGAAACCGCTCCCAGCTGCCACAGCACTCGGAGTTCAGATCGTAAGTCAAACTGTACGCCCATTGACATAAGCTGACAGTCTTTAGTTGGTGTGGAAGAAGGTAGATGCCAATTTCAACCAGGGCCAAGTGGACATTGCAGAGCTATGGTGTCGTCTACTCCTCCACCCTGTTCTGCAACAGTCTGGTCCCCTAAACACCGCCAAGATCTCCAGGTATGGACTAGCTCAATCGGTGTAGCCTCCGCTCATTCTAACTGCGATAGAAAACTATTGCTTTGTGCTCTCCAGAGAAATAATTTAAACGGCGCGGCAGAAGTTCTACACTCCATGAGCGACGCAGCGAGAAGAGACCCGATGACGATGTACCTAGCGTACAAGTTGGCTTTGATCAATGGTGACAGAGAAATGGTTCTCGACTCCCTCCACCATATCAGTGAAGCTTCATCGAAGGACCAACGATACCTGTACGCTTGTTGTACGGAGGCGCAGCGAGCAAACGACAAGTTGTGCCTTCTCAAAGCATTGCAACATCTGTACAAGAGGCACGACTACACCTCGATGGCTGTCACACATGTTCCTGCTCTCTTGCGCATGATCATACGGCTGGATGTAACGCTGCTAGCTGACAAGGAACAACATGAGATTGATCGACATACCCTTGTAGACGATATATGCGAGGTATTTGAATCAGGTCAGTCCTCTTTGTGCTGATTGTTCATTGGCTCATGTTGACACGGGCTGCAGTTGTCACGGCGCTGAAGAAAAGCCCTCGAGACGGGAATGACAACAAGCTCTTCACTGTCGATGAACTCGACTGGTTCAGCAAGAATGCATACAACCTTGGTCTCTCGAACTTGACTACCTGGGAAGCGCAGCATGTCGTCCGCATTCAAAAATGCTGCCTCGCAATCATCGCACAATACCCCCCAGACATTCCAGCCCAGGCGTCAAAGGATATTTCATTACGCGGCATGTTCTGCAACTTTCTTGCAGCGACAACGCTCATTGCCTTGGCGCGGTCCGAGGACAACGTTGAGTTACAGCTCCAAAGATATCTCAATATGCGCAACCATATCAAAGACTTTGATGCCGCGTTGGAAGCTGGCTTGAGAGGCCTGGACGAAGATATTGCACGAGACCTGCAGGCGAAGCTCTCAACGCTATTGGTATTCGACTTCGAAGGAGCTGTGTGCCTTAAGTCTTAGGACGACTTGATGGGTATTGTGCGCAAAGTCCGGGATTGTGGGAACCTTTCAGCTTTACAGGCAATGGCAGACTGTATTCTCCGAACTCAGTCTGCGCCCGCACAAGGTAGAATCCTGTTGGGTACGTGTCTGCTTTCAAACACTGATTGTATGGATTGTAGTTCTTTACAACACATTACGGAAGCTGATTAACTGCATCTGGGAGCTCGAACACTTTGACAATAAGAAGCTCGCAAAGTACATGAGATGCCTTTTGAAGGTCACTCTTCCCTTGGAGCCGAACCTTCCTTTGAAGGTCATCGAGGAAACCTGTGACATTGTCAAAGAGTCAGCAGGCGTACGTCACTTTATACAGGGAGGGTTGAGGCTCGTAAAGCGTTACTGACTGCTAGCAGAAACGGGAGTCCTTCCCATCGTTCGAGCTCGAGTGGTTGGCGACCACAGCGTTCAACCATGGTGTCGATCTTTACGGCATCAACGAAGACGAACTTAGCCAGAAATGGGTTGCTCATGCGTTCACTTTGGCTCATCACCATCAAGACGGTGGCGACCTTCAGAGACAGCTGCAGGAGGCGTATACGAAACTCCAGTGGGGACCTTGAGAGTCAGCAACGTGATAGTCTTCCAGCTCATGGATCGAAGAAGACTGTATCGTCCTGAGTGGTACCTGATCGCTCGAACGAACGACAGTGGCAGGTGCCATCCAAACGGGCACCCTTTTGCAGTATTCGACTTCTTCTACCGGTCTAAGCGCGGGGAATTTAATCAGCTTCCAATGGCTATATTCTCGCAGCCAGAGGCTAAAAACCATAGAAACCATGATGGTTCTCAGGTCAATAATAAAGTTCCTGTCGGATTCCAGGTCGCTTCATAGGGGTCTGGGCAGAACGCGGGAAAGACGCTGTATTGGAAGAGGTTCAGGACGGCTAGCTACAGTGGAAATCACACCTGAATACCCCCATGTGAACCTCCCAGTGTACCTGTTCCGAACCAATTGATTCCCAGGTGGGCAACCTGACCACATCCCAAATCCACGATTCCGACACGCCCTCTTGGTCAGTTCAGCAACCCACTCCAGAAGGCTCTGAGTCGCTCGAATCTGCAATAGAAGCCCGATCTTACAAGTAACAACATAGCTCAGGTACGCCGGCAGTCTCCCATCTATACTCGACATCACTCTTCGGGCACTTGTCTCTCCCTAGGTATATCGGAAATACCTCAGGACCTACGTCTCCTACGTCTCCTACATTTCACTAGCAGAGGAAGCATTTCATTTCCTTCTCGCTTTGCTACCCGCAGCTTGCTATCAACCGATTTCAATGGAAATCGTCAGCCAGGGCAAAGAAAGGGCGTGAGAACGAACATGGAAACCGCTCACTCAAATTCGGTGAGAAGCGGGCTTGCAGTGGCTAGTTTCTGGACCACTCGTGAGCGGGCGCAAATCTACTCTGCATAATATAGGAAGAGACATGTCGAAAGGTCATTGAATGCGAATTTCAGCTTGCGAGAAACCCAACTCATTCTATCTGCTTGAAATAACTTCTAGATTTAAGGTCTGACATCCTAGTTGCATAAGTTCAACGAAATTAATTGTGCCTCCATTCCCCAAACGTAGCTGACTTTGATTGGCAATGGACGGAGGTTCGCGCTGTCTTGTGTCATGACGTCTTCGATGCCACCGGCGCCATGCATCACCCTTCTGCAAGAACACAAAAGCCAGATTGTATGACCTCTTCCAAAACCAGCCGACATTATCTCTTGAAGCTCGTATTATTAAATCGCTACTAAAGACCTTTGAAAGCCCATAATTGCGAAAATGGTGAAAGGCAATCAGACCGTAATCGAGTGAGTTCTCGCTTGCAAAAAGATGGCGGGCGGAGCCACCTGGATGCGATGAGATGTGCTGACTGCCTGCCATCACCAGCCGCTAGGGAGTTCAACGACATCGTCAACATGTCGGCCTCGGACCTCGAGGCCTGGCTCAAGGAGAGCTCCTCCCAGGACGCGGGCTGGAGCAAGGGCGACGAGTCGGGCGAGACGATTGGGCATGAGAGGCACGCAAGCTGGCGGGCGGGCGGGGTTTTCCCCATTTCCCCCGTTTTCCTTCATGCTGCGTTCTAGTCGGATACTAGAGACGGCATGTCCTATTTTGTCATCTGTCATCTGTCATCTTCCATCTCAAGCAGTGTGGCGCCGGAGTTGAAGGAATTTGTCGAAGAAGCGATGAGATAGTCAGATGGCACACATAGCATAGCTGACCCGGCCTTGTGTATGTAACCAAAAGCGGCCGCAAGATCATCGAGATCCTCAAGAAGAACCCGGACAAGGACCCGTCGCTGTACGACCACGACGACATCGACCACATGCGCCGCGTGGTCGCGTACTGCAAGCGCCACCTCGCGCAGGAGGGCAAGGCCAAGCAGGGCCCAGAGAGCAAGAGCTCGCGGAGCCTGAAGAACTGGGGGCATGATCCGCAGAAGGCTTGAGTTGGGGGTGGGAGTCTGGGAGAGGGAAGGGCTGCCTCTTTTGGTTATGTGGATAGATACTGGGGATGGGACCGATGGGTGATTGGGGATGGGTGCAGTGGGCTTCTGGATCATGGCATTAGATGCGTTCCAAACGCGGATGGGATGTTGGCAATATATCAGTACTGCCAATAGAGGCTTCTGGTTTATCATGTGATCGGAGCCCCATTTGTTGATGGCCTGGGTGTTTGGCTGACTAGGTTCATCGCTAAGAAACCCAGAGATCTGTGGAAATGGGAGTAGCTGCAGTTCATACCTACCTAGTAAAAGGAGGGCAATCCATGGTATATGAACAGTCTGGTGCTCATCAAGTGTACGCACATACTAGAAGTGGGAGACCGGTTAAGCAGGACCTTCGGGTAAGGAGAAGTGAAATCATTATTCCATCTATTCTATCTATTTCGTTCTATGTTTCCCAAGCCTTCCTCGTGTGAGCGTCTCTCGATTCTATGCGTCGTAATTGTCCCTCTCTATCCAGCCAGAGGCCGCGCCATCCAGCTTACTATTCCGGCCTCGCGGTCTCCGTGCTCGCGTACATGACGACGGATCCCGAATGCGCGCTCAGCGGGCCGTTGATCTGGCACGTCAGCGGGGTGAACTTGCCCATTTGGATGCAGCTGAGGTACGCGCTGGGGTCGCTCGTGTCGCCCGGGTTCTGGTCGAGGTAGTGCGTCGCGTCCAGGCCGGGTCTACTGCTGGTCAGCGATGATGCCTTTATATTGCTTGCGTGTCTGGACAAGGGTGCTGCTTAAGAAAAGGGGCGAAGCTCATAGGGTAAGACGAGGCGGCGTCAAATCTCAACAGCACACGATCCTTTGTAATAGCAACAGAAAGGCAGCGGTAAAGGCAGAAGTACTCACCCAGCAACATCATCCCCAGTCGCCAAGTAGACCTCGACTCGGAAGTTCAAATCGCTAGTCCACCCCTTCTCAGGCAGCCGCCACTGCAGAGCCCCGTCCGCGCACGTCGCCCAGTCCGTCGGGCCCGGCGCGGTCGCCGGCCACTGCGTGCTGCAGGTCGTCGTCAGGCGCGTGGCGGCGTCTGCCGGCGACGGGTAGGTCACCGTGATGATGAGCGACGAGGTCAGGCTTGGACTCGTGCCGTAGGGCCCGCCCTCTGGCAGCGTGCCGCTCAGGGCCGTGATGTCGAATTCGGGGAGGTCCGTCGTCTGCCGCGTGGAGTGCGAGGTGGGCAGGGCGAGGGCCAGGGTGGCGGGGAGGAGGGAGGTGAGGAGGGCTGAGATGAGCATGTTGGCTGCTGGTTTGGGGGGAGATGGGAGTTGGTCTTGAGTAGAGTGACTGGCTTGGAGGGTGGAGAAGTGCTTGCTGGTGATGTTGTGTGTCGTAGCATAACAGAGTATGGGGGGATGCAGGCCACTATTTATGCCTCAGGACGAAGCCTGACGATCCAGCAACTTACCTCTCCACCTACCGATTCATATCCATAACCACGCCGAGTCCTAGACGCGTACACCCTCAAACCGGTGAAAGCGATAAGATTCAACCGCCATTTGTCAGCCCATCATCTCGCAGCGCAGCCCATGAGAACCGACTTCTCTCCGCGACCGCCGATGTCGACAGGTATAGTAAGGTCCACGTGCTCCGGTTCAGCTCCAGCCTCATAAGCAGCGGTCAGCCCAACAGGTTCTCTTCGACCACTAAGAGTCCGTTCCCTTCCAGCGGGCTCTCACAGGGCCATCAACAGTGGTGGGCGCTGCATTTCGGCCCTGTAACGTTGTACCGGCGTATATGAGCTCGAGAGCTATATGCCTGGACTCAGCGCCGTCAGTCTGGAAGGACACAAGACCAGGGTGAAGCGTGTTGCGCATTGTGCTGCGCAGGTCCAATACGAGAATAAGATTCTCGTGGACGGCCGATGGCGGCTGACCTCAGCACTACCCAGCTCTTTCACCTCAGCCTTGCATGGGCGCTTGGTAGACAGACCGGGCCCCGGGAGATCCTACTGGTTCAATAGTTTGAGGCGAGAACAGGATGGCGCCGAAAGAGAGAACGAAACTTGATCATACGGGTCAGCAAGCTGAGCATCCGCATTCGTCCCGGAATGGAATCAAGCTGCGCTTTCAGCAGCTTGTGTTCGCATTACCTACCCGCCGCCCGCCGTGCCCCGATATCTTTCCGGGCCCTGTCATGAAGCGACACATGACCAGCTGAGTCTTGCTGGCGAGGGTGACCAGCTGGAGCTTAAGGTACCTTTGGCACTGGACCGCAGCAAGAAGGTAGACTGCGCCAGATAGGTGCATCGCTGCCTACTGGGCTTCTTTCACAGCAAAAGTCCTTGCTCTGCCAACGATGCGAGCCTTTCGCTATATCCTTTCTCAACTCTCGTTGATACGCATCTCCTTTTTCGAGACCAGGAAGAAGCCGGGGCAAGTGGCGCCCGGCATAGCCTGTATATTCGTGGCCAGGGATCGTGAGAGCGTCAGAGACCACAGTGAGGACTCTTGCAGATGGCAAACGGTCGACATTTGAATGCGACGAAGAAGTGATGAATAATCTCTGCGTCCTTGCAACGACTTTGAAGCCTGGTCCTCCTAAGGATTGGCTGGGCGTGCCATGTGTAGGTAGGTAGAGGGTGATTTATGTGGGTCAAATGACATGCTGACGACTAAGAGGGCAGATAAATCGTATTTCTTGAGATCCTCATGAGTCGTCGCATATCATCACGATCTCGATGAGGGCGATGCAGATCGTGGGGTACGGAGGTAAGTCTCAGCTTCTCGCCTAACAACTCGAACGTCATCCATCGTAATGGGGAAACCTCTCACATTTCAATGTTGACAGTCCAGCACACAAACTGCATCTTCTCCAACTTCAGAATTGGTTGTCCGTAGACATTTACGGCAAGACGACAAGACGACAATACCTAGGCGACTTCAAGCAGCTCAGCAACCGCCTCCATGTCTTCATCTTCAATACACACCCTCAAAACATGGCGCTACGCGCCGTCCACCGACAGCTTCGAGCTGAAGGCCGTCGACCGCGCCCTGGGGCCCAGAGAAGTCCTCGTCAAAACCACGCACTCCGGTCTCTGCTACACCGACGTGCACGCCAAGACGAAGGGGTGTGGGCTGGGGCATGAGGGCGTCGGCCACATCGTCGCCATCGGGTCAGAAGTCACAGCTCACAGGGTGCGCACGAGGGTTGGCTGGGGGTAAGCAAAAGCCGCCAGACGCAGACTGAGCATCCATCAGGTGCCCGGACCGGGGGTCCCAAGTTGACATGTTTGTTACTCAGATGGCTGCACCATTCATGCGGCAACTGCCGTACCTGTGTCACTGGATACCACCAGTACTGCGCCCAGGCCCGGGGCTTCGCATACGGCGAGCTGGACCAGGGCGCGTTCGGCGACTACGCCATCTGGGACGAGACCTTCGTCTACGCCATCCCGGACAACATCCCCTCGGCGGCAGCCGGGCCGCTGATGTGCGCCGGCGCGTCGGTCTACGAGGCCCTCGTCGTCGCCGGCACGAAGCCGTCCGACCACGTCGGCGTGGTCGGCATCGGCGGTCTGGGCCACCTGGCGGTGCTCTTCGCTAAGGCAATGGGGTGCGGCGTCACGGCGCTCAGCAGCCACGAAGGTAAGAAGATGGACGCGTCCAGGCTGGGCGCCGACGTGTTCCGCAATGCGTCTTCGCCGGACCAGTCCTGGGAGACCCCCAGCATGAGTGTCCCGGGCTGCAGAGAGGCTGGGATCAACACCTTGCTCATCTGCACCAACGAGGTGCCTCCCCTCGAGCCACTACTACCACTGCTAGCCCCCCAAGCGACGATTATCCCCATGACTATACAGACGACGCCGATAAGCATTCCTTTCTTACCTTTCATCCTCCCAGGCCACAGAATCGTAGCATCAACGGAGGCGTCGAAACAGAACCACATTGATATGCTGCAGTTCGCCTCCAGGCATAGAATCATGCCCGCGATCGAAGAGTTTCCTATGAATAACGTGGGTCTAAGGGAGGCGTTCCGGAAGCTGGAGGCGGGCAATATGCGGTATAGGGGCGTACTGGTGCAAAAAGGAAGTAGTAAAACTTGAATTGCTTAAGACTCGAGGCATAGATTGTGAGGTCATAGATATTCGATTCCACTTGATGATGACAATAGAGCGTCTGCTTCTGTGCCTTGTTGGATTCTGCGTCTTTCTCCCCAATCACCCAACTGTTACTAGTAGCACCTAGTGAGTGTCCGCATGTTCGTCCTCCTTCTCGGGCTCTTCAAACCAATCCTGCTCAACCGCCATTCCGCTGCCCTCGGCCGCTTGACCCTCAACCTCCCGCACCTGTTGCTCGTATGCCTGCAGGTCACTTGCAATGTCGGCTTCCTCGGGTGACTGTGGTGGCTTGGGCATGCTGAACTGTTGGACGTGCCCAATGATATGGACTGGTATCGTGACCAGCGCCGAGGTGTCACACCCGTGGGACCGGGAGCGCGGCCATCCCTCCACGCCAATTCGTGACTTACCTACTGCTTTAGGATCACCTCGCACTTATGCCCTGCTGGCGAGATGATGAAGTAGTTTTCCATCTCCATGCATGCCGCCGTCGCAGATGGGGCCAGGCGAGCACCCCTGCACACGCGGAAAAACTCGGCCGCGCTGAGTCGAAGTTCCATATAGGCCAAGTGTACGCCGAGACAGCTACCTGTAGGCTCATCTCATCAGATCCAAGATCCAACCGCAGATGCTTGATAGCACGCGACACTTACGACTACCTCCACCAAATGGCGAAAAGGCATGCTTGCCAGCCTCGCTCAGCCGGTACTTGTCATCTGCGCTCGTTGATGCCAGCCAGCGGGATACGTTGAACCTGAACTACTCATTAGCGGACGCCGTACTGGTCTCCTTTCCGACAACATGCCACTTACTCCTCCGGCTCCGGATATAGATTGGGGTCTCGGTGAAGACAGTAGCTATGGGTGGTTGCCGTTGTCCCGTCTGGCAGGAAGTGACCGTCTAGATCGATACCGCCTGAGGGCACCATACGAGGTAACATGCCTGGAGCGGCACCGTATAAGCGCAACCTGCATGTTGGTAAGCTTCATTCTGGCTGATTGATGCCTGGCTGAGAGGCATACGTCTCTTCGATCACAGCACTCAACAACGGCAAGGCCTCCAAGTCAGCATCTCTGTATCCCTCCGGCAGCGCAGCAACCTCGTCTTCCAGCTGCTGCTGCAGTCGCGGCCTGGAAAGCACGGCATATATCAGGTATGTGAGGCTAAAGGCCGTGGTGTCCGTGCCCGCAACGATCAAACCCATAGCCTCTAGCTCGACGTCCCGGTCGTCGAGCCGCTCGCCCTTCTCGGCTTCGGCCATGATGTTCGCAAAGATGTTCCTGCTGCTACTGCCGCTCGCCTTCATGTTTTTGACTGCAGTCTTCCCGTACGCATCGAGGAACTCGTTGCCGCCAAAGAACTCCTGCGCGGCTTGGAAGGGCAGCATCTTACCAACCTGCCTCACCACGGGCAACTCGGCACCAATACCGGCTCCTTTGAGCACGTTGGCGAGTACGCGCATGTAATCGCTCACCTCGCCGCGCTCGAGAGTGTGGAAACACTCCCCGAACATCAGCTTGGATGAGACATCGGACGCCATGAACGTCCACCACTTCATCACATCGACAATGCATCCTCCCATCGTCGACGCTGCTTCCTTCCGCATCGAGGACACCGCAAGCTCGATCCTCTCACGCACGGCAGGCTCCCAGTGCTCGCGGATATGCGTCTTACTGAACGGGCGAGCGAAAAGCTTCCGTCTCGCTGCATGCCGCTTCGGATCCGTCATGGAAAAGACACCGGGCCGGTCGGTGAGGACCATGTCTTGGTACCACGGGCTCTTGGTGAAGCCGTTGCCGATGCCGTGGATCTGTCTGAAGCCCTGTATGGAGTTGACGGCCACCTCGTCAGGCGCGATGCGCACGTAGGGCCCGTACTTCAGATGCAGGGTGTGGACAAAGTGGACTCGGCGTCCTGTTATGACGGATAGTTTGAGCGGCAGGTTCGTAAAGAGTGCATAGAGAGGACCGGGGACTTTGTTCAGGGGGTTGCGGACGCCGTTGAGGATGGTTCGAGCGAGGGCTATGCTGGCGTAGAGCAGGAGGCCGAAGAGTGCGTAAGCCGCCGGCGAGAAAGCCATGTTTTCGCAGACACGGGTTATACTCAAGAGATGGTTGGTGACCTGCGAAAATTGTGGCATTCAGGCATTCACTGAATTGCTGAAAGTGTTATCTTTATTCCTTATGGACTGCGGGGTGACTTATGACGCGGAGCAAGTGGAGACCATCTCGGACCCCCGGCTGATAATCCAACCAGAGATGAAGTCGTGAATGCCGAAGGACCTCAGCATATGTGACGCAGGTTGGTAAGGTAGCAGCGAACGCGTAGGGAGCCTTGTCGTGGTGGCACCTGCAGTCAGTCAAGTAGCCATACACGACGATCCGTCATCAACTGCGTTCAGGGAATACTGGAGAAACCTGGTCACTGACTCAAATGCAACTATGCTATCCCGCTTGTATGAAATATCAGATTGCCACTTGCAGCTGCGTTTTGATTGAACGTGCCTATTGTGAGCTTGACGAGTCCTTCTGCCCCTCAGCCAGAAATATTGGAGCATATATTCAGGTCTTGTGTTAGCCTCCAGAGAACCCGAGGGGACTTCGGATATCTCGGGTATCAAAGACTCGTCGTCTGCGACTTCATCACCCAGTTTCTGTCCCCCCTTTCACCATCGCAGCCACCGTCTCCTCCACCGGCGTCGCCGTCACCCCCACGCTCCCCAACAGCCTCTCCAAAGTCGGGTCATCGATCAAACACTCACCCTCCTCCATCGCCTCGTACGTGCTAGCCCACCACTCCACCGCCGCCCTGTCCAGCCCGCGCTCCTGCACATAATACCGCTCATGCTCCTTCCTGCCCACGACCTCGACCCTGACCTCCCTCCCCCTCGCCCGTCCAACCATCGCCGCGATCTCCTTCATGCTCCGCGCAGTCCGCGGTCGCGTCGAGAGGTAAAACGTCCTCCCCCTGTACACGTCGTCCTCCCCCGACGCCGCCAGGACAACCGCGCTCGCGATGCCCAGGTCCTTAATCGCCGTCCAGCAGATGCGCCCATCACCTGCGAGCGGCACAACGGCGCGATCATCATCCCTGCCGCTCGGCGCAAAGTAGCCGAGGTACAAAGGCCAGGACTCGTTGTACAGCCCCTCGCGCAAGACGGTGACGCCGAGGCCGTGCTTGACGCTGCATTCGCGGAGGTACGCCTCGGTGCGCAGGTGGGCGCGCATGACGCCTGCTTTGCTGTGGTTGGTCGTGCCTTTCGTGACGCCCTCTTCCTCCTCTGCGTCTATCCCATCCTCCTCATCGCCTCCTCCTTTAACCCTCGCCCTCTTCCCATCAAATCCAAAAGCCAAACTCGAATAATACACCCGTCCCACGCCCGCCATGACCGCCGCATCAATAGCCACTTTATGATGCATCTCGCGCCCGCCCGCCTTCGCATCGTCGAAATCCAGCGCGACGCGCGGCGTCGACACTAGAAACAGGCGATCCACGCCTCGCAGCGCCTCCGCGAAGGATTCGACCGGCTCGTCGTAGCTGGCGTGCCGCACCTGGACGCCGCGGGCGGCGCTCGCGAGCGCGGTCCATGTGGCTGAGGAGGGGTGCGACGAGGTCAGGGCGATCATGGATGCAGGCGGGGCGAGGGAGTGTGATAGCAGCGCCGAGAACGTGGCGCCGCCTAGTTTGCCTGAGGCGCCGGTGATGGCTATGGTTGGGGGAGCCATGGTTTGCGTGATGCCTCTGTTTGGCGGTGTTGATGGTGATAATGGTAGTGGTTGTGATTTGGTGGATGACGATGCAATATTAGGCCGGAACTTGGATTGTTGTCTGCGGGTGGTCTTCCCACTCAGATGCAATCTAGCCCAGGCACCGTGTCACAGGTGATCTGGTCGTCGATACCTGCTGTTTTTGACGGTACTTGTGTCAATTTGCCTCCGTGAAGTGGTGGGATGGCGAGGAAAGTCCGACGGTGGTGCAAACGTCATCAGAAGCCGATCATTTGCCCGGCAGCTCGATGTGGGCCCCTTCAGAATCACATTCTCTGGGAAATATTATCCAGATTGAACATGAGTCTTGCAAATCGGCATGAGGCTCTAAATTCGCACTTTGACGAGCAATTAAGTGCGGTGGCTGCCGTATTGGGTACACCGAACGCTCATAAGTCTTCGTACAGCCCTCTTATGAATGTCTTGCTCATTCAGGGATATTCTACTATCTGTGGAAACCACTCTAGAGTAAGCGTTGTGCATAACTTATAAGAATGTAACTGCATATTATAGGGTGCTCACTCTACTGTCTGTATGTTGTCAAGGAAAGGAATCTCAACTGTGCGGAAGGAGACTCAGGGGGTGACTGTACATAAGCTCACTGCGTTGTAGTATGTATTGGTGTCGACGTAGGCACCCAGACGCTGACCCGGGCTGTGGTCCCAGGTCTGTTGCTTTTAAAGACTTCAATCCTCATGGAGTGCCTGCATGTTTCTGCCCAGTTCACTTAGGAGAGACAGCTAATCATTTCATCTCGAGACATCTGAAAAACGATCGAATACTTGCATTCAACGCCCGTTTGGTATGTATAAACCTATCAATGCCCAACAACTCAAAATCGTCAATTTCAAACCTCGTAGCCCTTCACGCCCCTATATAGCAATGAAGAAACTCTTCTCGCCCTCCTTGGGCAGGACCCTGGCGCGCTCCATGATGGGGTCCACGCACGACAGCCTGATCCTCTCGGGCGTGGCCGGGCTCTCCAGCTTCAGCAGGCCGTCGTCCTCACCCCCTTCGCCGCCGACCTTGGCCTCGACGCCGTAGTCGGCGCGCGCGGCCTTGAGCGCGTCCCGGATGGCGAAGAAGACGGCGCTGCCCATGAACAGGGGCGGTTCGCCGACGCCCCTGCTGCGCTGGATGGTGCGCAGGTTCTCCCACGTCACGCCCTTCAGCAGACTGACGTTGAACTTCTGGGGTATGTCGCGGAACCCGGGAATCTTGTAGGTGCCTGGCCCCTTGGTGAACAGGTTCCCGGCCATGGGACCGTTGCGGAGCCACAGGCTCTCTTCCATGGTGAAGAGGCCCAAGCCTTGGACGAAGGCGCCCTCAATCTGGCCGTAGTCGATGGATGGGTTGATTGAGCGACCGACGTCCATCTTTATATCGGCACGCAGACAAGACCACGTACCGGTCAGGCAATCGACCTCGACCTCGGCGGCCGTGACACCTTGCGTGAAGTAAAAGAACATCTTGCCGACGTTTTCGCCCCACGTGTAACCAATCTCAGGGGTCTTGTAGAAGCCATTGGCGCTCAAGTTCACACGGTCGAAGTAAGCCGCATGAGCGAGCTCCTTCATGGTCGCTTTTGGACCGAGCTTTTCCCTGTAGGAGGCGAGACGAGCATTGATCTGCTCGCAAGCATTCCACACAGCATAGCCGTTGAGATCAGAAGATGCCGATGCGGCCGTGGCCGACGTATTTGCGACTGTGTTCGTCGATGTGTCCGAGATATAGACGTCATCCATTGGTACCTGAAGTGCTTGAGCGGCAAGGGTGATCATCTTGGTGTGCAGGCCCTGGCCCATTTCTGTGCCGCCATGTGCGACAAGGACCGAGCCATCATGGTAAACATGTACCAGAGCACCAGCCTGGTTGAACCAGAGCGCCGTGAACGATATGCCAAACTTGGTCGGAATTATAGCCAGTCCCCGTTTACGCCATTTGTGTGAGGCGTTGAACTCTCCAATGGCCTTCCGGCGGCCAGCATAATCCGATTCTTCTTGGACTTGCTTGTACATGAGCGGTACATGCCAGTCCTCAAGCGCTTGGTTGAAATGGGTCGTGTCGTCAGCCTTGTAGAAGTTGATCTCGCGCAGCTCTTCAACCGGCATGCCGAGGCGGTCGGCAACCTCTGACATGTACGATTCGGCGATGAACATGCCTTGTGGTCCGCCAAAGCCGCGGAAGGCTGTGTTCGACATGGTATTCGTCTTGCAAAGACGGCCTCGTATGTGGACATTAGGAATCTTGTAACAGTTGTCGATATGGGTCATGGCGCGCTCGCAGACCGCTGCACTCAGATCAAACGACCAACCAGCATTGTTGAAGACATCTACATCGAGGGCTTGGAGTTTGCCATCTTTATTGACGCCGACTTTCCATTTGCCCATGAATGGATGACGCTGTCCAGACATGACCATGTCCTCGTCTCGGTTGAGCATGCACCTCACTGGACGCTTGGTCTTTTGAGCAGCCAGTGCCATTATCGTACTGAGTTGAACACATCTGGTTTCCTTGCCGCCGAAGCCGCCACCCAGCCGTTTGACGCGAGCGACTACTTTATTGGCCTGCACGCCCAAAATCTTCGAGGCATACACTTGGCTACACCATGGTTAGTCTACCAACATTACTTTTCCTTTGGGACATGCATACCTCTCTGTGGGATTCTGGCTACTGGTCCATATCTCCATCTCACCGTCCTCGGGCTTGGGGATCACGAAGCAGGCATTCGTCTCGAGGTAGAAGTGTTCTTGGCCACCCATGCGAGCCACCCCACTGAATGTGTAGTCGGAGTTCTTAAAGGCCTCCTCTGTGTCGCCCTTCTTGATGTACCTGTAGTACTTGTGGAAACTCTCTTTCTCAATTGCCTCTTCCATAGTAAATATAGCGGGAAGGTCTTCGTATTCGATATGCACTGCTCGGACTCCCTCTACTGATTTTGCTTTGGTGGTGGCCAAGACTACCGCGATTGGCTGTCCGGCAGTGAAGACCTCATCCTCGGCGAAGAAGGTGTCGTCGAAGTGTGGCGCTCCCCATTTGTTGTCTTCTGGATGGTGCAAATCGTTCTTGTCGACAACGTCAACGACACCAGGAATCTCCAGAGCTGCAGTGTAGTCCATTGACTTGATTTTGGCGTGGGCCCTCGATGAGAAAAGGATGGAAGCATGAAGCTCGTTCTTCAGTGGTGGGATATCGTCAGTGTACTGTGCCTCTCCAGTCACTTGCTTCAAAGCAGCCACATGGTTGCCAGCCTTCCCAAGAGTCTCCTTGGCATAGTCGACCGTTGCCTCTTCGTCCTTCCAGCCGGTTGATAAGACTCTCTCAAGTTCCTCGACAGCCTGACTGTCGCCGTGCTGGCTTTCTGTGTTCATCCCAGACAGAACCTCCTGATAGAACCGATAGAAGAAGCTGAGGGCCAGGGCTTTCCGGTATGATGCCATGCCACCGGGCACGCTGAAAACGAGATCGAAGTCTGATCCTAGGGCGTTCATCGCGCCCTCGAGAGTTTCTGGATGAGCAAACATCTTCCCCTTGAGGTATTCATTGGCCTTCTTTGCCGCAACTGTGAAAGGTGCCATTCCACCATAGACAAGGTTGCAATGCGCGACAGTGCCCTTTTCGTCCACGCGAACATGAAGCGCGCCAGTAACGATTGCGATGTCGTCATCCTTCCTCTTCGCTTGCTTATAGGCTCTAAAGTAGTCTCCCTTTTCACTCGTTACCGGGATACGGATGGATGCGATGATAGCGTCCTGCTCCAAAGCGGTCCTGCGGTAGCCCTTGAAAAATGTCGCCATGGGTATCTCAGTTTCCTTCTCGTGGGACTTGGCGACCAAAACGCAGTCTGCGGCCATGAAGACAGGATTCAAGTCAGAGATAGGCGACGCCGTGGCTAGATTGCCAGCTGGAGTTCCGACGTTTCGAATCTGTCTTCCAGCGAAGTATTTCAGTTGCTTGTACATGGCTTGGAACACTTGGCCTTTTGCTTCGCCATAGTGTTTGACAGCCTCTTGGCAGATGTTTTCGAGGTCGGTGAGGATAACGTTTCCGCCGATCTCGATATGGTCATCCTTGAAGGTGTAGCGGCGCAACTCTGGTATGTCGCCGACGAAGACGGATACTGGATATTGCACCGCCTTGAACTTGATCTCAATTTGGGTCTCTGTGCTTCCGCCGATAATCTTGGCATTGGGATAAATGCTCTTGATCTCCAACAGCTGATTCAAGGTCACCGGGCGATACCACCTCTTCCTCTTGTTTCCAAAAGCCAAGGGCTTGAACTCATGCTTCTTCAGGGTTGGTGGAAAGATAAGCTCAGTATCGGGATTGTATTCGATGAACCCCGGCGGTGTAAATCTCTTGATTGGTTGGCCGTCGTCCAGGCTCTTACTCTTGCAGCACCCGCCGTCTGCCCCGTTTCCGTTCTCCATGCAGCAGCCAGAACCCCCGTTGCTCGCGCTCTTCCCGCATGCGCTCTTCACACTGAAAGTTTGGGCAGCATCCAGGATGGGCCGGTATCCAGTACAGCGGCAGAGGTTGCCGTCGAACGCTTCCTCAATATCATGCTCGTTGGGGCCTTCGTTATTCCTGAGCAGCGCGTACAGGCTCATGACAATGCCCGGCGTGCAGAAGCCACATTGGCTTCCATTGCTCTTGGCTATCCGCTCTTGTGTTGGATGGGGCTTCTTCACGTCGCCTATCCCTTCGATCGTTATGACATGTTTGCCGTCGACGCTCGCTAGGGGTGCCAGGCAGGCGTTTACGCTGGCGTGATATATCTGCTTGGTGGTCGGGTTATATTGGCTGACGACGACTGTGCAGGCTCCGCAGCCACCTTCGGCGCAACCACTATATAGCAAGCGCATTCGTCAGCACTACCATACCGTATATACGACTTTTTTTTACAGACTACTCATTCAACTTACAGCTTCGTTCCCGTCAAGCCGATGCCCCGGAGGTACTCTAACAGGGTGACTTCTGGATCGACCTCGTCTAGTACCACTCGAGTGCCGTTGAGGTAGAAACGGAGGGTGTCATCGTAGGTGGCTGTCAAGGCAGAGACAGGAAGACCGGTGTCCCTCTCGGGAGAGATGGCGATAGGAGCCATTCGTGTTAATACAGCTACGTAGCTCCAGTTCCGAAGGTGCTATAAAGTGGAAGAAGTCAAGAGTCTAAGTCTCAGAAGCAGAGGGGGGGTTGAGTATGTCGGTGGCGGTCGCGTGACTGACCCAACGTATTGTTGTCAATGTAGGAACAGCGTGGACGTCAATTCATTGAGCAAGATCAATATGAAGAGGTGTTTGTCATTCACCAGAGAAGTTTGCTGTGAGACGTGGTCACGGATCAGGATCTACCTACAACAGAGCACTCGAGTGGCGACAGAAGATCGAGGCCTTCAGTCGCCCGGTCCCGATCTCTAGTTCGGCTGAGTACTTACTAGGCAAGGTTACTGATAGGTTATAGATATCAAGTAAAGAGAAAAGAGCGAATCATAGGTGAGGCATATCGAGTTACGTATGTAGGTTCTCTAACCTAAAATAGTTGCCAGCGAGCCGGGCGGGCAAGTGTCTCATTCATTATCAACGTCGAAGTCCACGCAGCCCACGGACTGGCTGGCGGGGTCGCAGGGTCGCAGGGTCGCAGGGTTGCAGATAATCTCAAGCTGTGACCCGCTGACGGCCGAAATCCCCCACCAGCCACCCTGGAAGACCACTGAAGGGGCCCCCTGTCCGAACTATGACTGGCGAGTCTCGTCGGGCGGCTCCGGTTCTTCAGCATCGGCTTCTGGGAAACGTGGGGCTTGGCCCATCCCGAGGTCCGATGGTCTTCAGTGTTCACTCCTCCAAACCCGTGGGCCATAGTGAGATTTCCGGACATTGAAGCACAACATCAACTATCGTCACATCTAGTGTCGTGGATGTTACCAACGCTGCTTCAGCTCGAGCTGCATGCTTATATGCTTCCTTCTCCTTTTATTCCCAATTTTTTTTTTACGACGCCTGTCTCGAGCTTGCAGATGCGCCCCATCATGATCTGACCGTGTTCTGCAGTCACATTCGATCGAGTCAAAATCCATTGACGACCGCTGAAACTCCAGACTTGTACTTCACGCACAAGTATTTTTCTCTACTTCATCAAGTAGAAGGTTGATGTGGGATATTGTTCCACCGTTGGCCTTTGGTGAGACGCATAAATGCAGACTTGGGATTTGTAAAGTCCGTCGCTTTTCAACAACGTCATGTCTGGCACCAGCATACATCATATATCGCTTGGAACGTCCCGTCCCATCTAAGTACGAGCCGAAATCAGCCATGATTCATTCCAGGCTATAGTCCAGATTGTCGGCAGTTCAGTCCTACCTTGCCGACCCCTCATCGTGGCAAAACACCGGTAGGTAGGTTGCAGTCACGGCTGTTTGAGACAACTCTCAACCTCTTTCACGAGACTTTCTTCTTATTGTTCGTCTTTGTTCTTATCGTCAGAAGGTTGTGTGTAAACCCAACCGTCATCCACAATGCCTTTTGCTGCGCCAACCGGAGATGCGGGCTTGGAGTTCTTCAACATTATTGACGGCAAGCCCCGTACTGCCAAGGACTTTGATCAAGTCGTCGATCCTCGCACGGAGGAACCGCTCTGGAACGTCCCGGTCGCAACGGCTCAGGACCTCGACGATGCTGTTGCGTTGGCGGCGCGTGCCTTCAAGACGTGGGGAAAGACCACCATAGCTGAGCGTCAGAAAATCATCCAGGATGTAGCAGATTGCATTCACCAGAACCGGGAGATCCTGGCGATAGCTCAGATGAAGGAAACGGGCAAGTCTTGGGCCATGGCGAACGTCGACGTTGATAGGGCCGCCGGCCATTTTGAGTATTACAGTACGTTGTATCACATTGCCGGCTGGGGAGGATAGCTGACAGAGCTTTCCAGCGGGTGTCTCGCTCGAGGACGAGATTCAGTACGAAGACGACGAGGTTACCATCCTCGCAACTCAGGTCCCAGTAGGCGTCCTCGGCGCAATCTCACCGTGGAACTTCCCCATGCTTCTCAGCAGTGTCAAGATCGTCAGTGCTCTAGCTACGGGCAACTGCGTCATCATCAAGCCATCCCCCTTTACGTCATACTCGCTGCTGAAGCTGTGCGAGCTCGTCCAGCCGATCCTCCCGCCAGGTGTCGTCTAGGCACTCAACGGTGGCGCCGATCTCGGCGAGAAGATGGTTCTGCATCCTGGGATACAGCACATCAGCTTCACGGGCACCATTGCTGTCGGCCAGCGAATCTTTCAGAACTGTGCCAAGACCTTGAAGAAGGTCGTCCTAGAACTGGCGGGCAACAACGCCTGCATCATCTGCGAAGACGTCGACCTGGCCAAAGTCGTGCCCAGTGTTGCGGCTGGGTGCTTCTTCCACGCGGGCCAGGTCTGCGTGGCCTCGAAGCGCATATATGTCCATGAGTCGTTGTACGACCGCTTTCTGGACATGTTCATTGAAGAGTCCAGGAAATATGCGATCAGCGACGATGAGTCTAACCTCTTCTCGCCCCTGTCCAACAAGGTCAACTTCGAAAGGGCTAAGAGTTTCCTTGAGGATTGAAAGACGAACAACTACAAGATAGTCGCTGGTGGAGAGGTTCAGTCTGGCAAGAAGGCGTATCGGATCGCGCCGACCATCGTATCGAAGCCGCCTGAAGACTCTCTGTTGGTGCGAGAGGAGCAGTTCAGTAAGTCTACCATTCACTGATAGCGCGTTCGAAGTCAGTGTATCGTGACTTACTGATCACCACGTCCTCTTAGGCCCCATTGCGCCCATCATGTCGTGGACTGATGAAGCGGCCGTCATCGCCCGTTCCAATCTCGACAATGCTGGCCTCGGCGCATCCGTCTACACACCCGATATCAATCGCGCCCAAAAGATCGCGCGATCACTCGAGTGTGGATCCGTCTGGATCAACCGATTCGAAAGGCCCCATCACGGTGCATATTTCGGTGGATGGAAGATGAGCGGTTACGGCGGAGAGATGGGTAGGCAGGGTCTGTACAATTACTGCCAGACGCAAAGCTTGCATATTCATGAGTAGAATACATAGCCACTTACGAGACCGGCCTAGGTACTTGCCACATGCAGTGCGACCACATGGGTGCTCGTGTGCTTGGGCCTGGCTTTTCGCAAGCCTCTCAAGCGGCTGAGTATATGGAAGCGAAGTGGTCACCTGCACAGCCGAAGGCCAGTCATTGCATGACTGGCAAAGTATGAATTCATAAGTCTGGCCTCGACAAGCGTATCTTCCTCAACTTCCTCCCGCATTGTAGCGTAAGTTGCAAGCCACGTTCCGACCATGTCGTTCTCTCCAACGTTCGGGGACTTTGGCGACTTCATCTCCATCAGCCTTCTAATCAACGACCTCATCCGAGCGCTTAGTGACAGTCGAGGCTCAACTGCCGAGTACCAGACCTTGGCGCAGGAACTTTGCCTGCTGAACACAGCGCTACTGCAGGTAGATCAGCTCTAGGGACAGCTTCCCCAGATGCCCGAACTACAGGCGCTCCGAGACCTTAGTCTTAAGACAGCGCAAGAATGCCGCAACCAGATCCAAACCTTCTCGGCGAAGATCAACAAGTATGAGACCACTCTGGGCTCTGGTTCCGGCGGGAGCGCTGTGAAGACCGCGGCAAGGAAAATCCAGTGGTTGACAGAGAAAAGCGACGTCAGTCGGTTTAGAGCTGAGATTATGGGACAGAGGAACGCGATCAGCTTGCTCCTAGCTACCACCTCCATGTATAGCCACCCGTAACGGAACAAGTCGGTTAGGTGCTAATGCAATATGCAGGAAGCTGCTGCAGCAACACCACGAAGATGTTACGAAACACAACGAATATGTTTCGAAACGGTTAGATCGTGTGGACAGACGAATTGACGTGGTGGACAACAAAGTGTCTTCTCTGGGGACACATGTCACAGGCTACCTTGACTCCATCAAAACGATGGGCGTCAAGCTGACTCACTATATGATGTTGATCATGCATGGCAACGTACGGATCTACAGTCAGATGCTGGCCTGGAGGACTACACAAGCTACGGGGCTCGCGCGGCCACCCAGCGAGGAGTTCTTCGTGCTGATCGACGCCGTCGGCCGAGAAGCACCTGTCCATCTCCGCTTGATAAACTCTTGGGAGGCGTTGAATTGGGTGTTGCTAGCACGGTTCAAAGATTGGAAAGGCGCCAAAAGAGTTGCACATGGTCGCTATGCGCTACAAGACCATACAATGAGCAGAGATATAAAGAGGTCCATGGACTTCGAGGCGGCATCCCTACCAGGGCAGACTGTCGCCATGAGCATCGAGTGCAAGAGAAACGGAACCAGCGAGATTCGGACCTCGAAGTGTCCTAAATGTGGCAGCCCGTAAGAGAAAGCCGGCGCCCACGAGTTACAGTGGTAAGTGCGAAGGTGGCCAGACCTGCATGAGTAAACTATCCCACACGGCGGTACATGCTGAACATCCTCTTAGCCTGTCATGCCGCTTCTGTTTCACTCAGATACCCGCACCCTTGAATGTTCCAACCAACGCCCCGTACCAACGGAACTCAAGTCCGAAGGGCCAGAACAACGGCAAAGGCAGAACAGTCATCATCAGTGTAAGCCAAGACACGGACAGTTCCGACGAGGAGGACCTTGTTCCCTTCAAGCGAGTCCGCCTCATCGAGGCCATGCTACCTACCACCCTCGACCTATGGCTGAGCAATAAGCCTGCCAAGTCAAGAAAGACGGCCAGGCTAACTGGCTCCATGGAACGATGGTTACAAGCAAACGATGACCCTTTGACCATCGCAGGGCTGAAATATGGCCAATATAACCCTAGAGCCAAGTCAAGAGAGACGACCACGCTTGATCAACAGCCACGGCCTGATAATGCGAGTGATACATCAGAATGGTCTGAGTGGGAAGATTTTGATGAGGAGGACCGTGAACCACCTCCCTTCAACTTTGACATGGTCCCCTATGACTGATGGAACTCGGCCGAGTGATGGCGCCATGGGTGGTGTGAAGAATGAGCCAAGCGAGCTATTAGGTATTATCGAAAACACGTTCTTAGGTATCGAAAAGTAGGAAGTGTATCTATCAGAGAACAGTTGACGTCTGCCTTCCCGTCTGAATCTTGGCATCCAGTTGATCCTTCATGCTCTCACCAAGGCCGTACACTCCCACATTCGGCAACTACTATCCGGAAAGATACTCAACGCCGGGATGTTTACTGTCTCGGCCGGCCACGCGCTGGGCAGACCAATGCCATAGTCTGCCGCAATCACACGTACGCACTTTTTCTCCCCTTTTTTGCACTAACCCAAATGTGCAGAATACCAGCTCGCGTGAATGTCGATCACATCCCTTTGTATAGTAAATCTATAGTGGCTACCATACCTGGGCATTGGAAGTAGCCGAAGCTTGCAGCACTGTCTTGATTCAAGAGCAGGCCGCGCCAAGGTGGTAGTAGCAGCGGCTTTCACCCTTACTTACGACGGAGACCTGGGCAGCTTAACCTCGTAGGGAGCTCACATGAAGATCTAGTCTATTAATCGTTTGATTCTTCTGTCATTAGTGTTGTCGAGGTTGGCCATACCGTCGCTTCATGACTCAATATACTTCTTGAGACCTCTAAGCCGCTCCTTCGCCGTCTCTAGGACCTCGTCCTCCTTGCACACCGCAAAACGCATGTAGTCCTCGGCTATATACGAGTTCGGATCGGTGTAGAACTCGGTAGGAGGAATAGCAGCAACGCCGACCTCCTGGATCAGGAACCACGAAAGTTTAAAGTCTCGTGGCCGGTTGGCCACATGTGGCGGAAAGGGGTAGTCCTCGGGTAGCTTCACCTTCTTCATGTTCACCATGACGAAGTAGCCGCCTTCCGGGTCGGTGTACGGTAAGCCCAGCTCCTCCCAGACCTCGTTGAACCGCTTCATTTTGCCTTGCATGTCCTTGACCGTCTCATCCCAGAAACCTTCGGCCTCGGCTTGCTCGAAGCCTAGAGCTTGTTAGACAAGTCTGAAGTCATCATTACTTTGTGGAGTGACTCACCAACGGCACAAGCCTCCTGTAGGGGCGATACGGATGAGTAACAGATTCGTGTGTGAGCTGCAGAGACGTATTGAACCAGTTGGGGTGGACCCATTACCCAGCCTTGGATATGGTCAGCCATCTCTTCAAGTTGATTTTGCGTTCTTCGACTCACCCACACGCCAACCAGTGGCGTAGAAATTCTTGCCAGCTGAGCCAACCGTGAGAGTCAATCGCTCAATCTCAGGTGACAGGATCGCGATCCTCGTGAAAGGTACGTAATAGAGACGGTCGTAGACTTCGTCTGAAAGAATGATGATCTCATTCTTGACGCACATGTCTCCTATTTGCTGTAGCTCTTCCTTGGAGAAGACCTTTCCAACCGGATTGTCTAGAACCACTACTTAGTACTTAGCCAAATAGGGGCAGGTTCAAAAACCACTTACGAGGCGTATTGATGACGATCATCTTCGTCTTCGGGGTAATGGCCTTCTGGAGTTCATCAAAGTCAACGGTCCACTCTGCAGACGAGGAAGTCCGCGTCGCTCCGTCTTTCGGCGGGTGCAACGGCACGTAGACGATCTTGCCACCGGGCATCTCGATGTTGCTGATATACCTGATCTTCTCATCAGTACGCGGGCATAACCTCGCATGGAGTTGGATGCGACTCACTGATCAAAGAAGGGCTCGAAGATGATGACTTCATCGCCGGGCTCAATGAACGCCATGAAGGCACTGAGCATGCCTTCATTTGCTCCTGTGGTGATAGTCACTTCCGTGTCCGGGTTCAACGTTCTACCCCAGTACGGCGAGTAGGCGTCGGAGATGGCCTGCTTCAGCCGAGGTCTGCCCTTTGTAGGGCTGTACTGATTGCATTCCACCCGGTCCAGCGCCGCCTTGGCCGCGTTGATGATGAACGGCGGAGGGTTGTAGCCGAAAAACCCCTGGCCCATGTTCACGATGGGCTGCTTCGGCGAGGCTGCCGCGGCTTCATTGACGATGGACCTTGTACTGTGGTCAGCAAACCCCGTCCAGCATATGACCCATTGTTGACTTCGGCGTAGTCTCACCAAACATCCTGCCTCTGGCCAGCGACACGAGCGGCCGGCTTGAGCTTTTCCGGAAGCTCGGTGGCCATGGTTGAATGCAGCTCTCGATGCTGTACCGAAATAAGAGGGGTCTTTGCGAAGCTGGACACTCCTGAGTTGGCCAGTCTACGATGGCAAGCTCTTAGGCCGGAGAAGCACTTCATGTAAGCAGGTCAACACGTCAGATCCCGCTGTACTACCTAACCTTGAAACCAGCAGTAGTTCCCCTTGGCCAATGATTCCGACTGGAGATATCTAGGTGGCTTCCACTGCTGGATCTGTGCTGAACGTTCCGTGATCGGGGCCACCAGATTTGAGCTGGGGAAGCGTCACGTCATCGGCCGGCCGATGGCGCTACCCTGTACATACGCCGGGGCGCCGGGGCAGTCTCCACTGAAGCTCGGTAATTGGACCCCTAAACTCCAAAGGCAGCACAGCACACCTGACTCGCGTGTCCATCACATCCCGTCGCAAACAACCACTTCGAACCCAAGCAAAACCGACCAAGTCCACAATGCCCCCCAAACGACCGCCAACATGACAGCAGCAACGCTCTCCAACCTCATACCACCACCGCCCTCCCGCGAGCGCGCGCGATCGACATCCCCCCTACCCTCCCAAACAAACCCACAACCACAACCCCAGCCGCCACCGCTCCTCCTCACGATCCGCTTCAGCGCCGCGCTGCCCGACCTCGAGCTCGACATTCCGCGCCCAAGCAGCACGACGGTAATCTCGCTAAAGCACCTGATCCGCGGACGGCTGACGGAGCCGAACTCGCAGCGGCGCCTGCGCTTCATCCACGGCGGCAAGATCCTGCCCGACGGCGCCGTGCTGACGGCCGTCTTGCGCGCGCCGCCACCACCTCCGCCGCGGTCGCCGTACGATAGACAGGGCTACAATCACGATGCTCTGGGTGGCAGTCGTCGATACGAGGATGGCAATGGTTATGGTGATGGAAAGGGCATAGGCAAGGGCAAGTCCGTAGCCGGCCGCCCCGACCCGCCGCAGCGCATCTACGTGAACTGCAGCATCGGCGACAGTCTGACGTCGACCGAGCTCGAGACCGAAGCCGCGGCCGCCGCAGCGCCGCCTCCGACATCATCATCCTCCCCCTTTCCCTCGTCCACCTTCCCGCACAACCTCAACACCCACAATGCGCACCACCTAGCCGCCCACTCCCCCGGCCCAGGCACGCCCACTCCCTCAACATCAACCGCCCCCCGCGGCTTCGACCGCCTGCTCACGGCCGGCTTCACGAACTCCGAGGTCAACCAGCTGCGCCTGCAATTCCGCAGCATCCACTCGTCGTGGTACACGCCCGACACGCTGCCGAGCCCGGACGGGTTCCGGCGCATGGAGGACGCGTGGATCGACGACAACGGCGGCGCCGCCATGCCGACGAACCTGTCCGGATCCGGGTCTGGAGGAGGAGGGATAGGGGGAGGCGGCACCCTAGGCATGGAGGGCGGCGGCACGGATAGCGACGAGCTTGGCCTCGTGGCCATGGTCGACGTGCTGATCCGCGGCGTCATCACGGGCTTCATGTGGCCGCTTGGCAGCGCCGGCTGGCTGGTCCGCGAGGAGGGCATGGCGAGTGGCCGGTGGAGGTTCATGGTCGGCGTGGGTGTGTTCATCAGTGTTATAATAGGGGTCATCAGGGCGATTTCTGGTGCTAAATGAAGCGGGAATACCCTTCCCAGTAGCTGTATTGTATGCATGGCAATGGCGTTATTACGGGATAGCGTGGCAATAGCGTATTTAGGCTTCATAGTCGCCTTATTAATTAGACAGGTGGTTCACGTTGCAGAGACAGAAATCCAACAGAGGCCGGTGGAGCATCGCCAACCATGACGATGCTCGGTTTCTCTATCTAAACAGTTGCGGACCACGCATGCCTTAGGGAATGGCAGTCTTCTCTAGTAGAAAAACGCAATTCCAAGGCCACATCTCACCCATAATTTTATATGCCGAAACAAAGTGGTATCCCTCCGGAACTCCATGGGTAATGAATGCTCACTAAAGCTAGTCCACAGGGACCAGGCGACCAGACTCTATGCTCTACAAGCCCGATGCTGAGGGAGAACCACTTCCACATGGACCTTGGTCGAGCATTGAAGTCAGCCGCAAAGTCCCTACCAGTACATCAATATTGTGTGTGTCCGACGAATATACCACGAGGTTAGCTTGTTTGCAACATTAGAGATAGAGAGATTGAGCGGCCACGATGTCGCGACGGATCTTGGCCAAGCTCCCCTCGAACTTGTTCTGCAGGTCTTCGCTGCCCATGACTTTGGCTGCTTGTGCCATCTGGCGAAGCAGCTCTTCAAGGCGGCGGAATAGACGGATCAAGGATCCTTCGTAAGCGTCCGTCATTTTGCTGTACACACGATTAGTAGGCCGCATGAATGTGGGAGGGTCACTATCACATACCAGACATCTGCAAAAGACTTTCCGTTCGCCCAAGCGTAGACGGTCTCCATCAGCTCCCACTTCAAGCCATTGACGTATTCATCTTCGTTGACCTCGAGCTTGCTTTCTTGACTGACTTTCGCGATGATGCGGGCCTGAGCCTTCACCTGCGAATACGGCTTCATCAATTCGTCAGGAAGAGTTCCTGCTTCAACCTTCTCGTCAAAGATGAAGACGCTGAGAACCGCAGCAATCAACTCTGGAGAAAGCTCGTTGAAGAATCGGTTAAACAGCAGCTCAGACAGCAGCAGCTCGTGACCTTCTGTAGATGAAATTTCGCAAGCGACACGAGCTTTCATTTGCACAACCTCATCCTCGCTGATGAAACCAAGACGGCGTAGGACTCGTTTCCTTGATTTGAGTTCGTCCAGCTGAACAATTGAATGTGCCTTGGCAATCTTCTTCTTGAGCGCCTTGATCTCTTCCGTACGAGCAATCTTGGTCGAGTACTGTTCCCACAGGCTCGGCAGTAACGGTGAGCCGTGAAGCGGGTTGGCAAGGAGGCGCGACTCCAACACCTCAATTTTCCGGAGCAGCTTCTTGAACGAGTCGTCCTTGATGTGCATGTTCTCGATGGGATCCAGTATGGGCAATCCATCAGGGAAGCGACGTTCGACTTCATTCAAAGCCTTCAGCAACTTCTGACGCGCCGACTCTTTGTCCTCACGCTTCTTGACCTCCTTCTCGTCCGGAGTGAACAGCCGGATTTGGCTCAGAGCTTTTATGCAGGTCAACATACAAGGTACAGCCTCGAAAATACTTTCGTAGCCAGGATCACTGGCTCGTGCACCGTCCGGCATCGCGGTAGAAGGATTAGTTGGACCGAAAGGATCACAGCCTGGAGCAAGCCGGAGGAAGACGTCGATGAAGTAGGACTCCTGTGGTGGATAATCCTTCTCGCCAAACTTCGGGTCTTTGCGTTTGGTGAAGTTCAGAATGACACCCCATCCGAAATCCTTCCCTGTCTTGGGGTTCGCGATTTGGACGAGTCTTCCCGGTTGTAGATACTCGATACAATGCTTCGGATGCTGTATGACAGCGAGCATGTCTTTGGTGTACTCTGTGATCTGCTGACGTAGGCCGTAGTAGTCCTTGACAGTTGCCTCATCCGGGATCGCCATTTCGTCGCGCTCTTTCTGCATCTTCATCAGATCATGCTCCAGGCCGGCAACGCTGGCGGTGCTCTGGAACTGGAAGAAACAGCTCTCCAACATGAAATCGGGGGAAATTGCCTCGATTCGAAGTAGATTCAGCACCATGTTGTAGCCTAGATGAAATGCAGAGTTGAGGCGATCCTGTTGACCAACGACGATTTCCTTCGCTGTCTCTGGTTCCAGTTTGTCATCGACCATCATGATGACGATACCACGTTCGTCAAGACCTCGGCGACCAGCACGCCCAGACATCTGAATATACTCCGAGGAAGTGAGTGGGCGATTACTGGTGCCATCGAACTTTTTGACCTTGGTAAAAACCACCGTCTTTGCAGGCATGTTCAGTCCGATGGAAAATGTTTCTGTGGCAAATAGAACCTTGATCAGCCCTTCTTGGAAGAGAATTTCAATGGTCTCCTTCAGGATCGGCAGAAGACCTGAATGATGGACACCAATGCCCTTCTCCAGTAGCGGAAGGATGTTGGTGATCTGTGGAAGCTCGCGGTCCTCCTCTGACAGTGACTCAATGGCGCTTGAGAAGACCCTGCGGACCATGGCCTTCTCGCCCTCTTCGTTGAAAGCGAACTTTGACGTGTGCAGAGCCAGCATTTCGCATTCCCTCTTGCTGAAATTGAACACAATGACGGGGTTGAAGTTCTTGTTCATGATCATCTTGACAATCTTCTGTATGTCTGCTTGACCTTTGTTTTTGTCTTGTCCCTTGAAGGTTTTCTTGTGTTTGCCTTTGCCTGTCGTTTTGGCTTCCGGGTCGGCGGCATCAGCCGCTTTCGCGTCCTCGATCAACTGCATGGTCTTGTTGAAATTGTTCTCCCTGAAGACACCTTTCTCATCGACGACGAGGAAGATGCCAGATCCGCCAGCCGGGAAGAAGTAGTTCTGAAGAGGGGTGGGTCGAAAATCAGTGTAGACAACGTGACAGGCTTGTCGGTGAATCTTTGCAATCCATTCCGCGAATTGGAAGGCATTAGGAATGGTGGCAGACAAGAAGACATATCGGACCTTGTCAGGCAAAAGGATGATCGTCTCTTCCCAGACTACACCACGAATCTTGTCTCGCATGTAGTGAATCTCGTCAAAGACGACCCAAGCAACTTCACGCATAATCTCTGATCCTCGGTACAGCATGGACCGCAGAATCTCGGTAGTCATGACTAGACAGCTGGCAGTTGGGTTGATGGTGACATCACCTGTCATGAGGCCCACGTCACCGAAAGCCTCGTTGAATTCTCGGTATTTCTGGTTGCTCAGCGCCTTGATGGGACTTGTGTAGATGACTCGCTGGTTTCTCTTCAGGCACTGCGCAATCGCGTACTCGGCCACAACTGTCTTGCCGGCGGATGTGTGAGCCGATACCAGGACACTCTCGTCACGCTCAATTGAGGATATCGAGATGCGCTGGAATGGATCGAGCGTAAAGGGCCAGGTTCGTGCAGGCTCCTCTGGTGCCTTGTGTTCGGAGAGTGGCACGTACTCATAGTCGAGATCAGGCGGCAGCGCGACTTGATGCTGGATATTGTGCGATAGGACAATGGCATCCTCTTCTTTCGTTGGCGCAAAACCCGCCGCAGCAGCAATTTCTCTGGACTGTGCCGTCTCGAACGTATCGGTCAGACGAGGTTCTGCTGCGGCGTCCTTTCTTCGTCGTTTGCTGTCGCCGTGGCCCTCCGATGTCGCTCCTTCAGCCCCATCTTCTTCGATAGACTCTGGCGGGGCGTCGGCCATATCAACCTCGGGGCCAGATGGCGCAGATGCTGTTTCCAGAGCTCCACTCTTCATGCCATCATCGGCCTTGCGCTTCTTGGTTTTCTTCTCCTTCTTGTCCTTCTTCTTGGACTTGGAGGGTTTGCCTGATGGAGAGTTCTGGGCCTCTTCCTCGACGTTGACCTTGGCGGCCGGTTTATCGTCGAATACGTCGAAGAGATCGTCCATGGTGGTCTGTGATTCGCGTGATAGTGTTGGTAAGGTAGGCACTTCGGGTAGTGCGCAGCGTATGGGATCTATCTGCGAGAGACACACAAAGTGCTGGCGAATCGACGCGCCGATGCAGAATTGTGATTGTCACGCTCACACGGGCGCAATCCTCAGGATACTAGAACTTGTAAGGCAGAGGTGCAAGATGTTGCCGAACGCAGCCGAGTCGAGTACCAGCTTTTCGGGGTTGGAAAATAAAATGGGTCAAGGCAGAAAAAAGGAAAGGCGCAGGTGCGTGAGCCGCTGGGGTATAACCTTAAGGAGGCAGGCGGTGAGATTCACCTTGAGAGCGGGCGCGCCACAGCACCGCAGCCACAGGAGCCAAGGAGCCACAGCGGCGTCACTTGGCCGAGAAACAGCCGATCAGGAGCATCGTCGACCGAAACGGAACCTCTGATCATTCGATTCCATCCTCAAAGCTCAAAAGTTATCAACGACACCGAACAAAACCCTCACTCTCCACTCCTCACTAACGACACGACCACCACCTTCAAGGTAGCGATCTCATCTAGCCATGATACTGAAGCTCCGGCAGGCTAATTGACATCCCCAGATGCTTCCCCAGTCCGCCGTCCGCGCCAGCCCGCGCATCACCTCGCTGGTCAGCCGCCGGGCCTTCCACGCCACCCGCGCGCGCCTCTCGTCGCCGTACCACTACCCCGAGGGCCCGTACTCGAACCTGCCGTTCAACACCAAGACCCGCTTCTTCGCCGTGCGATACTGGGCCTACTGCATCACGGGTTTCTTCCTGCCCTTCGGCATTGCTGGTGCGTGTCCTATGCCCGTCTCCCTCCTCTGTCCACAGGTGTTGTGTCATATCACACCAGCTGGGGCGGTTTCCTATGTCTCAGGTGGAACGCTATGTGCTAACGGTGTTTCTGTGCAGTCTGGCAAACCAAGAAGCCCAAGGCTTAAACGAGTTGCGATGCCGATACCACAGTGGTGCTGCTGATGGACGGACAGATGGAGGACGACCTTCGAGCGAGACTCGCTACGGGAGCTGTACATATAAGACGACAATAGACCTTTGGGCCACCGCCTACAATGCAGTTTCATTTGTCTTGACTTCCCAGGGTGTCCGCGGGAGTGTTGCCTTCAAGGAAGGTCGATGCCTTGCTCAAGCTCTGTCCTCTATTTCTCATTGGCCCTGCCCACGTAACTCTCTCTGGCCTTTCTCTTTTCGTACAAAGTTAAGCCACCTTGCGCACTTTTTGCCCGTGGCCACCCGTTCTTCTCTGCACATGTCCACAGCCGTACATGGTATATAGTTCAGTTTAACATGTAAAATTAGTAGCGGGTTGGTACGGCCTAGCGAAATATTTTTACGAAGTATTCTTACAAGGTATTCTTAGGTACAGCGGTTCGATTCCTCTAGCGGCTGAAACATTCTTTTTTTCTACATCTACTTGGATACACTTCACCCTCTAAGCCTCCATACACAACCTACGAAGGCTACCTCATCTGCTCGGGCACGGTAGAGGAAGGATGTCATGCCAATAAATGAACACCTTACATTGAGAGTTGGATATTCAAAGCTTCAAGGATGTTGTTTATGTTCAACAGCTTCGAATATGTATCAAAAGACCGGAAGGGTTTCAGCCACGAGCGCGAGGTGCTTTGGAACAAGTACCATGCTTCACCATGCGCATTACTTGCATCGGCTCGCGTCCCGCTCGGATCCGTCCGTGACTCCGTGAGAGCTGTTTAAGGCAGATAGCGTATGAGATTTTGCGTTTCCAACATCTGCTTTAGTCACCATCGGGGCGAGAATCAAGCCGTTTCAAGCCCAAACTTCACCTCGCCACTGACTCGATTGCATGAAATGTTCAATGCTGTAAGACTCGATTGTGAAGGGGCACTAAGTGGTCGGCAATAGTCTCACCCGTGATGGTACTCTCGTCAAGCGTCTCGTATATTACAGATATATTCAATATTCGACAATGCCTCGCCGTCCGATATGTACAGTTGAGCCCATTGGTATCATACACTAGCCTATCGGTAATAGCCCCATGATATACATCTATATATGTACATTTGACAATCCCTAACTCCAAAGACCGCGACCGGTGCCGCCTCCCTTTCTTCTATTGATGAGGTCATCACCTTGGAGGAGACGGTTCAGGAAGCCCAGCATGAACTCCGAGTCCGCCGTGTTCAGGTCCCACCTAGATCTGAGACATTCGTAGATGTCTAATAGCTGGTCTCTCGATGAATGTTTCGAAAATGCGTTAAGCACGGCCATAGCCAACCATGTGCCGATGGTGAGTCCATCGGCTCCTGAGTCGAGCGCACTAAGGAAGGCATCCCAGACGCTGTCAAGCCTGCTGCTGCTCCAGTCCGAACCCCGGCCACCGTAGACAGCAAACGATTTGAACAAGGCGAGGAAGATGGATCCATGAAGTGGAACTTTGTAGAGTTTCATCTCGTCCAGGAATTGCGAAACTTTGGTTAGATCGCCGAGCCTTACACCGTAGTGGGTGATCAGGATACGGTACGTCCGTAGATCCGGGGAGAGCAAGGCGGCCTGCTGGAAGTTGGAACGCATATCAGGATGCTTCTTTCCCACTTTCGCAAACATCATGAGCACCTTCGTGATGGACTTCTGCATAGTATAGTCGCGGTGTGGCACGACCTTCAAATTGGCGTTCGAGGCTTTCATCTTCTCGTAGACGCGATCGGCTGCATCTTCTTCTCCACAGCGGATGAAGCCAGCGATGACACAGTTCAGAACGACCGTATCGATGATCTCGCCCGCCTCGATCATCTCCTTATAGGCAGCCCTGACCCCACTCGCAACCTGCTTGAGGCCGAAGAAATGAATCAAACTGACATGGTGGTACCGACTGAACGGAAAGCCACGGGTTGTCATCTCTTCGTAGATCATCTCGGCAAGATTGAATTTCCCAGCTTTAGATGCAGAATCAAAGAGGATATTGAACGTGACCTCGTTCCCTTTGATGCCAGCATTTACTTCCATATCGCGCCAAAGACGGAGGGCTGCCTCGGTCTCGACCTCGGTCGTCGTCGCAACATAGCGGCTGGCAAACGACATGGCCCCGTGCCACTCCTTCCGAGTCAGTGTGAACCCGCTATTCTTCACGTCGGCGACCACAGCGAAATATCGCAACATGGACTTGTGGTCTTTGCGCTCCGTTGTACTCAGGGTAGCGAAGAGTAGGTGTCTCACTGAGGAGCTCATATGCGCGGCCCTTGGTTCCGGGACAGCCTGATAGAGTGCCCATATCGTGTCGAGCCCGACCCGGCCAGGATGCCGCAACTTAGTGTACAACGCTTTCCGCAGTAACTGGACCTCCTCACATTCCCTGGATCTCCCTCGGTATAATTTACCCACGGACTGGAGCTCGACATCTTCTGTTCTATCGGAGACTGAAAGATTGGGACCGTCTGCAGGGGCGTACTTCCGCATGTACGGGTCCCTGAGGTATTCGAGGTGCTCGTCCACCGTGGTTTCATCGTACTGATCGAGGAAGCCCAGAAGCTCACGTTTCGGCTGGATGATCTTGGGCTGGAAGACCACGTCCGACTCTTCGGGCTCGATGCTAGGGGAGGCCGTGTGGTTCCAGCTGCGGCTGCTGGGACTGTGTGAAGTGAAGTAGTTTAAACTTGGGACTCGACTGCCAGAACGTGCTATTGCGGAGCTGAATGGTCTGAATGTGGGGAGAGCTGTAGTGAGCCCTCTGGGGGTCCGTTCGGACCTTGGCGGTCGAGAGGGGAAGCATGTAAAATGTATCGCGTAGGATATGTCTCTGATGCAGCCATTGCGCACTCTGGGGTGGTGGAATGGGTGTACGGGGGCGGCTGTCGAGCTCAAGGTTGGGGCTGGCGAGGGTCGGCTGAAGAGTACAGGTACCGCGCCGTGTATCGACCCGTCAATTCTGGAGATTTTCATGAGCCGTGCCACATGGTGGTTCCGTCATCACAGCTTGCCTATATGCGTGACGACATCGACGTGGCATGCATTGGCGGTTCGAGGTGTTGTGACTTATGAGACTTCGAGATATCGAGATTGGAAAAATTCAATGCGACTGGAAAGCAAAGCTCAGGTCTTAAAGCCGACGCGGCGAACCAACCCAGCCAGCCCCTGTAATGGCGATCCGCTTCAGGGGTTCCACTACTGGAAATGCCCTGGAGCCCGAGGCCGATGATGTTTAGCGGGCCCGGACAATCAATTGACCCAGCTAAATTAATGGCAGCTTCAATGGATTGCTCCTTATGACATTTTACGGCTCGTGTTGCCTTTGCGACGAGCTCAACCCGAGTCGACGCGACCTACAACTGCAGTCCAGGAGCATCCTACCGCGATCCGCCATTGATACGCCCAAACTCTGCTCGACCTCTTCGCAGTGCCCGGTCCCGGGTGATCAGTCCTTGCCATGGGTGGTCAACGACAGATCAGACCCGGCAGGGTCTACCAGACGGTGACCACCATGATGAACCACCGAATATTCCCCAAGGTCCAAGTCCAGAAGCCGATATGGTACGAAGTCGTCGAGTCGATACCGCCGTCCGAGATCCTCACACGACCCTACCCGCCGCAGCACAAGAAACACAACCCGAAGACGCGGAGACCCAGCAGGCTGTTCCAACCCCAGCAGCTGGTGTATGAGGAAGACGGGCTGCGGAGGACCTTCTACAAAGACCACCCGTGGGAGCTGGCACGGCCGAGGATGATCATCGAGATGGACGGAAAGGACGCGCAGAAATACGACTGGTCCAGGGGACTGCGGCAGCCGGGCATGCCACTGTGTGGTGAGAGGTGAGAAGGATTCCCCCCGTCGGTCTCCACGGTAAGCTCCAGAGCAATGGCTGACAAGTTCCGCAGTGTCGTCCAACGGCAGATGTGGATGATGCACACCAACCCAGACTTGACAACAGAGCAGGCGTACGACATAGTACGAAAGGAGTTCTACAAGCTACGACAGGAAGAGGAGGTCCAGCGGAGGATAGCCAAGGAGGAGGCCCAGCACATGGGCGCCTACTTCGGCAAGTCGGCCCTGCAGGTCGGCATGGAGCTCGAGGACCAGCAGTACGAGTACTGGAAGAAGTGGGCTGGGAAGCAGATCGACGCCGTTCGCGCCGAGCAGAACGCCGCCTACACCAGCTTTGGCAACGAGGAGGCCGACGCCGACAGTGTCGATCTCGACGAGATCATCAACTCGCCCGCCACGCCAGTCGAACAACCTGCCGGTGCGCGCAAGTAAGGCTTGCGTGAAGCAGCCCTTCTTTGTATTCAGTGTAGCATTACTGTACAAATCTCACTTGTTGTACCACCAAGGCAGCTTCGGCGAACTGACTGTGAGTCTCGGGATGAAAATGCCAACACGCTTGGGTATATGCAGCCTGGTCCAGTCCAGGTCGTCTTCAATTCCAACACACAATAGCAGTCTGATTTGAGAGTGCAATGTCCCTCCTCCTTCTCACGGCTCCTCCGGTAATAATGCATCCAATTGTCGTATCCGAAGTATGTATCTCACTCGCTGCCGAGTATTAGTTAAGAGGCCCTCGTTTGCACAACCTACCGCCCAGTGTTACTTACTATTCCGTCGAGCTTCTTCCTGTCTTCCTCGTTGCTAGCTCTCGCGATGATTTGTTGTAAGAGTTCGCATGCTTCTGCGTAGTACTTCCGCGCGCCGCTGTGATACTGGGCGTTGTCGAGTTGAACCGCCGTGCTCGCCTTGGCCAGGGCCGAAGACAGCATGGCCTTCTGCGAGGGCATCGTCGCTGAGCGATGTTCTCGTTGGGTGCCTTTCCGGTCGTCCGCTGTGTTTTGAAACTCGGGTTCACCAAGCATTCCCTCGTTCGGGGTAGAGGCCGGGTGAGTGAGTGACCGAGTGAGTGAATGAATGAGTGAGTGGATTGGTGGACAGTTGTATATCTGTAGATCCGCTTTTGCGGTTCCGTTCCCATGCGCTTTGATACTCTTCCTGCATGAACACCCTCCCCCTTACTTGCCATTCGCCCAAGTCGACTTTCAACCACGGATTACACCCGCCTCGATTTATAAATCTTTGATGCCATGTCACACATTCCTTCCGTTCCTATGCAGCTTGCTTGTTTGCTGCCAAATCCTTCTTACTACATCCGTGGCTTGGTTTGACAATGTGTTACTCCGCGGTTCTGCCCGGACCCCTTCTTGGCGCTTCAACCCATGCATCCATCATTGCATCCTGCAACCCACACGGAACAAACAAGGTACATTGATTGGTCTATGAGACGAACGTTTTGACACCCAGATATGGCATGACATATGTTCATCTCTTCAACAAATCATCACTTCGCTATTGATGGAAACTCGAAGTAAAGGCTTGGGACTTACTACGTCTTCTCAACTGAATCTGGTCGCAATTGGTAACTGGGCCGGGGCTCGGCATCCATACCTGCACTCTGGCGAGAAACCAAGAGATGAGGCCTGGGACATGATGGTCATCTCGGCTCAGTCTAAAGTTCAACGAGGAAAAGGGGGAAAGGGGGAAATGGGGACTCTACCTAGTGCGTACTGTATGCTGCCAGTCTGCCATTGTACTGACCCAATCCCAGAATCACCCATTCTGTTCAAACGATGCAACTCGTATACTCCTAAAGTCGGCTGCTATGTACGAAGTATGTGAAGTGATCAAGTTCTGTCTTAAAAGTGCTGTGGTACCCGTGGTCCGAGCGCCCGCCACTGCGGCAGGGCTGCCGACAACCCCTGAAGCCGATTTCCTGATGCTTCAAGATGCAACGCCTGGAATCAGATGAGTTACCAGGTCAGTAGTAATTGAATTGAGTGGACTAGCGACCAGCTTCAAGACTCAATTGACTTGCCCACGAGTTCAAGACCCCTGAGCGTTTCTATAATCACGAGACAAACCGCCGCACTCGTAGGTTCGTCACAAGGTACGTGGCGCCGTGAAGTTCTGCTTGCGCAACCCCCTAAACGCCCACCTCGTCATACTCACCACCATGCAAGAACGAACAGGCAGATACTGATCGTGTCTCAGTATCAAACAACAGGATGGCGAGTATCACAGAGAGTAAAAGCTATCTTACGATAGTACAGTCCTGCGATAAGTAAGTTGAGTAGCACTAGATGGTCTTCCTCACCTCTCACCGACATAGCGCAACCATGCTCACACCACGTGGTAAAGCTTCCCCTACGACATCAAGCCAGAAGATGTCTACTACCAGCTGTTCCTCCCCGAAGACGCCCAGCCTCACGGCTACATTCTGCCCGCAATCGTGGAGAAGATGCCCTGGACATCTCACTTCCGCGTGCAAGACACCGCCCCGCGCAGCGTCACCGTGCTCGACGCCTCCCACGGCGCAGACACGGCCGGCGCCGTCAACGCCGCCTTCGCAGCCCTAGTCAGCATCTGCATCGAGCGGGACATCTTCCACTGCATCGCGCGGCAGCACAGCGAGCCCTTTGCCGTCATAGGGGCGCCGCACCCAGTCCGCATCGAGCGATTCGCGTCCTCGCTCTTCGGCATCACGTGTCGGGGCGCGCACCTCACAGCCTACACCATTACCCAGGACTTGAACGACAACGACAAGATAACGAAACTAACGGCACGATGAAGCTCTGGATCCCGCGCCGCGCGGCACATCTGTACACCAGCCCCGGCATGCTCGACGTAAGCGTAGCCGGCGGCATCAAAGCGGGCACCAGCCCTCTCGACACCATCATCGCCGAAGCCGGCGAGGAAGCCTCCCTGCCGCCCAGTCTAGTCCGCAAAAACATACTCTCCGCCGGCGTCCTCACCTACGTCAGCGCCACGGGCGCTGAGTTCCCCGGCGAGCAGGGCCTCGTCGTGCCGGACCTGATCTACGCGTACGACATGGAGCTGCCCGCGGACGTCATACCAAAACCCCACGATGACGAGGTGAAAGGATTTGCGCTGATGAGCGTGCCGGAGGTGCAGCGCGCGCTGCTGGGGCGCGAGTTCAAGCCCGATGCTGCGGCTGTGCTGGTGGATTTCCTTGTGAGGCATGGTGTTATTACGGCGGAGAATGAACCCCGTCTTGCGGAGATTACGATGCATTTGCATCGCAGGCTGCCCTTTAGGACGGCGCCGCCATAGGGGTTGTGATTGGGACCGTGAGTATAGGTATACCTAGGGCGGTATGTGCAGCCGGTTTCTGGCGCAGGTCATCGGCGTGGGAATGGCCCTATGCGATGGCCGCCATAATGGATAATCACTCTGGCTCAGTGGTTTCTCTAAGACGAGGTGAGTTGTATGGGGAACGCATCGCTGCGTCGCGGATGCCGGGCAAACCTCGAAGACCTAGAGGCTGGCTTTCCATATGAAACGAATGGCCTGCCAGATCTACAGGACAAATTCGCAATCCAGCCATCATAATATGCCTCATGAGTAAGTAGGCTTGAGCGGCAGTGCTCAGCATAGATAAGGATCGATAGTGCCATAAGGAGTAGCCGAGTGTCGTCTTCCCAAGTGTTAGGTATGGAATAATCCACTGCCTGCTGCTATACTTAACACCAGACTCCTGCAGCCTTCCCTTTTCCATTCATAGTCAGTTGAGTGATGGATTGGTGGGAACTTGGCCGGCGAAACCGCATACACCTCTCGTTCTTCTGATTCTGCCCATCTGATCTACTCATGTCTTAGAAGATGTCCTCCTCACCGAACATGATATCTTCTCGTACCACGCAATAGAAGCTATTATCAACATGATGTGGTGGAGGAGGGAATTGATTCCTCTTGCTTTGACCCAAGCTAGGTATAGACTTAAGCCTCCGGGATGGGGCCATTCACTCGCTGATTCCTTAGACATGGTCGTCCTCAGTATACCACAGGCGGCGTCGGAGTGCTATTCCACGTGCCGGATGTAGCCAGAGGGAGAGTTCATGATAATAAATGCGCTGCTTGCTCTCGACGCAACGGCATGATGAAGTCGTTGCAGTGACGTCGAAATGTGTGTATCTGGCATAGTGAAGGACGCAAAGAATAGGGGGCGGATATAGCTCTAGATTTTCGAAGATCACGTCCTTCAAGGGCCTTGCCGCCGAGTGACAATTGCTATGCTGCATCATTTCTTCCCCTATCTATGCGCGGTCGATATTTTCTTTTGTTATCGACTGGTTTCGTTGTGATGTCCGATGGTGGCTCGTTTCCTAGCCAAGCACTGCTATGTCACCTTGAAGCCGTGAAGACAATGGTTGTTTACTCAACTATGCTCTAACGCCAGCGCAGTCAGCAGCCTGCAAAGACGAGTACGGCTCCCTCGCCAGCAGCTACGCGGTTCAATATCGTGCACAGCTTCAGCCCATCCCAACATCGTCGCAGTACCGGCGCGTAGGCGCCTCGTCAGCCATCGTGGCCCACATCGCGTACCCAGCAGACTTGGTGCTACCCGGCGTGAGTTCGCACGTGCCAATGCCGTCATGAAGTCCAAAGAGCTGCTTGTTGTTTTTCGCCTCTTAACTATTCATATCATACATCATACCATCTAGGCGGCGTCCTCGTTGAACAGGACGTATCGGTACCTGGCCTTACCAGCTTCCAAATCTACGATAGCTTGGTTGGCGTCCTTCATGGGACGCTCCTGGATCATGCCTCTCAGGTTGTTCCTCGCCACGAGCTCCAGCATCTCCCTCAGGTTGGCCGGGGATCCGATCAGAGATCCGGTGAACTTCTTCTGACCAAAGACGACCGAGGGTACGGCAATGGGCATAGCGCCGTCCTCGGGTATGCCGACCTGGACGAAGTTGCCCTTCTTCTTCAAGAGTTGGAAGTAGTCGTTGATGGGGACCTAAGGTAATAAGTAACCTGTTAGTATGTGAGGTATGAATGGATGACAAGAATGGTATCCGCGTCCACTAACCTTGGATGATGCGACGGTAGAGATGATAAGGTCCAAGCTGCGGTAGTGCTTCTTGACCCAGTCCTCGTTGTCATCGGTGGCGATGTAGTCGGCGGCACCGAGCTCGAGAACCTCGCCCCGCTTGGCCTCCTTTCTGGAGATACCCACGACCTTGGCGCCGAGAGCACTGGCAAACTTGACACCATAGTGGCCCAAACCACCGACACCCACGATACCAACAGTCATGCCCGGGCCGACGTTGTAGTTCTTGAGCGGAGCGTAAACGGTGACACCGCCGCACATCATGGGAGCGGCCTCCTGAGACGGAACACCATCGGGGATCTTGATCACGAAGTGGGAGGGAGACCGGTGGTAAGTAGCGTAGCCACCCTGCGAGGCATCGCCGTTGAAGTGCTTGCTGTTGTAGGTACCGACGACCTTGTCGCAGTAGTTCTCGTCGCCGGCAGCGCAGTCCTCGCAGTCGCCGAAACGACCCAGGCAGGAGTCACTCTGGGCACCGACGCCAACACGGTCGCCAACCTTGATACCCTCGACCTTGGAGCCGACTTTGACAGCTGTTCCGACAATCTCGTGGCCGACAACACAGGGGTAGGCGGTTTCGCCCCATCCGCTGCGCAGTGTGTGGATGTCGCTACCGCAGATGCCGGCGTGTGTGATCTTGATGTCGACGTCGTTCTCCTCCCATCGCTTGGGCTCAAACTCTCGCCAGACCATCTTTCCCTCGGCTGCGGTGGCGTCCAGGGCGTTCCATCCCTTAAACTTGTAGTCGGTTGCGGCCATCTCGAACAGTATATCTTGTATAAGGTCTCAGTGATTGGTATTAAGTTGGTTGAGTGGTCGAGTCCAAGGTATGGTACGAGGTTGGTTCAATACGCTTTAGCAGAATGGTTTCGCCATGCGGTACCGGCGACATCGTCCTTTATATTGTCCTTGACCAGTCCACTCGTTGCCTATTACGAGATCAGATCCATAACTGCAACCAGGACAACCTGCTCCATCGCAAGCCTTGCAACCGCGTCACCATTATTACAAAGCAGCATTCGTCCAGAGTCTTGAGTATGGTTGGATGCCCACTTGGTCAAAACCACAGTAGCAGCCAGAGGTAAAGCAGTCCAAATGCCTCAATCATTGTTCACGTCCCACTTGGTGTCCTCCGCTAAGACTGTTGTCAAACTCGTCACCACTATTGGTGAGTGTTGTTTGTCTCAGAGCTTGCCTAGACTTGAGGCTCTCACGGCTCCGTCGGTCCTGTGTGGATATCGCAGCTTAGTTGAGTGGAGAAACCCGGGATTTCACCGAATAGGCTCTAAAACTTCTTCAACGGTCATGTCCGGGCGGAAAATGCACCGCACTTATGAACCACAAGTTGTGGAATGAAGAAAAATGCCGCAGAATGAGCGCGTGGGATATATATTCCCCGTTCCAGTATGACTCGGTTCTTTGTGGAGAGATCGACCCTCGGGAGAACGACATGAAAAAGACTGATGCCGGTCTGGGGCGCCGGGCGATGTAACAGACATCCCGCCATCGGATATCAGACGACGGCGGTTATCACCTCGTAATCCCCGGCCCATGTGGAGAAGAGCCGACCCCGTGTGAAAAAATACTTCAGATTTATTCTTGTTGAAACAGAAAGTCGGAATATCTTATCATATCGAGAGATTAAGACCTATAGGTGCTCGAAGCCAGTCTATGTGAAACCACGTCAGCCGAGACTAGACCACAGCCACGAAGGAAGACGATGGGGGTCCAGCATCCATCCTGTGCTTTCAAGAGATACTGCGCGGAAGCCTGGGACACCCGACTCGACGTAGAAGTGGTTTCGCACAGCAAATAGGACGGGCAAACCTAGGACACAGGATTGAGCTGAGTTCTGCAAAGGGTATAGGCTGACTTCAAGGTGAAGATGACTTATCACATAGTCCATGGCATTGGGAGAGCTGGGGACGGAGAAAGAGCCCCTGGGACTCGGTAGTGTCTACCTATCGTCAACTATTAGTCCTGGTGTACAGCGAATATCGTGACAGATAATAGCTAGTGTCGAATCTAGGGTGTAGCGAGCAAAGATCCTGCTCCATATAGTTTGACCCAAAAATCATATGCAGTGGAGTTGCCGAGTGAGCTTGACTGTCCAACATGAAGGAAACATCACTCGAAGAACGGAGCCAGGTGGTTATGTATGCCTATGGCAAATATTTAGTTTCACAGAGTCTAAGTACCTAGCTGTGCCTACCATCCATACGCGATGAGTGCATTCAGTTGCATCGCAAAGGTCCGAAGGGGAATCCAGTCTAGCAGGTTATCAGCAGAAGTGTGCCAATATGTGTCTCGAGATGCGTGCTCCGGAGGATCGTGCTGCTGCAAAATCAGCGTGAAGTCAACCGATCATCCGCTACAGATTAGGCAGGGAGTAACGTCGCGCGACCTCGGTGAACTTGTCGCCAAGGTGATGTCGTTACCAATATAAGGGTGACGAGACTGGCAATCCGGTGGACCAGGTTTGCGGTCTATGGTGTTTAGTGGGAATTATGGTTTCTTGCCTGTTGCAGATTCAGTCAGAGGGTGTGTTCTTGATGGCACTGGCAATGGTATTGCTTGAGCTTACTGTGCAGTTTCCTAGAGGAAGCAAGGGCCAGGCCAGGATTAGCATCTTAGATAGCCTTCGTGCGAGAGAACAAACTGCTGTAGACTGCATCCACAACAGGGGCGGCGCTGATCATGCGTCCACCGAAGTACCGGCCGTTTAGACCCTTGATGGCGTTCTCGCCTCCTTGGACCTTGTCGAATTTGAGGTAGATGTCGCCCTGCGAGTTCGGGTCAAGCGATATGTGGACCACATGGCCATATTTGTCTTCGGCTTCCTGTCGAACGTCATCCTCCAATTCCTTGATCCAACTTTCACCTTCTTCCCTATAGATACGTGTCAGTGAGTAGTCTTCGGCGAAGGGAGTTAAAACTTACTCAGTGGGATCAAACATGTTGTGCAAAACCACGCAACGGCTAGCCATGTTGACGTTAACAGGCAATGGCTTAGTCTCGGTCTTGGGCTTCAGAACCTGTCTTTCGTCACGTCCTCCAGTTGAGGGCTCATCCGTTCGCGCGAGTTTTCGCATCAGGGCGTCTCGACTATAGTTGTTAAAGTTCACACCGGCAACGTCGGTATCATCTAAGGCGCTGGCACCGTTGGCCTTGTCGTTATCACGGCCACCGGCCCGATCGAAGCCAGAAGCTTGGGGACCGCGTCCACCAGCACCGGAAAATGCCGATCCCTGGTATGGTTGGTTCTGACCCTGGAATCTCTGTAGGAGATTGGCGGTTGACTCGGGGGTAAACTTATCGTTTCCAAGACCAACGCGAATCGGGCGACCAGCCAGGTCGAACCCGTTCATCTTTTCCAGTGCTTCACGTGCCTGATCAGCTTCACGAAACCTACGACAGAGTGGTCAGTATACAGCCGACGAAAAACAGAATATGTGAGACTAACTGTACAAACCCATAGCCACGGCTGCGGCCATTGTCGTCCTTCTGGAGCTGGACGAATTCAAGCTCGCCGAAAGGTTCAAAGACGTTCTGCAGATCTTGCTCGGTGATGCTAAAGTGAATGTTTCCTACGTAGAGGCGATGGAAGGGGATTGAGTTGGCGGTAGAGCCACCACCGTCGGTGGTGCGGACTTGGCGATTCTTTTCCGCTTCGGTAAGCTGGACGATGACCGGGATACCTAGCAGTTTTTGACCAGTAAGCTGAAGGGCTGCAGTAACGGATTCTTCGGCCTTGAATTCAACGTAGCCGACTCTGTAATCATGTTAGCAACACGTACTTGGAGGCATATCACTTCTTGAAGTACATACCCCTTCGATCTCCCACTGATACGGTCCTTGACTATCTGGGCCTCATTCACAGGGCCGACCTTTTCGAAGAACTCCTTCAACTCCTTGGTTCGAAGACGGGCAGCGAGCTGCTGAACGAAGACGGTGCGGCGATCTCGCTCGTCTTCGGTCAAAGCCGGAGTAGCATCGCGCTTTGGCGTGCGTCCGCCCCGAGGTCTGTCATCATCTCGGCCTCGGTAGTGGCTGCGATCATCACGATCGCCGCGGTGGTCATCTCTAGGACGGTAGTTACGGCGAGGAGAGCGGGAGCGGGAGCGATCTCGGCCGCCACGACCACCGCGGTAGAAATCTCCGTCACCTCCTCTGTGACGACGTGAGTTTCGGCGGTCATCATCACGGCTCCGGCTTCTGCGCCTACTCTTGTGGCTACCCGTATCACTTCGCGGGGTAGCTTCTCTGTCATCGCCACGATCCCGTCGTCTTCGGTCGCTGCTACGCTCACGTCTTCTGGGGCTGCGGTCGCGTCGCCCGCGGTCATTACTGCGATCTCGTCTTCGGGGGCTGCGGTCGCGTCGTGAGCGGTCAGAAGAACGATCGCGGTCTTTGCGTTCGCTTGGTTCGGACTTCAAACGGCCTTCGGACTCTTTGGTTTCTTCCGTCTTGCTTGCGGTTGCATCGAGCAAGGCTTCGACGTCGAGGGTAGCCATCTTTGCAAGGGTATTAGGTCGCGCAAATGGACTGTCGCAAAAGTGGTGTGTGTGTATGGGTCTACCTGTCAAGAAGCACTCTTGATCAGCGAAGAGGGACGGTGGGCAGGGTAGACCGGCGAGTTGATATTAATGGAAATACCTCTATCCGGACGAGGTTGGGATTGGGAAGAACCTAACAAGGTGAACCTGAGAGCCTGAGGTGGAGGCGGTAGAATATGTAAGAAATCGTTAGCGCGGCGTTACCTCGGTACTGGTAGAGGCTGTGGCGGGTGGAAACAGGCAGGCACACTGCCATGCTTTGTAGGCCCGTCTTCGCCAGGAACGTTTAATAATTACAGCCGCGAGGACGGGTTTTTGCAACAGTGTTCGGAACACACAATGTCATGAACACGGCATTGGTACAGGCTATTTGATTTTCCCAAACAGTCGGTGTCCGGCAGTCGAGCAAGACGAGGGCATGGATGAGTCAGTCCAGCATTAGAAGCGTATGAACAGACCATTATTAGGTGTATTATGAATCAAGTAAGCTGAGTAGGTATGTACCAGTCTCTACGCATCGCATCATGCGGATCCCTCCTGAACGCCTTCCATGATCATTATGTGGTGTGAATCTCTACCCAACCATAGCGCACCCAAGGCAACTTAGTACAGGCAACGGTCCTGCCGCCGCATTCATTATTATATGGACGGCGAGGGAGGAATGCTGCCTTTTCATTTAGCCTTGACCACAGTCACTAGCTCAGTGCCAAAGACCTGGTCCCAGAAGCGACTGGTCACTCCGAAGCCGAGCTCGTAGTCTAGGAAGTGGTGCGCAAGATGGTACTTCTTGAGGTCCTTGTACCAGAGAGGAAGGTTCTGGTGGTGGAGGAAGTAGTGTGTCAGGTCGTAGCAGACGTATCCGAAGATGCCGCCACAGTAGATGGCAGTAGCCAGATGCCAGTTCCAGTAGAACAAAGTGTGCGCCAACTTCCAAAATGGGGTCGCGAGCACCACGAAGAGCGTGGGCGGCATCACCAGGCGGTACCTGTCCATCGGCAGGTAGTGGTGAACACCGTGGAGCAAGAAATGCAGAGTAATGGCTGCCCGGTTGTCCGGAAGATAGCTGCAAGGCAAGTCAGTAAATATGACGGTCCTGCAGGGATAAGGAGAATGAGCGACGTACTAGTCCAGATGGAAGAGGAATCGGTGGAGGACGTATTCCACCAGAGACCATACGCCGATACCCAGAAGCCAGCTCACAGCGAACAGGGCCGGATTGTCGAAGCCTTGGAACGCCAGGTAGCTACCATAGGCGATTGCTGGGAGCCACACCATAGGGACCACCCACCAGGGTGTCAGACTGAGCGGCTCGAGGAAGTTCCCAAACAACGGGGCCGATGCGCCTCCTTTGTAATGCCTCGGTCTGTGGACCTGATCCAAATAGAATTCTTTGCTGAAGCCTCCATTCCACACTTGCATCAACAACGGCCTGTTCAGGTCGAGGAACTTGTGTTGCTTGTAGTCGTTGCTGATGTCGGTCTCCCTGCTCAGATCTTCCTCGCAGGACATGCCGGTTCGCGGGTGGATCAAGGGTGTAACCTCGTCGTTGATCTGCGAGTCGTTGATCTTCCTCTGCACGTCTCCATTCGGGGCGATCTTCTCGTTAACGAGGAATGCGACGAGAGACTCGTCTAGGATCTCGTAGGCGGATTCGGAGTGGGTGTGGGAGTCCTCGTCCTTGAGGATATGGGTGACATCCTTGCCGGCGTACTCCAGGATGAGCTCGGGCCCGCCGGGATGAGAATCGAGGAAGTCGGTGATGTCGTAGACATTCGTGCCGAGGGTGACATAGCAGGACTTCTCGGTTTTATGCGACTCGACCTCCGCCTGGGTCAGCGTCGGCAGCATTCGACCGGGCATGGTGGTAGTCGTAGTTGTAGTTGTACAGCGTTTAGTGGTTTTTTAATGTTTCAGCGCAATCACAGGAAGGAAGTACTCGAGGTGCAGAGATCGAAGGAGTGTACGCAGTTGGCGAAGCAGACAGGAAACAGAGAGAGGAGGAATGAATAAGGTAGAGCAGCAGTCGAGTGGACGTTCGACTTTTCAGGGGATGGATGGTCCTATTGCTATGTAAGCAAGCAGCCAGGCTTGTCTTGTTAGCTCGAGATGCAGAAGAAATGTGAAATTAGGTGGTCCTGGACTGGACTCCTCACTCCTGGGGTTCCGCGCACGCCGCGGGTGGTGAGCGCGATCGACAACACTGACTCCTTAACTCCATAACTCCAGCCTTTAGTGCTGAGCCCACCAGCTGACGGGTGGCGTTACCGGCCAGCCCACCAGCCCACCAGCCCACTCTGCCACTGACCACCTGCAGTCGTACGTTTCCAAGGTTGGAACTTTGGCATCCCGCCAGCCCGCATCCCGGCAGGGTGGCAATCCGTTTTCAACTTTGTGCCACCGTCCGATGCTTATTTCCCATTTCCCATTTCCCATTTCCCATGCACGCGTGCCGGAGAGGACCCCGGCAAATCAATTTAATACATGACTCATCAACGGTTGAAACGTGATACTCTCGCATGACATTCATTATCACGCCGAGCCAATTTCCCACCATCTCTCTCTTAAAGTTAGGTAAAGTATCTAACCTACTCAACACACGAGCAGCAATGCACGCCACTGTTTGCATCGTGCCTTACATGTCGAAGGCTCCTATAATTACAATAGTCTCTATCCTGTAGCCGACGCTCTCCTTTAGCATCTTTGCATCTTTGGACTATGCCGGGTATCTCATCAACAGTCTATGTTGTCTTGCAAAATCGAAAACTCCAATATCCATGCAGTATGCAACAGGCACCATGCAATATGCAATCATGAGCGACAAAGACACCCCCCAACCAGCCAGCCAGCCGTAACCTCCATGATCCAGCCAGTTTGTGAGCCCTGCCAGGCTACTTCCACGATCCGTGTCCGAGCTGAACACGGCAGCGTCCCCTTCGCCATCGTCGCAATAATGGCTCGCCGCCACTAAGCAAATATGTGCCACATGTGGTGTATGATCATGCCGCAGAACAACACGTTTCCGAATGTACCAGTTGAAATAGTTGCTACACTCCCCGACCACACGTTCCACATGAGGAGTAGGGCAGCAATGACTTGCGCCAGTGCCAGTTTTGCCCACGATGGCGTGTAAACCGACGATGGCTTGTCTCCCTGAGCTTGGGTGTCGACCTCGAGGTCAGCGGCCAGCCTAATCGATACGATCAGGCACGCACAAATGGAAGCCAGAGCGACGGGAGGCCCGTGATGCTCATTCGTGCCCAATGCCCAAATCCAGCCGCAGAGGGCACCGAGCAGCACCATCACTTCCGCAATACGTGTCATTGTACGATTCTGACTCGATAACGGCTGCCGGAACCTGTTGCTGCCCGAATCTATGGTTCTAGGACCCCGTTCTGCCTCCTCCTCTGGACTTGGACTAATGTTGAACGAACTCGCAAACATGTTCGAAAGGCCGTCTCTCGGATCATCCCGCGGCTCTGGTGCGTAGAACTTAGGTTCTGCCAAGTTGAGACCCGGAGAGTTCGCCTGATGTGCTGAGCCCATCTCAACTGGCCCCCGAGCTGTTGGTTGGAAGAAATTCTCCTTCTTCTCTTTCGGGCTTTCTCGGATGATCGGCCGCATAGGGGGGTTTCTCAGCCTCTGCGCCGGATTCGTTGGCGCTGGGGGTACCTTGTACCATATTGGTCCTGACTTGGGCTCGATCGGGGTGTCGCTAAACCGCGGATTCGTGTTCTTCACCTTGTATGGGTTATAAGAGCTGAATGCTCGATGCTGTGAAGCGGATGGTGACCAGTCCATCTCTTCCTCGTAATGCGTAATCTGAGGTTCTTGCCTCTGAAACTGGGTCGGGCCAGAAATTTGTAACGTCTCCAAGGCAGACCCAGGCGAGTCGGATACCACGCCACTCCCATACGTCTTATGCTGCACTCTGTTGGTCGAATAGTTACCATGCGGGTGTGTACCCAGCGGTAGAGCGGATTCATTCTGACCGTGCGGCTTGGATGGTGCATGCAGGATGTCGTCAAGAATACTGCCAAGATCATTGGGGTCTTTGTGCACTGGTCTAGTAGGAGACCTCTGCTGCGGTCCCTGCGCTTTTTCCTTGAGTCGAAAAAGTGGTGTAGTGTCTGTCCGTATGGACTTACCCGCTACCCGGAAGATCTGGAATTATCTTAGTCAATGCCGCACTTTGCGAAATAGTAATGAGCTTACGTGAACCATCAGTAACGCTATGACGAGTTGCGCGCCGAGTTGCGTCGTGGGCGGCAGTCCTCGAGCCTTGCTATACTGCGCGATTGAGAGGCACACCAGTCGAATGAGGAGTATCAGCAGCTGATACGTATACCACTGCCTGAAACCGAGAATATGCGCCGTGAAACCTCGGATTGTCTGCTTGAATCTCGGATTCCATGGGAACGAACACATTCCCAAGTTGATAGCCCATTGCATGAGTCGGTGTGTATAAGGCAGCTCGTCCACGTTGATCCAGCGCAGGGTCTTCAACATCGCTGCTATTCTGGATTCGTCTTCGCTGGTGGCATACTGTTCCATCACAAGAGTATAGAGGACGGTTACCTGCCACACAAATTGTAGTGCGAAGCCAATGTACCAGCTCCACTTGCCCGCAAGGTCGACTACATCAAGTATGCCTCGTTTCCTGACTTCTTTGCGTTCGGATCGTGTACGGTCCATCATTCTCCTGAGGTGGTCGGTTTGCGCTGTGTAGCTAGCTTCGTGTATTCTCTTCTCGACCTTTGGCTCGCACTCTGCGCACATTTGCGGGTATCTCTGCTCCAGGTCTCTGCGGAGCGCAAAGTACTTTCGCTCTCGCGCAGCATACTCGGCATTGGTGGGGTCATCTGGGAACTCGAATTGCGCAAGCGAACTGGTCAGCATGTGCTGGTTTCGGAGGCAGGTCGCACAGAATATCGAGTCGTTGGCTCCGAGTCCACTGGATGGCACAGGTGGCGACGGAGAACGGACTGCACTGGCTCGTGGAACTGCATACTGGACGTGGGTACGCTCGATCGAGGATGTTGAGGCTGGGGGGTCTGTGATTTCGCCATTCTACATTCTGTCAGTTTAGTTGCTCCAAGCGCGTGACAGCCTCCAACCTTTGGATGTGGAAGGTAACATACCTCGTCCAACCAGTTGGTAGCATCGCAACTCGAGCAGTCGAAAGATTTCTGGCCTTCGAAACGGAGGTTGGACCTTCTTCCACAATAGAAGCACCGCAAGAACTTCCTAGACCGCAAGCTCGCCATGGTTGCCCAGTCTCTTGGTGTAAGCAAAGGATCGGTTGTCCCCAAGTCGAGCACTGTTTCTATAGGAGTCGAAGCTTTTCAGTATGGTAGATCTCTGGAGCGTCTCGTACCGAGTTCTGCCGGGTGGTGAACATAAATATTGATGAATCTGGCTAGCGCCTAGATCCCTGGGCGATAAGGGTGCCCGAGTCTAATCGATAACCGCCCCCTGGCCCCTGGCGTCTGTGGCGCTTATGGTGATCGTGTGGAGATAGGTATCGCGGCTATTCATTAGCGAATGCGCGAGTCGTAGCTAGCGTCGGGTACCTCAATGCGTAGCTATTCCCTGCCAGGTACCCTCACCTCTGATCTTCACCCTGTCAACTTCATCCACAAGTTACAACGTCTGGTGAGGTCGGGACGCAGAACTCGAATGACTGCAGTCGGAAGGTCTCCCTGGATCTTTCTGGCCCCTGAAACGGAAAGCAAGCTCACGAAAAGGAGAGAAGCGCCTTGCGCAGGCAGCAAAGGTTGGTTCAGTTTCCTTCTTCAATCCTGCACTTCATCGTGCACCTACTCGATACGGGCGACCTGCCAAGCGCCCAGGCCACAGTGCTTTGCTGCACGAGTGTGTTCAGACTACCGGCACGCACAACAGAGCTATCTAGTAGCCTTGCGCCCAAGCTGAAATATGATCAGCCTCGCTCCATCTGATGACTGGATCAATTTCCTGCTAGGCCTGATGGCGACCTCGCACATTTGGCAGTTGGCAGTTGGAAATATATCGAGTTGGCACCGGACGTCATCCTCCGAGTACTAGTGTCAGGATGTTTGCTGAGATGGGATGAATACTCATGAGGCAATAGAAAACCACCTCCTGGAGAAGTTTCTCTTGACAGCCACCTTCAAACGAGCTTCGCTGAACGCCACGGCTGTTGTATGCATCTATTTGGTCAAACTTCGTCTCTGCCGCGTAGGTAGTGTCGTCGCTCCACATACGCTGACGTATGTGTCCAGAACATCAACCAGGCCCAGACCTCTGCCGGTGTGGTCCTGAAGGCAATGTGAAGGGGTATCCAAAACGGGCACTACGGGAGCTGTGACGGCCTTGATAGAAGAACATCAAAGGCCTACCAAGGACCAGTACATGGAGGAGTCATCTGGGAAGACTCAAGAGTGAACTCGTCCACCCCTGAATCTGAGCTGCGAAGACCAGAGACTGTAATCACCACCACCACCACCACCACCCTCCAGCACGCCGCAACTAGTGCCAGCTGCAGGCTTTAAAAAGGAACATCACATCAAGAGATTAACGGTCTATGACATAAAGGCTGTCGAGTGCTGGAATTGATTTCCTTGTCAGTTAGAGCGAAAGAAATCGGGGGTCAACTACGAACAGTCAGCCTCATTGTCTCCGCCAGCTGTTGTTCACGGTTCACCTCCAAAGGTGCCCTTCTGGACAGTCTGCTTTTTGCTGCGCATGCGCCCAACCCGCCACGTTCAAACTTGAGATCGGTGCTGTGGCATGCTATCACATACCAAAGCAAACTCCAAAAGGCAGTTGTTGGTCCTCCTAAGGTGGTGCGTGTAGCGAGCATAATTGGGCAACGAGGGGCGGGAGCAAGGAGTGACCATGGAAGCTATCAAACGAGATGAGCAACCGTCTGACCAGTCGGGGGCACACTCTGACTCTGCCCGAGTCGACCGATGCGGTAGTTTGTGGGAACTACGCCATAATTCTGCTTGCTATGAGTTGCACAGCTCTCTGGACCCCTCGCCTGACATCCTCCACAGCTCGCTGACTCTGTCGACTCCATCTCCTGCCACCTCTGAGCAACACCCACATACCAACACTCTCAACGAAAACAATCACACTCGCCTCGAAAATCATCATACTCTACCCACTCCATCTTCTTACACAAACCACGCGAACACTAAGCACCAACTCTGCCTCGACGAGATGGAGACCGACAGAGGTAGACAAATTCAGACGTCAATTGCCGAGGCCATCCCTGCTTTGGTCAGACTCATTCTCTACTTCGGCGGAATGTCACTCGGAATGGTGTTCATCGCCGCAGTTACCGACTTCATCAACGCACGAACCCCCCGCGCGGTCATGTGCGCCATCCTGGTCATCCTCTTCTGCCTTGGTTACTGGATGACGATGACTACGCTGAATGGATTGGTACGTTCAGGCAGTGCACACTATGTTTTGATGATTTGCGGGTCTGGTGGCCACACTGCGGAGATGATTGGAATGATCGAACGAAGCATTCGTCCTGAAGACTCGTCGCACCGGCGATGGGCCGTTGGTATAGGCGATGAAATGAGCTTCGGCAAGGTCATGGCCTTTGAGCGTCGCCTCATGCAGCGATTCTCCCACCTGGAACTCGACAGCGGCACCTTTGACATTGTGTGGTTCGAACGGGCTCGCGTCGTCCATCAGAGCTGGCTGACTACACCATTCACCGCCGTTCTGAGCATGATCGGAATCTTCCGTATCTTGATCACACCCGCACATCGTCGACCTGCCTCTGCTTTCCGATTCCCTGGTGTCATCGTCACGAACGGCCCTGGCACCGGGTTCCTCTTCCTTTTGGCGGCCCGCGTACTCAAGACCTTCCACGTCGTTCCCAAGAGCCACATGAAAACCATCTTCGTCGAGAGCTGGGCCAGAATCAAGACCTTGAGCCTTACTGGAAAGCTGATTCACCGGTGCAAACTTGCTGACGTATTCATTGTCCAGTCTCGTGGCCTCACCGCCTACGGCATATTCGCAGAGAACATGCCGGCCATGCCGGTGGTCCCTCAGTTCGCTCTCGACCAGCAGTAGGAGGTTAGGGGAGGTTAGGGGGGCTGATGGAGAGGATACACGCTGTGCTGGAAAGTAGGAAGAGACAGTGGGCTGCGATGATTACAGTTGGAGTCTGCGTTGCGATGGGTTACAATCGTTGATCATAGAATCACGAATACAATCATGAACATTCCGGTCTATGCATATACTCCGCTTCCAACCCTGAAGTGAAATACGACTAGCCAGCATGCCTACCTACTGATATTATGGAGAGCTCCGGATGTCTATCCCAGGGCCGTTCCTCTTTGCACTCCCAGCCGCGCCCCGCCTATCGCGTAAATCTCTCGTACGGCCGATTGTTGTAGTATTCGGCGTGTGCGTTCGCCACAATGCGCCGGGTTGCAAATATCGTGTTGAAGGGCATTGACGATGATATACGACGGCCGTTATCGACCTGGACTAGCTCCGATGTTCTGCTGCCTTTCACACAGCAGGGTCGAGTACAGCACCGGCGGGCTAGCCTCCGCCCTTGATATTGGGCATGTCGGAAATGCACAGCGTCTCTAGAACTTCCACTGCAAGAACGCCATACCCGACACACTCCAATCGTTCCGCCTTACATACGAAGCCACATCGGCATTGAACACGAAATTCGTCCCTGCGCCTTCGTCCTGCAGCGTGTATCGCAGCCAAGTTGGATACCCGTGTCCATCTCCATCCGCCAGCACCATGCCGTGCCCGTCCGGGTCGAGGTCGCTCGCAAACGCTGCCCACAATCTGCTCCTCGGCGCCGACACTCTGTCTTACGCGGCTGCCGCATCGTCGCCTAGTATACTGCCGTTGGATGGATTCGTCGCGTATACGGGCCCGTCGATGTTGTCGTACATACACCCTGGCGACCTCCTGGTGGTGCGTCATTCCCGTGGCGGCTGGGATCTCGGCGGGATCTGTGTTGAAGCGGTATCCGGACGACGTCAAGTTGCGCGCAGCTCATGCTTATACTGCAACAGTCAGTACCTCACTGCCCTCAAGGAGATAGCGAGAGATGTTTCGAGCAAGCCCACATTCTGACTATGTCTGAACAGGCACTCCTCGCTCTCGAGGCGTCTAAAGAGATACGGAATAACTGCAAAAGCCACATACCAGTCCCATGCCGTGGCATATGCTCGACCATGTCCCCGAAGAAAGCCGTGATGCGCTTGAACTGTGCGCCCCTTGTCTCCCCCACCTCCGCTGTCAGCGCGTAGCCCTGGGGAACACCCGATGCCCAGCACGGTCGGATACAGGTACTCGACCAAGTCCACCGTATCGACGCTCGCGTACCCGATGGCAGTGTCCTCGTCCGTGCTAGTGCTGTACAAGATGGGAACATGCACGAGGCGGCCGGCCTTCATCTGCGTGTTGTGCAGGTCCTGCGATGTCGCCGTCCACGACAGGCACCCACCGCCCGAGCCCCCGAGCCCGCGATCCAGGTATCGGTGATATCGAGTCCCGCGACGAGCGTTGCGAAGGGCAGCGCGCACATGCACTCGAACGAAGACGTCTCCTTCACTATCCCTGGCATCCCTTCACTCGGTGGTATATTGCCGAAGTCTATGATAAATTTCGGTACTAGGGCCAAGCAGAGATTCACCGACCGTCACGCGATGACTTGCATACGTAAACTAGGTTCGCTATCTTCTATTCTTGCGATGTTGCATACGCTGATTTCTGTAGCATGGACATCTAAGATCTATGTAAGTACGCCGGTATCCAAAGAGGCCCGTCTCGCTCACAGTGGCCGCTGTCTATGTTCTCGGGTATCCTCAACTCTCTCGTATGCTCTGTAGGCTTCCAACCGCACATTTATTACCTCAGATGCCATTAGTCTTTCGTCAGTTGATCGTCCTCTTCAAATCCTTGATGGTGAACATCCTCGATGCGGTTTCAAAGCTGTGCTTGACGTTCTCTGAAGCATACACCCTCATCTCCTTTTCGAAAGCTTCGGTCACACCATTCCACCAACCACCCTTGCTGCCCAATAACCTTCCCAAAAACTCGGCATCGCGAAGGGCGACATTGGCACCGACGCCACCAGCTGGTGTCATCGCATGGACGGCGTCACCCATCAGCGTGACACGGGGAGACTGCTCCCACTCAGGGACACCCTTCGGGTCTGACGTGGCCATCTTCAGAAACGCGGCCTCTTCGACTACCTGGTCGTCGAGTACCGGTCTGACTTTGGTCGACCAGTTGCTCGTGATCTCCTTCGATAGGTCGGCCGCCGGCTTTCCAGAGAGGGAAAAGTCATCGTTCGGTGCTGAGAACGAGCCAGGCTGACCCACCAGCACCCAGCCGAGCTTCTCCTCGCCTTCTCTGACGTTGGTGATCATGGCGAGCTTGCCATATTTCTCCGAGTCCTCGGATAGGGAGAAGACGCCCACGCCCAGCCCCGCGAAGGAGGCGAACGGGGAGGATCCGTGAATCATGCGCGCGCCAGTGTCAAACACCTTCAACTGGCCCTTCGTAAGTTGCTTCGTGACGGCCGAATGCACGCCGTCCGTGCCGACGAGCAGGCTGCCCTCCGGACTCTCAGATCCGTCGGCGAACTTGGCGATGACCCCAGATTCCGTGAGCGCGTATCCTATGGTGTGCTTCCCAAATTGCACCACGTCCTCGATGCCCTCGAACAACTGGTTGCGCAGGAATGCTCGGTCCACACCGAGCACCTTTCCCCCTCCCGGAGCGCCGCCCGACGGACCGCCAGAAGTCTTGGCCTTCAAAGTGACGGCGTCGAGGGGCGTAATCTTGCCTGCCCCATTGTCTGAGCATCCTGCCTCGAAGCGGCGGTAATCGTCCGCGTTCATGATGGCTCTTAGCGCATCTTGGCCCTGGGATGATATGCGGATCCGGTAGCCCTGCGTTCGCGACGCGCCGACTGAGTCGCGCTCATACAGAACAAATGGTATCTTGTGCGAACGAAGGGAGCGCGCCAGGCTTAGGCCAGCGATACCTGCGCCGGAGATGAGGACTGGCTTTGCGATCGACATAGTAGACTGTTGTTTTGGTTTTGAATGGTGTGGGAGTGATGATGGGTCTGGCCTGAATGAGAGACGAGGTGGTTGGAACTTGGTTATATACTATCTTGGGCAACGAATACAATGTTGGTGACTCCTGAGCGCCGTGTTTCTAATCACTTCCCCAGCTCCTCGTTGTTGCTAAGCCGACTACCTCGTGGATGCGTGCCGAAGGCCGAACTCAGTCGCGAACATTACCAAGCCTGTAGATGTGGTCCTAGCTGAGATGTCCTAGACAGCCTCCTCGGTCCCGAGAGCCCATTTGCCCTCGATCCTTACGTCATCATCAATGATCTGAGGACCAATTCGGCCAACGCCACAGTGTCAGCAGCCACACTGGGCTGAGCCTGGAGATTACCCCTATTTGAAGCAAGCAGCTGTCGAAAGGGGCATCTGTAGCTGTTTTCCATTATGATTAACGCTTGGATCTCTTTGATATCTTCCTTTGTTGGTCAGAACAAGGCATGCATGGCAAGGACACTGCTTAAAGGTAGTCTTCACGCTGGTGAATAATGTTAGGCGCTGCAGTCCACTGAACCCCTCTGTCATGTCCGGGGTCTCCCCAGACATGTGAAGTCAACGCTGCCTCGAGTTTCTTAGCCCTCCGGTGAAGCTGACCGGGAGAAAGCCCAAGAACCATGCGTCCTGTTCGCCCAACAAGATCCACACCATGACCCGTAGTTCTAGTTGTTCGCCATTGACTACATATCGTATCTGCCTAGAAGTGTTGTGTGTTGTTTGCTAGCCACGTCCACGATGCTGCGATAAGTCTAGCAGACTTCATGACGGATTTCGTCCAGGTTTCAAAGCAGCCCAAGTATGTTTGCCTATGGCTACGTCAGCTTTGGAGCCTCTTATCACCAGGTCACTGTCTTGCCGTGAGTCTCCCATCTACAAGGTGCTAGCCGGTCAGCCCAATCATGGGGGGGAAATCAGGCTCAATGCCTACCATTCACACTAGTCGATTACAGCTGTGGATGTTAACATCACGCTTGACATTTAGCCTTACAAGTTGGGTTTCATGATGTATTCAATGATTTTCCAATATCCCCTCGTCCTCGTCTACGTCTGCCTCCAAACGCTGATGTTCATGGTTAGCTTGAGTACCATCGTCTTCTGGCCGCGAAATTCCTGAAGACAGTTCCACATGTATCTACTTAACACACCTGCACGCATCGCGTCTTGAGCTTGGCTTTTACCAGTGGGACATTGTCTGCCATAATATATACGAGTTGCATATTCGGCACCTGCCTGTATCTCCTGACACATCTCGACTGCTCGCAGCCTGGCATGGATCCGCTCTGCGCTCCAGTTGCTACGACGAACGGACCGGGGTATGGCTGGGACTCAAATACACGAGGGCATAAACCCAGAGCAGGGAGACGTCAGTGGGATGCGAGACATGAGTATCCTTCTTCTGACATTTCAGTGGCAGCCTCCAGGACAGGCAGACTTTACAAGTGGACGGATGTCCACGGTTGGTGGCTGACAATAGAAGGAGACATCTCTACAACTGAGGCTGTAGCTGCGTGATAACTGTCATGATCTTCCAAGAGGCAGGTGAAGCACTCATATAAACAAGTATTAGACTGAGCTTCATACATACTTGGATACATAGGTCGAATCTTGTGTGTAGGAAAACAAGAGGGCTTGCAGGCGTAGGCAGTGACTTTCTGCCAGTCGTCAACAGTCCCGTCAGTCGTCAAGCCGTTGCCATCGTTGAACTTGCCGTCGCCCCGGTCTGTGCAGCCTACATACATCTCACATGCATCTTCCACCACCTGACCCACGTCTCAATATTTCTCTTCGAGGGAAAAACAACTGGCTGCGTGAACTCTCAAGCCATTGATCCAAGTATAGGTGCCTCGACCCAGGTTTTTGTAGTCTCAGGCAACCGTGGTAGGTTGACCTTCCTGTTGATTCCTCTTCTCCCAGACCCCCACCACCTTTCCTTCCTCCTTCACCTTTCCCCAAACACTCACCATCTTCCTTTCTTCCACCATCCACCTCCAGCATCACCTCTTCTTCCTGCTGCCTACACAACGCAGCAGCCATCCTCATTGCCCCATCCAACCATTTCTTCTTTTATACAATCTTCACACGTGAGTTCCCTTCCTTTTCCACCTGCTGGCACCGTCTCTGCGTCTTCAGGGCCACGAAACTTCACGCATTACGCATCACGCATCACCCCCAGAGGCAAGCTTCCTACTTCTCTTTCTGCCACCACATCTGCTGACTTCTCCATCCTACAGACGCAGAACGCAGCAGCCATCACCTCTTCATCTCTCATGTCTGACGAGATGGCCAAGACAGGTTCCCAATCCTTTGCCTGGCTCAAGAGCCACCGCATCAGTAAGTTACTTGAGATCCTGCATGCGCATTCCCTTCCCCAGCTCTTCCTATTCCCTTGTGTCGAGGCTACCTGCGAGCACACCCTGAGATCTCTCTGGGTTTGGTTGTATGGGACCCCTCGCCATCTCGACACCTACAGCACTCGCATGCACTGTTCGCGGAGCGAGCCTACCCGGGAGCGTCCCCCCGACATGCCGCCTTCGGTGCTGGTCATGCCCCTCGCACTGAGTTTTGAGGCCTTGCTCTGCACCTCCAACTTTCAGCAACGGAGCGGAGCTACCCGGGACTCGTCCCTTATTCCATGGTACTCATCATCGGGAATCGTCGTATTATCCTGGGTCGTCTCGATGCCTGCAACATGACTCCCCCCACGCACACACCACGTTCTGCTCAACCAGCAATGTCGATCCGAAGGACTCGAGCTAATCCCTTTCCAAGCAGGCACGGACCTACCACCGCCTGCCATACCACCGTATAACTGGCCTCCGGTCAGATTTGGAGCAATGGCGAATTCTGGACCCAAGCCAGCTGGTGCTGCTGGTAGCGGGGCCAGTCCGAGCAATGTGCTATTTCAGAAGCACTATCGGTGAGTCGCGTTTTTCATTTACACATTTGGTTTGCAGCAGCGGCATGGTAGGTACTCGTTTTGGATTGTCCAGGTTGGTGGCAGTTCAGACGCTTGTCACCACCGTGAGAGTTGAGAGTTGGGCTCGTCCCAGGTCCAGTACGAATGAGAGCGGATTGACTCCGGGTTCTTTATTGATCGGACTGTCCGGATTATCTTTGCCGGCGGTCCTTTCTGGCCAATGATTTTCCGGCCCCTGGACGACAGCCACCTGCACTGGACTTCACTTGGTCCTCACCCTGAGTCACGTGACCGGCTCCCCTATCTCCTGGCACCAACATCACCATCAACTACGGGCTTGAACAATGGCACGCACAATGCATTCCAACAATGGAGTTATTGGACGCAAAAATGGGAACAGAAGCTACATTGATATATCTGGTTGGCTTGGACCAAATATATTCTACGAACCATGAGGTTATCCCACAACTCCACCATCACAACTTCCTTCGACTGCCTGCAGCTACCACTTCTGGCACCTCGGATTTCCTCTTCATATCCCACAGGCCGAAGGAGTCAATATCATTGCGATTGATTCAGGTAACGGCCCCACCCTCACCGAAGCAGCAGCCTGAGACCGGCACGTAACAATGTCGGAAATCCAAGGTCACCAGAGTGCCTAACTCCAGCAACATTGATGCCTTGCATCAACCCGCAAACTTTCCTCTCATAATACCAACTCCTGCACCACTTGCCCTACCTCTCTTGCACAAGATATTTTACTACTGCCCTTCCTTTTCTGGAACACCACCAACCTCCAACTCTTTTTCTCCAATCCACATCCACCCTCCCCTCTCACTTAACCTCACATCATCCACTACCTCACTCGCCATCTGCTCAACTCCATCTCATTTCGTCAATACATACTTTCGGGCTTTAGACGTACTGCGGTGCACTCAACATACTTATCCTGGGATCCTGAGCTACTGCAGCGCACGCAGCATCTGACCAAGCTCCAGCCATTTTTGACACTCTCGGGAACATTTCGGCTACCTGGGCAATCTGAACTACCTTGCTCGCTTCCTCATTACTGCTCTGCGTCGTGGGATACATCTTCACTCTTCGTAATGGCGTCTAACTATCGTTATACTAGTTCGGACAACTCGAGCGGTGGTGCACCACTGCGCGGCGCTTCCGACTCGGCTCCTGTGCACGACAGCACCAAGACTGAGTCTCTCACTGATGAAGAGGCCAAGCTTGCTCAAGCCTCCAGCAAGTTCCCCAGCTTCAACGATCCGTTTACTGCACAGCCCAATTACCCCCAGTCGGTACCCCCTACGCATCGACTCGGACGAGGAACTCCTTACTCCCAGTACAACTCCCAGTACACGGGCTATGCGCAGCGCATCCCCCCTTCTCCCGCGCCTTCCGCTCCTTTCGGTATGCAGAACAACGCCAGCTCGGCCGTCGCTAGACTTCGTCAATCAGTCTCCACCGATTCGTCCCGATCTGGGTACAATGGTCACGTCACCTCCTACGACGCTGATGTGAGTTTTCTCTATTATCCGCTTACTCACCTTGACTTGGTATGCTAACTAGACATAGCCATGCCAGGCTATGAGCAACTCTGTCCGCCGACGACTCATGACGGCTACCCAGTATATCAAGGTTTCTCCTGGTGTTGCCAATGAGGTCGCCGAGACCCATACCCAAATGCTTGAAGAGACCACGCAGGTCTTTACCCAGCTTGTGGTCGCCCTGAGAGACGAGCGCGACCAAGCGCAGAGATCCAAGGAGGAAGAGGTGGAGCGATTCAAGCGCGCACTCTTTGACGAAGGTCAATCCAAGTCCCAGCGCGACAAGGCGCTACAAGATGTCAAGGCTGCAAACGAGCGCATCAAGTCCCTTGAACAACAAGTTGAGGAGATGCAGGCTCAGCTCGACGTGCTCGAAATTCAACTCAAGACGGTGAACGAAAGCGCAAAGCGCTTCCAAGATCACCATTCCAAGATCACCAAGGAGTACAAGAGCCAAGATGAGCAGCACTTCAAGCAGATTAATGTAAGTCAACTGTGAGGAGACTGATGTTACCGCGGCTAAATCTTCTGTCTCAGGTTCTGGAGAACGAGATCAAGGTTCTTCGCGAAAAGAACCGCGAGCTTTCTGCTTCTGCTGGCGTGCCCGAGTTCGACGGATCCGTTACAGGCGCCGAGTTCCCCTCCCCCACCATTCCCGAGTCATGTACTCAGGACCAGGAGCCCCCGAAGGACCAGGAGCCGCCGAAAGACAAGTCTAGACTCAACGAGAGAGACGCTGCGATGCTTCTTGAAGGCCTGCAGCAGACGGCGCGACAGGCAAAAGACGGTTTCAAGCCGAACCCTCAAGCTCCAGCTTGGGCGCCGCCGCAGACTGACGAGAGCCCGGCAACTGTGACGCCGACTGCCAAAGGCAACCGTACTTTCGGTCTCGCACGCAAGGCTAAGTTTGACAGCGCCACTGTGGCCAAGAACAGATCGAGGGCCGCCAGCTATGCGCTCAAGAAGTACGAGAGCGAGACGGAGCACGCAAGCCCCCGCCCTGGCACTGAAGAAGAGGCATTCCCCTACAAGACCACTATGTCGAAGTCACTCGTACCAGCGGGCTTCACAGGAGGCATGCCGGGAGGTTACCCGACGGATTCGCCTCCCACCCGCGGCTTTGTGCCTAAGATGAGCTACACCGCCTACGACCCCAACGACATGGTAGAGTACAGTGCCATCAAGCAGGGTCCCGGCCCCAAGGGCACGATCAACCGTCAGAAGGCGCGGTGGGACGAATCGGATGTTCAGGATGCTATAACGCACCTCTACGAGCTGTGCAAGGGATACATCGCCAGCTGCCACAAGCAGGGCCCTTCCAGAACGCCGTACCACCTGTTGCAGCAGAACGAGCACAACACGTGGATGTACCTCATCGGCCTGGCCTACAGGGACCCGCAGCACGCCTCTTCCCATGTCCAGTATCTCTTGAGCACTGAGGCTTTCGTCCCCTACCTGATTCATCGCATGTGCGTCGATTATTTATTCCAGAAGCTGATTTCGCCCAGCGCGTATCTGGGATTCTCGTCTGAGATGGACGCCCATCTCGGTGCTATGCAGGATCAGATCGCTTCTTTCTCTGGTAAGTTGCACACTCTATATCCTGGTGCCACACCCTTCTTTGAGCAATCCAGCCACTGACCATGTTTCCCAGATGGCAATCAGCGCATCGCCAGCCGTTCCCGCCAGCGTGTCATCGAGGAACACGCCCGCCTGATCAACGCCATCGCGGCATCTCCCGAGTTTACCTCCTTCCGTGCGACGACCATCGAACGCCATGCTAACATGCTGTGCCGCTTCCTGGAACCTCTGCGCTCAACGTCGGTGTCTAGCGAGCAGGCTCTGAAGTCTGTCAAGATCATGGTCGCGGCCACCTTGGACATCAGCGTCAAGATCTGGACCAGCGGAACGACCCTACACTTCAAATTCCCAGAGTGCGGCAGCAAGTTCGCCTTCGGCACCATGGACGCCCTCAACGGCCAGCAGTTTGCCCAGACCCCTGGCGACTTGCAGTACTCTCAGTGCCGCGTCTCTCTGGTCGCCACTCCGCAGTTGACTCTTCGAGATGACCGTGACGGTACGCACCTGAAGTGCTTCGGCATTCAGAAGGCGCAGGTCTTGGTTATGAAATAGACACCATAACGACCATCTCAACACGGAGTACAACCCCACTTCTTACACATACTACTCCGCATGTTAGATTACCGGACCTATCGAGGATTCCAAGGTTCATCTTTCCCTACTCTCAATACACTTTCCGACAACGGCCTGGCATCATTGCCACGAATACACCACATTCGGCAATGAGGCCTGGGGATTCTCCTTTGGTATTTTCTCGGTTCGGCGGTTTTCCTATTACTCGTCTTTTCGACTTCATGGGGTGATGAAGTCTAGGAGGTGTGACCAATACGGTCCTATTTGCCTCGCGCGTCACTCTTTCACACCTACGGTTCCCATCCGCAGTGAAGACATGCCGCATTTTCCAGTTTACTACGGATGCCAAGAGGTTACGACTACATGAGTCTACGAGATACGACAAGGTCTTGCATACGTTTTCGGACTTCCGTTCGAAGGAGCACGTATCGCAGACAGACCTTTCCGTCTCATCTCCGAAGTCACTCGACGAACTTCGGCATCTTCATCAGAAAAATCAGAAAATCCAAAAACACCAGCAAAACCTACAAAACCCCGGCGCAAAAAAAAGTTACCCCAACTCCGCCTGACCGGGCAAGGCACCCATTACACCCTTGCATCATGTTGCTTATGAGATACGACTTTCTGCTAACGGTGTCTTTCCCGGAACCATTCCGACGACACTTTTTCACTTTCGGACTTTCTTCAGTCCCATAATTCCATCTCCTTCTTTTCCGGCCGTTTTCCGACCCGACCTTGGTTTCATTCACTTGACGACCACTGCTGGTGTTTCCCGCACCGCCCGCCTTCTGACTCCCGCGCCGCCACGTTCTTTGCGCCACTTTCGCCAAGCACACACGCACAGCAACACGCAGCACCACAGCAGAAGCAGAGCACCGCACGGAATGGTTTCATTGCGCCACCACGGATCTACAGCTCGGACGTCCTACATTTCGGTCTTTTTTCGTCTCTTCTCTCCGGAGCTGGACACTTACAAAGCCGAATGAACATGGGAGCCTACACACTTTCTTTCCTAGTCATCTCACTAATGGTCCTCAATCAAGGAGACAACACCACAAAATTTTCTTCACGACTCATGATCTGGACGACTTCGGCCTCAGGTTGGAAATGCAGGAAAGGGACTCAATTCAGCTCGCACCTCGACATACACCCCACGTGTTTCAAACCCGACTTTTGAGCTCTCGCCCTCATCTTCCGAGCTCCGGCACTTCCGCAGTTTCTCTCCTACGACAAAGGTTGGATGACCAATATGGTCTGGCACGGTCTTCGGGTTGGGTTGAAAGATTCCCGCTGTTTTGCAAAGGGAGACATCAGTTTCTCTTCTGCGGAACTACTTTAGGGTATCTCATGCCGCTCGTTGGTACCTTTCTTTGATCGGTACAGGCCATCCGGGCTGGGATTCTGGCTGTACGGGAGGAATGGGATAGTTGGCTCGCGCCTAGGTTGTCAGTCCAATCACAGTGATTATTGCAGACAATCCCTTGTTTTGGCTTGACGAGTTCTTGTGATATGTAGTTTTTGTCGTGATGTGCCATACTGAAGTGTTATGAGTTGGCAGCCCATTGCAACTTACCACAAGACGGCGCTGAAGCTCACAACGTCGCAACTCGCTGAACTGAAAGTATACGCTCCTGATCCATGTAAGATATCGAACTTGAAGTCGCCTACCGCTCCCTATCCAGTCAAGTAGACCTTCCCTACCCACCGTCTAGGTACCTTACCTAGGTAGCCAGGCACCTGGGCAGCTAACCCACCACCCGTATATAGTAGCCCGCATTAGATCATCATCCACCAGCACTCCACTGAAGACCTTTAGCTACCTGAGGCACTCGGCCCATTATACTAGGCACTGCGGCTTCTTCATCAAAGCCCAAGGAACCCGACTAGCCGCGCATCCTATAGACTCCCACCTCGGGTAAGCTAGTGATCCATAGACGACAAGGCGCCAACGGACGATAACCTGGCCTCTCCGGCCTTGTCATCTTCTTATACTCATACTTTCATGCGCTCCTTTTCGATGCGGCCACCACCCTCTGCCGTATTGCGGCACCCCCAGTAGGTACGTGACCAACAACACCATCCAAGGAATCTGACCACGCCCAGCGAGGAAAGCCAGACCGCCGTAACTCATGGTCTTGCTACATGCTATATGACAGGCACCTCAGACATCCAGGCCTCGACGAGAAGGCCGCTCACCTATACCCGTAGCCCCGCGTGGTAGGATCACCCGTCCGTGTTGATCTTGAAGCAAGTGTGCGAGTGGGAAAGGCGAAGACGATAGGAGAGGTGAGGGTCGAACATACAATGATCGTATCTCTAGCTTCATTCAGCAGCTCATCAATCGGGGAAGGGCAAGGATGCCAAAAGCCATAGTTAGACGAAGCAGACGGAGAACAGAAGGATGGTATTGAGTAGATGTTCCGGCCTGCATATCATCGAGTCACTAGGATCGTGGTCGGTCCTGTTCCCTGTCTTGCTGGCTGGGACCACAGCTTCGCCGCGGTATGGTATCTGCTCTCTCGATTCGCTCGTTCGTCCACGACGCAGGCCTCGCGCGTGGATGGGCGAAAGCGACAGATTACAGATTAATCACATGATAGTAGGAACGCGGCGCATTTGGGCGAAAGGAAATCGGGATTGTTGGGCGGATCGCTTTGTCCAGCAAACAAAGCCCCAGTCGGTATCTGTCACATGGAACCATGTAACGCTTATAGAGTCTGAAACCCAAGAAACACGAGCAGAATATTAAAATAGAGGCGTGATCCCAGAGGGCATCTTAATCCACCCTTCCAATCCAAACCAGACGAACAGACCGTGTCTCTTATTGAAGAAAAGGTAAAAAGATCAAAGAACACAAATAGCCCCCGCCCAGGCTCAAACCCCCCTCGCCCCAAGAACGAGATTCAACAAAAAGAAAGGCTCTGATTGGACGTGGACTGTAAAGGTGTGGTCTAGCACTACATCAACCTCCGGAAAATGTGGATGGTTTTCCTCAAGCAAGACTGGTAGACCAATCCGCCAGGTCGATTGATTGCAATTCCTTGCAAGCACCTTGAATTCCTTACAAGCAATCGACCCGGTGCGTTGGAAATTTTGCTCATATTAGGCCTTATATCCCCCACCCCTTAGTGCCCAGGAGGCTCAGCCGCATCCAAGTGCTTCTATTGTTGTCGGCGTCGTGGACGCACGTGACTGACTGCTCGCACGCACAGTGGGTTCTTTGCTCCAGCTCCAGCTCCGTCTACCAACGTTACAGGGCATTAATCACTGGGTACATGCATATAGGTACACAGGCAAGTCATACCTTACGGTCAGTTCGTTTCATAGGTACCTAGATGTGTTGCGCGCGTGCCACCAACACAGGTAGCCGTCCCAGCACGCGAGCGACAAACGGCAAGCGAGAAACACATGGCATTCTCCACGAAGTATCTTCTACGCCGCTGCAAACGGACGGAATTCGCCCTGCGTTACAGTTACTCGGCGCCCGCAGGCATCCCCTGCAACGAGCGGAGGCGTTGGTGATACCGACTGCGCGGTTCGTGCGACAGTTGGGTTCACTGAAAGGGCATGTGATACCGAGCGTACGGTTAGGGTGGGTGTTTGGTGTTGGTGGCGGCTATCTGAGTGTTACGTCGTCACCCCTCAATCATTCCTGGGGATTGAGATCCCATCTGTTCCTCGTTTTAGTCAGGCGCACGGCGCATTGGCTGATGTGTAGACGTGATGGGTGGATGGTATGTTGCGCTCTTCTTAAGTCGCAATGGTGCTCTTGTTAAGCTAGGAAGCATCAGTAGCTAGAGACATCGTGGCATAATATCACAGAGCGTGCGAGGGAATGGGAGACAGTGCAGATGTAATATCATTCATGTTTTTGTGATCGAGCCATGCCACCCAGTTCTCTGTCTGAGAGACTATTCCGGCATGCCATATCTGTCCGTGGCTCTGTCCACCGGACTAGTCCCTCATGCCATTCACAACGAATCCGGGGTTCGTGTATGTAAAATCTAGTAATACAATGAAGAAAGAGGAGAGGTTTGCCAAATGGCAGCCCTTCCCGTGTAAGAAGAACGTAGTCTCGTAAGGAGACCATGAGAGAGCCACCAACGCCGTTACCATCGATCTGCCTGTCCATCGACCCATCTGGTCCCTTCCGCCGCCGCCAGAAACGCCAGAGCCAGTGAGATATGGGTATCAAGAGATGCTTCCTCCTCTCCTTCCTCTGTTCAAACCTTGGTTTCGCGATCGTGTATCGTCGGTAAAAGAAGAGAAGAAAAGTCGGGCACTAATATCTCGACGGAGCGCGCAGGGTGGGAACGTCATCCAAGCGCTTGACCACGGAGCCCAGGAGGACCTTCAGAATGCCATCTGCAGTGAGGGTGCGCTGGCCGCTTGCGTCGTCGAAGGTGGCCGTGTCGACGATGTCGCGCATGGCCTCCGGGCCCCTAATGTGGTTGCCGAGTTCGTCGTCAAGCCGGCGCAGGGCCTCAGTGGCTGACGGGTCGTTGCTGACCTGGAAGAACTGCACGCCGAGCTGGATCAGTGGCGCGTCCACCTTGTCGAGGCGAATGGCGATCTTGGTTAGGGGCAGGTCGACGTCGTCGGTGGGGATGCCGTCGGTGATGACAATGATGTTGAGCGGCTTGAGGCACATCACGTCGCCCGTCTCCCTGAGCTTGTTCTCGTACAGTTTTACGTAGGTATTCATTAAGTAGTTTAGGCGCGTGCCTGTAGGCGTTACGCCAGTGGGCTCGATTTCCTGAAACATCTCCCGGACCTGAGAAAGGCTTCCCACGTTGCGGTAACCGGTGCCAGGAGTGCCCTTTTTGGCGTCGCCTTTGTCGCGCGACTTGTGGTTCAGGAAGAACACATCGACGCCGTCCTCATCGTGCGCCGTGCAGATGGGCACGATGGTCGCGAGGGCGTCCTGCGTCTCCTTCCATGATCGTCCACGCATGGAGGATGAGTCGTCGATCAGGAAGACGGTGTCGAAGGACGACAGGAAGGCATATGGGTCTTCTTCCGTGCTGGCGTTTTTGGCTGAGAGGAATCGGTGAGCGGTCTTGTTATTAATATGGGAGGCTGACGCTGGAAATGCACCTGAAGAGGGACCAGCTGGAGAGGCTCCTGTCGCAAAATCGTAGGAGGGCGGAAGCTCGCGGGGTCCGCTGGGTCCGCCCTTGGAAGCGTTGCTACCGCTGCGGCGACGACCCGTGATGGCGCCGAGGATGCTAGAGCCTAACGACGATGATTTCTGCGAGGACACAGACTTGCTCCGATGGAACAGCGATGTCTTGGCGCCGGTCTGCTTAGGCTCAGGACTGAGCGCATCCTGGTGAGCTTCAAAGGGGTTGCCCATTATGGCGACTTGCTTTCTATGCTGGACTTGCTGTTGGAGTATTGGCTACGGTAAGTTCTGCCAATAGTGACAAATTTGGGTGCGGTTGTGCTTTCGTAAGATGATGGTGGTGGTCGAGAGTCAGAGTCAGGTGGAGGATGCAGAGCGACTGAGCGCATTTGTAGGAACTGAAGAAGGGCAGGAAAGCGAAAAGCTCGAAGGAAGCCTGCACGTGGACTCTTGCAAGTTGGATTGTTCCTTCTGTTTGCGTTGGGGCAGTGTAACACAAGATGCGATTGCTGGTCTGAACCTTCAATGAAGTGGCAATCAAGTGCATGTGACGAGTAGAAGGTACCTTGGAGACTGAAGGTAGACTGGTGAAGCTCTCTGTTCGTCGATGTGATATAGCGTGGAATGCTGGTGGCTCACGCTACCTTATATCGCAGCGTCTGGTGTGTCCGAAGTCAGCGATACGCCCACTGATCAGCCTAGGAGCTATGCAGACGAGGCACTCTAGCCGTGGATCCTCAGGGACGAAGAAGGTTTGGCTTAATCTTAAAGCTTCCACAGGACACTTCAAGGTATGGAGTATCGAATAGGTAGGTACAATTCGATGATAGGAGGCACTGCATGGTATGAGGTATGTATAACATAGCCGGACGCGAGGCTGTGTCGTCCAAGTAGAAAGGACAGAATGCGGGGGACAACCTCTGGTATCACATTCGAAGCTGTTAGTCATTTTGGTGTTACCTCTCAGCCCGCACTAACACCTGACGTTGGGGGCTATGCCGGCAATGATGCATCTAAGCCTCAGGCGGACTACCGCAGACTTTCCACGTGCAAGCACCCCTGAACTGTGCCACAATCCATCATTTCTACCTATTTACCATTGGTCAATTGCAGTTGCGTTCGGCTCTACTGCCCCCATCATGCGATGAGCAACCGGCCAGCCGGTAGTGAGGAAGAGTCCGGCGTGGGCCCTGAACTTCTTTGTTGCTCATGGTTGAACGCAAGGCATCTTTAGCTCCAGCATGTTGCTCGACTCGCTGATGCCATCCAGATGATACTCACTGCCCATGGGATGTAATCATTCTGTCCGATCAAGTGTCTGACAAGCTGTAAGATGGGAACTGCTGACTCTGCTTCTCTCGTCGACTTCTGGTGGTTTCTCAGTGGTCACGAAATCTACGGGAAGCACGTAATGGTAGGAGACTGGATCTGAAAAAATTTCTGGAGGAGGCGGCTAGCCAGGCTCTCTTATATAGACGGCCAACACTGGGCCGGCACCGAGCTTGGGAGGCGCCTCTTGTTTCATGGCCGCATGGAACGAGGCCATGGCTGGCGGGCAGACCCGAGCCAGCCCTATCGGTCCTTACATAATAATCATACAAAAGCTGCCTTGTCCATGTCCCAATTCTGCCGCTGCTCTTGTGTATAATCACTCAGCCCCAAAGCGGCGCCGTGACCTCGACCGCGCGCTCCACCACAGCCTTGACCCTGTCCGCGAATACCTTCTGGTTGCACTCGACCTCGAGGTCCTCCAGCCAGACCGTAGCGAGCATCTTATCCACTTTGATCGTGACGCCGGGCACGGGGATGCCAACGCGATGCAGCCGCTCCAGTTCCGTCTTCTGCCGCAGCTCGAGGAGCCGCTCCTCCTCCTCGCCGTCGTCCGACAGTTCCATAGACGCGTCCGAGTCGGCATCGTCGCCTCCCTCTGCCTTCTTGGGCTTCTTGTCCTTTGTCAACGGTGGCAGTTTGGGCAAGGCGACCGGTGCCACCGCGTCCGCGCCGAACTGCGCCTCGAGGAAGAGGAAGAGGCGCTCGAGCCGTTCCTGCGGAGTCAGATTGGCGTGTGGGTTGCGCTCTGGAAGCTCATGAGTATGCGAGTGTTTGCTCGCGGATTCTATTCCCATGGTCAATCAGCTGTTCGATGTGGAAGCGCGCGGGGACTTACGCTTTACCGCAGCAGGACTGCTTTCGGTAGAAAACAGAACTGCCATGACGGCATCGGCGATGCCATCGTTCAGCATGTTACCCTCCCACTCTAACTCGACCTCTCCGTTATTGCGGTATCGCACCGTGACACAACCCATCACCAGGTAGGCCGCGACAAGTTGGGTAATCTCCTCATCCGCGTCCTCCGTCTTGGTATCGCCATTCGCAACATCATCGCCGTTCTTTTGTGGCTTGGGCTGTGGCAGCTCCTCGATGTTGCCAAACGTGCCCTCGAGGGCCCACTTGATGAGATCTATTCCCGCCGCACTGAGCATGAACTTCTGTCGACACGCGATTGTCGATGTGGTAAGGCCCGCATACTCTCGCAGATCTTCAGGGTCCATCAAGGACATCTTGAAGTCGTTCTGGACTATGACACCGGTTACGAGCTCCGAGTGTTGGCTATCGGGTGTCGGTAGTTGTCTTGGTGGAGGGATTGATGCAAGCTTGCCGACTACTTTGGCAATCTTGTCCGTCTTGAACGGTATCCGTAACTCTTCGCAGTTCCTGGGACTGTATACCTTGACTTTGTCGATCTTAGCCGAGTTCAGGGAAAGCAGCTTGGACTTGAGCCTCATCATGTTGTGTTGTTCGCCATGGACCAGAATCTAAGCAAGTTAGCCAGGTAACCGAGAATGTCATGAGAGTTACTAACCACGACGGGGGCCGCGACTTCCTCGATAAACTCCCTGTTCTCCTGGCCGTCGACATGTGCGGCGAATGAGTATTCGGCCACACTACATCGTCGAGGTATCAATACCTTCTCGTTATCCCCACCAGGTGCCCTCCGAACGGCATTGATGTTCCTGGACATGACGGCCTGGATCTGCTCCGGCTCCTGGACGATCTGCTTTGCCATTGTCCCCTCGACACTGTAACCAGTGATTATAACGCCGTTCTTATCACTAGGAGCCCATCTCTCTAGGAGCTCGCGGCTGACGCCGTTCTGCAGCATACCGGGACTTGCCAACATGACGCAGCTTCCAACATCATCAAAGCGGTCAAGGTTCTTGAGAGATCGAATGTATTTGAAATCCCAGGGGCCACCCTTTGCGGCGCCGTCACCCGCGGCTTCGGCTTCAGCTATACGCTCCCGAAACAGGCGTTTGATATTGTCGTTCATCGCTCCTACGTATGTCTGGTATACAACCATGCACTTCCGAGCCAGGTTACTCGCATAGTAGATGGGGACTTTCTGATACTCTTGGTGCTTGCCCCAGTATTCGTCGAGGATCAGCAGCAACTCTTGTGCTCGACCGAGGGCGAAAACGGGCATCAGCACACGACCGCCGCGGTTAATGATGTTCGTGATAGACTTCATGAGCGCCTGTTCCCTCTCGAGTCGCGGAACATGAGTTGAGACGCCATAGGTTGACTCGGTAATCAAGACATCAATCTTGATGCCTCTGGGGACTTCAGCAGAGACAAGATGTCGATCCTGCTCTCGGGAATAGTCGCCAGTGAAGAATATGTTGAGCCCAGCTATCTCGATCAGAAACATAGCAGCCCCTAAAACATGGCCGGCAGGGTAAGGCGTGATGCGGATGGATGAGATGGTGTGGGTGGTGTGGTAGTCAATTGCTTCGATCTGCGGAAATGTATTGAGATGATCCTGCTCTGTGTACACAGGCTGTGATGTCGGATTTGAAGAGGTATTGCCAACTCTGACGCTATCTTGAATAAGCCATTTGTAGATGGCCTTGGTCGGGTGTGTCATGAAGACCCTGCCTCTGAAGTTGGTCTTGGCCAAGACGTAAGGAAGAGATGCGGCATGGTCTATGTGGAAACTTGTAGCTCGTTAGCATTGGTTTGCCTGAGGTAGTAAATGACTATACGAGGACGTAGGCGATGGAGCGGAAACGTCACAATAGTCAAGAGTGCTACCGGTTGGGTCATGGAGTAAAATCTTGTATTGATAGCTGAGTACATGAGAGGAAAAGAACACGCAGTGTGTCCGCGATCCCAGCCGCAAGATGATGCATGGAGTTGCTTGGCCGGAAAATAAAGGGTCTACTAATGCGAAGCTTGTGGGAGTATGGGTTGCCCATGACTCCAACCGACAGGGCCCTCGACTATTCACACCGGCAATGTATGGCGTAAAGGGGATGGAACCAGAGAACTTACTGGCTGATGAGGAGGACGTCGACGGTACTAAGATCGAAGTCGTCGTAGAAAGGCAGCGCTGCCAGACCGTCGTATGCCGGATGTTGGCCAGCATCAAGCTAGAAGAACGCTGTCAGCCCCATGCTCTGCACTTTTCCATATGGCCCGAGAAATCAAAAGGTATGCGCGCACCATAACGGTTTTGCCCTTGTATTGTATGATGTGACACGATCTTCCCACCTCGTTTCCACCTCCCAGACAGAGGAACATCAGCTCATCGGAAGGGTCGACTGGTTCTTCGGCGCTAGGGGTGGCCATCGCCGAGGCTTTGCGTTTGGATGTCATTATGCGTTTGTCCTCAAATCCATTAGCTGTACGAAGCTCCAATGCAGGCCCGGGGCTGTTCGTAACAGAACTGGACGGCGCAAGCAGGCTCTTGGTCAACACCCGTAGTGAAGTATCGCGATCGAATCAACACAGCATGCGCATGACGAGGGTGTGTTGATAACGTCTGGAACTCGCTGGATCGATCGTTCGTCCGTAGTAGAGGGGTGCCAGGAATGTTGTGTTGGTTGTCGAGCAAGGCGTGGCTGGAATCAATTGACATTTGGATCAATGCTAATAATGGGAGCGTTGCGACGGGATCTACATGTCGAAGTAAGGTACCGATGTACCTTTTAGCTATCTTATGTAATCAACCCACTCTAAGGTAGCTGCGAGGCTTATCGGTGATTAGAATGTTCCGCTGCAGATAGTGGATATAAGTACCCCAGGCACCCAATAGGGGCACTCCACTGAAAAGCAGCCGCTGCCTGAGCCCGCCAGCCAGCCAGCCAGCCTGTGATTCGTGAAGGCCCTGGGGCAACAGCGTGTGAAGCTTGGAAGCAGGTGGGGTCTGTGCACGCTGCGACACGAAAGATTTCCAATCGGAGGTCGCAAGCTCTCTGTACCACTCCAAGTCAAGTCGGCCTCCTCACGTCGTCAGTCCATCACCACATATTCACCAGCACCAGGGCGCGACGGCCACCGCGACCACCCACCACGACCGCATTGCCGAGATCTCCCGCATCCCGAGTCGCCACTCGTAGCCGTTTTTCTGCCCAGTCTGAATTACCGACACGTCCTTGCCCGCATCGCCATCGGATGGGTGTTGACGAGCCCGTTGTGACAGGCTTTGTGCCTGTCCTGGTCCAGAGAGTGTGCTAGAAGGGCTGGTATACCATCGACGCCCGCGCCGCCAGTTCGACCTTCGCTTTCGCACATACTTCTGGCTAGCCTCGTCCGTTGCAGCGTCACGAATCCCCATCTCGACGGTCGCGCGACACACCCAGCCATCTGTCACCATGTCGCAAGTTCCTCACCCGAGCATGCAACAGAGGCAGTTCTCTCCGCCTCAGAACTCGCCATCCTCGACCACTGCGAATGGCGCATTTGCGCTTCCCCCTAACAAGCGAACCAAGATGTCTCCTGGACTTTCTCCGCAACCAGGTTCTCCGTATGCACATTCACCATATACTGGTGCCACAAGTCCTCCTGCAACCACACCAGGTGCAGCAACGCCTACGAACGGCCATGCATCGCCTACACTTCCCACGAATATGAACATGTCTACTATGTCGCAGGCGCCTCATAATTCTTACAACCCCTCACTCCAACAGAACGGTCGCTCCACGCCAGCCCTCACGATGCCGACTCCAACTCCGACTGCACCGACACCTCCTGCGCACTCTCCTCGGCTGTCAACACCTACCATAACGCATGTTCCTCCGCCTGCGCCATACTCGACTGCCACCCTTGCGCCAGTAGGTATGCCTCTAGCAACTCCGGGCATTGGCAACATGGGCCCTCCCACGATCGCCCCGTCGTCCTTTTCCATGAGCGATGCGGCAAGACACGCTGCAAAACCCGCGCCAACCAAGACTACCGCTTACGACATGGACGACATGCTCATGGGCACGGGGATCGATCTAGAGGAGGAAGCAGATTACTTGAACAACTTGGAAACCCGTACTGCAGGTGGAAGAGACAGTTTCTACGGAGCAGGACCGGCCAATCAACCCGCGCAGCATACCGGAGCGAAATCGCAGGCGGAACTTGAAGCGGAAACAGCAGATATGGCTTGGAATGCAGCAGCTCGTAGACTTGCAATGTCTCGAAGTCACGAAATGGCGCACCATCTGTTGGACCCAGGCCTTGTTCACAGACGGCTTAACGATGTTGCTAAGAAGTTTGGCCTGGAGCTCAACCTGGATATGAGGCCCGATGGCAAGACCCAGTACATGGGCAAACTTGCCACCGCCGCAGATTTCCCCAAACCCGAGATCAAGCTCATGACCCAAAAGGTCCCAGATGGAACAGTGGTGCAGACTCTCGGATCGTTCATCCCCAAGGAGTCATTCTTGGTCGATCAGATAGCGCTTCTTTCCATAGGTACGAAAGAGCGCTTGAAGGATTTGCTCGGCGATGCACACAAGATTGCAACAACTCGGCAATTGAGCTCGCACGGCGCAGTACCTGCAGAATGGGCCGAGGCGGCTGCGCACCCATCACCAAAGGTGAACGGGACAGCTGGTGACGGCCAACGGACGGGTGCGGAGAGCGCGGTCAGCCCCCGCACCAACCCGCTTAAGAGTATGAAGGCTTTATTCTGGAATGGGATGTAATAGTGCTGACACGAGTTTTCAGGACCGGCTGATGAGCTTAGCAATGGGCTGCTGACACCAGTCTCTGAGCTGCCCCCGGCCAATTTCATGGTGGAGGCATTGTTGACAGCTGGAAAGGCTACTCAGAACGCGGAAGAAAGACGGCTGAGGAAACGCCAAAAGCGGTTGGAGAAGGCGGCCGAGAAGGAGAGCCAGACCGGCGATGCTGGGTCACGGACTGGATCTGTCGCGCCCGGTACACCTGGCGCCATCGCCCCAGAGCAAGCCGAATCCAAGCCGACGAAGAAAGAGTCCAAGAAGGCAGCAGCAAAGGCCTCAGAAGAGCAATCTAGCACTTCTGTGAATAACACTCTCAGCCAGTTCATAGGTGGCAAGAAGAAGAAGTATTCATGGATGACGGGCGGAAGCGGTGGAGTCACTGGGGCCAGCACACCTAGAGCACAGGCGGCACCTGGAACTCCACGGGGCATGGGCGGTGCTACCGGCAAGGCCGCTCGCGGTGCTCTGACCAAGGGCAGCGTATCACATCTGGGACAGTTCCGGGAAGATTCGGAGAAGGGCAAGAACATCCAGCTACGAGACTGGATCGTCGTTCTCGAAGACCACGGTTTCGACAAGAAGACGTTGCAGGAGGCTTACGTCCGAGTCGATAAGTCGGACACGGGCGATAAGGTTGCCACAGGAAAGGCGCCTTAGGATGGAGCAAGACCGCCGAGGTTGACCCCTATGAGCTTTTGCAGCACCAGCTCAGGTGTGTCTTGCACCTGTTACGGCTGAGCACTCACCATCTGCTTCTTGCATTCACAGGATTCGAGCGCGGACACCCACACATATTCCTTGCGTTGTATTGAGTACTCTATTTTCCACATTCAGCCAGGCGTTGGCATCAGAGGGCATAGGGGGCGGCAGGGTTTTGCTTATGCATTCTGGGTTTTCCACATCCCCGGCCTTCGAGAGACAGACAGTGGAGGCAGACAGTGGACAAGCAAGAGCCCGAGGTCTGCTTACCAACCAGTACTCGTTTCAGTCGCCAGATCGGTAGTCGTGCTGCTGCTTGCCGGTGGCCGATATCTGCAGGTTACTGAGGAGGCCGGCTCGCCAAAACAAAGCTAATTTTGCGTCGGGTTCCTGAAACAGAACTAGAACAGCGCGAGAATGGCAATAAAAATGAGCATAAATATGTAAACCGTCGTGTGTCCCTTGGCTTCTGTGATTTTGATCCATACTGCCTCTCTCCAATGATATGTTCTCGTCCGGCGACTCCCAGCTGCCCGAGTTGCACTTTGCGTCCTGCCTCCTGTTGATAAGCAACCTGATCAGGTATGTACGGACAGACGGACAAGCACCACCATGGTTTGCTTCTATCATGCAGATGAATGAGCGAACGAGATATGCGTGTGAAAGAATTGGAATATCATGACAAAACATTGGATGTGCTGGCGAAGGTGAACCAGGGGCTCCAAGAGGCTGCATGTGCGTGCTAGGTAGGCTAGGTCAGGTCTTTTATGTACATGTATTGCCCATCTAGCAGGTCAAGTCCGTAGACAGCGGCCGCATTGAAGCGGCAGATCACCGTTCTCCAGCCCCTCCTCCGGGTGAAGGGAAGTGTCGGCTAGGGTCCCGATTTGAAGTTCCCGGCGTATCGGCAGGTTCTATGCTCGTGAGTCGTAAAGCGCACAGGGTGGATGCCCCGCGGTGAGTCCCATACGCTCCCTCCCTCCTAGGGGCAGCAAAAAATTAAGGCAATTAATAGGTCACACCGAGGATCGAACTCGGAACCTTGTCCGTACCGAGTAATTGGCTGTGAAGGACATGCTAGATTGGCTGTTAGTATGTAGTATAAGTAAGCATAAGAACTGTGACTTTTGACTCACTCATAACCATTAGACCATGCGACCATGTGTTTATCACACCCGTGTGGTGGTAACGTTTTTATCCAGCGAGACACGCCCTGGTGGATGGTTGTGTACACCGTCAAGATCTCAAGACTAGTAGTTTGCGCGACCAAAAGGCTGCTGGAGACCATTCCCAGATGGGAGTGCTGTTGGGAAGGGTGCCGGACTCGCAAGCAAAACGTCTGAGAGCAGTATGGTATATGTATAGAGGTAATGTCGTGGGAATAATACGTACAAGAACAGCATAGCACAGGCAGAAGAGATGACGGAATGAGCAGCTGTGAACAGCAAAGAAGGAAAGATGTCGGCACATAGGAATCTGCAAAGACGTCAAAAAGATGGCGGAACTGGGAATCGAACCCAGATTTACACGGAATCAATCGCTTGAAGCCACAACGCTGATAGTGGGTTAGTACGAAATTGTGTGATGGGATTTGTTCAAGGTAGTCTTACTGTTGTACTGACCATTATACGATTCCACCGATGAGAAATTTGGCGCCGTATTAGCCTTTATGTATGTATACCAGTGCTATTCCCGTTTGGGCGCCTGTGCCTCTTCCAACGTAATGCCGAGATATTGGTGAGAGTCACATTGGTTAGGCCTTGACAAATTGCATGAAAATGAAGCATGCGCTCATTATTAATTTTCTTCTACTCATTCGAGTTCTACACCGTAAACTTTCGACAATGGGCGTGTCTGTGGAATACATCTTCGTCCCAAGACACGGTAGACACCGGCCGAAAACCGGGGTCGCGGGAGCTTGATTGGATATCTCTACCCCGATCGGCCTCTACTTGCTTGATACCAACGGACTTGATAGGCAATACAATCATAGAGGCCGATTGTATGTTAGACGGCATCGCGGTCCCTGTCCAAGTCTTGTCATATTTTGTTTCCTCCGAGTACTCCTGGAATCTCGACCCCTGGAGGTCTTTCTTTGACTCTGCCGGCCAAACCGTATTACCCATCCAGACCCACGGCATCCAGACGTCTCAATGGCGAAAGCGGTAACCACTCCAACGACACAACTCCTCTCCCAGCATATCTCAGACCCTTCGTGCTAACCGTGCGACGCACTGCAGGCTGTGGGGCAGATATGCTCCTCGAACTCGATGGCGCATAACCTCGAGCAGTGCGTGAAGCTCGTCGGCAAGGCCGCGAGTGCCGGTGCGAAAGTAAGGGGTGTCCTGCTTCTCTTCCAGCCGATGATATCCACCATCCCCTATATGAGGCCACCGGATAGTCGATGGACGGCGAGTGCCACTGCAATCGGGCAAGGCACTCCGAAGCTCATGTCCCAGTCGGCTGGGACGTCACTTCAACGCTTAGGCCAGGGAGCGGTTTTCAATACGACATGCGTTGGCTTGTTGCGCACATCTTCAGGACGAGGTTGGATGACTCGTTTCACGTCATTCCGCGGCCTCTCCGTGTCACTCATTGATGTCATCTTCATCCCGCTACCCATGGCTGTTCACTCATGAAACACCCATAAGGAATATCACATATTAACGCGTCCCAGATCTTGTTCCTGCCCGAAGCATCAGACTACATCGCGACATCAAGCCAGGAATCGATGTCCCTGGCAAAGCCCGTAGCCAGCTCACCCTTCGTGACAGGTCTGCAATCCGCAGCCGCGAAGCACTCCATCGCCGTGCACGTCGGGATCCACGTGCCAGTGACAGTAAAGCCCGCCAGCACCGACAACCCGGCAGTGACATCCATCCCGCAACCCGAGGACGCAGCCCCCAGCGACGACGCAAACGCAACGACAACAACCAAGCTCTACAACCGCACCATCTACATCACCCCCACAGGCAGCATCCTCGAGTCCGCCACCTACAACAAGCTGCACCTGTTCGACTACCCCGCCGGCGGTCTCCACGAATCCGCCTCCACGCAGGCCGGCGCCGCGCTGACGCCGCCCGTCGCCTCGCCCGTCGGGCGTCTGGGGTCGCTCATCTGCTTCGACGTGCGGTTCGCCGAGCCCGCGCTCGCGCTGGCCCAGCCGCCGCCCTCGTCGCCCTTCTTCCGCGACCCTGCCCAGGTCCTGCTGTACCCCTCGGCCTGTATGTACATTTTCGGGTCTCTTATTTCCCCATATGGCCATGCCCAGGGCGCGAATTTCCTCTTCTACTCTGTGTCATGCTCCCGAGACACGCATTACGACTCAATTTCACTCCACAAAATATCCCAAAGAAGTAATTGCTGACTCTGATTTGCTTGACGTCACGGTCCCGACCGGGAGGGCGCACTGGGAGGTGCTGTTGCGCGCCCGCGCCGTCGAGACGCAGAGCTATATCATCGCCGCGGCGCAGGTCGGCCGGCATAATGGCGGGAAGCGCGTCAGTTATGGGCGCAGCTTGGTGGTTGATCCGTGGGGTAAGGTCGTGCTGGAGTTGAAGGGCGTGCGGGAGGACGGCGAGGAGGCTGAGGAGGGCGCTGTGGGACAGCTGGGGGTTGTGGAGGTTGATCTGGACGAGTGGGAGAGGGTGAGGGAGAAGATGCCGCTGGTGAGGCGGACGCTGGATTTTTGAACATGTTCACGTTCCGATCCATGCTCTGTTAAGATGAGGAATGTAAATAGAATACAAGATGGTCAACCTAGAGTCTAAACCCGGAACATATGAAAGCCCACGGCTGAGATTTTGTCTGGCCCAAGTGACGTTCGGAGCTACAAGGGCTTGCACATACAGCCTCCGCCCAGAGCAATCACGCCGCGTTGAAGATCTGCCCCATGTGTGCGTGCCTATGGTCTTACACCCTAGCTACGCCTCCAAGAAACATGGAGTACTTGTTCGTTAGACCCAAGCCCGACATGGACATGGTAACTAGTTGTCCTTTAGTCATGATCACTTTTCCAACTCAACAACAACCACTCTACACGTCCGTTAACACCACCACAACTGTCCCCACCACGATGATTATCAGCTCCTGGCTCAGTACCGCGTATTCGGACCTCTTGAACAAAGCCGCTTGGCCGGTTCTCACCAGTCAAGGAACTCGACTGTGAGAAGGGATTCTTACCAACGCACCAGGGCAGAATATGTACAAAGTGTATCATCAACTGCCTATACAGGGAGGCATGCACATGCCATCTCAATGATCATTCACATATCCAGAAAGATCCGTCATTCCTCCAATATCAGACACTCCTGCTTTCGCCTGCTCATCGATCCAACTCGCGAGCGCGGGCTACCTCTTAGACAGAGTATGTCGACTATACATCTATCTATTCGTCCTGCAGGCCTGCTGGTGAATTACTGCATTATCCGTAAATATATCCTGGTCTTGCGAGAATTTCGCTTTGAAAAACACCCAAAGGTATCCTTGGTTGTTAATAGATCTATGACCACGTCGAGGATGGGCGATGGCGTTGCTGGGGTTGGTTGAGTCCTTGCATTGAGCGACGGCGCGCAGGACAGCGACTGCCATTATTAGGCTATTGCAATTCATCATGCAAGCAAGCATACAGCTGCGTTCAATCGTATGGACGGAATACATCAGGAAGGATACATGTCACATGCGTTCCCCCGTTGGAATCGCCGAAAGCAGTTCAAGATTTCCCCAGCTTCCCCAGCTGCGCTCTCCTGGACGTCAGAGGCAACCCTACAGAGAGTCAGAGCTGCTTTGGAGGGGGCAAGCCGAAGGATGGCCAGCCCCCTGCATGCTCTTGGAAGCTACCTTACTGGATGTGCCGACGTCATACAAACTCCTCCTCCCTACCACCGTAACAACAATCCCCAGGCGTCGTGCGTGCACACACAGCGTCACAAAGTCACAATGGAGTCCGCAAAGCTCTGGATACGGGACAACTGCAACACGCAGCGCCTCCAGCGGGTTTTTGCAGAACAACACCCCGTGTTGCAAAAGGCAATGAGCCTGAAGACTCCATGGACCGCGCTCTTCATCGCGACCTGCGTGCTGCTCGTCCGGTATGTCGGAGGCAAGCAGAGGCGGAGGCAGAGGCAGCCGAAGACAAAGACATGGTGGAAGAGCCGACGACTGCGTTCGCCGGACCCGGAGAAGCCGCCTACGGATGTCAATCAATTTGCTGAGAAGCGGATGAAGGAGGCTACTCACTGAGAGGCCGCCGGGGAGTGTGCGCACACCCCAGCAATGCAATGCCCCAACGAAAGTAATAACTACACGATTGACACAATCCCAGCATGACCATCACCCCCTGGGATTTCAAACGCCCCAAAGCTCCACCCTACGCCGCTCTCCGAGATGCACACCACCGGCGACGTGCCCGAGTTCAAGCAGAAATGAGGCACGATGGATTTCTTCCGCGGTGAGAAACCTGATGCGCCCGTCTTTAGGAACAACTACTTGATGCAGGTGGATGATGAGCTGAGCTGGCTTGGAGTAACGTCGATTGAATCAGCGGATTCTGAAGGGATGGGGTGGTTTTACCGCCGAGAAGGACAAAGCTATTGAGCACTAGGTACTACTTCCGGTCTGGGAGGCAGAAGCTGAGGCATTTGCCTAGATCAAGGGGCGTGGTGTTTACGATCCGGACGTATTTCCACCCGGTTACGGATATTACTGTTGAGGATTACGTGCCGGATTGGCTTGCTAGCGTTGTAAGAAGCTAGGGAGACGATGTCTCGAAGTACAAGGGGAAAGAGAGGTGTGGAGATGTGTTGCTCGAGTATCTAGACCGGAAGCTTGAGGAGCACGTCACTAGGGGGCGTGTGAGAGCTTACCCTTGGTAAATGTAAGACGTATAGCAGGTTAGTAAGTAGTAATGTGAGCCCGATCCGTCAGGAACCTCTTGTACCACGAGCGCGGAGCAGTCGCCAACGATGCTACTGTATCGGCAGCGGCCCGCCCATATTCTCCTCCACCGTCGCCTCCGTCCCAGACAAGAGGCCCAGCTGCTCGAGCGTCATACCCGGCCGCGCGATCCTGTACACCGCAGAGTCACAGAGCCCCATACTCCAGCTCTCGAACTCCCCTTCGAGCGTCTCGCAGTAAGTAAACCCGCATTTCCTGAGGACGTTCTGAGAAGCTGCGTTCGCGGTGACGGTGAGGGCTTCGAGGTAGTCTAGCCCGGTTGTCCCCCCGTTACCGTCGCCGCTGCTGGAGGAAGGGATGTGCGTGAAGAGGTGCGAGACCAGGGCGCGAAGGGCCTCGGTGGCGTAGCCTTTGCCGAAGTGATCTGGTGAGTTTGACCTACCTGGTTATCTTTCATTGCGCTCGTGTGTGCGTGGCGACTGTGGTGAGGTGAGGGTGGTTACCTGCGTGGATGAGGTAGCCTATTCTCGGTGGGACGTGGCTGCCCATGACACCGATCAAGGTTGGGTTCGCGTTGTTCCCATCGGGCTGGGAGTGGTCTGGGCGGAGCTCAATGGCGAACTTGTGGACGTCTGGACCGAGTGCTCTGGCTCTAAGCCAGCGCTCTGCTTGCTCGAGGCTCTGGAGGGGTTTGTTAGACGCCCAGCGATGGTCTCTTCGCAAGAGAGGGTGGGCAGCAGGGCATCGGCGTCCGAGACCTGGAGGGTTCGGAGGCGGAGTCTTGGGGTTTCGATTACGGCGAATTTGGGAGGAGGGAGAGTGGTGTTCGTTGGGTCTGCCATGTTGGCTGAATGATGGGTTTCTGATCGAGTTGGGTTGTGTGGGTAGTGTTATCTTTATACTGCTACTGTAGAGACTGGCGGGAGTCATCTTATGCCGTCAGCGGTAGGAGTCATCGCATGACATTTGTGGGGTCGGGTGTGGTGCGTATGTCTGCAATGGCAGCCATGTCCCAGATGTAGCGCAGGCGACACCGGAGATGCTAAAGGTCTCCGACATTGTACAGGCTGACAGGAAGCTGTCAATGAGGTGACTAAGCGTCGGATACGTGGATTTTACCCGGACGCCGAGGAAAGATTGATCACGTATCAAAAGACTCGAGTAGACTTGACATTTCTGTATTACCTGACATGGCCATAGAACGTGTAACCCGTTCATTTGACCAGTCAGTGATCGAAGCTATTGAGATCAAGCCTATCTTGTAAAGCGTGGTGAGTGAGCCTTATCGCTTTTGCTAGCAAGCAGTGCAGATGGAGCTGGTATCAACGTATCTGCTTCGTAACTATCCTTTCCTCGAGGCGAAAACCTGCCTCCATTTCTGCATTCCGCCGGTTTCGTCCGTTCTCGTCAGACTAATGCCGGAAGACACGAACTCCTTGGCGAATGAAATCCACTACGCCAATGTTGAGCCTCAACCAAAGCCGCTTAAATCAGACCCCGAGGCAATGCAGAATCATCCGCTCATTTACCGACTCCCGAGCTTGAAAAGAGCAAACCCGCCAGGGTCTTGCGGCTCTCGTATAAATACACTGTACAGATGATGTGGTGTGACGAACGTGATTCGTGTATCGGTGACTGGAACGGCGAATTCCAGCAGTCGTATGAAATGTGCAAAAGCGACCAGTGACGAAATCATCGAGGCTCCATGCGCAGCACGCTCTCCTAGAGGCATTGCGCAGGTTCCGGCGACCAAGGAGTACACTGGTGTCCTCGGTTACTGAGGAGTAGGTTGACGGAAACCGGTACCTCGAGCTCCTCGGAAGCCGCGACCTCGTGTATTGTTACCACGGCCGCGACCTCTTCCGCGGTATCCACCACGGTAGCCGCCATCAACGCTTCCTTGGCCGAATGTCTCCATGTTCTTGCGCTGTTCCTCGCCTCGCCATTCGCGTCCACCGGGCTTGTGACCGCTGTTGTCCGCACGATCTTTAGCCTCGCTTGAGATGTTGTCGAAAAAAGAGGTCGTCTTGTTGTAGGCCACGGGCAGGGCAACTTCCTCCGGCTCCTCAACCTCGGAGATTCCATTGGCGGATTCCGATGCAGGTGAGTCAGTAACCGCCTCCTTCAACAAGTCTTGCTTGTTGAATTTGGCATTGGCCATCTGGAAATCGAAATCGGCAGCAGGCACCTCAACTTTCCCTTGCGCGCCGCCTCGACCACCTCGACCACGTCCACGGGTTGATCCTCGTGTCGTCGAGTTAACTCTCATCTCGTTGACTTTTCTGGTCAAATTGTCCATTGCGTTGTTATTCGGGGCCGTCGTTCCAGACGATCCGGCCGCGGCATTGGGATTTTCTAGCTTCGCCATTGCAACAGCAACGGCTGCCTTTGCGGCTTGGGTAGCATCTCTGAGCGCAGCGGCGCTCGGGGGCGCATTGCCCTGGTCGCCCGCAGGCTTGACGGAGGCAGTTGCAGCTGTCACCTGAGGACCGGGTTTCGAGAAGAACGGCGTCGGGACCGGAGCTTGCATGGGTATAGCGGGTGTGACGCGATTGTTCTTGGGACCGGTGGGAACAGGTCTCACTTCGCTGGCGTTGGTGACAGGGCTGATCGTGGAGAGTGATTCTGCTGTCGCTTTCACTTCTGCAGGAGTCGGCTTCGACTCAACTGGCGGCGTGGGTGCTGGACCCAGTGGCGCTGGCTGAATAGGAGTCTGTCGAAATGGCTTAACCTCCGACGTAGGCAACTCAACCGCGGGAATACCAACCGGTTTTTGTTTGTCACCCCCAGCGCCAATCGGAGCCGGTTTGTTGTCTTGTTGTGGTGCCCCTCTCATTCCTTGACCAGGCATACCAGGAGGGCCCTGGTGTCCTTGGTGTCCTTGGGGACCCTGAGGTCCAGGCGGATATCCAAAGTTAGTCCACGGACCGGGCCCACCAGGTGGGAAGCCCTGACCGGGAGGAAACCAACCAGGAGGCGGAGGATAATGCATGCCATTGAAGCCTTGGGCGGGCCCCGGTCCAGGTCCGGGACCAGGTCCACCACGACCCCATTGACCAGGAGGAGGCGGGTAGAAGTTTGGTTGGTACGGGTTCGGACCGAAGCCAGCTGGCCCTGGGCCGTGGTTGCCTGCGCCGGGAGGAGCGTTGCCGGTGGGACGAGTCCGAGCCTGGAGAGTGATATGGTTTTAGTAAAATGCACACAGTAGAGCAGCAGGAGCTTGTAGTGTGTTCAAATCCATATTAGATCAGAAGGAAGGCAACGGAAAAATCAACACGGGGTTTGTTTGCGCAATTCAGTCAATGTAGGTTTACATCCGAGATGTTTCATCATGTGAAATGGACGACTTTTTCAGCGTAGGATTGAAGACAGGGTAACTTACTCCCAGGATTGCAGGGTCGTCAGGGACCTTGGGTGGCTGGTTCTCCTTGGGGGGAGCAGGAGCTTGCTCAATTCGCAGATCCTTCACATCGCTGCCCCGAAAGACGATGTACTCATAAACCTGGTCGGAGGGTGCGATTTCCTCATCCGGGTTTCCTCCTCTTCGGCCTTCGGTTCCAAAGGTTGTGACATTCTCGAGGGAGACTGTCGACTCCTCGGAATTTATTTCGTGAAGCACACCGATGTACCTAGCGAGGTCAATGCGTGTGCTCGGCTGGGCACGACGCTGCGAGGCACCTACCGAATATCGCTCTTGGAAATGAGCGATATGCGCGAGCTGCAGCCAGAGACGTTAGCGGACTCGGGGATTTCGCAAGTTGACAGAAGTTGGCGACGCGCAGACGACGTACCCGATGAATTCAGACATGATTCGTGAGCCCTGCGCGAAAGCGCCGTTGAAGAACGAAGGATGAAAGGCAAGGCAGAAGAAAGTAAGGGAAACTCCAAAGCGGAGAACTAGGTAGAGAGAAGGGGCGTAGAGGAATTGGGTTTGTTGATTTGTGGGAGGGAAATGATGGAGGAGAAGAGGAGGCTGAAAATGCGAAATGGCAAAATCTGATTGACCAGCCATCCACTGATTCCACGGTGTGGGGCACGAGCTCTGTGCTGTTGCAGCTCGAGATGTGGGGAAAGGCGGAGCCAGCTGCCACACTGCCACAACGCCTGGCAGATTGACCTGACTGCTGGCGGGGAGTCACCTGTCGGCACAGTGCTTGCTTGAAATGTTCTGAGCTTCAGGAGTTCCACCGAGGGATCACTGCTGGCTTCACTGCTCAGGATATCTACACTCAGACTCACCTGATCATAGGCTTGTCCACACAATGGCTTTCCGAACAGATATATGTTGGCGTTGTTCTACCCATTCATTACAGTACTATTCATGGCTGGCTCCACTGTGCTCCAAGGCATCGACTTATTCACCCCCGTCTTGGCGAATTTCCAATTGTTATCATGATCATAGGTATCAGGAGGCCTTCAATGGCCTCCATTGTTGATTATTCTCATTATTCACGCCTGTACTTGCGTTGTTGGCCATTCAGACATGTCCGAGTCCGACCCTGAGCTACTAGTATCATCATCCGAAGACGGTTCGCCTTCGTCTTGCTCTCCATCAGACGGTTCCGAGCTGGAACCATATTCAACCAACGCAGACCCCTTTCTCTTCTTGTGATTCCTCACCTCAGGTCTCTTCTCTATAACATATCCGTCGGGCACAGTGGTGACTCCAGCTGGTAAGACACAAATGGTTGGGAATTCGACAACATCGAGCCCCGGGAGGAGGGTGGCCAAACCTTCTCGCGGCCTGAGCGGGACAAGCCTGCGAGGATCTTTCGAGGGCGTCCTCGGTTTCAGGAAGAAAAACCGACATAGATCCTTTGCTATTCTGCGATTGTCATGGTCTTCAGAATAGCTCCATGTCGAATCGGTTTCACTCTGCATTGGGGCCGGCTGAGCATGCCATGCCGTTGATTTCGTATGCTGCCCACTCTTGGCTAGTTCTTCCCGTCTTTGGAGAGCCTTCTCCTGCGCACGCTCCTTGTCGCTGAGTTGCTGTTGGCGACGATATTCTTGGGCTTCCGCAAATCCAAGGTGGAGAGGTGTCTCGTCGAGTATTTTGTACAGCAATCTCGTAGGGCTGGGTCTGTTTCCGCCTTCGGCAGAGGAGTTGGCAGTCATGTCCAACCATTCGACCTGCCAGTTGATAGTCTTTGTCCGCCTGTTCCAGGTCGTCATATTCTCCTTCGCCCGAGTCATGCCGTACGGCACAGAGGCCACGTTTATATCAAGCTTGCGCATCCGTTGTATTGTGCTTCGCTCCCACTTTCGTCCGCTGTCGTCCAAGGTAGTCCTGCCCCTGCTCTGACCCTTATGAGGACGTGCCCTCTTGTGTGGTGGTGGGTTGGACTTCTCTTCAGGCAGTATCTCCCGTTCGTCTCGAAGTATCTTCTCGGCGGTCTCGATACATCGTTCGATCTTGGTGAGGAAATTGTAGTCGTGGTCGATCCCAGCATCGGTCTTCAGCTTCTCTCTGGGCATGAATGCGGTGGCGTCGCGGTCGCCATTGCAAGAAGACCAGTTCTTGTGCTTCTTCACGCAAGTCAGGGAGCACGTCCGCGTTCCGCATCGAGGGCATCTGTATTTGGGCGTTTGGATTCGGCAGATGGTGCAGAGAGAAGTTAACAGGGGATCCGCCATGGCGCAACAGCTGATATCCTGCAGTCGAATCAGCAGCGGTTGTTCTGTCGGCACCCGTAACTTGTCGATCAGTCGCAACACGAATTTTATTGCAAAGCGAGAGGTCGCGCGGGACAAATGCTCGAGCTTGAGGGAGCCACGACAATAGATCGAACTTTATTGTTGTTGCTGGCGTCCTCGATGTTGCGGCAGACGCACTTTACACTTTTGTCTTATCGATAAGTAGCCGCGGTTGACCGTTGCCATGCGCCTCAGACCTGAACCACAGCTGAAAACCGCCCTAGTCAGATGTCGGTCCAAGCCAGTGAACCCTCCCCTTGGTCCAGCTCACCACCAGTCGCAGCCACGCTGCCACGTCAGTCTTCTGGTGCAGCCGTCGAGGTGTTGATTTCAGTGTGATGGATATTGGCCTGGCGATATTATCATTCCACAGACTCACGCGTTGTATCCTCCGGAAAGGATAGACAGGTTATCTACGTGAATGTTACCGAACCCGCGATGAGATCGCAGACCAACCAAAGTCTGGCGAGCTAAGCGGCAAAGTGCGCTCGCTCGGCACCGAAACAGTAGAGTCGCGAATTGGAGTCCCGATATTGAGGATGGGACCGAGACGCTATGAGGTGGCAGTATTGGCCGATTTTACGAACAGATTTCGTCGCACACCAGGCCAGATCTTGGTTGGCCGAGCAAGTCGAGAACTCCCAGCCCTTCACCGGGCCTTTCTCATATATAGCATTGTTAAGCTCAGGTGCAATGGTTTGCAGAAGCTGAGCAGAGGACGTGTAGGTAGGTATGCTACTACTATAAGTCAAGTACTCTGTATTTTTCTCATCACATTCAGAGTAATGTGTGCTGGGACGGTTCATATCTGTACGCTGTAGGCTGATGGTCGATGACGCATGGGCTGATCGTCTCCGGTATTCAAGAAAACCTCTTCTCCAGAGTACCCTACCAGCCTACAGATCTAGGCAGGTCTCTTCAACGACGACTGGTTGCCGCTGCGTCAGAGATCTGATCACCGCGCATTGTAACGTCTGCTGACCAACGGAGATAACAACGAGACTGGCTACATGGCGGTTACGACTGTAGCTCTGCATGTGTACCCGCAGCCATGGAAGGGGGGCAGATGATGGTAGTTACAATACGTAAGAAGGCCAGTCCCGGAAAGAGATGTCCAACTAACAGATCAGGACGTCATATCGACGCAGAGAAGCACATAATGATAGGACAACGAACAGGAGTCGATATGAGACCCATTGCCTCGGGGATTGAATCCTTCTCAAATCTACAGGCCATTCTCTTGCAAAACGAGACCACGCCGTCCAATGAGTAATACAGCTACATATAGCACGCAGCCGTCAACCGGAGGGACCAGGTCCTGTCGTATGAAGCCCAACACGAGGTGGGTGGCAACGTGCGATTGAGCTGCATGGCAGAATACGGCAAGGTGAAGGACGTACATGATCTGGAGGTAATATAGGGGCAGACACATTCACGAGCATCATCCAGGTGGAGCAATCGGTTCCATGAATTGGAGGCCGTGACGAAGGTTGACGATGGGTGCCAGTCTCGGGAGGAGTTCTGAGGGCTGGTGGTATAGTTCCACCTAGAGTTATTCGGACAGTAGATTCCACGGCGCCTCACGGACTACTCTTTGATAATAACAATAACAGTGTCCTTGAAACTGATGATGTTCGTCTGGACTCGTGGTGCAGAGATGACTTACACCAATACAGTGTTGTACAGTATACACACAGTGTCTCGCACTCACTCCACTAGGCGTCGAGTTCGGAGTATTTGACCAAGTTCGTCATCAACCACGACTGGAAATCCATAAAGTCTTCAACACAACACACCAAATTCATACTGCACCCTGCCTTGACTGAGAAGGCAAAGAGAGGTTTAGGATGACAGACGCAGAAGAGATGAAGATCGACCCATCGAGAGCCGCGGCGCTGGTCTCGCAGATCAAGGGCGTGAGCGAGCGCATCGCCGCCGTGGCGAACGGACGGAACGTAAGTGACCACCCGTGCACATATCCTGGCTTATACAGCATCAAACAAACAACCGATGAGACACGATCCAGTCTACCCATCAATATAGCACTCCTCATTTCAAAGACCTGTTTCTGAGGCGTCGAGCTGACACTCCACAGGTCCGTCTGATAGCCGTGTCCAAGCTGAAGCCGGCAAACGACATCCTGGCCCTGCAGCAGCAGGCGTCGCCGCCACAGCTGCACTTCGGCGAGAATTACGCGCAGGAGCTGAGCCAGAAGGCCGAGCTGCTGCCCCGCAGCATACACTGGCATTTTATCGGCGGCCTGCAGTCTGGTGAGTGGTTGAGATGCGGGCTCTTTTCGGGATCCGGAGTGGTGCTGTTGCTATCCGTCTTGGCATGGGTGCGTGCCGTGTCTTTTGGGACGTACTTGTCCAGGGGCTGGCCTCTATGCAGACTATGAGAAAAGGGGATGGCAATGCTTTTTGTACACGAGATGAGACGTTGGTCTGCGATGTGTCTTCAGCTTGATATCTCCCTGCTGCACCTTCGTTCCGCCCCTGTTCTGTTCCTACATACACGACTAAAAGTACACGAGCTCACACACTGACAAATTCTCAGGCCACTGCAAGAACCTAGCCAAGATCCCAAACCTCTGGTGCGTCTCCAGTGTCGACACAGCCAAGAAGGCCCAACTCCTAAACAAGCACCGGGGCGAACTCATCGCCTCCTCATCCTCCACCTCTTCCACAGACAACCCCAACCCCATCCCCAAGCTCAACATCCACATCCAAGTCAACACCTCCGGCGAGTCCTCCAAGTCAGGCTGCGAGCCGGGCCCCGAGACCGTGGCGCTCTGCCGCGCCGTCGAGCAGGACGCGCCGCACCTGCACCTGCTGGGCCTGATGACCATCGGCGCCATCGCGCGCAGCGTGGCCACCACCCCCTCAAACGAAAATGACAACGAGGACTTTGTGCGTCTGCGCGAGCAGCAGGACCTCGTCACCAAAGAGCTGGGGCTCGACAGGGAGCTGGAGTTGAGTATGGGCATGAGCGAGGATTTCGAGGGCGCGATCGCGCTGGGGAGCCATGAGGTCCGGGTTGGGAGTACGATCTTTGGGTCTAGGCCCGCGAAGAGCGAGGCCAAGATTAAGGAGTGATTATGTGTGGTGAACATTTGCGAACTGGCTGATGGGCTCGAGGTACTTTGTGTGGGCTTATATCACCAACGGCGGAAAAAAGCCTGCGCAGGGAGTGCAGATCGTGTCTACACTCAACATGGCAGAGAAACCTTCATCAATAGAGACACTCAACATGGCAAATCTTAGTATCAGACTTGGGCTATTCAAGTTAAACTCGTACGTCCTATTCTTGAAGTAGGCGGAGGCAGTAAAGCCATGCGCCCTGGCATGAACGTGAAGCTCGCCGCCTATCCCATCGCCATACTCTATAGCAATACTCGGTAACCATACTCTCCAGCAACGCCCAGCAAGCAAATCCGTCACCCGCAACATGGCCCCAACGCCCGAGTCTATCTACTCCTGCGCAACAACCGGCACGGCCACATTCCTCCACAGCGTCATCTTCTCCTCATCCGCACCCTCCGCCCACTCCCTCTCGACCTCAGCCCAGTGATCCCACCAGATCTTGTGCGTGCTCTCGATAGTATCATCAGCGTCATACTGGCGGCTCTTCCACGGCTTGTTCAGGATATAATGCAAGATCTTGACGTCGCCGTCCTTCCACAAGCCCGAATGGCAGGCGCGCATCGGCTTGAGCGCGTTGTACGTGTAGGGCAGCGGCTTCCAGCGCCCCCGGTACACGATGGCCAGCAGGTCCTGGTCGAAGAAGAGCATCTTGGGCACGTCCGGGTGCGTGTTCATGGCGTCGATGACGGCGTCCCACTGCGCACGCGACGGCTGCACGATCACCGTGCCGCTGTTCAGCAGGTGGTGGTTGTTGGGGCTCGAGGCCGTGATGGGCGCCGGCTCGCCCGTCTCCTGGTTCGCGGCCGTGAAGGCGCAGTTGGCGGGGACCCTGTTCGACGATTTCGCGTGTCAGCCTTCGTGTCCTCTCTCTTTTCTCTTGGTGTCGTGTCGTGTCGTCTGCGATCGGAAGTTTGACTTGACTTACCAGTCCTTGCTGTAGTGCGGCAGCTTCCGCGGGTTGCACGTACAGGCGTGCGTGCTCGCGATCCAGCCGTTCGGGATCTCGACGTCCATCATGTCGTCGATCTTGTGCAGGATGACCTGGTCGCTATCGAGGAGGACGACGCGCTACAAGAATGTCGCACCCCGCAGGACACAGATCAGCGACTCTACCCTTCCCAAGTTCCCATCCGACGGACGTAGTAACTTATGCAACCCAAACCCCCTCTGACATGTCGCATTCAAGACCCAAGGCATACTAGGTAGTCATAGTCACAGTCATCATACCTCGTACTCGGTGAACCCCCACGGCGCCAGCTTCTCCCAGGTGCCCTTGTTGACCTTGCCGTCGCGGGGCGCGGGCTCGATCTTGTCGACGACGATGGTGGCGATGCCGGCGGCGGCGAAGGCGCGCATGTACTCGTCGTCGGCCTCGACGTCGCGCGTCACCATGACCTTGAGCTGGTACCGGCTGCCCGTCTTGCGCAGCGAGTGGTGCAGCACCAGCAGCCCGCCGAAGTAGCCGCGGTTCGTCAGCAGCGTCGTCCAGATCTTGGTGGGGTCGTACCCCTCCGACGAAACTGTGGTGGTGGTGGCGGCCGGCATCTTGTTGGTGGGCAGGGAAAAGGCAGGCTGTCAAGACTCTCAAGGGGCAGAGAGGAATACAAAATATAAAATATAGATATTTATATCATAAGCAAAGATGCAGGGTCCAACTCTAACAAACCAAGGGAGAGGAAGAATGCGACAGCGCAGAAGAAGCAGGACATGCCACGATCACCACAAAACTCCATAGCCCTGGACCCTAGTTTCACAGTAGCATCAGATCTACTGACGCCATCGATAATCGAGCCCTGCACGATTGGCGTTGGAACCATCGATCCACTGGCACCTCAGCCGGCGTCCACGTGGGACTGATGCCCAGTGACAGGTACCATAACGTTACCTTGAGAAAAAGAAAGCGCCGCGCGATATCGGCCGGCATGTGTCGGGCGGCACTACCTCATTAGGCGACGCGGGCAGGCGACTAACCCCTGATGACCCCTATTCTGCTTGATTTTTAGGCGATATCCAATTCGAGCGATAATCAGTATGACTCGCATAGGACTATTTGATAGTGAGGGCAGTACTAGGCGCGTGGAATAGGAGGCTGGTGACAGAAGCATTACTACAACAGCCCGCCGCCAACTATATCATAAAGAGACTTCCCTCAACTTCGAGGCCCATTAGCTGAAGAAAGTCGAAAATATCGTTGAATACAAGAGTGGTGGAACCAACAATTTGAAACAGCGAACATACATGACTCAGGGACGACATATCCCAGTGTACCATCACCAACAGCACTGGAGACAGCAAATATCAGAAACCCCGAAAAGGGGGCTGGTTGGTGACAGTACCTATTATTTCCAGTCGTATAAGCAGCGACCCCATGCGTATACAAACCAGTCAATAACTCCTAAAATAACTGACTACGCCAGGTTCTTATGCAACTTATTGTGACAAAAACAGTGTCCAGGAACCATACAAACAAAGCATCCAGCCGTACTTGGGTAGGTATCCAGTCGCGGTACTCAAATCAGACCACCTCGTCGTCGTCCTCCGATGATGATGACGATGAGCCCTTCATAGCCTCAATAACCTCGACAGCCGCCGCGAAGCTCCGGCGGTGCTCCTTCATCATGACAGCCTGGCTGTCCAAGAGCTGCTGCTGCACGCGCACGAGGTCCAGCGCATGATGCAGTCTTCTCCTCAGATCGGCGCAGTCGCAGTCGTAGTCACACACACAACCACCATCCCCTTCATCCATCCTCTCCTTTCCATGTACATTCCTCCCCAAAGCCGGTACCGAGTTCCACAAAGACATTACAGCGAGACGCAGACCGGAGAAGGGATTCCTCATACGCGACGTGCTGCCGCTCGCAAAGGCCACGGCAGGCACGGCGGTCGCGTCCAGCATGCCTGGCTGGCTCGTGTGCACCCATGGGCAGAGCGTGTAGATGTTCGGGCGGTCCGCGAAGGTGCAGTACATGCGGCCCGTCATCGTATCGCCGGCCATGGACGAAGTAGAGGCGTCACCGGTCGTGGTAGGCGTGCTGGTAGCACGTGCGGTGGTCGTCGTCGTCGGTACAGGTGTGCGTGTAGGTGCCATTGTAGCGCTCATGGGAGTATGTAGAATCGTGGTGTAGGTCTCGGTGACGAGTTCCGTGATGGTATCCGTGACGACGGTCGTGTGCAAGACAGTTATCTCGGTGGCGGGCGGTGGTGGTGGTGGTGCGGTCCTCGCTACTTCGAGCTCTTTCTTCTTAAACCCTCCAGCCGCAATATCCGGGGGCGCTGGCCACTCCGTCGTCGTTGCGGAAGAGACCGCGCCGGCAGAGGAATTCATCGGGTGCTTCATTGCGATAGTGGCAACCGTAAGGCCAAACCAGCCAACTGTATCGCCATTAGCCCAGTTCCTGCGTAGGTATGAAATGCGTCGCCAAATACCCACCTATCACCGTAACGACGGCAACCAGTATAATGACCAGAAAGATAAGCCCGGCATACGGAAAATAGACGGGCGAGCTCCTGCGCTTGATATCGTGCCATCGATCCTTCCAGCGCTTAGCCTTCAGCGACATGCTGTTGGAAGTGCAGCTGTTGCTCGAATCGTGATGAACGCAGGTCTCCCTCGGCGCGTGGAGGACTTGGTGGTGGTGGAAGAGGACCCGGCGGCCTGTTGTTGTGGTGGAGAGGGAGTGCGGTAACAGGAGCGACTGCGGCAGGTCTCGTTTGGCGTCTTCTAGGTCGTGGTATTCGTAGCAGCGCTTTGGCGGGTGGGGCAACGTCGTTGCTGCGATGCGCTCAGGCATTCATGCGTACTTTTAGGTGAGTAGGTTGGTAGGTAGAAAAACATATTCGGTGGTAGAGGGGATGGTAGAGGGGATGGTAGATGGTAGAGGTAGGTACCTAGGTGGCAAAGTCGACAGCTGGAGACTGGCAGGTGGTCAAAAACCTCGCGGTGGTATGAACAGTCGTCAGAGCCTTATTCCACTCGAGTTCACCTGTAATAATTAATTATTGCAGGTGATTATGCAAGAAAAAGATTCGGTCGCTTGAGGGGCGAGTGACGAGGACAGGTTCAGAATTGACCATCATGTCTGCAATGGTACGTGCCAATCACCAGCCGCTCGCTGATGGCAGTTGATCCAGCCAGGCCCAACATCGACTTGCGTAGTACCTTGGCAACTTGAATAGTTGGCCCATGAAGGGACCGCGAACATGAGTTGGTGATTTGGGGTAGGTTAGTACTTGTATTGCTATGGCCATACAAGCAACACCAACCACTCACACATGCATCTGCCTTCTTCCATTAGTTGATGAAGACTGTGGACAGGGAACTGAATATGCCTTCGGCACCCTGCATGTAGTTTTTTATGTTTGATGTTCAAGTATGTACCGAGGTATTCGTCATATGTGCTGTTACTCACGAATGCCACTCGCCGAGCTGGTTATTTCGACATGATTCGCTTGACTTATCTTCGACAGTATGTATATGTATAGTAGTCCGACGAGCCATGTGTACGTTGTCCTTTATTCTTTCAGTCAGGTATCTCAGGTCACCATGATGCTACTAAAGCTGTCTGATATCTCCCTCTGTGTTGGTCCCTCGTTGACTTCTGGTCCCGTCGAGACCCCTACAGAAAGCCTCTCCTCCATCAGCTTTAAAAGCACTGGAGGCACGCTCTCATCGGTAGCGCGAATAGTGAGCCGGACCATCTAAATCAGTTAGTTCAGGTACTGCAGTGATAGGTCACAATGGATCTTACCTGTGAAGGATAGTTCGGCTCCAACCTCATCAAGCAGCCAAACTTGCCTCCCTCAGCAGTATGAAGGACGCTGGCGCCGACAAAGTTTTTGCTGTTGGGATCGACCCCATCCAGCACTCCCCACCGAAACCCCTGGATCGTCTTGCGAACGAAGCTTCCATTGAGTTCCCGATTACCCTCCTTCCCAATAGCCAGTCTGATGATTTGTTGCGCCTCGCGTGGAGCACCACCAATCTGCTTCCACCTCTTGAAGAAATCTTCCGATGTGAGGTCTGCCGGGTCCATAAACTTGTGTGCCGTTAGAGGTAGTTTCAGTGTGAGCGCCTGCAGAGCTCCGGCGAGGTAGCTTATCCTGATGGTCGGGCTTTTTCTGAAGACCTTCTTCGACTCAAACATGATGATCTGTCGTGATTGTCCCCCCTGCGTGATACTGCTGTCTGGCATAGCTTTGGTATCCCAGGTGAGATTCGCCTTCTCGCTCTCGTCAAGGTCTAGTGTCGTCGTGAAAGAGCTTATCGTGGCTGGCGTTTTGTTGGAGAAGTACAGGATAAGACATGCCATCTGCCCCCTGTACTCGGAACGGATGCCGACTTGGAGTTGTCCGTCTTCGAATAGAACACCATCCCCCTTGAGGAGCAGTTTGTTATATCCTGGCTCCCATCCAGGGGACAGGTGGGCAGCACTGGCCAAATTTGGTGCCTTCAGCAGCTTTTCTGGCATCGGTCCTGCGCTCATGTCGAGACCAGCAAGGTCGTTCGAGGAGCCATTGGTACCGTTGGCATTGCCGTTAGCAGCGCCGTTGCCGTTCATAGGTCCGTTGAAACTAAAGCCCCTCCTGAGGCCTGGCTGCTTGGCCATGTTTAGCTCGGAAGCGTCAACGTTGGCATCCTTCCCACCAACAACCCACGTTCTCTTATCACTCGTACCAGCATGCCTGGAGTGGAGACGCGACAAGAGTGCTGATTGCCGCTCTGGAAAGGGCGGCATCTCATCACAAACAGTCCGAAGTAGGTCGTCCGTCGGTAGACTCGCAAGTGTCAGGTACTCACATGCGCGTTGCTGTAGCTCGGAGTCTAATGTGTGGCTATAGATCTCAAAGACGTGAAGAAGCTGAGGTTTGATCTCTGGAAACAAATTGACAAATTTGACGAACGAGGACAGGATCATGGCCCGTGTGCTAGCGGAACAGCCTGCTAGCTTTCCTGACAACGCCATGAACTGCTCGATCGGACTGCCACCGGGCTCTTCGGCAATCAGATGGCCGAATTCACCGAGGACGTAGGCTCCGATCTTGACCAATGTCTCGTGGCAGTGATCCTGTTTGATGTGCTGTAAGGTGTTCTGAGCGGCATAGACTTGCAACTCCTCATTATTGGTGACGATCTGGATGACCCGCTGCCATACCTCGTCGCTGAGATGATCTCCAGCAATAGCCACTAGACGCAGTGACACGTTGATGTACCACTGAATATCAGTAGCGTATTTCTCCGTCAAGATTGCAATCTTCAAGGCCATCTCTTCTCGGATAGCGAAATCGGCGTTTTGCAGATACTGCAGTAGTTCTGACACGATCGGTCCGGAATTGGTCGAATCACACATACTATATAACAAGTCGAGACCCTTCCTACGCACACTGATGTCGCGGTCTTTGAGAGATCCAAGGATAACGTCTTGGTGTTGCTTGATAGGATCCAAGTTTTCGGCTCGAGCGGCGAGATGCGTCATGGCCTCCAAGCCCAAGTACCGGACATTCGTTTCCCTAGATGTTATGAATCGGCCCAGGCGTGTTGAGATCTGCTTCATCAGTGCATGTTCCGTGTCGAGATGGATAATCAGGTTGATAGCTTCGAACAACACAGCGTTCTGGGCATTATTTTGTTGCACGTTCTTGTTCGTTTCCATCGCCAGATTCAGGATCTTCTGCAACGACTCTCGGATCATGTCACGAACATGACTATCCTCTGGGCCTTGTGTTAGCTCGGACGTGCTGAAGGTTCGTGAGTGGACATACCGGCAGGTGGGAAATATTGAAGCATGCGTAACAACTTGACCTGTAGCCAAGGGCAGGGCACCTTGTAGTACAAGTAGTCCGCTGAATAGTCGCCGTCAACCAGTAGCCGCTTTAGCCGTGATGCGGCCTTGACATAGGCGCCCTTGTACTGGTCGGTGTTGTCTTGCGCAACGGTCATGACCAGAGACGTGACCGACAAGGATACTCCAAGGTCAACATCGTCCATGAGAGATATTATTCGCTCTGCCCATTGCGGCTGAATAATGTCGGGGTGTTTGCGGTAGAGACGGAGAAGGGTGAGCGCGGCCTTCTTCTTCACGAATGCTTTCGAAGTCCTACACTTGCGGTTAGATACGTCGTTGTTTGAATGTCAGGGCGTTCGTGACATACGGTGAGATTAGGAGCCTATGAACCTCTCCACTCAAAGACTCCCCCATCTCCCGACCTCCCACATTTGCAATGGCGTGTAAAGCCAAGCAGTTGAAAAGCTCATTATGGTCCAAAAGATCTTTTCGGATACTGTTGACGACCAGATGCAGAAGTTCGTGTTTCTCGTGTAGGAAAAGCGTCATAGCCAGGTATCCAATCTGCTTCTCAGAGTACTTGTTCGCAGAGATCAGGTTGACGGCCTCGAGGTGTCCGAAATCGACGTTCCAGCCGAGGATGTAGATATACAGTAGCTTCTCAGGGGTCAGAACTGCTCGCCATACTCATACAAGTACTTCGCTCGCCATACCTTGCAAACATATTTCTTCTTGTGGTAGCCATTCAGATTACCATCTATGTTTCGTCGTCAGTATTCGTGCGCGGACAGGCGTTGGAGTGCTGGGTTTGCCGTCTTGTCGGACCATGACACACCTTTGAACTTTTGCCTATTGTACAAATGCCACAAGTTAGCGACATTATCCTCACTTGCTCAAGAAGCCGAAGAGGCCGGCACTACTAACCGAATGTTTGCCAGCTCCTTGTTGATTCTCTTTTCCTCCAGATCCCTAGCCCGCGCATTTCTCAAGTCGGCGATGAACTGAACAAGACCGCGCATGTTCGAGTTACCGCTCGTCGACCGGCCAAGGAAGCCGGCAGCGGCAGACGAAGCCATTCTGTCGACGTGGACGATGGCCCCCTATTCCTACACTTAACGCGACGCCCTGACTCTCCTTCGCAACCACTGGCAGCAGCAGCACCACCCCCGAGAGATATATAGACGTTTCGTATAGAGGGTTGCAGAGCGTGTTCCGTTCGATACCGAAGAATCCAGAAAGCGCGCGTCAGATTGCGGCTCTCATGGTAGGCCAGGTTAATCCATCAACATGGTCCCACCAAAGGCAGCCAGATGGTTCGCAAACTGGCACCGCGGCCGGCAAGGGACAAGGGATCGGTCGTTCAGCAGGCGGGCAGCAATTGGGTGTCGGAGAGGCTGGAGGCTGTCGGGTCAGAGTGGCTTTTGTAGGGTCGTGGCACAGCATCAACGGAGTGCAGGGTGAAATGCAGGAGTAGCCTGTAGGTAGTAGCGGAAGCGAATTGGCAGCCCTCACTCTCTCAAAGCCGAGCGGCGAAGGTGGAGGGATCTTGATTCAGGAGTCTAATCGTCTAATCGTCTAATCCGCCATTAGCCCCGGGCCCCGACTTCGACCTGCCGTCCTGCAGTGGAAGTACTCACCTAACGCCTAACTCCTAACTGAAATTTAGTGCATGTGTTGTCGGGCTGCTTATGCAATGCACAACTGTGCATATCTCTCTCTACCTGGGTCTCCTCGACGTCACGATCCAAAAAGCTCGCTCGCTCAGCTTCACACAGTCGCATTCTTAACCAGAATGTGAACCGCCCTCAATTGGTCTGGGAGGATGAATCGCACTCTCCAGGTATCGACTCTACTATCCCGACGAGGTCTCAGGGTCGGACCATCTTCGCCTACAGCAAGCTGGGCGCGCCGATCGTACGCCTTCCAAGCTGCCGCGCCGCCCATCCACCAGGTCTTCAACCGGCGCACAAAATGGCTGCAGAAGGAGCGAGCCGCCGCCAGTATCGAGGAGAGCCGAGTGGCTGACTATCTGAAAGATGAGGTTGCCATACGTCTCTGCGACAGGTTGTTGGTACGGCCCGTTGACCCCTTCACACCTTCTCGCAGTACTATTGAGACGGGCGGCTGAACTGTGATGCAGGATATCAAACGACACTTCCCCCAGGTTCTCGACCTAGGAGCGAACTCCTGCAACATTGCCCGCGCCCTAGTCCGTGAGAATCCAGACACCGACCCGTCGACACCGGTGACAGAGCCCATTGCGACGAGAATCGGTCACCTGCTGGCGGTGGATTCATCCGAGAGCATGCTCTATCGAGATACGGAGATGGACTTCAACCAGCAGCTTGACATAACGAGAAGCGTCCTGACGGATGAGGAGACCTTGCCGTTCGAGGCGAATACTTTCGACCTGGTCCTGAGCTCCTTGAGCATGCACTGGACTAACGATCTGCCCGGTGTGCTGGCCCAGATCAACAACATCCTCAAGCCGGACTGTGCGTTCATCGGGGCCATGTTTGGGGGAGATACGTTATTCGAGCTCCGGACCTCGTTGCAACTTGCCGAACAAGAGAGGCGAGGCGGTATCTCCCCTCACGTCTCGCCACTAGCTGATGTGCGGGACGTTGGAGGCCTACTGCAGAAAGCAGGGTTCAAGATGCTGACTGTGGATGTGGACGACATCATCGTCGATTATCCTGACAGTTTTGCCCTGATGCAAGATATTCAAGCCATGGGGGAGAGCAATGCAGTTCTGGGCAGGGAAATGGGGGCCATCCAACGGGATGTGTTACTGGCCAACGATGCCATCTACCGACAGCTTCATGGCAATGAGGATGGCACGATACCAGCAACTTTCCGTATGATCTACATGATCGGGTGGAAGGAGTCGAAGGACCAGGCTCAGCCTCTACCTCGCGGCAGCGGGGAAATCAACCTGAAAGATATCCTAGAGAAGTAATATATGAACACTTGTGGGTTTTGCTCATTTTGTGAGTCTCACTGCCCGTTCAAGGTGCTGGTTTGTGGAGCTTTGCATGCTCAAGAAGTACCGTTTGAGAGAAAAGCTCTCAAGGGACTCACGGTCACATATTCGAAATGTGCTCATGCTACAAAGCTACTCAAAGTTAAATTCCAGCATTGTTTATCAGCATTGAAGTCTGTTGATTTGAGGTTTCTAGTTCTTCGAGGACCATCCACGTCACATCTTGTTAGCGACTTGTGGACTCCCATTTTAGTATTTAAAGTCTTCCTGTCTCCTCTACTTCCTTTCTTCACCCAATCTTCTGGCATCTCGTACTTCCACATCCAAATCCAGAATTCCCACACCTGCTCTTCCCTCCACATCAATCACCTCGACAATACACCATGAAGATCGCGCCATTCCTCCTCGTGGCGGCTGCTGCCGTCGTTCGGGCCTCGCCCCTCCCGGTAAGCCCGTCTCCTTCTTGTTCGACTCGGTCTTCTTCATCATTTTGCTGAAACTATCATTTCCCAGACCAAGGCTACCACTGCTGCCACCGAGTCCTTTGCGACCAGCATCGCGCTGCCATCGGGCGTCGCTCCAGAGTCCATCACACTCACCAGATGCAATCAGTGCCTCAATGGGTGCAGCCGCCAAGGCCAAGTCTGTATCGCGTGGTGCCACAGAAACGTCTGCAGGGATGCGTAACGCTGCTAGACTTCGGTTGTGGTTCGCACTGCCTGACTTCTCTGTTATCTCCAAGGGCGGATATACAACGGGCAGTACTAGGGTTATGCAGATGGTAGCGTACATAAACGATTAAAAGAAATAGTGGGAGCAATGTCAGGTGCACGGGGGCTCTGCTTCTTGTTATCTTTTGGGGTATTTGAGTTCGGCTCCTCCCTTCCGGTCGAAGAGCTTAAATAAATAAACAAATCGCAATGTCAGGTCCTGGTGTAAACGGCAGGAGACAGTCACAAGCCTCGAAAGAGTCGGTGAGCCTCTAAACGTCGCCGTTTATAGCTCACGCCTCCCTAGAAGCGCAACCTCAACACTGTTAAACTTCACACAACATAAACAAATAGGCCTTGCAACCTAAATTAGGATGTAGAGTAGCATAGTCCAGCTACTGCCGTATCATTCTATCCACTACATACAAATACACAGAGGGGAAGCCAGTCCTATCCTCACACTCTAGCCAGCGCCACGCCCGCGCGGTGTATTCTCTGTTCGAATCCACCTCTCAGCACTGCTGTGTTTCTGTCCGAAGCAGGGCGAGCAGACCACGGGCTCGTTTGGTGCCCGCGAATGCAATGCTTCCCAGTCCGGGTCCGCATCAAACACTCTATTTGAGTACATTATAGGCCAGGGCCGAAGAGCCCACCAAGCCGTATTCAACATCCGGATCATTATATTCTCGTCCTCGGCAGCCCTTAGCAGCCGAGTCCTGGTCCAGAGACACCAATACCCCGTCAAACATGTTCCTTGAGGTCTCGCATCTGGTGGTGCCGTAGAGCTTGACGTAATGGTTTTTGGGGATTTCCTCGACCTGGTACGAGTAAACCTTTTTGTCAAACTTCATGCACCCGTCCTGGCCGGAGGACTTGACTTCTTTTCTTCGCATTCGGTGTCGCTGTAGAATTTGACTTTGACGGAGTCGGCATCAGCTGCTTCCAAACTTACAAGAACAAGACTAAAAGCAAAAGCGATAAACGACAGCGAGAGCTTCATAACTAGAGAGTTGGAGTGATAGGAAAAGGGTTGTGAGTGCTATCGGTCGTATGTTCAGTTATAGTGTAATAATGCAAGAGCTGTTGTCCGAAGAGTGTTGTGTGAAGTCAGAGGAGGACAACCCAATTCGAGCAAGCGTCGTTTATAGAGACGTGCATCGCGTTGACGAACTTCCAGATTTAGGTATGGGACACATCTTTACCACCTCCCAAGCCGGCATAGGCTACTCGCCACGGCGCAGCGTTATAAGTAATACCTATTTATAAGAAGTCATGTTATTTGCACCTTACCGAAATCCTTATTTGCACATCAGTGGAGTCGCCTACCTGCTAGCCAGCTGCAACCCATCTGCCAACCTCGATGGTCACCACGATCGTGTTTTGTATATCGATGACATATTGATACAGATCACCGTGTCCCTCGCAGCTGGACCTTGGTGTTGTTGTTGTTGTTGTAGCATTTAACGCCGGGGGGAGCTGGACCTTGGTGAGCTTGGTGGTCAGCCCGCTGCCAGATGGCTGTCAGGTGCGGGGACCCACTACCTAAGGTGCAAATAGGGGATTTCAGTAAGGTGCAAATAACATGACTCTACTTAAAAAGGTAGGAAAGGTACCTCTGACAGCTATTACATGTGATCCTACAGGATGACACATATGATGCTCATAGCAATCATAACATAATAGTAAGGCTAGATACGCCACTGTTATACTATCTGACGTATTAATCCCCCCTGTTCTCAAGTACCTAATCGTCCACGTGGTCGTATTATGAGATACGTCAGCCCCTACCCTCTACGCTATGCGAAACACAGGGATGAGTATACTTCACACACACATGGCGCCCGCGCTACTACTTCCAAAGCTCTCGACCTGTGGAGTAATTTTTTATAAGCCACGTGACGCTTGCTGATAATAAGTTCGCAATGGAGTAAGCGTGAGATATCTCCAACATCCATAGCGAAAGGCCTACCTTTGGCATATGTGAAGACGTGCGTTGAGTGGAGCGGCACAAACGACAGAAGCACCGATTACCGCAGTGAGTAGGATTGTGAACTTCATGTCGTGCAGTTGGAACTTGGTTTGGAGTCCAGCGGTGTATGTCTGTGGTTCGTTAAGCGTTCTCAAGTTGATGGTAGGGGGTGCCTGCGCTCAATTGTAGAGATCATCCAGTATGAGCAAGTATTTCCAACTTACTCGAGGGTCTGGATGCACTGTAGGCCGACAACAGCTAACTTGTCATCCTTAGGTCTTGCCACACTTCCCCCTTGCATTCTCCTCTCTTGATTCTCCTGTGTTCTTTAGGTTGAAGTTCCAGATTCCCAACCAAGTTTAGTGCTCTTCCCCTTCCGCACGATATGTGTTTATATGTGGCTATCATCCTCTATGATGTTCAGAGGTTTGCGCCCCTTCGAGAGACGGCGTCTCTCTAGTAGGAACTTCCTGAGGTTTAGTTGATCCATTGCTGATCAGTAGGGTTGGCATGATTAATCATTTAGGCATTTCCCAGCGTTTTGACTAGCAACGGGATATATTTCTTCTAGTCTCTCTTTGAGGGTGTTTGGAGCTTTTGAACTCAACACCCACAAGCCTGCTGTCCCACTCACCGCTGTCAGGTCACTAATTCCCAGAGCAACAAGATACCTAGCGGTTGCGATCGGCGGCACGGGCACGACCGTCTTGCCCACACTTTCTAGGTTCATTCCCACGCTGACATTGGTACCACGGCTCCGACTGCCCTATGAGTAGCAGGACTGAGTTCATGGACTTGGTGATACCATGCACGGCTCTCAATACTGGGGCTAATGCAGCAGCTCCTCGTGCCTTTCGTAAGCCAAGAGAGAACTGGCAGACATGTCAGTGGACGTGATCTGTTTTCTGGAATAGGCGTCTTTGACCGCAATAAGAGTTAATAGTCGAAGAGGCACCCGCCAAGTTGTTTCCGTGATGATGAGGCGGTGTGCCAGCAGCACCCCGGCGGACTTCGTGCACACCTGCTCGCGAGACCACTGGCTATAGAATGGCTGTACAACGCGCAAAACGGCAACATCAATCTGATCAGGCCACGCGATCTCCTTTTCCCCGGAACCACCATGTTCCGACTCCTAGATGCTGCTTCCAGCGAGATAAGTAAGGGTATCGTGAACTACGAGGTACTCACTCATCTGAACCCCTGTATGATCCAGGGACTGCGTTGGCTATCCCTCCTTTGCTTCAATCTGTGGCACCTGCGCACTATCCATGTTCGCGGAACAAGCACGCTCGTCACTTCTTAATACGCCCGAAAATTGTTCGTCATAAACACGTACGCTGCGCTTATTCCAACCCGGAGGACTTGATCCTTCATAAACGTAGCTTCAGGAAGGTAGAGACCGACAACACGAGATGAGCGATGCAATGAGCCTACCCAGATGGTGCGACTTCCTGGTGGAGTGCCAGGAAAGGCCAGTATCCGACGGAAAAAGACACCAGATATGGCATCCCATCCCCTCGTTTAAAAGACCGACGTCTCCTCGCTCTCCTCCCTTCTGCTTCTTCTTCTTCTTCTCTACATCAACATCAATGCCAAATATCATTATCCCCACAGAAATCCTCGATTCGCCAGTCAGACTCTCTCTCCTTTGGATCCAATCACCAGCCAAGTGTACATCGAACGCCCAGAGCCCTTCGTCGGGTCAGCGCCTCTGCCCAGTCACCTCCCAAGTCAACAAGTCAAGTCACCCCCAGCACCTCCCACGTCGCCGCCGCCATGGCCCCCCAGGATACACCGGTATCTGGCACCGTGGGCCCCGAATGGCTAGAAGAGTAAGTCGCCGTCCTTCCCTCACCTGCTCCATCACCTGCGCGTTGCCATGCTCGATGACATGAAGGTCACCCAATTCCAGCTTGCCATCATGTCCCCTTGTCTTCGTACCCTCTTCTCCGTCCAATTCCTTGCTCGGCTTTCGTCCATCCAAACCCATCCTAACCAATGCGTGTTTCAGATTCGATCTCGAAGCCCAGGTACCGGTCATCCCGGTCATCCCGGCCTGGCGGCCCTGGCGACGTGGGGTCACCATCAGACAGGTGCTGGGGAGGGTGATCTGGGCAGAGGGCTCCAGCTGGCCGACCAAGGGTCCGGCTCTGGGCGGGGTACTCGGTGATATACCGCCACGGTGGTGATTCGATCGCGTCATACCTCAACACACGCACATAAATCAGTTCAGTAGGCCGTCGTTTCGGACGCATGAGGAGGTATGGCGGTGGAGAGAGAGTTCTACTGGCTGGGAATCGGGGTAACGAATTAAACGATTTTGGCTGTTTTGCAATACTCGTAATCCATCGCCCTGCTTGTGGACGTGAAGCTCGTCTGTGGTCCTATACGCCCTCAGCCAGGGTTCAATGGGGTGAGGTTTACGTACTCTCGATTTTGAAGATTCTCGGGATGTTGTGATAAGCCTCACAAATGGCTTGTTGAAAGATAATGGCTGGTTCCAGGGTGATCAATCCAGCAATGCAAATACCTATGAGGTATGTGTGTCTTGGTTCTTGGATCACGATCGGTTTGCGCGGACGAGGGCTGGTGAGAGGGCTCTGCTTGACTGTGGGACTGTGCTGTATTTTGATAGATGGAAGGCATCCATTACCCTGCCGAGAGGGCCTAGTTGCCTTGATGATTAGAACGTCATGCATCTTCCCGTGAGGCATGGTGACCAAGGGAATAACTGGGGACAACTTCACTTCCAGCAAGCGACAGAGAACACCACCCCCTTCTTGCAGCACTTTTCTGTAACGAACCCACACCATTCTAGGCATTTGCTTCGAGTACAGTTCGCGTGCCATCATCGGCAGCGATCGATGGGACTGCACGCCGAACATGCTGGTGAAGACCAGACTTACCCACACCCGCACTGGTTCCCAGACCATATGGTCTTCTTCCAGCAAGATACCGCCCTGGAATGGGTTGGAGAGCTGAGAATGGGTGCTCCCTGGAGCTGCAAGTGCCGGATGGCCCCACGACCCCGGGTTATGTGGTAAGCGTGAGAAAAGGGCTTGGAACAGCCGGGCATGCTGTTCGGGCAGGACGATGACAAGTGCCTTGGGGGCTTCTTGGTTGGTACGTTTCCGAGGTCGAGGTCGCTGGCGACCGGGTCGCAAGAGAGGCGGACTGAAGAGCTTCTCGCCATTACTTCGTCACAAATTTCTGGCGGACGACGGGGTCCGTCTGAATCAACAGAGGGCACGGGTGGTTGCAACAAGAGACGTTAAAGGGAAAGAAGCTAAGCCATTGCGTTGGTAGGACTGGAGCAGAAGTATCCATCGCGTATTCCTATCCTCTTGGGGGGAAACCAGATTACCATATTACGCCTCAGAGGTGGACATGGAGGCCTACGAGCCGCAGATAGGGGCAATTAGAAGCATGTCAGAGAGGAACATGTATAGGATGAAGGGGGACCTCCACTCGTAGCAAATCATGGAGGAGCTTGGGAAAACAGGGGATATATCTGTGATCGTGCATGTCACACATCGCCAACATTTCGTACTGATTGGGATATATGTAAATAGACTGAGGGCCTCGCCTACAGTCGGATGCCATCCATGGCCATACAAGAAGTCAAGAGCCATACATGAGACAGGACAAGTGAACTTGTCTGTATAATGGAATGATACTAGTCCATCCTGAACACCTTGCGGTATTGATTGGGTACTATTTTGTATTACTCCTCATTGGTGATGCAGTTTTATCGTCAAAAAGCCCTCCTCATGAGTTGTCCTTCCAGGAGGAGTCGACTGGAACAACCAGCGAATCGCTGCTTATCTGCTGCAGGCTATGTTGTCCTGAAGAAAACATATCATACCTTACGCCAGTCCGTCATACACCGTGCAATGCTACCCATGCCCGCAACATCAACAACCTTCTCATGCCAGCTCAGCAACACGCTCATGCCCGCGCCCGTGTTCTCATTTGTTGCACCCGGCCTGCCGCCAACCTGGCTGAAGCCCCCCGTGGGCTGCGGCGTGAGGTTGCGCGCGGACGTCCGCGGTCCTCCTGCCCCGTTCGCCGCACCTCCTGACATACCCTTGTATCTAGACGGTCCATCGGGTCAGCATTGATTACCCCTATTGGCCGATAGAGGGAAATGGGACGATTAAGTTGGATGGTAGGATGGTAGGATGCGACGCGGAGAAGGCAGGAAATACGTACAGGTACTTCATTAACACATCTATCAGCTCGCTGCCACCCTCGGACCCGTGGATGCGCTGCAGCATTGGCGTCATCTCGCTCGCCTTGATGGACTGCAAGACCTCGACGACGGTCTGCATGTGTGCGTCCTGTTATGCCGTAGATGGCCGCGTCAGCACGCGTATCTTGAAGATTTCAACAACAATCCCCGAGGTGCTTCGTCCATGCTTCCCCCTTTGCCCTCCATGCAGCGCCCCCTATTTCACCCCGCAACCTCATCATCTCGCAGCGCAACACAACCATAGCCCAGCCTCGCAGCACAAGACAGGCAAGGACCCACGTACCTTAACCCCCTCGCCCCCGCTATATACCGGATTCTCGAGGCACCCGCGCAGGGCGCCCTCGGCATCGCCGCCGCGCAGCAGCTGGCGGACCTGGCCGTTGAGTCCGCGTACGTCGGCGTCGCTGACCTCGGGCAGCGGCGGGTGCAGTGTCGTGGTGTCGAAGTTCTGCGACGAGTCTGGGTCCAGCGCGTCGATGTTGATGGTGCGCCACGCGTCGCTCAGCGACGCCGACGTGTGCTGCTGGATGATGGACATGGTTGGTCTCGGTGGGGAGGCCCTGGGCCGGGCGAGGCTGTACGGCGGTAGGTGGCGGCGGGTTGGAAGGAGCTCTTTCTTTAGGCGCAAATCGGGCCGCGCTTCTCGATTGCTCGGCTGGTTCGTGGGCTCGTGGGGTTGCAGGTGGTTTGTGTAGGTAGATCCGTGGCAAGATGGTCAGACGGTGAGGCTCTTTCTCGAGAGCTCCAATTCAGGCCGGTGGTGGCTGGGGTCGATGGTGGGGGTGGCATTGACGTTGACGTTGTCGTTGCCGATCCCGATTTCTTTGGCGGGGATGTCTCAGTGTGGCTCAAACTTTAGGGGGCTTCTGATGGTGGCTTAGCTGGCGTTCTGCAGCGGCGCACCAAACAGCAGTACTTCATACATGATAGGTATATCGGTCTGCTCTTCGAGTCGCCTTCCAGGCAGCCCATGAACTGGTATGAATCAGATTGGACAAGCTGAGCATATGTATAGCATACTTGGATCATGGCATGTAAGTTTGAAATTAGCCATTTGCATGTTCACCACACCATCTTCCGGCAAGGCACGCCCCGAGGCACGATCTCCATGTCGTCCACAAACAACCAGAGGCGCAGGAATAGCAAATACATCATTGAGATGGCCTTCGAGCCCTTATTGGTGGGCGTAGGCAACACACGAAGTGTACATGAGAGCTATACCGAGCTGATACAAGCAGCTAGACATGCTTGTTCTGTTACTGCGAATGACGCCGAGCTTCATATTGGGCTCCCTTACATAGTGTACACAAGGCTCTGAGACGCACAGCCTTGTCTGCCAAGGCGAATTGTCGACTCGCAATGCCTACCTATGGAGAAAGAGTTACAACCAAGTCAAGGCAACTAACAAGTGCGACCCGTTGCTATATATGGAAGGGCAGTGTTGCTTTGAGCGCGTACACACGGGGGATTGGGTCATGCCTCTTCCATGCAGGCCTCATTGTACCTACTCATGTATAACTCAAAAATCCTGCGCCGCGAACACGCGGCTGCAGAAGCGAAGCCGAGACATCAGTCGCGGTAATGGTGCAGGCTGAGCAGGCAGTTGGATGCCCACACGCACGCCGAGGAAAGACGTCGTTGGTGGCCGAAAAGGGGAACGTTGCCCAATCAGACGGTGACCGTTCCAGGCAGTTCCGTACCACAATGCCACGTGGGATAACCGGCCCGGGCACTGCGTTTCTGCAGACTGCAGCAAAATGTCACCAACACTCCCAGACTTCATGAGCAGCGCAGTAACAATATGCTCCGGTCGCGTGCCCCAGGCTCCAGGCCCGAAGAAATCGCCTTGGATGCACGAATGTTGGAAACCTGGACGGGGCTCGTATCGTGAAGGAGGCACAGTTCGCCGGCTGATGACCAAAGCTGGGGACGAAAGCAACCGAAATATGGCCATAATATCACTGTTAAGCTTGCGCACTCTGTTACCTGGACGGCGAAGATCGCACTATCCAAGTAAGCCATGCCCATAGCCGGTCTTGGAAGTTGGAGGGAGTGCGCGGAGGCTCAGCCTCCATCGCGGTCGTGCCGTAACAGGCGAACAGCACTCGAGTCTGTTCCCGTGTCAGGGAGAAAATGATGTCCAAGCGATCATAGAAGAGGTCCGAGGATGTGATGGCCAGGATGGCGGGTTGATTAGCCCGAGGGATGGCTTGCCCTGCGTGTTCGGTGCCGGTGCACCTTACCCATATGCACTGCAATCAAATCCGCATCGCGGAGCAGACCTTGCAGATTGGGAAGGGCTCCAAGCAGCTGAATTCGTCCGATGCTTGGTGAGAGTTGTTGCGGCAGGGCATATGGTTTTCGGGAAAACTGCCGCCGTGAAACCTCATCCGAGAGCATCACAGGACATGAATCTGGGGTTCGCGGAAGCTCTCCGGCGCTGTATTCCACTCAGTATCTCCATGCCGAGGCTCGCAGACCCGTGGTTCCTTGAACTTTTATCGGGAAGCATTGCCTTTGCTTCTATGACAAGGTTAGCTGGCGATCACTTTTGATGGCCTGGCTTCAGAGATCATTCCGTTCGGCAATGATCCTGCCATGGAAGGCTTGTGAAAATTTTCTTCCAATTTAATTAGCGACGGCGACAAGATGATCGCATGGGAAACCTGTAGGGCAGGATCCCTTCCCCGGAGCCACGAGTCTTGGTTTGGCAGGTTTGATACAGGGGTACTCATCCACGTAGATGAGAAAACCGTTTCAGGCCCCAGGGTTTCGGTACACCGTACCAGTTCACAACCCTGCTCAGTGGTACTCACAGTGCTGCCACGGCCCACCAGTTCGGGAATGTTGACTTGGACCCTTCTGGTGTTGAATGGGAGCCGGAGATAGACACCGGAAGATCTCCAGTGGGGCAGAGACGCACAGGGCATCTGACCCACCAAGAAGACAGATGATCAATCTCTGCACACTGAAGAAGCAGAGCAGAACAATCAATAGAATCAATCAACATCCGTGTATTCAACATCTGGCATGTATGATGATGCCCCGAGCTAGCCAGTCGGGATCATAGTCCAACAGAGCTCTCAGCCAAACTCCCCGGGTGGCTTTCGCTGTGATAGATGGCTCTGCCGGTGGTTCGAGACCACAATGACATTCGATGTGATGAATCCCAGTTGTCTCTGCTGGGGTCTTGAACGTTGCATGCTATTTTCGGATTGGTACTTACCGTGTCTTATTAGAACCCCCGCCCGCTGGGCCTCGAAGAGCCCGAGGCGACGAGTAATTGTAACCTGCCAACCTGGAAGCCGTAAGCTGCCACCCGCTAAGCCCACTTCGGATAGCATCCCAGATCACAGCGCTCAACCCACTGTAACCACAGCGCTCAGTCCACTGTATCAACAACGCGCGCGACTCAACACCACAGCGCAACACCACCACCACCACCACCACCACCACCACGGCGCACACAAGGACCCATTCACAGATGGGGGACTCGCACCGCTCCCCAAACCCCCGGCTACCCCTAACCGCTAACCCTAACCACTAACCCGTCGCTACGGGAGGTACTTCGGATTGGGTGAGAAACGCATGCAAACAGAAGTACTTTGGATGTTGGAGTCATGGTGCGGGAACGACATGGAATGTGCAGCCAATTGGAGGTCGGACGTTGTCTGAATCGGGCTTAGCGGGTGGCAGCTTACGGTTTTCAGGGTGGCATGTTACAATTATTCCGAGGCGACGTGCCGCGTGCGGGTAGAAAGTTCTACAGTATGGAGACTGATATGCGTTTGTGGTCAAGGCGCAGATGTCATGCCAAGCCGAAGGAGGCTCCCCTTCTTTTTGTCGACTCTGACATTCGACTTCACGACGCAAGACGAAGAAACTCCTTGCAGGGGGCGGATGAGGCCAGTCCACTAGGATGTTTATCTTGTCAATGGAGTCACTGGCGACCCAACCATCTGGTAGCTTTGATAAGCTGAAGGGGCTTGATGATCCCTCCACCCAGGGCATTGGTTCTGAAATTCTGATCTTATCAGTTGCGGTGGATGCCGGTACCAGTGCCGCACTCAGGATGGTCCATGGCAACCAAGCCTGTTCTTTTCTTCTCTCTCGCCGAGGTGCCCGCGTGAATGAAGACAGGTTGGGCAAAGTGATATGAGAATGAAAAATTAGGATGAGACCAGAAATGCTTCTGCTTCGGCGCCTACCATAGTAGTCCGTTGACATCGACAGGACGGGGGACCGACCCGTCAGTTCGGAACGGAGCTTGCGATCCCTGTTGAAATCGCCAAAACGAACTTCGTTGATGATTTGACATCATGGGTCCTTCACGACAACATGAAGTGGGCTTTGTGACGGGGCTGACGACGAGAGTTTTGACCTTGTCGGCTCTAGTCTTTTGGGATGGGACCAACAGGACGGGAGCACTCCGCGGGTTTGTCTTCCCTGACAAGCGGTACATACTGCCGTACTAGAAGCAACAGACGATAGGAGCACATTTGGGTATGCACTGGAGTTCTCAGAAAGCGCCGGTCGGTTGGTAACCGGGAATTGCTCCTAGTCGTCCCGTGGGGATGGAAGCGATCATCGTAATTGGTCGATCATTGTGGCATGAGGAGGTAACTACTGTATGCACACGGTAGTGGTGGTGGTAGCTCTCCCAATAGTGAATATCAGCTCTCATGGTATCATTGGGCCATGACTTGTTGGCGACAACTTTCCGATTGGCCCTCAAACCCACGAACTAGGTGAACGGATGAAAGAAGGTCCTTGCATTCGAAACAGATAGACGGCAGAATTGTCACGGCGTCCCTCGGAAGGATCATGTCTATGAGGCACCAGGCCGTTTTTCTTTTCAGAGACAATACTTTGTTGGTGGCCGTGGAGCATCTACGCTTGTTGCGTTGCAAACACTCAAAAGCGGCCATGTCGAGGTCATCTTGGTATCACTGTACACACTCTCGGCACATGAATGATAACTGATAAGTGACGGAATTGGCCGGCCTTGGTTCTCGAAGTTAGGGAAGCAGGGAGCCCGACCCAGCCAGCAGGGTCAGGGCATGCTGACAGGCTGGCTAATGCAGGAACAGTCGGAATCGGTGGAGAGCCATGTGGCTCGTCAGGTAACGGTGGCCCGCGGCTGGAAGTGAAGTATCGAGTACTTCGAGACGCCCCTTTAAGGTTGCACCCCAGCATCAATGATCCTGGTACATCTGCTTAGTCGGATTGGCGACTGCAGCTTGACGTAGCCACGAAAGAATAACGCCGCTGCTGCTCAACGGAGTAAACTCATCCCAAGTCTGAGCGGCGGGACAGGGGGTAGGTAGGTCAGCATCTTGAGACGACAAACGATATGAGAGTCAAGCCACCTGGGAACGGTGATGGGACCGCTTGAGGTGAGACGGGTTGGGAGGCGGACGGGTTGGCTGATGCATCATCACCAGCACCGGTGATGATGGTCGATGGATGAAATCAAATGAAATTGGTGGATGGGATGGGCTCAAGACGCCCAGGTGCACTCAGTATTGAATCCACTAT